TTGTTCAATTAGTGTACTTGATTAAGACATATCTATTCGTTATATTCCAAAAAATTTACTAACTATACTAATTTGTATCTAATTGATTTCTGGTGCTACTCATAGTAAAGAAAAATGTCGATAATATAACACCACGGCGATCTGTACGTTATAAAACGTCTTTTCATAACAGAATATAAGCCAACTATATTAACACATGTTCAGAAAAATTTCATCGTCTATCTCTATAGCCATGCCATCTCCTATAACCATGGCATCTCAGTTCTTGTGTAATCTCGATTAAAACGATCTAATTTTTTTCATTTAGTTATATCTTCTTCTCCATTAAAACATGAGGGTAATTAAAAAACTATGAATATCGTAATATTAGAGTTATGGTCTTTAACATCACTTACATTTGCAGACTTTAGTAGAATGTATGGCGGTAGTAGGGTTTGTATGTGTAGCATTTTAGGCCAAAAACACCTTTTCTCCCGACTCATTAATCAGTTATTTTTTTGTTTCCTGCAAGATTGAATTAAATATAAGGTAAATAAGACGTTCAGTTTATAGACACTCCTCACTCAGTTGTTTTGAGGAGCAAAGTTTGAGGGACTGTTTCCAACAATAATCACAAACTTCTCATATATATTAGAAAAGTCTTGGCCTTACTACTTTAATTAGCACTCAATATCTAAACATCTCCTAATATCGAAACTTCTTTCTTCAATGTTGAATCGTAATTATATATCTTATTATGATAAACTACATTGAGAGGGCGAGAGAGAGTATCATCCATCAGTGGGCAAGAAAGTCACAGTATACCCTCAGCAATCTACCTCTCCTCCGCCTGCTTCCGAGTACAAAAAATTCCTATCAGTTAAAAATAATATGAATATCAAGGTCACTCAATTACCTTACCCAATTACGAGAGGCGAGAGTGCGCAACAAGAAACGAAAATTCGTTATATAAACGTGGAGACCTACGTCAAAATATGCACAGAAATTAAAGCACCTCTGAAGGACTCTAGTCACCGTTCAACGGAAGTGATTTTGCGACATTATATTCCAAGACCTCCGATATTAAAGAGTGGCGTCTATGTATAGAAGAGACATACTTAATCAGCCTGGATTGGTTGTTTTGCCCTGCGGTCAGTCAGTTAGTCGAGCAGATTTAGCGTGGCCTTAACATATGCCTGCACCGATCGAGGCAAGACGCACACAAGAGTCTATAATTAAAACTTATAAAAATAATATCCTAACAGCGTATATTGCGCTTGCTTAGGCAAGAGTTAATGAAGTCCAGTAAGGCGCGTAACATAATATAAAGTAACACCGTAAGAAAGAGTGGTAATATAGTTATTCCAAGTGAAACACCCAAAAACGAAAGCTATTGTCTCGACACTTAAACAGTAGACTACCTAGCATATCATCTCGAGCCGTTCACATTAAATCAAATTTCGGTACCAAATAATCACAATTCACACAGAACAACCATGACTGTGTAAGAGACATTTCACGAATAGTTGGAATTGACTGCTACACCATGCGCGCACACCACATCTACTATCATAAAGCTTTGTTTCTGACCATAAAGGAAATGCGATGGCACTAAAAATAATTCTGCACTGCTTGGGTCCCAACCTAATCTTCTTCCGCTCTCTATGTCGGCCCTCGCCGACATCCGCCATTTTGGCCATCCACTTTGCCGCCTTCTTACGACGTCGCACATCGCCTTTGTTAGGTTTTCTTCCAGTCCTTCGACTCCCCACTTCCGGCCGCTCCGCCGGCGGCTGGCGTACGTTCCTTCCTGTCCCGCCATGGTCGCTCGATCGGTGTCGGCGGTAAGTCCCCGCGCAGGCCCGTTGGCAGGACTGCGAGAGGTACTGTAGGATCGTCGAGTAGGGCCGGTTCTGCGCCAGTTCGTGCCTTTATCGCATCCTGCCGTCTCTATCGCAGCTTCCAGTATCCGCGCCCGTCTCAAGAAATGGAAGAGGGCGAAGAAGCAAGGGCCGTGTCTCTTTTTGGGGAATTTCCCTCACTGACCAGCACCAGATGGCAACAGTTTCTCATATTGCTCTTCTGGCTTCTTCTTTGGTTACCTTGTCCAATGGCATCTGCGAGTTTTTGCTTTTCTCTGTTTTTCCCTTTTTGTTTTTCATCCTTGCGTTCTGTTTGGTTAAAGTTCAAAAACTTTGAAATCCGCCATGGAGGCCCGGAATATTTTTCTAACTTAATTTTGTTCGGTTATAATTTCCCTTAACAAGTGCTCTTCTTAAAATCTTATGAATGTTTTTAAATAGTATACAGAAAATCTTTAACTAAATTGGTGTTGAATTTCAGGAATATGTTTATAACAGGCTCCAATTAGGTGAGATGAGGTTTTGATAATATAATATCTGTGTATATTTTGATTTTTTTTTTTTTTTTTTTTTTTTTTTTTTTTGTTTTTTTTTGTGGAATTATGAATGATATTTTATTTTTAAAAAAAAAAAAATTTGAAGGGGTTTTTTTTTGTTTTTTAATTTTTCCCAGCTATGGTTCGTACTTCACATTTTAATTCAAATCTTGTGTATGAATATGTTGATTTTACCTCCAAAGGTAAGAACAAAGCAAATGGTGAATCCATGGAAGAACTTATGTGAAGATAGTCTGCCAGATTCTTATGGTTCCCATGGACAACAAAAGGCAATCTATTTAGCTTTTCTTAAATTTACCCTGCCACAAAATAATAGTTTAAATCCACCAAGGTAAAAAAAAGAAAAAAAAATTATGTCCATATATTTTTGTTGTCTTTTTAATTAATAGTTTAATTGTAATTTAGAATTGGTGATGGGTGGTGTAGGTTTTGCCGGTGATGTGATGGGGCATTCATTCCAGGACTGAGAAGGAAAATATCCAGCTCACGAAATATATAATCGAAGCTGTTCTTTTTAGTTTTGGGTTAATCCTTTTCACTTTAGCAGATGCAAAACTTCTCCTAAATTTTAGCATCATAGGTGTTGGTTATGATATCTGGTGCTTTAATCATGGATTCCTTCTTGGGTAATTTAACAAGAAGCTATTTTACAATGAATCCTGAAACCACCAGGTAAAGTAATGTAACACACTTATTCCAAAATGTATTCTTGATTTCGTTCTCTTTTGGTGACAATCAAGTCTTTTCCTCGTTTACAGATGGAGATGCTGTTCTGTTCAAGCGTAGTCGGTTTGCCTTTCTTGATCCTCCCATGCTTTTGACCAGGAGACGTATATTCAAAAGCTGGAACTTCCATGTTATCAGGTAACTCTCCCAACAGTTGTGCCACAGGGCATGTCTTTAAATTTGAAATTTCCATTCCTTTTCCATTTTCCCTTTTGTTCTTTAATTTGGACATTTAGAAACTAAATGAAAATAGAAAATCAAACTCAGAAACTAACTGTCATTTATTATGGATGCAGCATCCATACGTAATATGGGTGTTGGTGTTTGACAGCCATGGCCACGTTTATTGTATCAAGTCTCTGTACTCTCCTATGATTTGCCATTTTTGTGCAAGCCACCACAGCTATCTGGTACGCCCTCTACTCTGTTCATTTAATATCAGAGGCCTTTTTAATGCGCATTCAATGTTATAAATGTCCATTAGTCATTTAATTATGTTTTGGTTAAATCGTCACAGTGACGCGGCGAGGAAGGCGTGAATTGCTCCTATCATACATAATACTTTACTGAAAGCCATTAACGGAAACAGCACGGGAACCGGACTTCTATTGATGGCTATTGGTATCACATTTGAAGCTGTTGCCTGAAAATAAGCCTGCAACTAAGACTAAGATGGAATTCCCCAAGCCGACCTTCACTCTGGTGAAGAACGATAATATCTGACATTTCCAGAAGAGACGGAGGCCCCTTAGTCTAATAAATATAATAATAATCACTTAATTATTATTAATTATTATTATATTTTATGCTTCTTGGAAGTTTAATTTCTTTAGCCTGATCATTGTTACTGTTTATTTAACATTATGAATAAGATCACAATATCATATAATTTCAGATTAAAAAAGAGATTAACCAAACTGGGAATTCAGATTAAAAATTACTTTTCTGCACTTAAATTTTATATTCCTAGCACATTTTTTATATTTTGAATTGAAAGTACTGAGTAAATTCCAACCAAAACGAACATGGCTCAATTAAAACTTGTAAGCTGGCTCTCACACGAGCCCAATTCGCCTGAAATTCATCATCCGAAAATCGACGGCTAGCAATACGAAGAACATCCCAGGTGCTTATGTTACCGAATTGAATTTTGACTGAGGCATTTTTTTTACCGCGTACGTGTCAAAAAAAGTCTGGCAATGCATGGTGAACGTAAATGTCGAAACTGTGGAAAAATGCGGAAAAAGATGAAAGAATGTAAACAGAAAACAGTAAAATTAAATATGTTGGAAACTTTGGATGTTAGTGTTGCCGCTTATGAAGGAATGGCTGATGACCGATAACCGAAGAGATAAACAGCTACAAGTTTGCTAATAGGTTGAAAGAAGAAGAAGAGAGGTAAGACGACCAAGACACGCCATGGAAAAGGAGAGTACCGTAACCGAAGAAGCATAAACAGTACAAGTTTGGCCATTGTCAACTTGTAAACCGAAGAAGATAAACAGTACAAGTTTGCCATTGTCACTTGTTTCTCTCTCATTTCTTCCATCTCTGCAACCCAACCCTCCTCCGGTAACTCACCAAGCATACATAATACAATCATCTATATATATATATATATATATATAAGCCTTTTCAGTCTAATCTTGACCATTAATACGCAGTGGATGTGTTTGTTCTTGGGTTTGCAAACTTAGTAGCAGATGGGATTTCAATGGGACCAGGAGATTTTGTTTCAAGCAGCACTGAGAAAGATACGGCCGTTAAAGAAAGAGCTGTTACAGAATCGGAGGTTGCTAATAATTGCAGGCGTCAGTCAGCCTTAATAAAGAAATACCACTCACTTGGGATGGACATCAAAGATGCCACCGCGGTAGAAAGTAGTAATTTTCTTATGCTTTAGTTGATTCTCTTGTAGGTTAAATAATTAATAAACTGTTCTGGTGCAAGATTGTGTAGATATTTGCAAAGTATAAAGAAATCCTTGTACACGAGAAAATGGCAACTGAGAAAGGGATTGCATCACTTCATGACGAAGCAGAGAAGCCATGGAGGAATGGTGGCGTCACATTTTTGGCTTTCTTGGCATTTTGGCAGTTTGCCTCTCCTTTCTTTCATTGTGCTTATCCCATTTACTGACAGTGACACGCTGAAATTTACAAGTGCTTGCATTTTGGCAGCTTTGGCTCTTGCTTTACTTGGACTAGCGAAGGCTAAGATAGCTAGTCAAAGTTATGGTCCGTCTGTGGCTATTACACTTGGCAATGGCGACATTGCAGCTGCAGCAGCTTATGCTCTTGGATGGACGCTTAGGAATGTAGCTCACTTGGAAGACACTGAAAATGCTAGTATTTAGTAGCCGGTCTTCTTTTTGTAAAACTAGAAAAATTTTGTACTTCTAAGAGCTTCAACAGAATGAGATGTATAAATTAAAAGCAAGATATGAAGTAAAAAGGTGTTCAATTTCCTTCACTCAAAGATAGTTGCAAGGCATGTTCTGCTTCCTTGAGAAATAATCTGGTGAGCACCTTTTGCCCTCGTCTATATACTATGCTAGCCCATTTATTTCTGCTCATCAACTCCAGTTCATTTAGTCCACCTATCTCAGCTCTGCTGTGATGTAAAAGAAACCTTGAAAGCAACAGTAAGTGTTCACATCGCTAAAAAAAGACATTAAAATAAGCAGAACTTTCAAATTATGTAGTCTAGTAAAGTTGGAAGTGCATCCCTTTACCAGAAAAATAAATTTACTTCAAAAAAAGAGGATATACTGCCATTATTAATGTGTAAAAAACATTTAAATGTAGGACTTTGCACGTGAAATGGGATGACCAGGAACAAGATTATAAGTGAAAGTATGCTACCGTAAATTACTCTCATACCTTCCTTGGTGTTCTGGGTTTTGAACATGCTGGGCCCTTTCTAGCAGTTCAGAATCACACTCCTCTGTTCTGGAATTCTCTTCTAGATCCACCATCCTTGTATGCACAAAATTAAACATGATGGAAGGTATACATTAAGATTCATGCATCACATTTTTGGTAGACAATTAAAAAGTTTCCAGTGGTTACTTCGCTTGAAGAAGATCTACAAGCAACTGCAAAGCTCCAGAATCTCCACAGGCCTCCCATATTGCTGCTCTAACTTCTGTATCTGTCGGTTGTCTCTCCCCGTCAGACCCTACAAGCTTTTAAATGGAAGCAAAAGTTTCAATTATGGGTGGATACTAAGACCAATAAATTCAGTTCACCGTGCATGTTTTGCAAGGTATTTCCGGATATTCTATACACATTGTTGTCGTAGAAAAGTTGCACCTCTTCGAGCATTGAAGAAACCTTATATAGCTCATCTTCCTGCATGGCTATGGTCCTCAATGAAGTTAAAAAATCGTCAGGAAAGACCAGCTTATTTATGTAAGAGGGCGTCTTCCGCTGACCACTCCAACTGAAGTTGCAAACTGGATCATTTTTGCATTTACCATTATTGTCATTGTTTGGGGTGCCTACTGGAAAAAATCCATGATCCAGCAAGCTTTTAGGCAAAAGACACCGCAGTTCACCTTTCTGTGAACAAATCAAATATATCAGTATTCAGTATAGCCCTTTTCTTTTGATTTGGGAGTGGGACGTTGAAGGAAAATGATAAGAATATGATTCTTGACAATGATGCATAAACATAACATTAACCAACCTGTGCTTCCAGAAGCTGCATTTTGGAGTCTGAGAATGGAACATCCTGAATAGCCTCTGCAGGATAATGGACCTGCGTGCATTATGAATGCAAATGCTCAGCCCTTCATCAGCTAGTACAGTATATTGGATGGCAATATAATTAAAAATATGGTTCTAATAGAATCGCGAAAAGAAATGTGATCTATTTCAACACACCGCAGGGTCCAACAGAACTTCTTCCAGTTGATCAAACTTAAATATAGAGAAAATTTTTTCCTCAGATCCAACCATGAGGCCACAATAAAAAGTAACTCATTCACATGCTATAAAATTCATACAAACTATAAATAGTATTACCATAAGATAGTCATCTGGATTATTTTCAATGACAAATCCGTACAGGTACAGTAACTCCTGCATAAAGAAAATACGAGTATAATTAAAGCTTTTCAGCTACTAATGCAAAATCATTTCAAGAAATATAAGAACCAATAAAGAAGGCCAACATGGAAAGGAAATCTGGTTAAATACAAAAAGCTAGTACATCAAATTAGAATTCTTTTAACTTTTTCGGCACATTTTATTTCTTTCGTTGCTGGGAGTTACAGACAACACAGGAAAGTTAAGCAACTTATAGTCATTCGAATAGCATCACCAAAATTCAATACCTGAACACCCGTACAATTCAACAAAGATCAAAGTCAAACTGGCAGCAGAATGTTAACTAGGCTTAGTGTCTTGGAAGCAGACTGCTTAACATAAAATGTACACATAAGAGAATGCACTGGCAAAACTAGAGCCATACAACAGACCAGTAGTAGTTTAATTATTTTTCCACTGAACGTTTTTGCGACGTCTTGGAAACCAAACTGACTGACCATGACAAGGGCACATCGAGAACAAGTGAAAGATCTAATTCTAAGTATGGTAAAGGGGAAAAGGAGCATGCTCATCAAATTACAATGAAAATAGACGACTCGGATAATACAAATCTGTGCCAGGAACCACATAATATGCATGATTACATATGAAATAGATAAATAAGTGGAATATTTACAGGGGGGGGGGGGGCACTTTCTGTAGAAGCAAACCTCCCAAATATATCAGCTTTCCCTTATTGCCAGTATAGCACGCTTTGTCGTATTCTCTATTGGAGAGAAGAACTGCCAAAGTGGAGCCCCGGTATGAGAGGAATGAATACCGGATAATCCAGAGAGAAATTATTGGATTATCTTTTGATCGCAATGAGTGAGTGGAAAACATAACATTAGGATAACCAACCTGTGCTTCCAGGGACCCCGAAAGTCTGTCAAAGATTATTTGAGAAGTCCATGAGGAAGAGATAGAGAAGAGACGTAAAAAATCACTTGGTTATTAGTTCTTAAGGGGCCTCTCCGCTCAGGATATAATTGAGGAACCGTTGCGGTGGCATTATGAATGCGAGAGTTCCAAAAATAGCTGTCAGAAAACCAATTTTTGTCCAAAATGAGGGACTGGGGTAGTACAGTATTTATTGGTCCGGGCCATAGGGGCAAATAAATCCAAAATTAAAACTGGAAATAAAAATGGTTTGTCAAAATAGGAAATAATCGCGGAAGAAAGAAATGGGTATGAGTCTATTTTCAAAACACCACCTGGTCGAGTGGATCCGAATACAGTAATCTTAAACTTTCCAGGGATTTGATCGAATATAAACCATTAAAAGATAGTAGTGAAAAAGGGTTTTTTCTCCTCAGATCCAAACCAAGTGAGGGCCACGAGATATAAAAGAGATAACATGTACAATTCATCTATTTGTCTATGATTGAAAATTTCATATGAACATATGAAACTAAAGTGAACCAAAAAATCCCACAGTATATACCAATTTTAACAAAGATTAGGGGCATGCAAGGGTTGCTGGAGTAATATTATGCAATTTAAGTGAAAAACAAGATCCAAAGGAATTACAGGAGATATTACATTGAAAAACTCCTGCACCTGAAAGAAAATACACGGAGCCGATATAAATTATAAAGTCGGTTTCAGCTCGGTACTTTAATGGCGCCCAAAATCGAAATGTGGATTCAAGCAGAATTAAAGAACCAATAAAGGGTTTCAAGGAGCCAGGAACATAGGGATGAAAAAAAGGAATAAATCAATAAGGGAGTTCAAATACGAAAAAGAACTAAATTCTACTGTTTCCAGTACATCAAATGTGAAGAGAATTCTTTTTTGCCTAAAATGCAAAATTTTAAAATCGGCACATTTTATATTACTTTCGGTTGCAAAGAGCCCGAAGTACAGGGCCGACCACACCGAGCAGGAAAAGTGAAGCACTATAAGTCATGTTGCTGGATTTAAAAGCAGTGCTACGCAAAATTTTCCAATACCTGGAACACTTCAAACGAACTCACAACCTAATCTACCAAAGAATCAAAGTCAAGAGAGTGGCAAGGCAGCGCCGAGGTGTTAAACTTAGATGGCGCTTTAGGTGTCTTGGAAGCAGCATAACATTTGTCATTAAGCGAAAATCTTCACACTCACATAAAAATGCCCCTTTTAAACCACCGATTTAAAGGTATGGATATTAGACTCGAGCTGGCTAAGAAACTAACAATAGTCCATAGCCAATATTTACAACTCAAGGTTCTCTTACAACGCCATAGTAGGTAGGTTTAATTTGTTAGTTTTTTTCCATCCCAAGCCGGTTGATTCTACGGTTTTTTTTTGACGACGATCTTACTGGGGAACCCCAAAACATGGGTTACATGAAAAATCGGGCAATAGACTACACGGGAGTTGCCACTACAAGGGGCACATCAAACAAGTGAAAATGAGAAATCTGATTAAAATATTGCATATAGGTCACTGAGGTAAAAGCTGGGTGAGATACCCAGAGGAGACAAATAGTTCGCATTGACAAACTAATTACAACCTGCTTCATTGGAAAAAAGGTGAGTATCCGAAAACTCGGAATAATTACAAAATCTGTTTGTCCTGAAAAAGCCGAACCAACAATAATAATTCAAAACGCGGATGTTCCAAAATATACATATGAAACCAAATATAAGTTAAAAATAAGTGGAATTATTTAACAGGGGGTGTTCAATGGTGAAGGATGTTAAAAAGAGAGTTCTTAAAATGAACATTAAATGCCAACATAGACCCAGAACACAGCCGCAATAAGAAGGACAGTGCAGACAAGGGAAAACATTCTTGAATCAGCAATAAGGCATCCTCTTCGGTTCAAAAAGAAAGTTACCCATTGGCTCTTTGTTACCCATAACTAAATGGAAAATTTCTGCCAATTTGTGGTGAATGACCATTTTGATCCGATTCGAACCGTAATTTCTATTTTTATTTTTTTAAAAATATAATCACTTAGCCTAATTCTATACACTTCTAAAATCTAAATAATATTTAATATAATGATACATTTTACTTGAGATTTTTTTTCTTTTGAAAATACATTTACTTGGAAAAGTTTAAATTTTAAAAAAGTAAAATGATAAAAAAAGTGAAAGATTTAGCCAAAATTATTTTATTTTTATTTTTTTTCCTGTTTAAATTATTACTTGGTTCAAAATTAATAGTTTTAAAAAGGCCACTTTTAAAATTTTCTAACAAATTTATTAATTAATAACATTTAGACAAAATAAAATGTTAATTTATTTAATTATTTTGTAAAAATTAATTAAATTTTATTTTGTTGAGGGTTATGGCGTAGTTCTCAGTCAAGATAAACAAAGAATTTCATTGGGACAAAATAAGACCCAAATTACAATCTCAGTAAATGTTATAAGTTAATCCTCTCAAGCAAACTTATTTAGATATTTTATGTATAACACGCGCCTAAAAGACTTTTATTATAATCTTATAAAAACTAACGTTACTCTTAATTTTTTACCAAATGAACCAAAAAAAGAACTATGAAGAACATAGAAATAAATTCTAGAGAAATCAGAATTGAAAGATACCAGAAATGAAGTAACCCCGGATTAAGCATAAGAAAAGTGTGAAAAATAGTATTAAGGTTAAAAAAATCCAAAGATATACCAAAGTCCCTAAGTGTTATCTCTCTGATATTCGCCCAACCATTTCCCATGGTTGCTGCTGCCTTTCAAATGGGTGTAGCTGTAAGTGCAGTAGAAGGGGTCGCAAAAGGAAACAGTATTCAAGAACCTTCCGAATGTTCCACTTGTTGGACTATTCACGAATGTGACAGGAGACAATAAAGGGAAAGAAGTAACAACGTTCATGACATTGGTTATAAGTTCCACGTTTCGTTGGTTTAAAACAACATTTCCTATGAGAAAAATAAACAATACTTTTTTGGAAACACGAATGTTCGTGCCACAATACTTTGGTATAAAAAACTCGGAGAGAATGAGAAAATTCTGGTAAAAGCAATGAAACTAAAAACTACCAGAAAAGACCCACCTCGAGGTAGGTCAAAAGTGCCTGAAAGTATTTTTTAGCCCACAACCAAACGAGAGAGAGTATGTGAGTCCGAAACAGATCCAGAAAATTAACAAGATATATTTATTTGTAAAAAAAACCTACATGACCATGAGTTCCCCGGCACCAAAAAATCAATGCCAGGGTGATCAAACAAGAACCTCACTTCTACCCAGAGAGGTAACTTCTCCGCTGAAAGCCAGAAATACGTGTGGCGCTTAATTGTAACAAAAAGCTTGCACCCACTGACTTTGGAGTTAAAGGCTACAAACTCACAGAATCTCTGTAATATTCCATTAAGAATATATCCTTATATTAGAATTCAAATATAAATGCAAATAAAAGGTTAAAGTATCATTAGATTTGATGATTGCTTAAGATCCACTAAATCTTGCTAACAAATACCTTGTGAAAGAAAACAAATATCTCATGAAAAATTTGAAAGAAATTCTAGAACAGTGGGAAAGCTAATTCACCTTCTCCAACGTAATAATTCTGTCCTTCCTCATTACACGAGACATAGTTCTCTTCACCAAGAATTAATCAATTATTGGGTAGGATTCAGATTGTTAGTGGGGGGGGGGGGGGTCAAAAAATGCACAGACAGAGCCGCAATAAGAAGACAGTGCACAAGGAAAACATTCTTGAATCAGCAATAAGGCATCCTCTCGGTTCAAAAAGAAAGTACCTCATTGCCTTTGTTACCATAACTAATGGAAATTTCTTTGCCAATTTGGAAGGCAGTTTGTTGAGCTTTCCAGTTCAGATAAACAAAATGTCATGACAAAAACATGAAATCAGTATAATCAGCAACTTTTGAATTATGTAACCGTAAGACTTAAAACTAAAACTCGTATCTAATGAACACTTGCATAGAAATAAATCTAGAGAAATCAGAATGAAAGATACCAGAAAGAAGGTACATGGAGAAAGGAATTCCAGTTACCAAGCCTGTTCCATCAACCTCCCATGTTGCTGCTGCCTTCAAATTTGTAGCTGTAAGTGCAGTAGAAGTCAAAGAAACATATCAAACCTTCCAATCCACTGTACTATTTCACGATTACAGGACAATAAAGAAAATAACTTCATTTGTCACTCGGTCAACATTTATAAAATAAACAAATACTTTTGAACAATTGTGCAGAACTTTTAAACTGGAGAAGAGAAAATTCTGAAAACAATACTAAATACCAAGAACCTCAGGTTAAATATTTAGACAACCAACAATGAGTTCAGATAGTCAGATTTATTAAAAAAACCTACATACCATGGTTGCAAAAATCAATGCCAGGAACAAGACCCTCTACCCAGAGAGTATCTCCCTGAACTGGTGTAGAAATTGCACCACTGACTTGATTGTCAACTCCAGGAACCTTGATTCCTAATAATAATTATAAAAAAAGGTTAGATCTTAGTTTGATATGCACCAGCAAATCCTTCAATAGCGAGAAACAATCAGAAAATTTGACTCAGAAACAGAAAGCAATAATCTCACGTTTTTCATCCTTCTCATTAAGCAAGTCTTCACAAGAATTATCATTATGGGAGGATTCAGAGTTGTTAGCCGAACAGTTGATGGCTTGATCCTCTTGAATTTGTGGAAATACATAAGACTGTGGAAGCGGAATGTTCAAAGCACGACTCCAAAATAGAGAATTTGCCCTAGCATGATAGGAATGGCGCAAGGTTGATGGATAAAAGTAGAAGCATCACAAGTGCACATGAATCAAAGACTTATAACCAAAAAAAAAAAGGAGTAAACTAGAAGATACTTACCAAAGGAAATCTTCAAAACACACCTCACTGGCAAGAAAACAGATAAAAATACGCTTAGGTTCGTATGCAGAAAGATGTTATACTTCTTAACTCATGTCATGTGCAACTCATAATATAGGTAATTCCATTGGGAAAAGGATGAATTAAGAGAGAACTACTACAAACTCAAATTAAAATCTCCAAGAAAAGATTGAAATTTTTGTCTGTATCTGAGCATATCCCTATGATAAATCAATTATGCTCAACAGGAAACAGGGGAAAAGATAACCATACATTTTTTTAAGACGAGGCAGTAATAACCATACATTTTTTTTAGACAAGAAGGCAGTAACTACCAACTTGATACTCACCCTTCTGAATCACCATCTAGAATTAAAAGTTTCTTCATCAGACCCTTTACTTTGTCATCATACAGGGACAGCAGATTTTTCTTCTGTAAGATAAATCTTCATAGGTCACATATGCTGTGCAGTTAAGTTCAAAAAGGTCAATCGATTAACCATAATGCAAAAATGCCATCAATCATACTAAGTATTTTGTGAACAGAAACAGATATTATTTCTAAAAATAATGCGCAGCCAGAAGGAAGCCAAATTTATCTAATTCCAACATGATGAAATTGCTGTATTTTAGCTGTACAGGATACCCAACTTGCCATCATCAGAGAAATAAACAAACACTACGCTATCATAAATCATAAGTTAGGATGTGCAACCTCAGCTAAATGACTTTCAGTGTAAAAACCATCACCTTGAAAGAGGAAGATAGTAAGAGTCATCAATCACAAATTGCAGTAATAAAATGGGTACTATTACTTGATGAATTTCCAGACATAGTACAATCAGCAGGGTTGGCAGCACCTATCATCTTCAGTGGTCAAACTATATAAAATGTTATGCGCAATCCAACTAAACAGTTTTTTAGGACATAGCAGAACAAGCCAAGGGAACATTTATGATTTACCTGCAATTGGGTTGCCCGATATAAAGTTGTCCCCTTGAGCTCCAATAACTCATCATCAGTAAACCAAAGTGGATTTCCAAAAGTGGAAGGAAGCATGTCAAGATACCTATGATTTAACCAAATGTAAATCTCTTCAGTTAATAAATAACAAAATTTCCATCAAATCATCAGGCAAATTCAATATATACATACGGTTTCCAAGAAGAGTTTTTTCGTAATCGCTCCAACATGAGAAATAAAATCATCAAGAACCTATCATCCACTTCTCCTTCTTCATACATAGCTCTACACTCAGGTCCAATAAGAGGATCTTGCAAAACTCTCATGGGAGTTATTGCTAAATCTAGTGGAACAACAAGCAGAACCCCTGAAAATTTTCCAATATTTCCCGTTGACAAAATAGAGCTTAATTAACCAGAAAAAAGAAAAGAAAAAGTTAGTGAAGAAATTATACCATCAGAGACATCTTTCGACGAAAAAACACCAAACCCTTTATCTGGACCACAGAACTTGATGCTGCAACCTCGTAGCTCAACTTTATTCGCCTGAATTCAAAAATCCGAAGATAAAAGAAATGTCAGTAGAAATGCACATAAATTATATTACTCATATCAGAAAGAAATTTCTGATAATTGGACCTGGAGCCACTGGAGGAATCCTTCGAGTTTTGCTTCTTCTTCAACCGCCATTTTTGGTCACTTGCTAAGCTGGCTGATTATTTTCTAGATTTTTAGGGTTTAAACACAGTAGTAGCGACTTGCCGTTCGAAGGAGACCAGTCGAGTCCACGAAGCATTAGCGGATCTATTCGATGTCGTTGACCAAAATATTAAATTATTTAAAAACGACGCGTCGTAGTCGTTTTAAATGGGGAAACTTATTCAAACCCGGCCCAGACAGAATTCTATATATAGTTACCTACGTAAACGCGGGTTTGATCGCTCAAAACGTAAGACTGACGCATCCCTCTTCTTGCCTTCTATCAATTGCGTCAGTGATAATCGATCGATCTATCATATCGTCAGAGGAATTCTTCAACTTGATCTGCCTTCTGTGATTTTTATATGCTCAGGTTTGCTTCTTAATTGAACGTGTCTCTGCAATCTGTTTTTACGGGTTTTTTTTTAGTATCATCCGCCATTAATGGACTGCGAAGAAGTTCTGATCGTCAAGGAATTGATTACAGTGATGATGATTATCAATTTTGGCTTATTTGCTTCTCCTTGGTGGATTTTTGGGATTTCCTTTTTAGAATTATTTTTGTTTTCGTTAGATTTTGCCATAGGATCGGCAATTGGATATCGAATTTCTGGGTTAAATCTGGTTACGGATTCGGGTTAAAGCATCAATTGTCTTGTTCTTGTTTCGTAATGGCGATTTTTGGATTTTGATGGTGTGGAATTAAGAGATAATAAAGATCTCATTTTGTCATGTGGATATTATATGGGTTTCTGGGTTTTATCTGGCTGATCTCTGTCTAGCTTTTCTATTAGGGTTCTTTCTGTGGGAATCACTCAATTCCTTGAACTGTAAAGAATCCAGAAATCAGCTAATTTTATTTTAGGATCTTTTATAATGCTTCCTCTGATTCCGTTCAGTGATTTTCGTTCTGATCATGTTTAAGGGGTCAGCAAAAGCAGAATAGCCAGAAATTCTGGATATTCATTGAAATAGCGTCCATGAGGTATCACTTATTCATTGTGCTATTGTGTTTTGTCTTTCTAGTATGGATACTAAGATCGCGACCATTCATGGAAGACCTGGAGGAGGACCTGCACAGGCCAATGTTGTTTGCCATTTTTGGAAGATGGGAAAGTGTAATAGAAATCCTTGTAGGTTCATGCACAGAGAATCACCACCTCCTAAAGTTTACCATAGAACTCCTAAGCAAACCAGTGTTTCACTGGTGGAACGACCAAAGAGGAGCTTCAGCTATAGCCTTAACCATTCAGCGGATTTGAGTTGTGGGTCTGAGGAGAAAATAGTTCAGAAGATCTCCAGCCATGTCATTGAGGATCCACCTAGGAAACGCTTCAATTCTAAGAATCCTTTGGCTTCAACCACTAGAGTTGGTGGATCTGAATATAGATGTGGTCGTGAGTGCTCAACTTCTAGCACAGAGGAGGAAAATATGAAGAAGATACGAGTATGCAGGAAGTGCCCTGAGAATACGTCACCTTCAAATTCTGGAGGTTATGTTCCTGAAGGTAAAGCTATCAAGAAGAGCTCAAAAAGGTCTTGTGAGCATTGGATGTCAGGGAATTGTGTTAAAGGTGATGGGTGCCAGTTCTTGCATTCGTGGTCTGATGGAAATTGCTTCTCAATGCTGACAAAGCTCCAGGGCCATACTCAGGTAATCATATGTGGGTGACTTGTTTCTTTGACTTCTTAGTAATTTGTTTGTGGTTTTTAATTTTTCACGCTGGTATGTAAAATTGGTGTTGATGAACAGCCCATCTCATATAAATGTAATTTCATCTAACCTGCTTAAAGTAAACTCTTTGCCTATTTAAATGGAAATAAACTTGTTCTGAAAATTCAGTGCACACCAGTTTCCTCCTTAAACAGATGACATATTTTTATGATTGGCTGAATGAAATATGGCTGAATTTCATTGATGATATTTTGTTTGCCAGGCCATCTCTGGAATTGCACTTCCTTCAGGATCTGACAAACTGTACTCAGGTAGCAACGATGGAACAGTACATGTTTGGGATTGCCATACTGGTCAGTCTACAAATGTTATAAATCTTGGTGACAGAATTGGGACTTTAATTAGTGAAGGCCCGTGGATATTTGTTGGCTTGCCAAATTCTGTTAAGGTTAGCTTATTTTTTATTTGGAATTCTTCATCTATCTAGATTAGTTGTGATTCTAAGCTCAGGGAGGTTTTGTATATGATATTCCAGGTGTGGAACCTTGAAACAGGGGCCGACTTTAGTCTCAATGAACCAGTAGGGCAAGTTTCTGCTATAGCTGTTGCTCTTGATATGCTTTTTGCTGGGGCACAGGTAATCTGAGTGATTGTTCTATAATTTTTTAACCTGTTCATATTTTTGTTTTTGTATGTTATATAATAAATGATGAAGATAAATGTTATGGAAGTTGTTAACTGGAATAGGATTTGTGTAGAAGTGCTCTAACTTTTGCTGTAGCATACTGAGTGAAGACGGGATGAAATATAGGGAAAGAATGAATAGTCTAGCACAGATTACAAAAAATGTTGGCAGGGAAGGGTGCCAACTATTGAGAGAAAGAGAAATACCGTTACACCACTGAGTACAATGAGAGGAGAATGTTTCTGGAAAGGGGAGGTTATGTTCTGAACGTAAAGCTTATTCAAGAAGAGCTCTCATAAATAAGATAAATGTGACCTGTGGTCACCTTATGAGTCGAGTTGTATAATGTGGTTGGATGATCAAAGGGAGAGATGCCTTTGGTATTAAATGGTGAATGTAAGATAGCAAAAATCCCAGGTTTAGACCGAGATATCATTGCATATCGACTATGGCAAGATTACTGAAAAGAATGGGGGAAAATGCTTACTCAATGCTGACAAAGGCTCCAGGGGACCGAAATGTGTGACTATACAGCGCGTGAAATCAGGACTCGGTAGAGAGCACATAAAGAGAGGAAGAAGGGTGAGCTTGTTTCTTTGAGCTTGATCAATATAGGTATTAATGGAGAGGTGTAAGTGTGGTGATGATATAAAGAAATTTTTCACCTGGTATGTAAAAATTGGTGTTGATGAACAGCCCATCTCATATAAATGTTAATTTTCATCTAACCTGGAGTGTTAAACAAATGTGATAAGTAAACGTCCATAAATGGGACGCTAAATAGATAATGAATTTTAAATAGGAAATTAAACTTGTTTTACTGAAGGTGACTAAGGATTTTCAGAGCTGTCATAGCAACTCTTCTTAGAATATAGTGTCCTCTCTTTATAATTGGACAAAGTCATCTAAATGGAACAGTGTTAATTACTCTTATATATCGATTCTATTGCGCTCTGGATTATTAGAAATATTTATGGAGTGTTTTCATGCAATTGATATTGTGTTAACGAATTTGAAATGTTGAGGATATATGTGGTTTTCTCCAGGAGTTGACCAGGACCTATATTCTTCTCTGTGAGAAGTTATGAGGACTTACTTCGCATTCTTTAGGGAATGTCTCTTTGAACTAAAAGTGACAATAGTACGCATAAACATGGGTATTTAAAGTAGCAACGATGGAAGTTAAATCTAGAGTTAACATTGTTTGGAGTAATTGCCATTGACATTGGTATTTACATAATCTAAACCATCAAATTGTGATAAAATTTTCTTGAGGTCTGTACGATATATAGGTTTGAACTTTTTAAATTAAATTGATGAAAAGGCAATCCTCCACCTAAAGGGTCCCAGAAGAGTAATTAGGAATATAGGTTTGGCTTGCTGACACCTACAGAAAATTGCATTCCTCTATAAGGGGTTGAAGCTATATGTTTTTTAATTTATTTTCGATATTTCTTCTATTGAACTAATTGTGCATATGATTAGGTTGGTTGTATTTAACTAAATGCTTCGTAGTGTAGGTTTAATATTGATGGTATCAATGTATATTCTCCTAAAAGGATTGGATGGTTAAGAACTCTTCGGAAAAAGCAGGGGTTTAGTTTGCCGAACAGAATTTAGTTTACGTTTCAGAATGAGTTGAAATCTCACAAAGGATTGATAGAGGGCATTAACCAGTATTTTTCATGGTGTTTATGATTTATGAGTAATGATTGGTCTAGAGGATAAGCGTCAGCTTGATAAGAATGAGACTATTTTTCATTTGAGACTGGTGGATAGTCAACCTCGAGGGTAAAATTTTGTGTTAAGAGCTATGATTGTTTCTATAAATTTTTTTAATAGCAGCCTTGTTCAATTCATATTTTTAATTTGTGGGTATTATTGAGATTGTTAGAAATATGCTATTATTGATGATTCGGGTTTGATGCGATTGATATAGTTTGTGTCAGCTAAGTAGTAAGCATCAAAATTAACATAATAACTGTTTTTTCTTTTTTGAATTTTTAGAGGGGTTGAGAGAGGTTACAAACTAAAAATGCTAATACTAACATGAAGGAGTAGCCATTTATTTGGAAAGATGGTTATAGGATAGCACTTAAAATCATGCACAACCGAAGGTTGTCTCTCTTGATTACTAAATGTGGTTGTTTGTCTCGAAAATGTGACCATGAGTTATATTATTTGGGTTTGAGGCTTGGCTTTATATCTACTATAGTAGAGAGAAGAGGTGTGTTAATATCGAGGCGATGAGTTATTCCTTTTATTTTGCTATGATCGTGCAAAATAGAAGTGAAAAGAGGAGGGCTCTTAGCCATATGTGCGCCAACTCTTTGATTTTTATCTTTATATTTGTGTCTTACTATTGGGGTATTTTGAGCTTAGATGGAGATTATAAGCTGTGTATGCACTAGTTTTGTTATTGTGCTCATGTGACATGGAAGCTTGGAATAATGTTTGTTGATATATCAATTACGATATTATTCAATACTTGATATTAGTAATCTGAGTCTGAAGAAAAAAGCACCAGTGGCTCATCGAATTTTTCTCCGATCTAGCTAGAACCAAAGAAATGGGCTTTGCAAGTAAAGAGCGCGCACCACAAATATACTGGCTGCTCGTTGTTAATTCCAGTGACATGCAAGTGTAGAGCTGTAATGGCGAGAATAATGAGAACAAGCGGTCTAATCCACTTCTTGTAACCGTAAAATATTATGAACAGAATTAACTGATAATTAATAGGTCGTGAAATAAGGGGCGTGAAGATAAAAGGTAGTAGCAGTTGCTTCGGAGATTAAAGGCGCTATGTGTTTATTTACTTTTTATGGCTGTGCCCTGTTCATATTTTTGTTTTTGTATGTTATTGTGGTTGATGCGTTTAGTTGTTGCTAAAGCATCATTACTAATACTGAATTTTTAAGGGTAAGGCACTAATGCTAATACTGAATGCCTTTTTGGAGGTTGCTCTCTTATGTGTGTCGATGTGCATGTTTATTTGTTATTTTATATAGGAGAAGTTTTCTTCTATATAATATTCTTTATTTTCATCTCAAATGGAGTATTCAATTTTTGTTTTTTCTCTGGGTTTGTAGGATGGTTCCATTTTGGCATGGAAAGGCAGTACTGAGAACCCAGTGGCTCCTTTTCAACTGGCCAAATCTTTGAAAGGCCACACTGGCGCAGTGACATGCGTAACTGTTGGAGATAAAAGGCTGTACTCTGGTTCCATTGACAATACAATAAGGGTAAGGCGTGAATAAGAGTTTTCAGTTGCTATTTTATGCTCTTTGAGTTTTCGTAGCTTTGTATAGCTTTGATTACGGATGATTGAGAACACCCAGTATCAAATCTTTTTTGTAATATTTTTTCAAAAATTATTTTGGTGGTGTGTTGGGAACCATGGATTTGGCTACACATTGCAGTGGCCTTAGCCTTGCAAAACATCACTGAGATCGCAACACTTCCAATTGCTGCAATAGTAAACTTTTGCAACTCAAATACATATCTGAATTCTATATCATAGATTGCATATGTGATAGAGTGCATTGTCATTGGCCTACAATTTGCAAAACAAGTTTTGATTCACTGTGATTCTTTTTGAGTTAAAATTTGGACACCAATAGTGCATCCAAGTGATGTTTGAAAGCAATTTACCCCTTTATATAAGGTTAATTCTTCAAGCTAAATCTATTTGATATGCTGATTTCAGGAGTTGATTGTTTTCTTCATTATATTAATTTATGTTATTCCCCCTCTTATCTCCCCTCTCAGGTGTGGGAACTCAGTACTTTACAGTGTATTCATACTCTAGATGGGCATACTGATGCTGTGATGTCACTTATTTGCTGGGAGGAGTATCTGTTATCTTGTTCATTGGATCAGACTATAAAAGTCTGGGCTGCTACTGAGGAGGGCAACATAGAAGTGGTCTATACACATAACGAGGAACATGTAAGTTATTTAAGTAGTTTTAAGTAGAATTATTTTTCCTTTGTGTCTGGTGTAGGATTGATCAAGTGTGCCTAACCCCTTTTTATACTGAGAAATTATGTGCAAAGTTTTAAATGTTAAATGTTTTGAGTCAAATCTTTCATAATTTTCTTTGGAATAAAATCTTTGTTGCTTTTTACTGTCTTGTCTTAAAAACTCCCAAGAGGAAGTATTTGTTAAAAGTGAATTGATCCTTCTTCTTATGGATCTTTGTTGTTGATTGTTTGATTCCTTCCACTGCTGCTGCACAGTTATTTTTTTGTGAATAAATTTTATGTAATGAACATTGTGGTAGTAATGAACTAATTTTCATGGCAAAATGATTGTGGTAGTAATGAACTAATTTTCATGGCAAAATGCTTACTTGTTACAGGGTGCTATTGCTCTTTGCGGGATACACGACACAGAAGTCAAACCAATTTTGTTATGCTCTTGCAATGACAATTCGGTTCATCTGTATGACCTGCCATCGTAAGTACATTATCTGCCCGTCAAGTGTCAACCAAACTTTTAGTTTTGGTAGACCGTCTTGCGAAAACTTATTTCTTGCTTGTTTAGATTCAATGACAGAGGCAGAATTTTCTCAAAACGAGAAATCGGAGCATTGCACGTGGGTCCATACGGCTTATTTTTCTCTGGCGACAGCACAGGAATGCTCACTGTCTGGAAGCTGGTGGAATCACATAAAGGAGTTTCACAAGTAGCATAGTATCTGCAACTGCATAGCCTGCAAAAATTTGGTCCTCTCCTAATTTTTTATGTAGAAGGAAGAGGAAGGGAGATATATAGAACAATGATTGTAAATGTAAAGACAGACCCCGTGATACGTTTTTATTTTTATGGGGTTCTGGGTGCTGTTATCAGGATTTTCTCGAATACTAGGAAACCCTAGTATTTCATATCCGTACTTTTTCTTAGAAGAACTCCATGTATTGACATTGTTGTATTATTCTTTGACCATGGAATAGATTTCGTTTTCATTTTCCCCATAGTTGAGCATCTCTAAGGTCAATGCAAGAAACCTTTCTGCGTTTTTTTGAATTTAAAGTAGAGAGCTACTTTTGTTAGCAGCAGGCTTTTCAAAGATAAGAAAGATGAGATGATTCTACTTTTAAGGAATGAAATATTGTAATGAAATAATTATCTTATGACCCTTTTATTGCGGAGCTGTATAAGATCAGAGACATCTCCTTCTCCTCCTACGTTATACTATGATGATGATAATAATGAGATTAATTATACTGTTAGAGGCAATCAAATTGTGGAGCGACCCTGCGAGGAGATATATGTAGTCCAAAAAGGAGAAATCTTACACACCATCAGCGATAGGTGTGGCGATCCTTTTATAGTAGAACACAACCCTCATATCCATGATCCTGATGATGTTTTCCCTGTACTTGTTCTCAAGATTACTCCTTCCAGACCTACCCATCTTTTTTAATTAGTTTTGTTAGTTATTAAACAAACTGTGAATGATACATATACACTGTATTTGATTTCAAAACTGTAAGAAACAAGATTTGCATTTGCATTAAATTTTTCTTTTCTTTTATTTATTCATATTTTCAAATTCATTATATATGTGTCTTTCATTTTGTGTAAAAATGAGAATCAGTTACTTGATCACGATATAACGTAACGAGAAAAATAGAATTTAGAGATGGCAAAATGATATAACTTACGATGTGGAAATTTAGAACAAAACTCCATTTCTGATGATTAAGTGAATCCAAGAAATCCAAATGGGTTACATAGATAATAATATTTTAATATCTAATTTTGACCAAAATCAAATTGGGTGCAATTTTGACCAAAAAAAAAAAAAATATGAAAATAGCATTACCTGAAGTGTTAACTTTAATGGTGGACTCATCGTCATATTTGCGGGCCCCTCTCGAGCCCAGCAAAACTGCAAACTTTATCCAACCTTTCTTTCCTGCTATAATGCTGTTCCATTACGCTCATAATGTAATAATTTAATCACTTACCTTACACTTGATTAGCTGATAAAATTAACTTTAACCAGCCATTAACCATTATCCAATTTTTTTATCAAATCATAATTATATATTCACTTCCTCCTATAAATTTTTTTTGAAACTTATAAAAAAATAAACCTACAAACACTTAGGTTAACAATTATTTATGAAATTAACGTAATGATGTGATGTGTTCCTGTTTGTTGGAAATTAATGTGGTATGGTATCTTGTCCTGTTTGATAATGGTGTGCAAAAGCACGCAGGAAACACATATGCCACACAAATCCCAACATGAATATGCGCCGCTAAAAATCTTACCAAATATAATTATTTACTCCACAGAATAATTTTACGTGGCGATGTCCCGATGGTTGGAAATTTTGTACCAACGAATATACCATCGTTAAGCTTTTATAGTTTACAGTAAAACCTCAATCTGTGTCTGCATTTCCACATCCATAACAGTAATTAAAGTTGTGTGATTATTGTCATCACATATGATTAGGACATGAACTTTCTTTTTTTTTTTTGGCCTTTCATTTATTCAAAGAGACAAGATTGCAAGGACGGTTGACACGTGTTTTTTTCCTCGGTCGTCTCTTTTGTTTTTCTCATGCACATGGATCTTAGCTTAGGTTATTACTTATATATATATATTTCTCGGGTCGTCTCTTTTGTTTTCCTCATGCACATTGGATCTTAGCTTAGGTTATACTTATATATATATATTTATATATATTATATATATATATATTTGCAGCGGAGCAGAATGCAGATGGTCCATTGATTGTGGACTGAAGTGTTTATATGTAATCTTCATTCAGTAAGCTCAGCAGCAGGCTTAGTCACCTGTAAGTAAGTCTTGTGAATTAATCCTCATTTGCTTAATTAATTAGATATAATTAATTTATTTTAATATATGAATATGGCTTTATTTAATTTGTACATTTTAAATATTATTAAAGACTAAAATTATAAGCTATATGAACTTATAAACTAAAAAAGGAAATTGGTGCTCATCTTGACAGGGATACAATCTTTATTTTAATTTACTATTATTATTATTATTATTATTATATTATTATTATTATTATTATTATTTTATTAATTATTAATTATATGAATGTCTCAAATCTATTAAATTAAACTAGAAAAAGAAATTGAAAAAGAAAGGTAGAGATGGAACGGGTAACGTGGCACAGTTATTATTATTATTATTATTATTATATGAATGTCTCAATCTATTAAATTAAACTAGAAAAAGAAAATGAAAAAGAAGAGGTAGAGATGGAACGGGTACGTGGCACAGATAAAGGCAGAAAGTCACGTGACCTGTATACCCGTTCCTCGTAAATTGTTGGCTTGCCTCCCAACAATATTACAAATTTCGCGCGATTTTCTATCCCTTCCTTCTCTAACCTCGCATCTCATTTGATTCCGTTTCCTTCAATTCCATTGGCTTTCTTGATGACTTTCCGTTTTTTACCTGGCCAGTGTTCTTGAATTCAAGTATACAGAGCTGAGCATCGCAACAAAATTTTCACCGCTGCATATACCTGTTTGTTTCTTGTCCTCTCTCCAATATTTCCCAAGCCCAGTTGTATATAGCATGTAAAGCTGAAGCCTTCAATTTGGTAATGTTCTGTTGTCCTTTTAGGTATTTTAATTTTTGGGTAACTGGGTTTGATTAGGTTCTACAGTATTCTCTTGGTTTATTATTTTTGGGTTTTTTTTTTTAGAGCAGAAATCATTTGTATTGTAGCATATATCTCTGATCAAGTGACACGTTTTTCTTTTTTTTCAAGAATCATAACAGCAGGTTAACAGCTGAAAAGTTGTAGTAAATATCTGATTAAGTGGCACTCATTGGCGAACAGGGAAAAGAAATGAAAACAGGAAAAATAAATGTGACAAAACGCACATATTGCTGTTTGCATATAAGATGTGACCTGTAACCAGATAACCGAATATAGTGTCAACTGTGTGCTTTTTTTTCTCAGTTTCTTATTAAGTGTTTGTTATAATTTATTTTCAGTGCATTGGCTTTATCCTTAGAGATGGTTGCATTCGGGAAGAAATTGAAAGAAAATCAAATCCAAGAATGGAGAGAGTATGTTTCAACAACAAATTTGAGTTATTGGTTTTTAACTTATATAAATAATTACTTTGCCTGCAATTGAGTGCTTTAAAACAATCTATATGACTAATTACAATGTTTATTCAACACTTCTGATTCTTTTTCAGATTCTATATTAACTATAAGCTACTGAAGAAGAAAGTCAACCGGTATGCACAGCAAATTGAAGTTGGAGCCGAAGATCAACAATATGTTCTCAAGGACTTCTCAACAATGTTGGATGGTCAGGTTTGTAAAACTATTCATGAATAACATTATGATACGCAATTTTTATATATGAATGATGGGAAGTGGAACTATTTATTCGTACTGAAAGGTGGCATGTACTTATGCTGGTGAGAAAAGAATTTCATTTTCCTCTGCTTTTTTTTTTTTTTCTTTTTTACAATTTCAGATTGAAAAGATTGTCTTGTTTCTGATACAACAACAAGGACTACTGGCAAGCAGATTATTAAGGCTTCGAGAACAGCATGATACTCTTTTGCAGCAATCAGATGGATATCGAATTTCTGAACTACGAGAAGAATACAGAGCAGTTGGACAGGATCTCCTAAAGCTCCTCTTCTTTGTTGAGTTAAATGCTACTGGCTTGCGAAAGATTCTTAAGAAATTTGATAAGCGCTTTGGCTATAGATTCACAGACTACTATGTCAAAACTCGCGCAAACCATCCTTATTCCCAGTTGCGACAGGTGTTCAAGCATGTGGTAATTAATATGGCTAAATGAAATCAGTTAGTCAACTCACTGGGATTTTATGTTGCTTGTCATGTTATTTAGTGGTAGTTTGTGCTCAGTCATGTTGTTTGGGTATGCAGGGTATTGGGGCTGTTGTTGGAGCCATATCTCGCAATCTTGCAGATCTTCAAGACCATGAGGAAAACTACGTGTCAATATATGATCAGCCTTTATTATGCCACCTGGTTTTTCCTCATATCTATTGAAAATTATATACAGTAGTATTGCCCTCTTTTATTCTTTCTTGACATTTTAGTTTCCTAAGCACTTGTGGTGTGTTTCAGGTTATATTTACCAGGAGCATCAAGTGTCATTTTTTTTTCTCTGTCATACAAAAACGCTAAAGAGACATTTACATAAAAAGAAATCTTAAACGCTTGCCTGGCATCACATTATTTGCACTACAATTTATGAAGAATGAAATAAACTATCATAATTTCTTTGATATAAGTTGTTATATATCCTTCTAACATAACTTTTAGATAACAAAAAATTTTTTAATTCCTTGATTTGTAATCTTGCACCGTATTTACACATGGAAAAAGATAGAATAAATGATCAAACTGAAGCATGTAGTGACATCTGTGATTTCATCAATTCAGAGTTACTTCACATACGTGTAATGGCCATTTGATGAATAATTCTGCAGGATCCTATCGTTGATTCTATTAAAGCAGCTGTAAATAAGCTATCAAACTCAACAAATTTCCTTGAGTACTTGGGAAAGCATGCATTCATCATACAAGAGGAGTTACCAAGTCCATCTCAAGATAGTTTCATTGAGCAGAATTATCATTTTATGTCACTTATCCTGAACTTGGTAAACACATTTCTTTACATGGTCAACACATATATTATTGTCCCAACAGCTGACAACTACTCCTTAAGCCTTGGAGCTGCAGCAACTGTTTGTGGTGTCGTTATTGGTTCGATGGCTGTTGCACAGGTGTTCTCTTCAATATATTTTAGCGCATGGTCAAATAGGTCATATTTGAGACCTCTTTTGTTTAGTAGCATAGTTCTTCTGGTGGGGAACACCTTATATGCACTGGCTTATGATCTTAATTCCATAGCACTCCTTCTAATTGGTCGACTTTTCTGTGGGTGAGTGATTTAATTGGTTCTCTCATTACTCGAGTAGAAAATGTTAATGTGTCTTAATGTTTTGAAAAAGGTTTTTTTTCTTGTTTTTACTTATATCAATTGATGAGGTTTTCTGATTGATATTTCAGGTTAGGCTCTGCAAGAGCCGTTAACAGGCGTTACATCAGTGATTGTGTACCATCCAAATTGCGAATGCAGGCTTCTGCAGGTTTTGTTAGTGCAAGTGCACTTGGAATGGCATGTGGTCCAGCTCTTGCTTGCTTATTTCAAACTGAATTTAAGATCTACAAGCTTACGTTTAATGAGGACACTTTACCTGGCTGGGTGATGGCGTTTTTATGGCTTGCATATTTATTGTGGCTGTGGATTTCCTTTAGAGAACCTTCTTATGAGAATAAAGTACTTGTGCCACAGCAAGCTAATTCTGGTTTGTCAAAATTATTGAGCTTTTTCTAAATTTTGTATGAGCTGTTCTTTTCATACTTGTTCTGATTTTCCTTTCCACTTTTGGATTTAGCACATGGTTACCAATCAAACTATGGTTGTAGAAATCAATTCAAAGTCATCTTAGTGTTCTGTTTTCATAGTCACAAGCGAGTCCACTCGAGCAGGTAGACCTCATGGCATAAGGATATTGTAACAAAGTTTTTCCCCCAGAAAAATAGGTGATGAGATAGGCAAAACTGATGGATATTAGGACCTATTGAGTTTTCTCAATTATTTATGCAGACTAGTAATTTTGCTAGTAACAATTTACTTTTGCAGCCATGACATTTTCTTGAGGATTAGACGTTCTTTTTGCAGGGCCTGTAACTGATCGGAGAGTAGAGATTGGTTGTACTCAGCCATTGCTTTTAAAATCAGCATCTGAGAATCAAGATGAAGATATAGACCAAGAATTTGAGGATAACGATGATGATTCTGAGGGAAGTCATAAACCTGTCACTTCAATTGTATCAGCATATCGGTTACTCACACCATCTGTGAAGGTGATAGATCTTAGTCTATTGCTTATGAATAATATCTGGTTATTCCTTCTGAGCTAAAGTATTATGCGTCTTTAACACAATCTTCACTTGAATCATGCTATTACTTACCAGGTGCAACTATTCATTTATTTTATGCTCAAATATGCAATGGAGATATTACTTGCTGAATCAAGTGTTATCACTGGATATTACTTCATCTGGTCAACCAGAAGCGTAGCCACTTTTCTTGCATGTCTTGGACTAACAGTTCTTCCTGTAAATGTTTTTGTTGGAAGTTATGTCAGCAACAAATTTGAGGAGAGGTAAAAATTCAATAATTTGCAAAGAAACTCGGCTTCTTACTTGTTTACTTCTTAGGCAGTAATTAGAACAAATCATAGTTTCATCACTAATACACAATTCATATTCATTTTACTTTCATCCTGATTATTCATATTTTGAAAAATCTGTTTGCAGGCAAGTTCTACTGGCATCTGAAATTATGGTGTGCATTGGTATACTATTAAGTTTCAATATTTTTATTCCTTATTCTGTGCTTCAATATGTGGGTTCAGCCCTGATCACATTCGTATCAGCTGAAGTTCTTGAAGGTAATTTTCTATCAGTGAAAATATGACAAAAAAAAAAAAAAACCTGATCACATTCGTATCAGCTGGAAGTTCTTGAAGGGTAATTTTCTATCAGTGATAAATATGACAAAAAAAAAAAAGAAGAAGAAAGAAGTCCTTTATATTTTCAGAATCTTAATGGCTTGAATCAAAAAAAAAAAAAAAAGAAGAAGAAGAAGTCCTTTATAATTTCAGAATCTTAATGGCTTGATCAATCCAGGTGTCAACTTATCACTCCTATCTCGGGTCATGTCATCGAGGCTTTCTCGAGGAACATATAATGGAGGATTGCTTTCAACAGAAGCTGGAACTTTGGCTCGAGTAATTGCAGATGGAACAATAACACTTACTGGGTACATGAGTGAAAGTAGGCTCTTGAATGCTACTCTGCTTCCGTCACTTTTCATTTGTATTTCCTCCATTGTTGCCACCTGCTTCACCTACAACTCTCTCTACTGATTCCTTTCCATTCTCTCCGAATGTATACGTATCTTGTACAGCAAAATGTTAACTTTCTTATGTAGTTCTATGTATTCTCCAAGCTTTTAATATTTCTCACTGCTAATCTACTGCAAATGATGATGTTATTAAAATTTTCTTAATTATTTGTTTAAAATTTGATTATTCTAGTGGTCAATTTGAACATTTGCAATTGAACCTAATTAATCAAACTCAAAATATTAGGAACTTAATTCATCAATTTAATTTCATTCGTTGTTCCAAAACTTATCTATAGGGCATATTGATGTGCTTAAATTTCAATTTTATAATATAAAAAATATATGAATTTATAGATCTTAATGACGGGGAAAATGATGAAAAACAACACGTGATTAAGGGTAACATTTTTTCAATCTTATACGTCATTTTCGTATCATATTTTGGTGATTAAATTTTATAAGATTTATTATATAAATTAATATGGAGTGTATTTTGTAGTGTTATAAATTAAAATTTTATTAACTTGTACCATATGATATACTAATGATACATTTAGGACAGAAGAAATTAATCTTAATTATTCTTAAAAGAAAAGGAAAGTCGTGTCGTGTTAATTGACTTTCAAGGCATAAGTTAGAGGGCCAATGAGAGGCCCGTTGGGCCCTAATTAAATATAAACTAACTGATTTGATAGTAAAAAAAAAATTTTAAAACCATTATTAAATTTAAACTCTATAAGCGCACATTAGCAGTTTCCGGCTTATCATGCGCCAGCCTAAATAAGCTGGACAAAATTCTCTAGCCGGTACCGCTACATCATCGAGTTGGATTTGCTCTCTGTTTCCAACTTAAAGGAGCTGAAGAGAGAACCAAAAACAGAGAGAGAGAAATAAACAATAATGGCATCAGACGATCAGGAGATTCCAGATGGATCCGTGCGGAATATACTAGAACAAGATACCCTCAAGTGGGTGTTCGTCGGAGGCAAAGGCGGTGTGGGGAAAACGACATGCAGTTCGATTCTGTCAATCCTTCTGGCGAGTGTCAGATCCTCTGTTTTGATCATATCCACTGACCCAGCTCACAATCTTAGCGATGCGTTTCAACAGCGATTCACCAAGACCCCGACTTTGGTTAATGGCTTCACCAATCTATATGCTATGGTACGCTTTTATTTTCCTAATTTTCTTTTTGGTTTTGGTTTTTTCTGTTGCTTTATATTAGAATTTGGGGTATTAAGGATGCGTTGAGGGATGCCCAGGTAATGAATCCAGTTTCTTTATGGTTGATTCGTGGACAATTTGTTGCTGTTTTATGAATTTACAAATTAACTGCTTTTTGGCTAATCATCTGCGAATAATTTAGCCTTTCTTCATAGATGATTTGTTAATTTTTGTGTCCTTGATTTGTTCCTCAATAGATTGGATTTCTAGCCTTATTCTTGTGTTTGTTGTACTGGGACATTTTTTTATTGTTCAGGGAGCTGTTACGTTCTCTTTAATTCTTTTTTCCCTTTTCCTTCCTTATCTCAAAACCTCGTTGTCCTCAGTTGGTGATTTTTGTTTTTTAATACTCGTATTCATGATTGCTATTCCTGAAGAGATTGGATTTTCTTCGTTCTTTATTATTCTGGAGAGCTTTACGTTTTTTGCTTATGCTTCTTCCCGTTGTTTGATTGTAATCCTTTACAGGAAGTTGATCCTAATGTTGAAAATGAGGAAATAGGCGTGAATGATGGAATGGACAGTGTGTTTTCTGAACTAGCAAATGCAATTCCTGGAATTGACGAGGCTATGAGCTTTGCAGAAATGTTGAAGTGAGAACTATGATTCCCTTAACTTGATTTTGTTGCTACTCTAAATGGAAAATATATTTTGTTTGTGTTGGATTTTTACATGTTTCCTCCTTTTTGATATAATGATCTACTAGCATGAGGATTATCCTTTCATGCTCGTCAGTATTCCAATAGATTAATCATAATCGTGGTAATTAATGGCGCGCGCTAAGTTGCAAAGGATTTAATTTCACTTATATTGCTAGTGTTGTATGGCATACATGTCTGGGGGTTTTATTTATTTGTTTATCATAATCTTTGCCCAGGCAATTTTTGAAGATAGTGTATTTTATTTTGTTCAGTTGCAGATCCTGGTTCTAAGAGCCAAATTACAATCATTCATTAAATCCTAATAAACATCGTCCAAAATATAACGGTAGATCAACATTGAATGCAAATAAATGCTTCCTACAATTTAGGTGGGACATTTTTCTGTGTAATTGTCACTTATATATTTCGCTCTTTTCATAATTCCTTGCTGAGAGATGCCTGCTGATTGCTTTCTTTGTAGACTTTGCTTGATATGATGCTGTCTGAGTTTTTTTTTTTATTTATTATTTATTATTTTTTTTAACAATAATTCATGCATAATAATTTTCCTGCAGGTTGGTGCAAACAATGGATTATTCTGTCATTGTATTTGATACAGCTCCAACTGGTCATACACTTCGACTATTACAATTCCCATCAACTTTAGAGAAGGGGCTTCAAAAAATGATGTCTTTGAAAAATAAATTTGGCGGCTTATTAAGTCAGGTACATCCTTAAGTATTATTTTTTCCCTTATAATCTGTCTGGTGGATTTCTATTGTTGAAAGTCCCAATTGAAGAATTGAATACAGAAAGACTTGGTTTTGTGGTGCAATTGCATTCGAACCATTAGATGGGCAAACCATTAATTGCCCATATATTCTCTAGACTCGGATGTTCTTATCTGCTGTCATCCATTGGATCAGCTATCTACTAATTTAGAAGAATGAATGTGAAAGCTCATACCATTTTAACTCTTGATATCATAAGAAACATAAATTTAAAATTAAGATCTCCTTCGTGTTATTTATTTTCTGTAAGCACTGACCATTTCTCACGTGAAAATATATTTGATAAGTATTGGCACTATTTATGGCAGATGACCCGCCTCTTTGGTATTGATGATGAATTTGGTGAAGATGCCCTTTTGGGAAGGCTTGAGGGCATGAAAGATGTGATTGAACAAGTCAATAGGCAATTCAAAGACCCAGTAAGATCTTCCTTTGATGTGATTTTTTTTTTTTTTAAATTGTTTATTGCTTGTTTCTTGGTAACAAACTTTTATGCTTAGATCATTTATTTACTCTGGAGTTTATCTTGAATATTCAAAGCCAGTAATTTAGAGCTTTGAATCGTCTTGTGCCAGAATTTAGAGAAGACATTTGAACTGTAATTATAGTTATCAAATCGAGAATCGACTCGAGAATCAAATCGTAAGATTTAGTATAACTTTTCAAAATTAATTAAAAACAATAATATACATTTATGGATATATATATCTCATTAATTTTACCAAAAGATATTGAAAATTTAATTGCAAATAATGTATGTATATAAATTTCGATACCATATCACGTACTAAACACAAAATAAAAGAGAACTAATAACTTGTTTAGTTGCAAAATTCAGAATATCAAACTTTTAAAATTTTAATACAAAAAAAAGTAAAACTTTCAAGCAATTAACTTTTTTTTATCAAAATTCATATTCATTCATTACTATTTCCAAATTCAAGCCCTTCACCATCTTCATCTGCTAATATAACTCTATCGTCTTTCTCTTCTTCCTGTACATTGACTTTTCCAGCTGCTTTGTTGGATATGAGAATCATTGGGCATGAGAATCGAGTCAAATCATAAGATTCATGCTCAATTCCAGTTCACCCATAAGATTCGAATCGTTCCGCATGAAAATTGAATTGAACCCTACGATTCAATTCAAATCCAAGATTCTGATGACACTGACTGTAATACTTAAATAGGCAAGGAATGCTAGAAGTTCATGAAGCAATGATAGTAGCAACTCATTATAATAAATGAATTCCACAAAGAGCTCAGGATTAATGCCTACAAGGTTCGAAATTGATGAAAGCTAGAATATTTTCCTTGTCTCTTTCATCTTTCCTTCTTTTTAAATGGGAGAAGGAAGGCAAAGTAGGCAGGTCTTTCATTAGAATTTAGTCGACAGGATGGCAAGGAGCTGCAACTCTTGTCACATAAGTTTTTTCTACACAAGTGAATGAAAAATTAATCACCTTCATTATGATTCCCTTCCCTGATGAGAAATATCATCTCCAAGCAGTGGTTTACTGGTTCAAGAATCATAGTTGTTTTTATGACTATCAAGTTTGAAAAGCTCCAGTATGAAAGGTCCTGAAATTTTCTGATGCCTTGCATTCTCAATTAAACTTTTATGATTTAGCTGGCAAATTTAATTTCCTGTTGAAGATTTCAGTTTTTGGAATTGGTTTGAATTCTTTCTAATCTTGCTGCATTTTATTTTCCTCTAATGTTGTTGTGTTTCTTTCTTGTCAGGATTTGACAACTTTTGTCTGTGTTTGTATTCCGGAATTCCTCTCTCTCTATGAAACAGAGAGACTGGTGCAGGAACTTACCAAATTTGAGATAGATACACACAATATTATCATTAACCAAGTACTTTATAATGATGAAGGTGCATTTGCTGTTTTCATCATACACTTATTTTGCACTTTACTCTCACTTAAACAAGATACTAAAGACATTAACCATTAATTGTTGTAGACGTGGAATCCAAATTGCTCAAAGCAAGGATGCGGATGCAGCAAAAGTATCTTGATCAGTTCTACATGTTGTATGATGACTTTCATATCACCAAGTTGCCATTGCTGCCAGAAGAGGTGAACTACATACTGGCATATCTTAATAGAATTTTATCTTATTTTATATGTGATTCAGAAGCTAAATAAGCACATTTAAGATAAGGTCATTGTTGATTGCTATTTGTATGCAATATTCTTTGATTATTTTCTCTGCCTTGTGATCTACACATCCTAATTTTTCCTGCAGTATACACTTCATTATACTTGTTTCTCTTGGTGTTCCAAAGAAAGTTGATGCATTTTGTTTGGCTTCTTGCTTCTTTTGATGATAGGTTACTGGGGTTGAAGCTCTGAAAGCTTTCTCAACTCACTTCAAGGCGCCTTATCAGCCTTGCACCAGTAAAGGCACGGTGGAAGAACTGGAAAGAAGGATAGCTACACTGAAGGAACAGTTGACGGATGCTGAAGCAGAACTGGAGAAACTCCAAAAAGGAAAGCAAATTGCCTAATGGTCTGTGGACACATTTTATCTGAGATCACGATTAAATGGCAATATGGCATCTGCTGACTTCAGTTGCCAGGAAAAGTGGATCCTTCATTTCACTATTGAATGATGTCCTGGGTAGATTTATTTAATATTGATTTTTTTTGTTCTAATTAATTTTTTCATGAATTTCTTTTGTACCTTTCACTTCACAATAAGTGGAAATTTTTGCCGTCAAAGAATGGATTACACGGCCATATCGAGTATCTGTAGGTGCTTATTTTCTTTACCATTTTAGACCATGAATGGGTTATTGTCATTGACGTCGAACAATATTCAGAATAGAAAATCCTTTTTCCTTATGCCCCTCTGGTTTCAACGAAGCCAGTGACTGCATTTCCTTGTATATGAATGCGTCATGGCTGCATTCTGAGTAGTTGATCTTGATGAGAGTCTTACAAACTATGCTCTGAGTACATAATATTACTTTCATTTGAAGGAAATGGGGCTGTCGAGCAAAAGCCTCCAGGTGGTGATATTGCACTATACTGTTCAACGTGCATGTTGCATTTTCTAGTTGAGTTGTCGAACAGGATTAAGTCTTTTTTTTCTAAAAAAAAAAATCTTTTCCTATACTATTTATATTATTTGTGTAAATCATGATGGTAATCATCGAACGTGTTGCTCCAAAAGAATATACAATTAAGATTCATATGCCTTTGCTACAAAAAAAATATTTTGTAATGATGTTTATGTTAGGAAGAGCGAAATGGTTGCTGCGATTTGATGACTGGAAATCTCTCCTGGCCCATTGGTTGATGATAGGGTTCTTCTTGGTCGTTCTTGCCGATTTGTTTTATTAGAGTTTAATATTAATATTTACAAAAATTAGTATCAACGGTTGAGATGGCCGAGTTGGTCTAAGGCGCCAGATTAAGGTTCTGGTCCGAAAGGGCGTGGGTTCAAATCCCACTCTCAACACTTCTTTTTTTCTTTTTCACTAACTAATACATTCATTCTCATTCTCTAGATTTTAATGTCAGCAGTTGAGACGGCGAGTTAGTCTCAACATTTTACTCTCTCTCCAAATTCATCCACTCAAACCATTCTCATTAAAATGTAATGCTTAATTTCATATATTTAATCCCCTAATCAAAGCGTGGTTTTAAATTTTCTAATTAAATATTTACTTGTACATTTAATTTCTCTCTCTAGTAAGAACAGCTTGACAGGGTCTAAACTCTAATCTTCAGGTACATTGGCAAAGAGACCCAGAGCCAGGGCCACTACCCCACCACCACCGGGGGATTCTAAGCTTTGATGCTTTCTTTCTTCAAATCACTTACGGGTTGGCTAAGCAATTCCGTCATGCCACGAACTCCAATTTATAACACAATCACACTTGGGTACCAGTAAATAGCACTAATTGACTCTCTTATTTATTAGACTTCACAGTGGTTCTATGAGCAACTGCTCTTAGGAGGTTAACCACTGTAAGCCAACAAAGCTTTTATCTTTTCATTGAAACTCCGTCAAAAAAATCAAAACAATTATGCGGGGAAAAAAGTACAACAGATGGAAATCAAGCATATATTCATGATGCTGATGAGGAAAAAGGAAAAGTTCATGAGAACCACCAAAAATCTCAAACCATTCCTGTATGCCTTAATACACGCTTTCATAACCTCTTTTAGTAAAGAAATTGACAAACCAAGCTACAATTGCTTATAATTTGAAAGCTGCAGCAATCGACTAAACTATCCACCGTGCAAGGTTGAAATAAAAACGATCACATCCTTCTCTTCCAGTGTGGTTTCAAGCTGGCCGCTAAGCTCCCAATCACAATCATTCACAAGAACCAGAACGCCAGGTCTCCTGCGCAACAAATCAAGAGCTGACTCAATAATTAACTAAAAGCAATCAATATAAATTAATCAATTCTTTCAACAATTGTTTAAATCTTCTGGCAATTTCTCACTCGCAACTAAAACAATATCCAAATATCCCCTCTTCCACTGCCATATGACTATAATTTAAAAAGGCATAGAGTATAAAAATCATACTTTTGCATTCTATTTAGGACTAACTATTGCCTCGATTAGGATGAAGTACATTCATGCACAGTCTTTGAACATAAGAAGGCTTAAACTTACACAGAATCCCCTTTCATGAACATTTCTGGCCTCTCCTTGATCAAATTGGTGCGTACCCAGGCGAGTAAATCTTTCATGGTTAACTGCAAAACAGATACTAATTATATTCCAGAAGACATTAGCTAACGCCAAAATGGCTTATTTTTTTCTTTCCCTAAAACATAGTTTACCTTTTCTGCTCCATTTTTGGATTCAACGTTGACATTGTGAATCTTCACTGAATTACACAGAAGCTCTAGCCCCCCACTGCAATCAATTTCAGTGAAGTGCTTAAATATAAATCAAATACAATGAGAACTAACAAAAGGGCAACCCTATGATCTATTAGCATTCAATAGATCAAATTCATGCTATTAAAATGACAAAACTTGGAACCCTCAACTAAAGAAGGTGAAAAGGAAGACATAATTCCTTTGAAATAATCCTCAATGGAATCCCAAAGTTTTCAATTCCATAAATGGTATATTGATTGAACCTATCAATTCAATAGAAAACCTCAGGAAAACAGCATAAAAATAGCAATAATTCACAGACCAGAAAGTTCATCTCTTTCAAAGTAATGAAAATAAAGACTAATGAATTAAGAAACATGGAATAATTCCAGAAAAGATTAGCAATATTTTTCAGAAAAAAATGAGAAAGGAACAAAATTTACCCGAATTCAAGAGTAAGTTGCATGTTCAATATTTCTGTTCAAGTTCAAAACCCTAGACCGATGAAGGAGAGAACATGGAAGCAATTCCCTTTAGGAGAGGAGTATGAGCTGTCCTGTTTCTGTCAGTCAAACACGACGCCGTTTTAGTACGCTTAAATTTACAATGTTGGGCCGGGTCGGTAAAAGATTCTTTTCTTCCTCTTTTCAGATACAAACCGGACTAACCTGTTCTTGTTTTCTTCTGTCAGAACCGCGCCAGGTACGTTTCGTCTCGTTCCCTTTTTCTTTCCCTCTCTTTTCTCTGTAAAGTTTACGCTATTAGGGTTTCTGATGTTTGATGATTGATTTGCATTTTGCATTTTTTTTTTTCTACTTTTCTTGCGCAGATTGGTTGTCATAGGGAGAGTGACACTTGTTCCAAGATTTGAACTTTGTTGAAATTTTCTCTTTCGTTAGATGGGTCGATTAATGGATGATGTTTCAGTGGTGGACCAATCTTTGCCTGAAGATCTCCTTCAGCCATTGCTTAGGGCTTCAAAATCTTCTAAACTTAAAGAGGGCTTAGAAATTCTCATAGAAACTTCTAGAATTGATGATGGCCGTGCACACCTTGCTTCTATGGATATTCTTCCTGCTGTCCTTCAGCTTCTCCAATCTAAACCTTACTCTTCCGGGAATCAATACCTCACCCTCGCTTTGAAACTCCTCAGAAATCTCTGTGCTGGAGAAGTCATCAATCAGAACCTTTTCATTGCAATGAATGGACCTTGTATCGTTTCAATTGTTTTGAGGTCTGCAATGGTTGTTTCTGAGCCAGATTATGGGATAATTCGAATGGGATTGCAGCTTTTGGCCAATGTTGCTTTGGCTGGAGAAGAACATCAGCTATCTATTTGGCATTCTATCTTTCCTGATGAACTTGTTGCACTTGCAAAACTCCAAAATCGGAGTACTTTGGATCCTCTTTGTATGATTATTTATGCTTGTTGTGATGGAAACCCTAGTCTGGTTCCAGAGCTTTGGGGAAATCAGGGGATGCCTATTTTGACCGAAATCGTGAGGACTGCATCTGTTGGTATGTTTTGCGTTTTTATTATAGTTGTTTTTGTGGATTTTTTCCCCTTTTCAGCTTTTATTGCGTACCATTTATGTTGCATATTTGGTTGTTTGTTGTATTTTTATTTCTCCAGTTGGTTTTGGAGAACATTGGTTGAAGATGCTTCTCTCAAGAATCTGTCTGGAGGAAGTTCACTTTCCTCAACTGTTCTCCAGATTATATTGTGTTGCTGATTATGAAAATAGTGAAGATATTAGTTCGATTAGCGATCATTTTTCGACAGAGCAAGCTTATCTTTTGGGCATTGTATCGGAGATCTTGAATGAAAGACTGGAGGAGATAACTGTTACTGTTGATTTTGCAATGTTTATTTTTGGAATATTTAAGAGATCTATTGTGTTCATGGACTCTACTGTCTCAGGAGGTAAATCTGGTCTTCCAACAGGATCTGCGAGGATTGATGTTCTTGGCTACTCATTGACCATTCTAAGAGACATATCTGCCCAGATCAGTAAGGCTGGACTCGATGATGATTCAGTTGATGTCACCAATACTCTTTTGTCAGACGACCTTCTTGAATTGCTTTTATCCGCACTGGCAAGCCTTGGGCCTCCTGAACTTATCAAGAAAGCCATGAGACAGAATAAGAATCAAGAACTAGCTTCTTCAAATTCCTCTAAACCTTGCCCTTACAGAGGATTTCGGAGAGACATTGTTGCAGTTATTGGCAACTGTGCATTTCAAAGAAAGAATGTCCAGGATGAGATTAGGAGGAAGAATGGAATTCTTCTAATGCTACAACAATGTGTCACAGATGTAGATAACCCATTTTTAAGGGAATGGGCAATATGGTCCGTGAGGAACTTACTGGAAGGGAATGCGGAAAATCAACAAGCAGTGGCTGAATTGGAGCTTCAAGGATCTGTTGATATGCCCGAGTTTGCTGGACTTGGTCTAAGAGTGGAGGTAGATCCAAAAACTCGACGGGCAAAGCTTGTAAATGTTTAATAAAGATGGAAAAGCTTGACAATGGATGGTCATCGCTGAACACAGTCAGAAATGTCTTTTTTAGTGGCGGTACAGAAGATTGGGATTCTCTTTAGCTTAATGAGCAAGGGAACTCTAGAAGTGGAGGCGTCTGAAACTTTGATATTTTATTTATTAAACGCTCCATTTGTTTTGAATTAGGATGAGAACTGTTTCATGAGACCTCAACTAAAGTTTCCATTCTGGTATAGTACGAGTAAAATTGGGTAAATGGTTTATCGAAGTTTCCATTTCGGTCTATTTAGAGTAAAATTGGGTAAATAGAAAAGGGGTTGCAGTAAACAGATGTGTTAGCATCATAATGTAATTTTCAAGAAATTTATATGAATATTCCACGAGAAAATAGGTAATCACGGACATCATCTCGTTATTATTATATAATCGGCAATTCCCAAAAATTATAGTAGCAAAACCCTCAATGATTTATCTCGTTATTGTGTCTATACAAATATACAAAGAACCGTATTTAAACATAAATGAATAAGAGTTAGCATTTAGCATTTTAATAATAGATCTAACAGAAAGCAATCCTACTTTTTTTTTTTTTTTTTTCTTAGATGGTCAGATTCTCTTGAATGGCAAGAAATGAACCCACTATATTTCCACCTACATCAGGGAAATTTTCACATCCAGGAATAGGCCTCACCTTGCCCTTCCTATCAACTTCAACGGGATATTTTAGCAAGTGTCCTCTCATCTCGGTGACATCGTCAGCAGCAAATTGTCTCCAGTTCATCTCCCCCAGCGTTCTAATTCTTCTAACACAATCAAGACTCTCTGGTTGTGTGAAACAGTCTTCAATAGCTCCAACATGCTCTGCCCATAGTGCCATCCTATACCCATATATCTACAAGGTTCATATTTGCAAATAAACAGCTAGTTAGTTACAAAATCCAACGAATTATAGCATCTCACATGCCAATGAAAATTAGTTTAAACATGTGCTAAGATAAGATGACATCTTCTGCTAAATCCTAAAACCGCAAAATGAAAATATTTTCCAACTGAAGCTACCTGTCCATATGGATTGGATTGTTTTCTGGCCCAAGTATGATGAGGCTGATATGCTCCCATTGCAATTTCAGTGTCTCTTGTGCCCTCCATTGAACGCTGGTTTATGTTTGCAGATCCCAAGATCACATACTCATCATCAACTATCATCCCTTTTGAATGGACATAAATCATGAATCGGCGGGTTTTCCGACTAAGTGCCTGGAAATATCACACCATAGCAGTCATTCACAAGTATTGCAGTGACCAAAGAACAGAACAGCCATTGACAAACTATAATCTAGGAAAATTAGATAGTTTCTGCGCATGCCAATAATTTGACCTACACATACAGAAACAATTAGGGAAATAAAGTATAATCTGCCAAAATCACCAGCTAATTCTATCATATTTCCACAACTGAAAATCAATTCATTTATAAAGGCAACCAAATCAAAAATTTTATGGCATAACTGGAATTGACAGGACTCCTACATGCATTAGGCAGTTTCTCACATTGGTAGAGCAAGCGTATACAAAATCAACAGCCCAAAGAAAATGTAGGCTTCAAGAATGAACATACCTGAGGAGTGTTTGCAGCAGTAGGGCTTGACACAGCTGAAGTTTCATATGTGTCAGTGAACTCGCGATTACCAAGGCAGAAGAAGTTCAAATAATCCTGAGGCGTGTATACATTCTCAAGTCCAACCTCCTCCAGAGCTTTATAGATGGTCTCATACATCATTTGCATGGTTTTATTCTGTAGCAATTCATAAACTTCCCAGATTAGCAAAATACAGCAGTAGGGAGATGCATGTCTCAGCATTACACAATGATTTCATTGTCATCATCTTTGCTCAAAAGAAAAGCTTCTATTTGCAAATTAGACCTACTGTAGATTATAGTTATAGCAACAACATCAATTCTAGTAGTAGAAGATAGGTTCCTATTGGCAGTTCAGTAGTTGCCCTCACCTGCCAAAATAGAATCCTTTGTGTAGCAGCACCTGTTGGAACACCCTCTGGCCACATTGGAATGACAATGTAAGCAGCAAATCTCTCATTTGCTCTGATCTTATCAGCAATCTTCAAAGCAATTTCCATTGGAATTAAATTATTAGCACCTGCAACATAGCATGATAATGAAATTAAAAAAGAAAAAAAGCTCTTTACACAAAATTTGGTTTAGCTGTATCAACCAAGAAGAGCAAGAACATACTACTCTGACCAGAAGTGAAATGATAGAGGCACAAGTACTGTAACACTGGTCACTTACATGGATTAAGCAACATGTAAAAGTAATTGGAAACCAAGTAAAAAATTTCACCTCATGAAATCATAAGAGTGGCTCGAATATTCTAAATGTGATGCAACTTCCATAGAGGTGAATTAAATGATTCCTAAAGTCAAAAAATGATTTTCCTCACCTAAATCTTTATATGAACTCCAGTTGTATGAGGAACCAATGAAATACTGGTTCTCTATATAAATAAAGTGCTGGGCAGCACGAATGGCCTTCACGTAGGCTGTATGTATGCTCATGTCAATAAGGACATTCTTCCCGCATACCAGGCTCTGCAACAACAGAATAACCAATCACTGCCCACAAGCATGAGAAAACGTTTGTGCATAGAAGGGTCAAAACAAAAACAAGACAAAATCAATCAACAAATATTCTCTTACCTTGCTTGTAGCTTCTCGTGGATCCTTTGGGAAGCCTCTAACAGAATTGGAATCTATTGAACGAAAAATCTGCATTCAAAAAGGCCAAAAAATCTGTTAAGGCCAAAACAAAATTCTAACCTAAAAACAGAACCAACTGCATCCTGCCTCAATCCTTGATCATCCAGCCAAGGTTTAGACAAATTACCTGACAAAAGAACTAATCACACTGCAGGCCAAGCCAGGTTTGGGCTAGGGTATATCCCTTCTAATTTTTTATATTCAAGCCCAAACTTGACCTGACCCAACCATGCAGGGCTACTCTTTTGTCTAAGCCCAAGCCATGAAAAATTTTAAATCCAGGCAGCGTTTCTAATATTTCAATTATATTAGAAATAATTCTTTAAACTTAATCTTTAATTATAATTTTTTCAGATTCATCGTTCATATGATCACTTAATTTTAATTTCTTAAAAAATGAAAAAAATTAGAGTCTCAACTTTAGCATTTTACATAATTCCATTAATTTATATATATCGGGCCGGGCCAAGCTAGGTTTGGGCTTTAAACAAATAAACCCATGCCATCCATTAAATTTGGGCTTACCATGGGTTCGGGTTGAGTAGGGTCTAAGGGAAAAAATGCATGTCTCAGCTAGTAAATTAGTTGGGTCGGTTCTACCTGACAATGCCAAACTTCAGGATCGTTGTCACCAACAGAAGGAGCATCAAAAACTCCTATAATGTCTGGAATTCTTTCAATCCGAAGTAGTGCATCATCATATGACATTTTTAGCTTTTTAATCCCGTGGGGTTTTGCGGCTTTAAACCACCGCTCCTCAAAATTGGTTAGAACATCATATGCTGCTGGCCCATCAATTCTACAATGCAGATCATGCCATGGTTCCCTTGGACAACCGGAAACATTACCCTGTTTATGTAAACGATTACATTATTAGTAGAGAAAAAAAGTGATTTCCTTATCAAAAAATAAAAATCAACTTGTATTGATACTCTAGAGAGATAATCCCTGAATTTCCCCTCATTACATTATTATTACACGTTAAATGATATATCTGCACTGAACAATATATTTAAATCACACATACTTAAATCACGCGACTCAACAACTAAGCCTTTAATCCCAAGCTAGTTGGGATAGGCTATATGAATCATTTCTTTCCATTTTGCTCTGTTCATAGCTATATCCTCACTAAAAAAAACAGTAGATCTTTTGTCTTACTTCAGCTTAACCTAAAACCTTTATCCTTGAGTGTCTACAATTCTAACTTTTGGTTTATTCTTTCGCTAGTTCCATGGATAAAAGACAATGTAGCACGCACCATGGGATATCATCTGCAATCTAGAAAATTTACTTAATCATAATTGCATATTAAATTTAAGAGTTTACCGTGAAAGTAGGGTTGTGATAGTCATCTTTGTGCACCGTTTGCAGTGTCCTAAATATAGGGTGATGTGGAGTATCGTATCGTCCATCACATAAATCAAGTCCACCAACAAAAGCTAAGATTTTTCTTCTATTATTGCCGGCATCAGCATCTACAATCACCGTTTTCTGATGGTGAGTATATATAGTTCCAACTTCCTGAAATTAAATCAATAAGAGGAAATTTACTAAGAGTTTTCAGTTTCTTCATCAAAATCTTGATAAAGATTAAAACTTGCTTAATTGAAAAACAAAAGCTTTTCAATAATATTGATCGATGGAGTGCCTGTTATTTCACTTTCCTATAGCAAAATGACCTTCACAAGAGGTTAAGAAAAAGAAAATTCAAACATTCAGTAAAAAAAAAACTAACCCTTTGCTTGACCCAGCTGTGTTTCTTTCCAGCAATGCGAGGACAAAGAAGAACTTGTACTGATGAATGTTTAAAAAAACGGCGTGTTTCCTCATCATGGGTTGCCATAATTCCATCCTGCATTAGTTTTTAAAAGTTTTAGTAAAAAATATATTATTCATTTCAAATTTTCAGCGCAAAATAATAGGCAAAATAACTTGGGAAAAAGTTTCCTGAGGATACAACATTAGAAAGAAGAAATCAACAATTAACAAGAGATACAAATTGTTGAGCTCCACCCAAGATTCCATATGAAGCACTTCAAAATACAGAGAGGTCTTCTCATGTCCTCTAAAAGATGTGGGTAGTAAGAGGTCTCGAGTTCAAGTCCTCTCTACCACAATCGGCAATTTGGTGAATATTATTCAAAGGAGAGGATGACCCTCTACTTTGTAGCTTGAAATGTTCTTCTGGCCCATTGGGCCTCCTATGAATCAAATATATATATATATATATAGAGAGAGAGAGAGAGAGAGAGAGAGAGAGAGAGAGGGGATGAAGCCGGCATAAAAACATAGAATACACCAGATGCATGGTAGCAAACAGATTTATCAAGACAATAAATAATCAAAAACAACCAACACTCACTTTTCTTGAGATCCAGAAACCATAACTGCAGATTTATTGCATTGGAACTAAACTATGCAGGTTCCACATTGCAAGAAATGATAAGAACAGTAATACTTCCAAGCACAGATTGCTGTATACTATAAAAGCATATAACAGGAACTGTGTAATTATATACATAAAAGAATCTTACTGTTTTATATCCCAGAATACTTCTTGAAGTAGGATCATCCCAAACAAGAAGCAGCACTCTTACTCCTTCCTGCGACTTGGATCTTAGCAGATCCCCCAATGTGACTTCTGATGATGGATTAGCATCATCTCGAATCAGTCTAACTTTGTGCCAAACTGACCACCCTGTAATGTAAACTAAACGCCTGGCATGGCGTATTGCATCAAAGATGTCATGCCAACACTTCCCATGCTCATAAGACAACCCATGATCCAGTTTCAGGCTTGGAAGACAATCATCTGGAACATGGGCATCTTGATAAAGAGTCACTGTTCCACCTTTCCTAAGAGGAAAATACGTGCCTGGAACACCATGATAATCAGGACCTGCACCAACACCTTTATGGTAATTGCTCAGTTTCTCCATTGGGGTGTACTGTATTGAAATTCTCAATACAGCTCCATGTTTACATGGTTTTCCACTGTTATTCAAAATAGGGTAAGTTCCCTCAACTTTAGCCCCCGAATATATCTGTTCAACTGGAATGGCCACAACTCCCATCAACTGTGAACCCAAAACATCACTGTCTTTAACAAGAAAATGCACTTCAGCAGCATGATGTGCAACAGGAACGTAAAAATGTTGTGTCCAAACAGGATTTTCATTGTTGCTAATCACAAAGGTTCTCCCGATCACAGCACCAGCTACGGAAATGGAAACATAAGGATCACTAGTAATCTTGCGGCTCATTTGCCCTTCGATCTTGTTGCCTATACTTCCTGGTAATTTATTGAACATATCACCTATTGTCTTGTGAAACATGTCCATGTTTGGAAGGTCCTTGGCATCATAAACCCATATATCCAAATTCCCATGTAAAAGCAAAACTCTTAAAGACCCTTTATTATTCTGCCAAGGCACAATCTGTGTACTCTGGCTATGATGTGAATCATTAATGGAGTTTGAGTGGGTATAAAGAGGAGCAGAATAATTACCAGAAGAATCAATCCGGCCCAAGTAAGGCCCTTCATAATTACTTGAAAAGGAGTCATTAGGATAACCATAGAAATTTTGTCTATCATGACCAAAACTGGAACTGCTACGACTAACAGGGGAATCGAGGACTGGTGGCACTGATGGTGTCGGTGGGGAAGCAGGAGCAGAAGGGCGATCATTATCATTCAAATGCATATTACTCAACAGATCATCCAAAGGTGGGTATACCGAGGAAGAGTGAGAATTGGTGGTATCATTATGATTATCATGATTCGATGATGATACAGTTCCCAAAGTAGGGAAACTATCATGTCTTTGATGAGTGGACAAGGAGGATGATCCTTGTGGGGTGTCATCATGAACTGATGGAGGTTGTTGATAAGGGTACTGAGATGAACTGTAATTGAAATCACCGTGATGTTGTTGAAGGGCTGGTGAAGGCGAACCATGTGATATTGGAGATGGTGGGTATGGATATGAATAAGGAACAGGCGCAGGCGAAGAATAGTGGTGATAATAGTCTAAAGGGCCTGAATGGCTTGTTGAATGTGGCTGATGTGGTGGCGATGGTGACGGTGATGCGTATGCAGGTGGCGTTGGTGATGTGTATGCAGGTGGCGTTGGTGATGGGTATGCAGGTGGCGGATGCGTGTAAGGAGAATATGGATACGGGTATGATGGCTGAGGATGGGGATAATATGAATCTGAATTAGGAGGAGGTGGGTATGGATGATTTGCAGCAGGAGGGGGAGGATGCTGGTAAGGGTATGGGTAGGGATTATTATAAGGGTAAGAAGATGAAGACCCATAATTCTCCATTTAAAAATTAAATAAAAAATAACAATCCTGTGTTTGTTTATAATGGAAATCAAATGAAAGAGAGTGCAAAAGTCATAACCAAAATGGACGCAGAAAAATATCAAAAAGACAATCTTTTTCTTCGTCTTAAACAATTCCAAGAACAAAAACAACGGAGGAAGAAGAAAGTATCTAAGTTTTTAAAAGAGCCAGAAAGTAAACGGATTTACCTTGAGAGATTTAATAACTGGGTGATATAGGAAAGGTCAAATGGCAGTTCTTGGAATCTTCAAAACAGAAGAAAGAAAACAAAACACCTTTGTGCCGTCTGTTCTTGGTGAGGTGTGTTCGCGTAAATCTTAGTCGTGTTAACAAGCGTGTGACCGATCCACCGGATTATATTTCCCTACTTAATTATAATATATATATTCGAAGAAATCTTTTTTTTTTTTTTCATTCGTTGAGATCAAAGGGACCGAAACCACACTGTGGATTTAATAAGATAATTTTTTTTAATCATCAAATTTATAAAAACAAATATAGTTAAAAGAAACTCTCCTAAATTATTATATTAATAATGACAAATTAATATAATTTTAAATATACAACTTAAATCAGGAAAGTAATCACATTAAAAAAACTCAATCTTAGGTTATAAACTGATCTAACTATATACCTTACTGCAATTATTAAAAACATACTATAAATTTTTTTTTTTCTAAACATTATTGGATTGGACAATATCAGAATCCACCTAAAGTCATTAATTTCCATATTTGTGGATAATTCTTTCAAATTTATCTCTGCAATTCTTTTCAATTAATCAGACATATATCTCTAGTACACAACTTTCAATCTCACTTTAAAAAAAAAAAAATGATACCCAACCCACTGAGATCTGGTGGTGTATAAAATTATTTAAAAACTCTTATTAGAAGGTGAATTTCTTATGTCTACCAAGTAAAATATATTCATTTAAAGAGATAAAAATTCATTAACTATCAATATCACAGGTCCTCTCAAAAAAAAAAAAAAAAAATGGCGAGATAAAAAATTCATAACTATCAATATCACAGGTCCCTCTCAAAAAAAAAAAAAAAAATGGCAATGATGATATATGGGCAAATTGAAATAAAACACACAAATTAATTTGAAAAAAAAAAAAAAAAAAAAAATGGCATGATATATTATTGGGCAATTGAATAAAACACACAAATTAATTTGAGTGTAGAGATTATTTCAGACCATTTTTATACTTTTGAACAAAAATCAGATGAAAAAAAAAATGTTGACTTGATTATATCTTATGTAGGAGGATGGTGATGCAAAATGGAAACTGTTCCCTGCTTTCCTTTATGATGTTGATGTCCAAGCTTCATTTCATACTAGATTTCTTCTTGATGACATAATAACAGAGAAAAACAAAATAAAACAATTTAACTATATTTTTCATTTGACTAGTAGATGGATATTCATAACCAAACCTTCCAGAGCTACCCAGTATTAATTAATCTCTGCTGTTTTAATTTGGTTTCTTTCACTTTCCAAGTCACTTGACTGACCAGACAATTGTTTTCAAACATTTAAAGAGAGTTTCTTTTTATTTTTTTTCTTTAGCAAATATAAAAATGAGCTGCCATGAAATTTTCCAACATTACACAGAATGTGATTTAGGCAATGTCTACTGCTAAAACATTTTCTGCTTGGTCTGCACCTACATACTTGGCCTGCACCTACATACTTGGCCAATCTCAAAGCTATTGCCAACTTATAGCTATGGGGCTTCTCACCTTATACTTCCCTGACACCCAAACCAAAGATCCAAAGGAGTGACTTTCTCTGGTGTCTCTTACTCCCAATGATACGAAAGTTACATTGTAACTCAATTCTTCTCTCAGTTTTCGAAAACTCAAAATCTTAGGCTCGATGATTATTGATACTCCATTAGGTTCCTCAACTTGTACAACATAAGTAATCAAAGATGGTCCTACATTTGTTACTCTTCTCTTGTGTGTCCTGGTGATATTTTGAGCATTACCTTCAAAATTTACAGCAAAAGAAGGGTAATTCAGGTGCCCAGGCTGAAGAATTGTGTTGTTAGGACAGCTGAATCTCCTCCTCGACACTTGAGTTATCTGAGCAGATGTGTAACTAAGGCTGCACAAATAGTTTAGATAATCTTCTGTGGTAATATTGTATATTAGTCCTGGATCAGCAGCTTTTTCAGGGTCAACATGCCCTGAACCTAACACAAAAGGCGTAGCTGATGCGGAGTTATTAGCCCCAAAATCAGCAACTGGAGCATTTCTGTTATCCACAACATAAGCTGAGGTCATTATTGCTGATTTGATTGCTGCAGGTGACCAATCTTTGTGGACTGACTTGAGAAGTGCAGCTAGGCCACTAACATGAGGGCATGACATTGATGTTCCTGAAATTATATTGAACATTACACTTCTCTTATCACTCTTGAGCAAAGATGGGCTGCTAACAGGTGACCAGGCTGCTAAAATGTTGACTCCTGGTGCAGTCACATCCGGCTTTATCACATCTGGTCCGACTGCACTAGGCCCTCTGGATGAAAATGCAGCCATTACTGGTGCAGGATTACCATAAGTTGTTCCTCTGAAAGAAATTGAAGCAGTAGGTTGTCTAGTTGAGTTTACATAAAATTTGATAGCTTTTCCTGCTGATGCTCCTAAAGAAGTGGCAGGTAAAATATGGGGATCAGCAAAAAACTCTTCTCCTTGATTTTCAGTGTTGACTATTATCATTCCTGCTCCTCCTGCTAATTTCACTTGCTCTCCTTTCGCGGTTCTGCCAATCATTCCTCTTTCACAGATGACTATTTTACCTTTCACTAGCGTCTTTTTGAGTGAACCTCGAACGCAGTACTTGGCTGATTGGCTCCCTGCTGTTTCTCCATATGCAATTACTAATTGCTTGGTTGATTTGCCAGAATACAGAGATGATCCAACAAAAGTTTGCCCATTTCCAAGCTTGACAGTTGTTGGAAAGCTTCGATCAGTGTAGCTAGCAGCAACTGTCATGATCCAAGGTGCAGTGTTGTCTACAGTTGATCTAGAAGGGCCAGAATTGCCTGCAGAACAAGAAACAAAAACCCCATTTTGGGTTGCCCCAAATGAGGCTATAGCAACATTATCAGCATAAAAAGGCTTGGCAGTACCTCCTAAAGAGAGTGATAGCACATCAACACCATCATTAACAGCTTGGTCTATAGCTGCCAAAAGATCAGTATTAGTGCAGCCTAACGGCCAGCAGACTTTATAAACTGCAATTCTTGCTGTATACTTCATTCCAGCCGCTGCACCATTTGCTAAGCCAAAAAAACTTGCATTATATATAAGATTGCCGCCAGCAGTTGATGCAGTGTGTGTTCCATGGCCTTGTGAGTCTCGAGGGGATCGATAATCAACTGTTTCATTTATTCTTCCTACAACAGACTCGTATCCTTTGAAGAAGGCTCTTGCACCAATAATCTTCCTGTTGCAATTAGAAGATGAAAATTTGGTGCCAGTTTCGCATATGCCTTTCCACTTAGAAGGCACTGCAGATAAGCCTGTGTCCTGGAAACTAACATGCTCCGGCCAGATTCCAGTATCAAGAACCCCAATTATCACATCTGAAGCCAAGCTTGGAGGACTCCAAAGTCCTTTACCATTTTCAAGTCCAAGAAACTGAGGGGAATGTGTGGTGTGGAGCGTAAGCATTTCATCAGGAATGGCAGAGATAAAGCCATTGGTTTTGCTCAAGGCTTTTACTTGTTCTTTAGAGAGCTTTGCAGAAAAACCGGACATCACTGTTTCATACACATAAAGAAGCTGAGGAGATTCTGTTTCTTCTTTTTCTTCTTGTTCTTGAGATGAAAATTGTGTCACAGAATTTATCATTGCTTCATACCATTTTTTGGAATTCCCTGGAGAGTGATATGAGGCTGGAATCTTGGTTTTATCCATATGAATTACATATGTCTGTTTATCACTTGCAGCAACAGATGATAATGTAGCCATTAAGGCTAGCAACAGCAAGGATCTTCTCAAGATCATACTATCTGCAAAATTGCAATAAAAGAAAATGGAAAATATAATCACACATAAGGAAAAGCAGAAACACTGATTTACTATTAAGCAAAACAGAAGATCAAATTTACCATCTTGCAAGCAATTCTCTAATTCAGTGAAACTAATAATAGAATGAATCAACTCAGGCTAGTCAATTTTCAACATTCAAATAATTAATGCACACAAATCTAACACAGACCCATATTTTAGCTAATACCAATAAAAAAAAAAAAAAAAGGAATATTCGTTGTAGATGTTAGCAAATTAGTGTTCCAGAATCTTAATCATGGTGCTTGGTCTTTTAATTAATCCTTAATTTTTTTGGAATTCCCTGGAAGAGTGAGTTATTGAGGTCATGCGAACTTGGTTTTAATCCATAATTTGTATTGGCTATAATTCTGGTTTATACGACTTGGCAGATCTAACTAGAAATGATGAATATAGTTATGCCTTGATTTAAGGCCTAGCAGACATGTCAAGTTGATATCCTTTCTTCTAAGATGCTATGTTACTTAGTTTTCTTGCTAAATAGTTGTCAATTAGAATTTTGTGATACATTCGACTGACATATAGTGGAAATGCATGAATTATCATTTTCTTCGATTTATTTCATCTTTAATTTTAAGCAAAGATATTCAGAAGAATTCTAAATTGTAAACCCAATCTTGCAAGCAATTTCTCTATTATTCAGTGAAATCTAAATAATTTAGAATGAAATCAAACTCGGCTAGTCAATTTTCAAACATTCAATAATTAAATGCACACAAATTCTAACTACAGACCCATATTTTTAAAAGCTAATACATTATCAATAAAAATAAAAAAAGGAATGATAACTATTATATAGAATAGGTAATGGAAAAAAAAAAAAAAAAAAAGGAAGAAGCTAATATAGAATAGTAATGGAGGATCCTGCAAAATTACCTGCCTATGTTCTTCAACCCAATAGAAGATGAGAGCAACTTACGGGAGTATCTTATAGAGGAAATTTTGAAAGAAGAGTATGGGACTTACAAAAGAAGTTGGTGACTTGGGTTTGATGTGCTCATTATCGTTCACCACTTTCCTTTTCTTTTTCCTGTTTGATTGAAAGTGCACGCCTTAAAATGGATTCAAGAGGAAAAATAAAGTGCAGGGCAAAGCTATACATGAAACTCCACGAGCTACAGAAAAATTGGCTGTGGGACAGCCTCACACACAGCATTTATGCATTGCAGTCACAATAAAAAACCACTCTTAGTGACTAAAATTGTGATAAAATTGCTTCAAAATAGTAGTCTTTTATTTTGGTGGTGATGATAGGAAGTTGACTTATACAATGAAAACATTTTTAATTGCCACTTTTAGTGGTGCTAAAGGCTGCATTAAATTTGCAGACCAGAGGTAGGTTCAAATCCCTCTCCTGCAATCAATCTTTTTTCATCTTAATTTGTTTCCCTAAACATTCCAATTGTAAAGAATTGAAATAAAGGAATTTACTCTAATTAGTTGAGCTGAGAGTTTATTTTATACACATTCTTGTGGTCATGATGACTCTTCCAATAAAAAGTGCCTCTTTCACATTTTTTATAGGGAAGAGAATTTTTAAGACCTGAAACAAAGAAGAATATTTTGAAAGAGAAGAAGCTTTTGCAATAATGGCTTTCATGACATGGTAGTTGGTGGGGGGATGGGTAATAGTGGGTTTGGCAGATAGAAAACAAAGGTTTCTTTTTAGCAATTGGGCTATTTTCTGTGTGTATACATTCCATCCATTTTGTTTGCTTTTTCTTCAAGGGAAGTGGTGAGTATGTAGGCAGATTATTGTGGGTAGATTGCAGACAAGTGCATCACTTGATGACACCAACTGGCTTCTCAGTGGGAATTCATAAAGCATCATCACTACTAAAATGGAGTTTTTGGAGTCCATTTTAAGCTATGTTGGAAGGATAAGTCGAAATAGTTGGAAAGCTTTTCAAATTTCCTTATTTTATTATTATCCTTCTCTTTGAAGTTTGGGATATTCACAAAAAAAGACTAAAAAACCAAACTGAATGTTTAATTTAGTTTGGTTTGATATTCTAAAATTTTGATTTTAATAGAAAAAAAATGAAAATTTTTATTTCAATTCAGTTTTTATTAAATCCAAAAATTGAACTCAAATATGCTTAAAATAATTAAAACCAAAACAAATCAAGTAAATTTGATTGAATTTCAATTTAATTTCATGCAATATTAAGTTCCCTTAGATAATTTTCTCACTTTATTCCGTCAAGCGTAAGGTAATTTGATTTGGTTCAATTCGATCACCCTTTAATTATTAGTTGATTATTTCGTGAGAAACTCTCTTTGTTTATCCCAATACTATACATATATATATAAAGGCCAAATGCATATATTGGACCATGGACTATTTTTCAAAAAAAACTCTGTGGTCCCTTATACTTTGCAAGAATTCTATAAGGTACCTTTATTTATTTTTTTCGCATTTAATAAGTATCTATCCTGAACAAATGAAGCACGTGCAACTCAAATAGAATAACATGGCAAAACTGTAATGACACGTTAGAGAGAGAAACACATCGTACACCACGTAGATGGCTTCTTTCTCTAGACTTTCCAATTTTTAGTTTTAGTTTTTGGGTTATTTTTCTGAGTTTCTCTAATTTTTTGCTTTTGGCCGATTCTTTTAAACACAAACTTAAAAATGATTAAGAAGATGAAAAAGAAAAAACAGGGTGATATGAAGAACGGAAGGAGGAAGTGGTGGTGGTAGTGGAGAGAGAAAGAATGTAGGAGCAGGGAAGAGATGAAGGTGGTGGCTAGAAAAGTAGGAGGCTAAAGCTTGAGCCTTTGCCTATTTCTAGGTGCCAACAAGGTAATTAAACAAGTTTTCACTCTCCTCACACTCGTGTGGTCACTTATGCACTACTTTCAATGTAACGAGATACTTATTAAATACGAAAAAAATAAATAAAGATATAGGATCCTTGCAAAGTATAAAGGGCTACGGGATTTTTTTTGAGAAGTACAAGGTCCAAAATATACAACTCGCCAAAAAAAAAAAAAAAAAAAAAAAATACGGGATTTTTTTGAGAAGTAACAAGGTCCAAAATATACAACTCGCCAAAAAAAAAAAAAAAAAACATGTTATTGCAAGCTGAAGCGGGTAAATCAAAAAAGGGCGAAATTGGGGGGGGGGGATGTCGCAAAAAAAAAAAAAAAAAAAAAAAACATGTATTGCAGCTGAAGCGGGTAAATCAAAAAGGGCGAAATTGGGGATGTCGCATGTAAAGAAACCCTAACTGGCTATTTGCATTGTAATATTGACGATTGCATTTTTTTTGTTTTCAAACACACGATAAAATATAGGCAAAATAAAAGTTGAATGTATCGTTGAATACAAATGTATAAATAGCAGAATTTGCCGTAATTGAGAGAGAAAGGAAAAATAAAAATACAGAAGACAACCCTAAAAATTGATTGACGGTAATCATGGCTGGGGGAGAGGGTGGCGTGGAGTCTCAATGGGTGCAATTTGATGAGAATTAAATATTATTTTAAACCCATCTATACACTGTATAATTGCAAAAATTATGAAAGTACCAAAATAAGCAGCAAGGATTACTACAAACAAGATTGCCGTGACATGGCTTTCTGGGGTTCTGACAGCTTCTAAAACCTTCTTGTGATTGACAATCCCAATCACAATGAAAAAAGACGCCACCAGAATTCCAAGCGAAATGGCAAGGTTCCTTAAAACTGCATGCACAAGACTATTCTTTTCCATTCCCTCTATCAGCATTTCTGCAATAGAGGAATAAAATCAAACGCCTTCTATTCATCCATGTTTTACAACAATCTTGAAGTTGACATCTTTAGACTCCATCAAGAAACTGGCCCTAAATTTCCCCCTCTCCAAAATGATCAGATGTCAACGACCAAGAAATTAAGTTTTGCGGATATGGCCAGCCTGGAATGTATAACAGGATCCGCCTCAGTTTTTCTGGCAGTTCTTTATTTAGTAAAGGTCATAACCAATAACTTTTGCTTTTTACCAATAAATAAATTTTTGGTATTTTTGAAGAATTTAGTTGCAAAATCCTAAAAATGGATGTCTAGGAGTTCTTTTGGCTGCCATTGGAAAAAATATCAAGAAAAAAAAACAGATGAGATATTCCCAGATTTCGTTATTTTCAAATATTGAAACACATAATTAATTTAGCAAGATACTTCAGTACAAAAAGTATAAAGATTACAAAAGCACACCAGCTTTCTTTCATCTTTTTCTTTTTCTTGAATTGTAACTTCTATTTCTGATATTTCGGTTCCTAGTCCAGTGGCTTGAAAACGACAATTGGGCTCCTTACAACGTGATGAAAGCTTTTCCATACAAGTGAACCTGACACTAATTGTCCACTTGACATGGGTTTTGCCTTAACCACAACCTTGAAACTCCTGTTTTGCAAGGCGTGAGAGAAAGAGAGGCTCATGGGTTCTACTGTGATTTCAACTCCTTTAGGTGCCTTAATAGTGGCGTTGAAGATAGAAGGAGAAGGACCTACATTGGTTACTGTCCGTCGAAAAACTCCAACAGTTGGCTGCTTGTCATTTCTAGCACTAAGCTGCATGGTAGGATAGTTAAGTGCATCATAGCCGAATCCAGGAAGCAAAGATGAGCAATTTATGGATTTTTTGCCAATTAAAACTGCTAGAGAGGATCCACGATAGCCTTCGTGGCATAGGAATTGTATATAAGACATCTCGTCCATGTCATACACTAAACCAGGATTTCTGGCCCTAGTAGGATTTACTTGACCAGCGCCATAGGCAAACTCTGCATCGTTATTAGCTCTCGGACTCATAGGTTTGGCTTCACAAAGGTTTCATGGAAAATGTAAGCCATTATTAAAATGAGCATCAACTATTTATGTGTTTGTGGAACTAATTACCTGTGGTGAGAATGGCAGATTTGATTGTTGCTGCGGACCAATTAGGATGGAATGACTTTACATAAGCAGCAACACCAGCAACATGAGGACCGGCCATGGAGGTTCCAGACATAAGTGTGAATTTTGAATACTGGGTGTCGCCTTTTAGTCCAGTAAGTGACCTCAAAGGAGTGTAAGATGCCAAAATGTCAATGCCTGGTGCTGCAACATCAGGCTGCATTATTTTAAATTATCATATCAGCAAATAGTTTTGTTAGTCACTAGATAGTAACAAAAAAAGCATACATATAATAGAATATAATACCTTAAGAAGATGTTCTGATAGTGGATTTGGCCCTCGAGAAGAAAATGAAGCGACAAATGGAGCAGGGATTTTCACTTCATGGGATCTATATATAACTGCTGACGGCGATCTATGTCAAGCCAACAAGATAAAAGTTAATCTGACAGGAAAAAAATAAATGCAGCAGAAATTTGAACAGAATTGAACATCTTTTACTTCGTAGAATGTATATAATCATTTATGGCATCACCAACAGTGACATTGACCATGGTCCCCGGTGTCATGAAAATTTGAGCAGCATCAAGAAATTGTGCGCTTTCAACAACAGCACCTATCCCTCCAATTCCTTTAACAACAGAATCAGAACCCCATACCTGTAGCTCACAGTAAACAAGCTTTCCTTTCACCTTACTCGGCTCCATTGATCCATCCAGACAAAACCTGAAGTATACCGTCATTTTACATATAATTCATTTCTAAATTTAGCAATTTTCATTGCTTAAGTGCTTGGAAAATAAACAAATACCTCGCATTGTCCTTGTTTGCAGAGTTCCTAGCTACATCAGCTCCGCTGACAAGTGGGTACAGTTGCTGCTTTGATTCAAATGAATTAACCCCAACACCCTATGTACGAAAGTAGATGCTCATTAAACTATCAAAATAAGGCAATTATGGGTCTCATATTCATCATGCTACTTAGTACTTACAGAGACTGTCTTCCCATTACCCAACTCAATTTTGCTCCTAAACTGCCTATCAATGCCGCTAGCAGCTACTGTCAAGAGCCAAGGTGCATGGTTCGCCACAGTACCAGAAGAGGGTCCATCATTTCCAGCAGAGGCTGTAGTAATAATACCCTTTCTCATTGCATGAAATGCGCCGATTGCTAATGAGTCAGACACATAATCAGCAGTCGCCCCACCAATAGATACTGAGATTACATCAACTCCATCAGTTATGGCAGCTTCAAATGCTGCAAGTATGTCCATATCCGAGCAACCTGAGCTAGCCCAACATACTTTATACATGGCCACCCTAGCAGCTGGCACTGCACCTCTAGCAGCACCTCTTGCTAGCCCAAAAAGGCTTGCATCAGGAATTAGATTGCCTGCTACAGTTGATGATGTGTGAGTCCCGTGGCCATCCACATCTACCGGAGAAAATATGTCATTTGGGTCTGGATTGCCATCAAGCTTGAAATATCTTGCTCCTATAAGTTTGCTTTAAGAACCAATATAAGATTGAAGAAAGTAAGGAAAACTGTACGTAAATCCTAAATTGGCTTTATGGTTTTTGTTATATCCTGAAAAATTTTACAATGGAAATTAATTGAGGAGAAGATTTTACTTGTTGCATCCTGTGAAATTAGCAAAGTGGCCACAAGTGCCGTTCCATTTCTTTGGTGGAGGACCAAATCCATCACCTCTAAAGCTCTCCGATTCCGGAGTAATGCCTGCACGCAAAAGCCAGTTGATTTTCATAAGCAATTACAATTACAATTAAAATAGCAGAACAAATTATATGGATTCAAATAATTACCTGTATCGAGCAGACCCACAACTATGTTTCTCTCCATTTTCAAATTTCTTCTTGCTTTGCTAGGAAGTCCAATGAAATCCCATGATTTAGTAGTATGGAGTCTGTGATACTTATTTGGGAAAACAGAAAGAACTTGGTCCAAGCCTGAACAATGAATCCAAATGAATTCAAGAAAAGAATAGTTCATAAGTATAACAAAGGAAACATATAGAAAATACATCACACATACGTGATAACTCAGCGGCTTCAGCTTTAGATAGCTTCGCTGCAAATGCATTAAAGCTCTTTGTATAGCTGTATACAATGGATTCCTTAGCTTCAAACTCACTGTTTTACATAAAACCAAGTACGTCAAAAACAGCATCTGGGTATATTACAGAGAGGAGAAATATATATGAGATGCTGCAGCAGAATTAATGGAAGGGACTGAACTTGCCTTTTCTTGACAGATGAGAGGATATTGACATGCGTTTCTACTGCAGAAACACTATTCACTATATGATCTTCAAGATAAACAATGTAGAATTCCTGTAAACTCAACAACAATTACAATCTTATAATATTATCCTTGCCCTGAATAATATTAGAGATTCCAATAACAGGAAGAGTAAAAAAAAGAAATGAAGAACTAAAACACCTTCTTTCCATCTTCATTCGCAGCAACAAGCCCTGTGAAGATCAAGATGAAGATAAGAGGGAGAGAATGGATAGATTTCTTTGTAGACATGTTTGCAGAAATTAATTTATTATATCTGCAGTTTTGTCAATGTAAGCAGGGCTTCCATGTATATTAATAGACGCAGTTTAAGAAAGCTTGAATAACTATAAAACTTGGAAACGTATATTTAATTTAACATCTTCTGGATCAGTTCTAGTTGATGAAGTAAATGGGTTAGAAACCTTAAAAGAAAGATAACAAGATTGCTCTAGTCAATGTCATGTCTGGATGGCCTACGATTGCATCTTTATTTTATTTTCCTTATTCATATACTTCCATCTATGTACTTCCCCTACAAGCATATAATGCTTTTAAACAATATATTTAGTTTGTTTGACATTTATGTTAGAATTCATTTTTTCCAAAAAAAAAAAAAAAAATTGTTTTTCAATAATTTTTATAAATGTCAACTGTTAATTTTTTTTTAAATTAAGCTTTATTTAAATTACAACCTAATACTTGAACAAATATATTCAGCATCCCATTAACCAAAATTAATTTATATTTTCATTGATAATTTTGATCAACCCCTTCCTTAAATTCCAATTTAAGCAATTTCAGTATATCTAAGAATAAGACTAAGGATAGCTTGAAGTTTCCTAAAGAGGTATTGTATACATATGCGTTTACTTGTCTTAGAAAGATTTATCTTAAATTAAATATGAGATTGAATTACCAAGAAATAAATAACTCTATTAATAATTAAATTCTTTTAGAAAATTTAATTATTATCTAGGTGATTTACTTCTAAGCAAACCATAGTGGTTAAAATATCACAACTCGTGAAACGGATTAATCGCATAAGACATAACGATATATTCTTTTCCCTTTTTTTTGTTTTTTTTATCTTTTTTAATATTTTTACGGCCTTGGTCGGTTACCGTGTAATTCTGCACTGACAAAACCCCCGCCATTTCCATTCTCTTTTGCCATTAACTCCAATCCATAACGGTCCTTAAACCCTAACTTAACTAGATTGGGAACCCAATCCTTGATGTCACTTCTCGCTCGCCTCTCCCGCCAGAAACCACCGCCGCCTTCTTCGCTCTGTCTGACGTTACTCGCCCGTCATCTCTCTTCTGCTTCCACTTCGTCAAAACTCCATGACCACTACGCTTTCAGACCCCCGCCCTCTCTCTCTCCCCAAGAACCTGATAACCCTAATCCGACTACCAGGAAAAAGCAAAAGCCTTTGTATCGTCCGCCTTCCACGCTCGATCGGACGGGCAAAAAGCCGACACACTCCGATCTGCCGTTTGATTTTCGGTATAGTTACACGGAGAGTAGTCAGTCGGTGAGGCCCATTGGACTTAGAGAGCCTAAGTACTCGCCATTTGGTCCAGACCGTTTGGACCGATCATGGACCGGTGTATGCGCCCCGGCTGTTGATCCGAAGGTGAAGTCATTGGACGGAACTGATGATCCTAATTTGGAGGAGAAGAGGAAGTTGATGAGAGAGAAAATCCAAGGAGACCCACTTACCAATGCTGAGAGGAAGATTCTAGTGGCACAATGTCAAAGGAATAAAACCAAGAGGCAAATTAATCTCGGTATGGTTTTCGTTTTATTTAATTTATCGATTCTTGGGACTGTATATGCTGTTCCGTATTCAGGAGTTTACGTTTTAAAGGTTTTTTTTTTTTGTTTCTATGCAATATTGTTTTGTAAGGTGTGTGATGTTTGACCAATTGATTAATACGGCTACATGAAATTCAATTTTATATTGTGACAAGTGATTTGGTCTGTTTAATCTGCTTGATTAATTAAGTACATGGTGGTTTGATTGTTGGAAAGCTGATTTAAGGACTAACACGAGCAAAAGATTTTTGCAATAAGTCGTATAGAAATCTAACAAATTGTATTTGTTTTTTTTTTTTTTACGAGTTTACTTGGTTACTTACTCAAGTTGCATTCAAATTCATAGATTTTAAATCCTTTCTCAAAGCACTTTAGAAAGAAGCAATTTTGTACAGAACAGAACACCCCTGAAGTAAATAAGTGTAAGCGTGACATTTTTGTATTTCCTTTTCTGCTTTGTTTTTCTTGTTCTTTACTAGGTCTTGCTAGAGAATTATTTTCTTTATATTGATCTTCTCTAGTGGTAGAACATGCAAGTTTCATTTTATAAGTGAGGAGCAACAACAGATCCATTACTCTGACCAAGCTTTCAGGTCAAATGTTATGACTGATGTCATACTGTTTTATATCGACTTCTTTTAAACTTTGCACTGAGGTCCCTGAGAGTTGCTTGCTAAGAATAATGTACTGTACAAGAGCTAATGGCTTGCTACTGAACTATTGGTGTCACAAAGATGTTAGGATCTGGCAACTCTTGCAGTTGCCATGGTTATCGTTTTAGTATTCCTATGCTTGGAGTGTTTCGAGAGCACATTTGTTCTCTCATAGTTGATCAAGCTTGTGTGTCTCAAATTGTTGGGCTTTTTCCTGGTCAAAAGGAGCTTATGCATTTGGTTTCCATTTTATAAGGAGTGAGAATGTGGAGTACTTACAGGTATCACTCACATGTATGAAGCAGTTCGTTGTGAATGGCTGAATCTTTTAAAAGGTTGCATTAGATTTGAAAAAATGCATGTTTAACTATATGCCTAAAATTTCAAGTTTTTCATATCAACTGCATTGCTACTGCTTTTGGTTTATTGTATTGTTTTCTTTCATATTTGTAGGGAGAGATGGTTTAACCCACAACATGCTGAATGATATTCATAATCATTGGAAACATGCCGAAGCAGTCAGGATTAAATGTTTAGGTGTTCCTACTGTTGATATGAAAAATGTGTGCTCTCAGCTTGAGGTATCTTCTTTACTTCTGATATGAAAGCACCACCCTTCTTCACTTCTAGGCATTCCATTGGAATAATCCTTTTCCCTTATTGATTCTTTTTGCTTTTCATGGTTTGTGCACCATGGTTGGCCATACCTATGACATGAAGTATATATGTACAAATGTCCACAAGTACATCCTTCCTTATCATAAAAGTTTCTAGTTTTATTTCAATTACGCAGGATAAAACCTTTGGGAAGATTATTCACAGGCACTGTGGTTCACTGGTATTATATCGAGGCAGGAATTATAATCCCAAGAAAAGACCTGTGATTCCATTGATGATGTGGAGACCTCATGAACCCATCTATCCCAGGCTAATCAAAACTACAATCGATGGCCTGAGCATTGATGAAACAAAGGAAATGAGGAAGAGAGGACTTGCTGTACCTGCTTTAACAAAACTTGGTATTTTATTTTCTAGCTTCTTGTTCTCAATGCTCATAATATCAGCTCACTAACTTGCTTGTTATAAATGTAGCTAAAAATGGGTATTATGCTAGTCTGGTACCCATGGTCAGAGATGCTTTTCTCACCAATGAACTGGTTCGGATAGACTGCCAGGGCTTGGAGAAGAGTGATTACAAGAAAATAGGCTGCAAACTGAGGGTAAAGTTTGATTGAGGTTTATTTCTTTGATTGCATCTCCTTGAAGTAGCTGAAATTAAAATGTCCTATGCATTAGATTTAATGCATCTCGTAATATTAGTGAAGGAACTTGTAAATAACCTTTATATGTTTCTTTGCTGCACTGCTCATTGGCTTGTTTTGTTGCACGGTTATTCTGTAATCACTGTTGTCAAAAATTGAAGGCTATTAGACCATTATGGCATATGTGTTTCAATTACTTGTCTAGGTGTCAAAGTTTTCATTGAGCGCAAGTGATGACTAATCATAGAAGAAATGATTTGAGCAGTTCATTTCATTCTTTATTAATTTTCTTGCCCCTGTTGATTGCTGACATGGAACTTGATTCCCAGCTGTCTGTTTATGGCTGTAATTTTTTTTCTAAATATTGTTACAGGACTTGGTTCCTTGTATTCTCGTAACATTCGAGAAGGAGCAGATTGTTGTGTGGAGAGGAAAGGATTATAAGCCTCCGGAAGATGGAGAATTGTTTGCTGATAGGGAATTCTTTGATGATCCTGAGGGCAGTAGTATGGGTCTCAGTGAAGACAGTTGTAGCTCAGATGACAACAGCAGTCCAGGGTTCTACTCTGGTGATGACGAGTAGTTTCTTTCTCGCTGTTTGTTAAGCTCAAACTTTCACATTTTATTGGACTTGGCTTGTGTTCTGCAATGTGGAAAATTTGGAATGTGAATCTAGAGGAGGCTGAGCTGTCATCATTGGATGAAGCGGAGTATAGCAGCTGCAGTAGATGTCAAATTGGTTCACTGCTAAATGTGACCGTACTCTCTGCATCCCCGCTGAAGAAATGAAATGGTACAGAAGTAATCAAAATCAAAAGATTGAGAATTTGGGGGGGGGTGTACAAATGTTCAAGGTGATTTTTGCCATTTCGATAGAATGTTTAATATTTTGCTCGCTCAGTGTTTGAGGGAATGGGTCGTCCGGGATCTATGCATTTGAAGATGGAACAGCTAATAGCACATATATAAAATATAAATAGAGATTTGGACTTACTTGCCCTAATTTTACCATTTAAAATTTACTAATTGATTACTTAATTTTTCACCCTTATATATCGTTATTTATATGTTCGGTATTTTATTTATTTAATTTAATATATAATTTTGACGTTAATTTTTCCTGGGTCTTTTTCCATTGTTCCACTCTGGCTGATTAATTATTAATTAAATATATAACTCTTGTCGCGAACGTTGACGCGTACTGCGAACGCGCAATTCTCGTAAGACGCGTTTTTTTTTTTTGTTTCTTTAAGTTGGGATTGGATCTAAATTCGAACAATTGCACCCACTTGTAATAAGAGGGAGCATTTGGCGAACATCACATTCACTGTCATACATCTAACGGTCATTGTGACTAACATAATCTAAACTAACCGATTTCTTTAAAAAGAAAAAATTTTATTTTTTCTCAAAAGAAAGAAAGAAAATTTTTTATTATGAAATATCATCAACCATGCACCACTGCTTTTAACTTTATAACTTTGATAAAGCTTATTACTATTATTTGAATAATCTTTTACATTTTAATTTTTGAAATGAAAAGGCGAAAATAGAAATTGGGGGAAATTTCTTTTTTCTTTTTTTTTTTTTTTTTTTAAAAAAAATTCTTTTTCTTGTTTTTTTTTTTTTTTTTTTTTTTTTTTTAAAAAGCATAATACACGCAGACCACGTGGCGAAAAGTATTAAACATCCATTTTTTATTCTTACCGTCAATCGCACACCACTTGGTTCCTGCCTAGTTCTTGTGTTAGCTTTTGCTCCTCCAAAATAGTAGCAAAACTGCAAAAGGAAAAAGCCAATCTCCTTTGCTACTTTCCTTATTTCTATTTCCTCTTAATCTTCATCGCTGTCCCCACCGATGGCTCACCATGACCTCTCCTCTCCGCTCCTCCAGCCTCAACCTTCCAATCAAGCCCAGTTAATCCTCACCATTCACGATAACGGCTCCGGTCAACGATCCTCCTCAACTCAATCCCTTAATCGTCAGTTTCACCATCACAATAACAACAATCACTCGTCACATCTAAACCATAATTTTCCTAACCCGTTTGAGTTCCTGGGCTTGGATGGCTTGTCTGTACCTGCACCATCAACTTTGGATCCATTCCGGAACGATACGCCTGATATTGAGGGGCTTTATGAGGTGCTAAAGATCTTGGTTTGCTTGCCGATTGCTGCGGTGCGGTTGGTGCTTTTTGGTGTTTGTTTGTTGATAGGCTATATTGCTACCAAATTGGCTCTTCAGGGATGGAAGGATAAACACAATCCTATGCCTAGATGGCGCTGTAGGTTAATGTGGGTCACTCGGATTTGTGCCCGCTGCATTCTCTTCAGTTTCGGGTATCTTCGTCTTGCTTCTTTTCTATGCTTATTCTTTTAATATAAGAAAACTGAAAAAAGTAAATCAACCTTTTTACCAAAAAAAAAAAAAAAAAAAAAAAAAAAAAAAAAAAAAAAAAAAAAAAAAAGTTAACAGAGTTGGATGTGCTTAACAATGATATATTTCTTTTCTAATCTATCTAATAATGTTTGAATCAGACATTGAAATCGATTTCTTTTTTATAAGATTTAAAAAAAAAAAAAATCTTTTAAACTATTGCTGCAGCTACCAGTGGATAAAAAGGAAAGGAAAGCCTGCTCCTAGAGATATTGCTCCAATTGTTGTGTCAAATCATGTATCATATATCGAACCTATCTTCTACTTCTATGAATTGTTTCCTACAATTGTTGCGGCTGAGTCACATGATTCCATACCCTTCGTTGGAACTATTATCCGAGCCATGCAGGTAACTAATACTCAGACTTGGTCTAATTTCCTGTTATGTGAATAAGCAGGCAACTGTCTTTGCTTTTGATATTCATGATTCCTTATGCTATCTGTGATCAGGTGATATATGTCAATAGGTTCTCACAGTCATCGAGGAAACAAGCTGTTAATGAAATAAAGGTAGGATGTTTCTACAATTTTTACTTATCTGTGCTTATTTGATTTACTATTGTTGACTGTACTCATGGAAATCTGTTCTGAGATGAATAACCTAAGCTTCAAATTCAAATGTCTGTTTGCTTTCTTGACATGTTGAATTCATAATTGGCATGTGTTTATACTTTATACCTCAACGCATGTCGATGATTCATAGAACAACTCTCTGAGAATTGCTTAAGAAGAATTATATAAAATTGTGGACAGTATTAAGTACCAAATGCATTTCCCAAAGTCCTTTGTGCTCAATCTGCAAGATAAAGTTCAAATAATTTTTATCAATTTATAAGCTATTTGATACAGAAATGTGCTTTCAAGGATATGAATACAGAGAAAGGCTTCGTGCGATAGATTTCCTCGAGTGCTATTATTTCCTGAGGGAACGACAACTAACGGGAAGGTCATTATTTCTTTCCAACTTGGTGCATTTATTCCTGGTTTTGCAATCCAACCAGTGATAGTTCGCTATCCCCATGTTCACTTTGACCAGTCTTGGTAAGTGACTTTTTTCGCACGGAAATTCCTTTTCGGCTGGCTTAATCAATGTCTTATTGATCTTGTTTATTTTGCTTTGCCATTATTATTAGGGGGCACATTTCATTGGCAAAGCTCATGATTAGGATGTTCACACAGTTTCACAATTTCATGGAGGTACTGCTATTATGTCTGTTAAATTTGAACATTGTTTTTTGTTTAAATTAATTAAGGTTGTCAGTTCTGAATTGAACAGGTGGAGTATCTACCTATAGTTTCGCCCCTTGATAACTGTAAAGAAAATCCTGCTCATTTTGCTAAGAGGGTGAGTAACCGCTTTTAATTAAATTGATTTCAGAGTGTTTTATCAATCAATTTATTTATATATTCAAATGCAGGGACTCAAAGTACTCCCCTTTATGTATTTGAATATACATAGTTCTTACCATTTAAAATCTACATGTATGTTTGTTCCAGCAATGATGTTTGATGTGGATTAATTGATGAATATGGGCATATGCAGGCTAGCCATGCAATTGCAAGTGCTCTTAATGTTGTACAAACATTTCATTCCTATGGGGACTTGATGCTTCTTATGAAAGCATCCGAGTCAAATAAGGTACTTGTTTCTATGTCTCTACCCTCATTTGAAAATTATACTGCTTGAAGATATATGCAGTTAACCATTGTATAAAGTGCTAAACTATTAATGGTTGACAATCTAAGATTGGTCACGTGCAATAGCAATAATAGAAGGTTGGCCTCATAACATTGAGTTGTCTGGTTTTAAGTCACTGGAAGGTTCCGGGACATGATAATGCCAGGTTTTTAAGTCCTAAGGGCAAACTTGGCCCTGACGGTTCTTTTTCTTTTCTTTTTTTTTTTTTTTTTTTTTTTTTTTTTTTTTTTTTTAATTGGGGAAAAAAACAAAGTGAGATTCTATATTTGCATAAATATTTATTTTTGTTTTGTTTTTTTTTTTTTTTTTTTTTTTTTTTTTTTTTTTTTTTTTTTTTTTGTTGTAATTGGAAATAAACAAAGTAGAGATTCTATATTTGCATTAAATATTTATTTTTGTTTTGTCATGTCATTAGTTTCAGGTGTCCAATTCTAAATCGACCAAGCAGCGACTTTAACTTTTGGGTGTATGTTACACTGTCACCTACATAACACATTGTGCTAATCTTTTTTAGTATAGTTGTGTTTGTGTGTTCATGTTGTGTAATAAAAATGTCTGGAGTCCATGCCACATAGGTCTCAACTAGATTCACCAATAGGCGTAGCCTATTCTTGCTGACGCCAATTTAACATTACAAATTCTTTCAACTGTTTAGCTCTGTTGTCAATCATCCCCAACTCATTAGCAACCCTGTCTTCACTACATGGCGGTGACCTCCTAGCCTCCTATTTGCATGCACCAGTTTGTTTCAAGTTATACTAAAGGAAAGTTGCATCAGTTAGAGTCAGATCTCTATAATAGTGACAACTGTATTGCTGTGATAACTTGTTATTGTTATGATATTTTTGCAGGAGAAGCCATCAAGTTTTATGGTTGAAATGGCTAAGGTGGAATCGGTAAGTCTTTGCATTGAAATGCCCTGAATTTGAATTGTCATTTTGTTGCAATAGTAAACAAGTAGCAATAGTTGATATTTATGAATCTTGATATGTAGATGAATAAGTTTTTGTAATATTTTGCATTCTATCAAGACGAGTTTTCTTTTCTCCTTCATCATGCTCAAATGTCCATACTTAATTTTCTGTTTTGTAAACCATGGCCATATCATTTGTCTGCATCAGCTCATCAAAAATAAAGATGGTCTTATAATTGTTGGTCGCAATATAGCACAAGTACCGTATGTATATGAAAATTTAAAATCCTTCTTAATTGTTGATTTTCACTAGTAAAAGATAGCACATTTATCATTCAGATACACACTGCATCACCTTGTTTTCTTTGTGCTTCCAAATCTTTGTGCTCTATTTTTCTCAACTTTTGATCTATCAAAATCTTGAAATTTAATTAAGTTTTATGCTTTTTGTAAATAAGCTTTTGCACATGTTTGCTTAATGGTGGAGAAGCCAGCTTATTTATCATATATGTATTTCTTTTGACTGTTTTGTTTATTTTGTTTTTTTAGTTATTCCATATAAGTAGCTTGGAAGCTGTGGACTTTCTGGACAAGTTTCTTTCAATGAATCCAAATGCCAGGTACTGAGTTTTTTCTTATAAGTAGTTACAGAAGTTATTGCTTGGTAATACTTTTGATTGAGGGATATATTTGACCACTTGTATTTATAGTTGTATAAATGCCTGAGCATCAAAATTTCCATATTGTGTATGCACTGTTATTTTGCATGGAATTATTTATTTTATTTGGTTCCTGGCTCCTGTTTGTCTTCTGTGTTTTCTTTTCTATCCATTTTTTGGGGAAACTCAAGAACTTTGTGCCCTCTTTCCCTAGGCAGGTGCCCTGTGGTGAGATTATTGCATCTCCAAAGGGCAGATAAAATCGAATTTCTTAGTGACCGAGTGTTGGTTATTTAGATGTGGCATTTGAATCACATTTCAGACTCGGTCCTCCTGCTTAATTGTCTCTGTTTTTGCTCCCCCCTTTTCTCAAGCAATTATTGTAGCAATTGGTTTTTATTTTTTCAACTAAAGAATTCACCATTTGTTTCTTTTATTCTCATATGTATGAATCCCTGTCATCCTTCCCTTCCGAGCAGAAGAGGTGGTGCCTGTTGTCATCTGTTTCTCTGATGACACTATATGTCACTATTGGACATTTATTCATGTTATGTCCTTAAAATATGGTCTCTGCTTGATATTGTAATGTGTTAATTATACATTAATGCTAGAGGTCAATGCTTGAGACTGAAAATTTACTGGTCATCAGCACTGTTGTTTGAATTTGGCACTGTTATTTGCTTTCCTTTTTTTTTTTTCTCTCTCTTTATTTTTTCAATCTGAAATATAAAAACATGTATTCTGATTTTCTGTTTACTCTTTCTACAGTGGCCGTGTTAATTTCAGTGACTTCGTGAGGGTTATGAGGTTAAGGGCATGCCCTCTTTCAGAAGAGGTTAGTTATTGCAAAAAAAGTATATGTTATTTTGCAACATTTTGAGATTTGAATTGTGTTTCAGTTTATTGTCTCTTGGCTGATCATACAAATTTGTTAAAAGGCTATATTGTTGCTTGCAATGAATAATTGTTTGTAAGCATGTGAATTTGAGGCAGTTTCTCACTTCAAGTGATCAACATAAATCCATGCATTAATTGGGTTGTTGCATCTGGCTACTCTCTCTCATGCACACACACAAATTGGCCATAGTATTGTTGTAGGGAGCTTTATACTTCTGTATTTCCTTAAAAGTCACATTGTTAGTGGCTTTTGGGACTAACTCTACAGCAATTTCTCGAATAAATTTTTTATTTTCTTGCATTTAGGTTTTATGTAGGGTTCTTCTTGAATCTATGCCTTGAGTTTATATCTTCTACATTGTTGTTGGACTATTGAGAGAGTAGCTGTGTCACTTCTGACTTTTATATAAACCATAAAACATGATTAAAAAAAAGAAAAGGAAGGGAAAATTCCATTTCCATGGTATGAGTTAGTTTTTAAAATCATGCTCATAATGTGAATTTCAGTGAATGGTGATTTTTAAGATTTCGTCATGCATGCAGATTTCGTATGTTCTCCATTAAATTATTTTTGTTGGATTACAGATATTTGGGTTCATTGATGTGGAAAAGAGTGGATCAATCACATTCAAGCAGGTAATTCCGCAGTCCTTTTTACTTGGTGTAAATGAAGATGTGCAGTCCTGATCACCAGTTTTTATTTTGTAGGCTATGTTTATTATTTAGAAGATGCATTTGAACTAGTTTGTGAGTATAACTTGGACATGTTCTGCTAGATTTTGCACACCCACATATGATCTTGTCTAGATTTCTAGTGGAATGGAGAACACATAGTTGATGGGTGAACTTACTATTTATATGCCCTTGCATTTTTGACCAACTTAAAAATACACACAGTTGGATTCTAGTTCATGACTCATATCTGTAAAATAAAAAGCTATGATTCATCTAGGAGAACAGTTGAAGTGATTGATGAGTTTTTCTGTGTACTGCATTTCTTGTTGCTTGCAGTTTTTATATGGATCAGTTCATGTCATGAAGCAACCATTGTTCAGGCAAACCTGCGAGCTAGCTTTCTCCAAATGCAGTGATAGAGGAGATCGAATCTCAAGAGAACAAGTATGTCATAATTGTTCTTTTTTTCTTTTACCTATTTATTTCCCTATTCTTATTTAAGTGAACCCTGACAGACATTATGGGTTTTCGATTTTGTATTTGGACAGTTGGGAGATATGGTTAGACTTGCAATCCCGGACTTGGATGATGAGGAGGTAATCGATCATTTTATCCCCATAATGCAAGTGCATAAAATCTTCAACATGTTTCTTTTCCTAATTTCGGAGGGAGAGAGAAGAGTCAACTGCAACATAACGAAACATGGATCACTTGCAGGTCCAGGAGCTATTCAAATTGTTTGATACAGATGGTGATGGGTGGGTTGGCAAGGATAATTTTATATCTTGCCTGAGAAAGAATCCTCTCCTGATAGCACTTTTTTCATCTTGTTCCATGCGCAAAGGCTCATCAGAAGCTGGTGATATGATGTTGGAAGGGATCGTTTGATGCCTATATTTCTATAATTGGATGTTTGGTCGGGCTGTGTGAAATTGATAACCCCTGATATTTTTGGTTTTGTTGAGAGAGAGAGAGAGAGAGAGAGAGAGAGAGAGAGAGAGGCAAAGGGTATTTTTTAAACCTTTGCTGATCTAATCAGGTGATAATTTTGATGAACATTGGCATTGAATTGTACTTTAGTAATTTAAATTTAAATTTAAATTTATATTTTACTTGCACAATCCACCGGCGCTGTCTCATTACTTGTGGAGTTGGCTGAACAAAAATGAGGCCTGAAGGTTGAGTTGGGCTTAGGCCTTTAATCCTTATGTTATGGGTTCCATGTTGGACATTTGAGATACCATCATCGTAACAGGGCATCAAGGAAAGAAAAATAAAAAACACGTGTCTGATAGTGGATGGGGTTCAGGTGGTGGACGTTTACCTGTAAACAATTAATGGCCTTCGTCTCACTAATGACTAACCTGCCCCTAATTCTATTGGTGGTTGCCAGGTAGAGTTTCAACTAACTATTTATATACGAGTGTCCTTACTACCGGATGTGACTGTAATAGAAAATTTAAAAAAAAAAGAAAAGAATATTGTTAGTTTTATTTTAATTTATTTGGTGGTATCATTTATTATTGCTGTGTTTACATGAAAATAGCCGATAACGGTTGGTAAAATATAACACAATGGATAAGGGTATAATCGTTTTCATATATTATCATTTATGCAGCATATTTTTTTTAAAAAAAATTTATACTAATTAAAAAATTTAACATAACACTGAAAATAAAAAAAATATTATTTTAAAAAATTAATTTAAAAAAATTATTCATAATTATTTTTGAGGTTAATAAAATCTAAATATAATATAAATACAGTAACCCCTCTATCATGTTTCCATGTAACTCACACACCGCCTCTCAATAAATTATTAAATCATATGATTTAGTTTTTCAATTGAGAGTATTTTTCTACTAAATAAATATCATTTTTTATTGAAAAAGGAAAATATCTACTAAATTATTATTACAAAAATGAGTTTGTAAACGTTGAAAAAAGAAATGTTGGTGACGCAAGAAAAGTCATTGGGAATGACGTCCTTCTCTGAAAGTGGAGGAGTAATTTGGATCGTTAGATCAAAGTGAAATCCCATTTTAGGAATTTAAACTTATAGCACGCGATAGTGGTCCCCTACGACACCGTAACCTTAACCTCCTGTCGTCTGACCACAACCACAGATAACCTTTAAGCCAATACGATGCTCAAATCCACTAACTGATCGACAGCTGTCTCCGCTTCATAAAATAGTCCAATTTAGAATTTACAATTGTTTTTTTAATTTTCTTCTTTGATTTCATAAAATAGTCTCCAATTTGTTTTAAAAACCATGTTGTTTGTAGAGTATTTCGTCAGTTATGGTTTGTGGGACAATTGAATTTATTTTAGTTTGTACACTTATAAACATAGATCTTGTTTGGTTTTTGAGAATCCCTATACTTAAAAAATAGTAATTTATTTTTATTAAATAAATTATTATCAAATTGAAAAAATTACAACAAATTACACTTTTATATTATAAATAGTGGTAGAGAGCGCTCTATTTTAACCATCTAAGCTAATGTTTCATTGACCCTTCGTATCACATTTAATTTGGTTTATAGGTAGATTTCAAGTACTTCAAAAATATAATATTTAGCATTTAAAAGACACAAGCATTATTATTTATCATTTACATCCAAATTACCATCAAAAGTTAAAAAAAAAAAAAAAATTTATTAGCAAAATTCACAATTCTCTCAAATCAAAATTAACTTATCAATAATATGTTTTCACTTTTCACTTTCATAGAATTAGTAAATTTTTAAAAATGAAATTCCTGTTTTGTTGTTTTTGATTTAAAGCCTGTCCATTAATTAGTAATGTGATTAATGAGTCAAAAATTAATGTTTTTTTTTCCCTTTTAAAAGTAAAAACAAAGAAAATAAAATTAATTAGGATTAAAATAACAAGATGACACCGTTTTGCCAAGAAAAAAACATTAATGCTACAGAAAAACAATTTTCTTTTTACAAAAACAAAAGAACTACACTAATAACCCAAAACTTGTAAGCATAAATAAGTAATTTTAGGTTGAAATACAGTTTAAGAAAAGATTAAATATTTTCCAAATAAAGAAAGAGAAAAACATAAAATATTAGCATAAGAGATGCAGAAGAGTGAGTGTGATGGAAAATATCTGACGCACCAAACCACAAACAAAGGCATGGCACCCCATCGATTGGTCCCATGTCCATGTGAAGAAGAGGCTGTGGTTTTTGTTTCGTGTTTTGGCAGAAAAGCGATCATTTACACTATGAGTTTTCGCTTCCTCATTGGTTATTTAGCGTACGTAACTGTACGGACGATGGAGACTTCTTTCTAACTATGTACTATGGCTCTTCCTCATTTTTTTTTTTTTCTATCTCTTATAGCTTTACTCATTTCCTTGCATCTTTTAACCAGGACCCAGAGAAGAAAGAAAAAGAATAAGTAAATAAACTTTTCTTTTCTTTTTCTTCTTTTATGGACTTCCCCTTGAAACCTAAGTTAGTTTCTCTCTCATCAATTCTTTTTTTTCCCTTTTCTTTTTTGTTTTACGGTTTCCTTTCTCCCTAAATTTTGCTCTTTTTGGTATTTGTCGTGGATTTTACCAAAACAAGCAAGGGTGACCGGATGAGGTTTTCTCTCATAGAATAAGTATAGATATATGTAATAAACAATAACATCATAATAGGTAAAAATTTGTTTCTTTAAATGGTTGGGCTTGGTTGGAAGAGCTTTGATAAAGAAACAAAGAATGAGTGAGGGAGAGAGAGAGACATGAATGAATAAGGAAAGGTAGCTGTATGTCGGTGCTTGCTGCTTTGGTTTGTGACTAGAAAAAGAACCTAGAATCAATCAATCACAACAAGCACATAAATAACAGATACCTTCTCTCTTTGTGCAGTAATAGGTTATGTAACTTTGCTGTAATAGTCTGGTCTTTATTGTTCACAATAAATCAAAATTTTCTTTTTTTCCAATTTATTTTACTTTCTCTTTCTTCCATTTTAGCGTTTGTTTGCACTCCTCTCCAACACAGGCTTCCTGGGTTTTTTTGCCTATTTGGTAAGATTTCCAAATCTCTCTTTAGCAGTAACTTTTCCTTTCTTTTCTTTGTTTCCCTACAAAATCTTTCTCTTTTGATTGCCCACATGGATTTGAAGAACAACATTTCTTGTGGTTTGCCTTTTTTTCTTTCGATCAATCGAAACCCATTCTTTTCTCCATAAAACCTTATTGGGTTTTTTGGGTTTTGTTAGGAATCCTAAGATTTCCTTATCCACTACCCTTTTTGGCTTATGTTCCTCTTCTCCATAAAAGCTTTACCTATTTGGTAATTTTATTTCACTTGATTGCATCTTTACTTTGGCTTCTTCACAAGAACTCGAATTGAATTACATCAATTTTTTAAGCTCTTCTTTGTGACAGGTTTCCTGGGTTTTGCTTTCAAAATCTCCGACTTTTTCACTAAACTAATTTCCTCTCTTCACCTTAAGAGAGACCCAAAAAAAAAAAAAAAAAAAAAAAAAAAAATTATTTCACTTGATTGCATCTTTACTTTGGCTTCTTCACAAGAACTCGAATTGAATACATCAATTTTTTAAGCTTTCTTTTGACAGGTTTCCTGGAGTTTATGCTTTCAAAAATCTCCGACTTTTCACTAAAACTAAATTTCCTCTCTTCACCTTAAGAGAGAACCCAAAAAAAACAAAAAAAAAAAAAAAAAAAAAAAAAAAAAAAAAAGAGAAAGTCTTTCTGGCTATAGCCTATTTTTGGGTAAGGCTTTGAATTGAAGAAAATTTTGTAAAGTTGAGTTCTTTGGGTTAATATATATACGTACTGAGCAATCCATTTGGTTGTGAAAAGGTTTTAGAAAGATGGTGAGAGGAAAGACTCAAATGAGGCGCATAGAGAACGCCACAAGCAGGCAAGTTACTTTCTCCAAACGCCGTAATGGGCTGCTAAAGAAGGCATTTGAGCTCTCAGTTCTTTGTGATGCTGAGGTTGCCCTTATTGTCTTCTCTCCAAGAGGCAAACTCTATGAATTCTCAAGCTCCAGGTAATAAAAAGAATATACTACATTTGCTCCCTTTTTTTTTTTTTTTTTTTTTTTTTTTTTTTTTGGTTATGGAATCTTGATTCTCTAATCACCAATGTTTTTTTTTTTTTTTTTTTTTTGGTTATGGAATTCTTGATTCTCTAATCACCAATGATGTCATTTTAACTTCTTAATCCTGCAATGGCTATATGTGGTTCTTGCACTATGCTTGATATCTCTCTCTTTTATATACGCACAGATATACAAGCAAGCACAGAGCTTAAGCCTTTTCTTGATCTTAGAGATTCTATTACTGATCCTTCTGTCGCATTTAGTGCAGGACTTAGGAGAAAGAATTAAAAGATAATAAGCTCATTTGAAACTATTTCACTATTTTTAGCCCATTGTTATATAACCAGCTCCACACTGGCCTAATGAGGCCAAGTTCTTGATTTATGTTATTAGTGTAATCCCAAGGTTAATCATGACCATGGGTTTAATTAAATTTGGATAACTTTATACATAAGGTTAAATAAATCCAGTTTTTTCAAGTACATATATGCAACTAAAGCCACTATTTACAGTTTACAAGCACTGTTTTTTGGTAACAAATGTAAGGATGAACACTAAAAGAACAAATTTCTGACACACTTGCTAGGAGAGAAGAAGAGAAAGAGACTGAGAGAAAAGATTTGACGAGCTTTCTGACATAATTTGACTATTTATGTCGGAAAGGTAAAAAGAATTAGGTTAGGCTAGCAAAATCAAAACCATAATGCTTAAACTGTTTTATTTACTCTAAACAAGAACCATTTGAACTCAGATCAGTATTATTTCTTGTTCATCCATAAAAATGAAGAAATGAAAATGCTATTTCCATTTGTGATCTTACAATTATCATGAATAAATAGATCCACTTCGAGGCATCTTTTATGCTGTCTTTAATTTGTTTCCTATCATTCTCCTTTTCTTTTTCTTTTTCTAAAAGAATAAAACTCTTTGAAATTTGTTTTCTCTCTTCCTATAAGCAATGTATGAACTTACCCTACTCATTGTAAATTCTTTAAAAGCTTGACATAATAAATCAAATTAATAAATTCTTTTATGAATGTACCACTAAATGCTTACTCTATTAAACTTTAAGGCTCTGTTTGATAGCGTACGAATGAAATGTTATGTAATTAGATGCATATCGGTTTGTTGTAAAAACTTGGATACTTAAACTTAAAAGAAAAAACTCTTGAAAAAGTCTATTTAATCTCTTAATTTCATATCATTCATGCAAAGATTTTTAGGACTTTCTTATAATCTATTAGCTCCAATGACCTTGGCAACATCTAGGTTTTGAAATTAGGCTTGGATTTGTAATTAAACGTAATGTAATTAAATGGATTTTTTAGTTTATTGTAAAATAAAAATGCATTTGTTGAACTTGTAAAAAATATAAAAAGAAAAGAAGAAAAAACTCTTCTCTCTTCAATCCCTCAATCCCTCCACATGATTCATGCAAATACTAAATAGTACTTCCTGTTAATTTTTTCAATCACCATAGCTAGATTCTCTCCCTTACCTCAGCTTAAAGCCAACCATTAGTGTTTGAACAATTTTCTGAGCAGGTAATAGTCTATTCATGTAATTTTAGTCACCATAGAGCATTTGTTAATATATTGTAAAAAATAACAATGTTATTTTTTCAAAAGAACAGTCTACTTAGATAACTGTTACTGTAAACTTGTAGCAATTAATGTAAAATTGATTAATAATAGATATCCTTAATTGCACTCTTTTCTAGTTTGAAGCCAATAATAAATTAATGAGTATATTTCATATAACGTAAGACGTATAATAGAAAATTTATATGGAAATTTACATTTCTAACTAAAATAATTATTTTTTTTTTTAATTCTTGTGAAATAAAAATTGTGTCTATCAACTAGGGACAGAGGAAGTAATAATTTGCTGACACGTACAGTAAAATACTAAGCATTAATCTCAAATAAGTTAGGAATTACTACATAAAATAAATCCTTAAACTATATCCGTTTTGCTATTCATATTTAAATCTATATTAATGTAAATAAATAGTAGATATTTGGAAACAGCTCCCTTTCATCATCACCAATGTGTCCCACTCACCTCACGATGAATTACACATTGTAATAATTATGGGTTTTTTTTAAAAAATATCAACCCGTATAAAATTCTTTTATAAATCAATCTATATAGTTTCTATTTTATAGTTAAATATATATTAAGTTATAAATTTCATAAACAAAATGTTTAGACGTCTGCAAATCCTAGCAATAATGACAAAAATGGAATTATATAGGATATAAAAATGATGATTAAGGCTTCGTTTGTTTTCGTAAAATAATTTGCAGGAAAAAATTTTTCATAATTTTCCGTTGTTTGGAGCGTTCAAGAAAATAAGTCAATGGAAAATATTTTTCTAGTCAAAGAAAAACTAAGTCATTTTTTAAGGAAATAACTTCCCATTGTCGAGAAAGTAAAACATATTTCGTACATTGGCAAACTTTATAAATTCTTATTTTTTAGTTTATTAATCACCACAGTCATTACCATCCGTTACCATTTAGCGCCGATCACTACCACCGGCCACGGGTGGCTTTCATAATTTACATTTTTTTTATTCTTTTCAAATTTAACAATAAAATTTTTAAATTATGAAATTTCTATTATTATTAATATTTTTTATGGTCTTATGAGATAAAGAGTTTAATATATTAACTGATTTTCAATATTACAACCAAACAATGGAAGATAAGTCATTTGGAAAATATTTTTCAAGAAAAATGTTTTCCATAAAAATATTTTTCAGTAAGTTATTTTATTGCAAGTTATTTCACAGAAATAAACAGAGTCTAAGTATATATTTAGAAATAAATTTTGTAAAATTTTATAAGATTTATTTATTCTGAACAAGTCTTGCCGAGATTTTGAATGAATAGTTGAATAGATGCCCTTTTGTTATCTTCATATGTTGAAAATTTCTCTCTCTAACATATAAAAGGGATTCAAATTAACAATCTTCTTTTGTCTTCCATGTGGGAGTGGACGCCCAGCTCTTCAATCACATCCTGGATTTTGAAACTTAAGAGTTTGCTATTTTCAGAGTGTTTTTCCTTTGTCCTGTGGTAAAAATGGTCAGCCTCATGATATGATGGGTTCATGCATTGACTATACATTATGTTAACCTTTTAGTAGCCTGATCCTATACTCTTTTTTTTCCTTTCTTCCTTATAAAAATATACAATTTTCTTTTTTGAATTGATTTAATTAGGGGTTTAAACTCATAAAATTGTCAGTGAAAAGTATTTTCGGGTCAACTTACATACTCATCTTTGAACCTGCATGAGACAGTTAGGGGTTTTAGCCCCCATTTTTGCCCACAGAAACAATAATATAACAATTTTAGACATTATTTTCCCTAATTTGGTGACTTGATTGTGCTTTCTTGCTGCTCCTTTTGCTTCAAGAATTGAAGAACCATATAAGTCTGCATTTTTCTTTTAGGAGTTCATTTTTGGTAAAAATGGAAAATATATTACTGCGTAATGATTGGATTGTTTTTGGATTTCAGCATGCAGGGGACAATTGAACGTTTTCGTAAGCATGTGAAAGACACTCAAGTAACCAAAAAGATAACTGATGAAAACATGCAGGTTCTAATCTTTACTTTCCTCTTACATTTCACCTCTCAATTCAATTTATCTGATGATCAAATTAATGTTAACTATCTAAAGGAAGTCCTGCTCCTTCTAGTTAACGTACGGTTTAGGTTTAGGGCATCTTTTACTCCGTCCATGTATGCTATGGCATTCATCTCTCTGTATCTCTAAATGATTTACGAGGTAACCTCTGATAAATTTTCACTCGAATTTGATGAAATGGCAGCATCTGAAGACTGAAGCTGCAAGCATGGTTAAGAAAATAGAACACCTTGAAACTGCTAAAAGGTACTTTCTTTTTCCTTTCTCTTTAGGCCTGAACTCTTGTTTTAGAGCATGTGTGGAAGAAGATTAAATTTGAAATGGCTCAGGAAATTACTGGGTGAAGGTCTGGGTTTATGCACTCTTGAAGAACTACAGCAGATAGAACAACAGTTGGGGAGGAGTGTAAGCAGCATTAGAGCTAGAAAGGTTCATCCAAACCATTCACGTTTGCCTAAAAATCTTTTATTTTGGAATTATATAGTCTAAGATGCCCTTTTCTTTTGCAATTTTGCGTGTATTCAGAATCAGGTTTTCAAAGAACAGATTGAGCGACTACAAGAAAAGGTAAATTTATACTTGAGTTTTTATGCCAAGAACTGGTTATAATAATTTAAACCTGATTTTTGCAAAGATATTGTGAAGAACATATTGAAAGATTTTGGGATTACACATAAAAGAGAAAAGACTACCATTTTCAGAGCCAAAGCAAAGTGGGCCTTCTCTTCTTGTGTGAATCCAGATTTTGGTTTCCCAGTAGATAAGAACTTATTTAGGAACTTTTCCTTCTCTTGTTTGGTATGTGTTTATTTTTATATTATATATATATGTTTTTCAGGAGAGACTATTGGCAGCTGAAAATGCAAGACTCTCGGAAAAGGTAAAAATTTGAATAATTATATTTTTTTTAATCGTTTATTATTTTTCATGGGTACATAACGTCATTTGGCTGAAGAAGTCAAAAAAAAAAAAAAAAAAAAAAGGGAAAAATTAATTTTTCATGGGTACATAACGTCATTTGGCAAAAAAAAAAAAAAAAAAAAAAAGGGAAATAATGTTAGATAAGACCCTAAAGATCAAGGCTTAATCAAGGCTTGTCACCCTAATCACACCACTAGACACTAATTTTCTTCCACATAAAAATTAACAAGTACCCATCAATTTTTTTTTTTTTTTTTGAATTTTTTATTTCTTTAGTGTGGGATCCAACCGTTGCAAGGGTTTAAACAGTTAGGAGAACAAAACATGCCCAGTGAAGAAAGTAGCCCAGTTTCAGATGTGGAGACTGAACTTTTCATTGGGCTACCGGAAACCAGAAATAAGCGTTGCCGTCCAAGAAATTGATGGAAGGTGGTCCAAACCACTCTTAATCAATCAATCTATCTATCTATCTATCTATATATATATATTACATCTAGCTTCAACCATTAATAATAAAGGCTGTTGTATGGTAAATGTAATTTCTGTAGCATGTTGAAGAAACTTGAATCTTGATATGTATTTAACAATTAAATATATATAGCTACTTCAATTTTTATCTATTTCTTCTCCTATTTGTCTCTCCTACGAATTATCTTATAATTTATAAGTACTATAAATTATTTGAAGCATTAAAAGAAATTGGTAAACTAAGAACAAATTTATTTCTCAGAAGGGGATTCAATGTAACTTCGATCCTGCTAGGGACTCAAGGAACAAAGTATGCAGCCACATTAGACAAAAAAAACCAAAAAAAGAGAGTCGCGTACACACGAATTCATGAACACGGAAGAATCTCCAGGCAAGGGTAAATTGGCCCAATTTATCCTGACTAAAAGAACCAACTGATGCTAAGAGACATTTGTGCCAAAGCAGCATGACGACCATCTAATCTTTTATTAAGTACTGGCTCTGGACAAAATTTCAAGTACTGCTTCTTTTGTGGGTAGAGCAGGAATGGCTCCTTTTTCCGTTACTGTGATTGCGCCGCAGGCATTTGCAAAGAGAAGAGCATCTTTCAACTTCTTTTCATGCTGTGATAGAAATTTAAATTTTCATAAGCATATATCAAACATACATGTAGCCTAGAAGCAATGTTAAGTTATATTGTACCCTGTATAGACTTGGATCTCCCGCCAATTTTTTCAGAAATCCAGCCATAAAGGCATCACCAGCACCAGTTGTATCAACTGCATTAACTTTAAAACCAGGAACTCTACCTTGGAACATCTGCATGACAATCCAGAGAATATATTTCATTAAAGATACCTTAGAGTGAAATGTAAAAGCAACATTTAAGTTGGCCACTTTGAACAATGTACAACATCAATGTAGGGAGCCTGCATCCATGTTATGGCCTTTTGAAGCAAATAAAAGCTGTTAAAAGCCTAACAAGGAATTTGAAAGCCTAAAAATACTTTTGCACCAAACAAAGATAAAATCATCTTTCAGACATCTCGATGCTAACCTGCGTATAATAGCGGCATCCTGCGGAACCTTCGGTAACAAGCAATAGCTTAAGATTAGAATGGAAAAGCTTCATCAACAACACTTCATTGTCAATTGGATCATCACTTCCAATCAAGAATTTAACTTCTTCCTCGCTGACCTGTGAGTCCCAAATGAGCCCTACATTTAATATTTGTTTCACACATAACGTAAAGGGTGTCCCTAAGAGCCTCCCTAAATTTTGCAAAGCTCAGGGGAGGGTCGTCTATCAAATGCAGCCTAGCCCTGGCATCTTTTGCAAGTATGCTATTTCCATAACTTGAAGTAGATCCTTCAAGTCATAAAGGCGCAGCCTTTCTGTTGCGCCAAGGCTCTCCCTCTCTAATACAAAAACACAAATTTACATTTCCTCATAACTGAAAATGTGGAGCTATTACCTTAATAATGTCGGCTTGGTTCCATATGTCCATGATGCTGTTACGAGCAGCTTCTGCAGATGGCCACAATGCCAATCTCAAATTCGGGTCATAAGAGAGGATACAACCAGCCTTCTTAGCAATGTCCATGCCAGCAAGATGAGCTGACTTACAAGGTTCTTCAATCAAACTAATTGATCCATAGTGAAATATACTTGCCTGGGAAATAAACAAAAAAGACATGGCATATCAGCTACAAGCCGTAATACTAAAGCTGGAAACTGGGACACTCCAAAATAGTTGATTCAACTGATCTATTGTATCTGTAACAAATGAGAAAAACAAAGAGCTTCTGAGAATTGACAGCATTGTTGTGGAATAAAAGTCTAGGGCAATCAATCACCCAGGATCCTTTTACACAGAATTATTTATTTACCTTCCTTATTAGAGCTTCATGAATTTCTGTTTCACTTAGAAGCATATCAGCACTAGGATTGCGGTAAAACATGAATTCACGTTCACCATCAGGTCTCAGTGTGACAAATGACAAAGCAGTCCTTGCATTTGGATCAAAACACAAGCCAGAATTGTCAACTTTATTTTCCTTGAGAACATCAGCCAGCATGTATCCGAATTCATCCTCCCCCACCTGAGTGGCAGAAGGTTAAGTTGAAAGTTCAATCTATAACCATACTTCGAGATGAGTGGCTAAAATGGAGTAAAATAAACAGCACCACCAAGGTATATTCTGTATTTCATAATATCTTTTTAATGGGGCAGAATTGACATAAATATAAAACTTTTAGATCAGTGTAAAATCATTCTGGTTATAACTTTTATGGATTTTCCAGCTAAATAAATGTCTGCAGATTGTTCAGTTCAGTAAAATATTGACCTTGCCAATAAAAGCTGAATGTCCCCCTAATCTTGCTATTCCAACAGCAACATTAGCAGGAGCTCCACCCGGGGCTTTCTTAAAGCCAGATGATTCTGCTAATGAAACTCCAGATTCATTTGGCACGAAGTCGATTAGAATCTCCCCAAAGCAGACAACTGGCGATTCCTTACCCTGGGCTGCGTCCTTCCTTGAACTGAGCTTTTTCCATGATCCTATTCAATGGCTCTCCAGGTTAACAGCAAAGTAGCATTCAATAATATCAAAATCTACTTGCAATTTACAAAGGTCATAAATAAAGAGGGAACATAATCATTAAAAGAAACGAAAATCAATAAATTAACTAATAGAACATATAAATACAGAACTAAATTGGAGAACGAAGTGAATATACTTATGGTGCTACTCTTAGACAGTGTCGATGAGGAAAACTTCCTGAAGGAGCGCTCAAGATTCACATGGAAGCAACAACCTGTCCTCTTGAGTCCCTCCATAGAGGACCGAAAGCCAATTGAATTGTAACTTCCATTCTTTCACCACAAATGCTTCCATTATATAAACTCTTAAGAAACGGAAACTCCCTACATTTTTGCTTCTCCTTTCCCATCTCTTGACTTCTCCCTCCGATATCTTCTATCTCGGGAAATCAATCATCCATGGAGTATTGACCACCCACTGTCTCCCTCATTATGCGTGGATGTTGTTTTCGCCGATTACAAGGTTAAAATATAACTGATAAGTAAATTATTATTAAATTAAAATTTAACTCTACGAGAAATAACTATAATGGACTTTAATTATTCTTTTATCCAAAAAATATGTCTCACTAGCAGTAAAAAAGTCGTTAATGTGACAGTAAGATAAGATTGTCTAAAAAGATTTAAAAAACATGTCTCACTAACGGTAAACAGAAATAAAATTGGAAGGGCGTCGTACTTATTCAAAGTAAATATAATTTAGAGATTAATTATATTTTACTCCAATTATAATTTGGTTATGGTTATCGTCCCATGGTTTCCTTTAATGCCACGTCGCATGCTAGGGAAAAATTTCTCACAACACAAGGGAAAAGTTTCCCCCAGAAAATGTTTTTTCCAGTCATCCGTACATATTGTACAAAGAGAGTTAGCAAGCTAGCAGCCCATAGTTGTGAAGCCCATTGCATTGTATGATTAAACACTAAAATGCGTCACTCACCGTTATTAGAGATCCATAATAAATTTAGTACTATTATCGTCTTGGATAAATAATTATTTAGTCCTTCTAATTTTATCATAATTATAATTTTTTTTCATTTTATTTGATAAATATACTGAATAATCTTTAAACTTTAGCATTATTGAATTCAATTCACATTATTTTAAGAGTTAACTAATAATGTTTAACTATTTAAACCTTCACGCTTAATATAGAGCACATTTACTGTTAACTTACCATTTAGTATCTCATTTAAGGACAAAGATATTGAGTGGTAAAAAGTTTATCAAAACTAAATTTTTGGGATTGATCAGTGTATTTACCAACAAGAAGAGTGAAATTGTAATCATAACTAAATTTGAGGGACCAAATAGTTATTTATCCTTATTACTTTTTTAATTTAAAAGAAATTTATCCTTATTGGTCAGCAAGTTTCCAAATTATGATTGTATTTTGGGATATCTCATTTCTTAACAGCATAAAAAGAAATGAGATATGTGATATGTGATCAAAAGGATTCTATTTAGATTGGGAACATCTGAAAATTTAATGTCTTATAAATCCAGGACTACAAAGTGGCTAGCTGGTAAGCATTTTTCATGTCTTACATGTACATGTAAACATCATAAATCCCAATACAAAAAACCAAAAATATATATTATTATTATTATTATTATATATTGGTTAAACTGATCATGAAGAGTTCAAAGGACCCATCCCTGGATGAAGTTAGTCTCATTAACCATAGTTCTGCCAACAGAAGATCCTTCTGCAGCTTGAACATAGTGACGGTACCTGTTTAAATAATAAAACCTAGCTAATTTAGTATTGTTTTTAAGATAATGAACTTAAAGTTTGATAGATTATTAGGAATACCCAATTTGTAGGACAGGTCCAGGATCGCAGTCCAAGGGGTTGGATTGAGAAGTGTGCAAGCCAAAGTTGCCATTTCCATCTGCTGCACCAGAATTCCAAATTTCTTGGATGGCCTTAAGACTTTGTCCTTCTGCTTCCAGCTGAAATTAATGTTCAAGTGATAGATTATTAAAAACTAATTAATATTCATATACATATATGATAACTGCGTTTAAGCTGAACCTTAAATTTCAGTTGCTTGTTTAAGTCTCCAAGGTGACGCTCCTGACAAATTAAAGTAGAGCAGAAGCCATCATATAAACTCAACATATATAAGTTGCCATTTTCCATTCTGGCTGCACCAGAATTCCAAATTTCTTGGATTGGCCTTAAGACTTTGTCCTTTCTAGCTTTCCAGCTGAAAAATTAAATGTTTTCAAGTGTAATTAATTAAAAAACTAATTAATATTCAATATACATATTTGCTCATAACTGCGTTTAAGCCTGAACCTTAAATTTCAGTTGCTTGTTAAGTCTCCAAGGTACGCTTTCCTGACACAATTTTACAAGTAAGAGCAGAAGCCATCACTATTAAACTCAAGCATATATATATATATAATATATATATATATATATATAGCCACCTGATATACGTATATATTAATCTTGAGTTTGCCTTACCTTTTTGCGTCAGATCTATCCATTTGCTCAATCATTATCTGAGTCTGCCAGATTTAAGAACAAAATAGTATCAATGATCAAGCTAATTAATTTATCTGGAAAGCATTCCTGTAATTATACAGAATAAATAAAGAAGATTAGAAATTGGATAAAACCCCGAATCATTATTTTGGTTCCCTGGAAATATATAGGCGTTATATATATAAATATATACTATTATATATATATATTATATATATGAATAGAATATCTTTTATACCGTTATATTTGTTTTATAAAACCTGAAAAATATTTATTCGATATTAATAAATTGTTAAATATTTAAAAATTTAACAGAGCTACTAAAATTAAAATAAATAATTTAATATATTGGAATAGAATATCTTTACCGTTATATGTTTTATAAAACTGAAAAATATTTATTCGATATAATAAATTGTTAAATATTTAAAAATTTAACAAGAGCTACTAAAATTAAAATAAATAATTTTATAATGCTCGAATAAATTACCAGACAAAAAATTAATTAGTTACCAACTTACTATTTAGTCATATATATACACACGTTTATAAATTTTTGTAGTTTTTGCATAATTTGGAATTTATTAGAAATTTCATTAATTTTGATGAAATTTAGAAGATGATGATAATTCAGGAACGAAGTGCATATGATGAAAGAAACTTTCTAATGCAAGTGATATATTACAAACAAATGAATACCTTTCTTTGCCTAGCCAGTGCAAGAGCTCCTTCAAGTTGTTTCTCAAGATTTTGCAGTTCCTTGACGCTCAGCGGGCCAAGATCTTCTCCAAGCAAATGCCTTATTATAATAAAACACAGAATCACTTTTAGTAAATGTGTTTTATCCATATTCTTAATTACAGTGGCTCCCTGAGCTATATGAATTAGACATAAAATGAACATGAGATTAATTTGTAGTCTTGGAATACATAATAAGAAAATCACAAGTCTTACAACCTTTGAGTGCGTTGAAGAGATTCATACTTTGCCTTCAACTTCGCTACCTCTTGGTACCAGCTCTGCATTATTATAACCCAAAGAGAAAGAGAGGTTATTTTGAAAATTGCTACTGTACAATTCAAGGGAGTACTCATTTTCTAAAGAACAACACTTCCAGTTTCATTAAGAAACGTCAAAGTACATTACAGTACAGTACAGTTCAAGATTTTACCAAACACAAACCTGTGTCTCACGTTCAATGCTGTTATCTTGGGGAGTGAAGCAGCAACGTTGATACCGCTCGAGGGTTTTGGTTGTTCTGTAAATACAAGTTATTAATGTGTTTGTCAAATGCATAATATAAGAGCGTCAACTAATAATTTAACATATACTAGCTAAATAAGTTTCCATTTCAGATCATAAACCCAATGAACAACTTGCTAACATCTGAAAAGTAAGAAGCAATAAGATCTAACTACTGCTATACAATTACACCGACTATAATTTAACCTGTAAAGATTTGATTAACATTTCATACATAATGTCTTAGTTAACATTTTAATTTTAATTATTTTAACTCACATTATAGGGTTGAAGATTCTTTCATCACTGGGTTGCGTATATGTCATGTAGAAAGGACTTTTCTTTTTCAGAAAAAAAAAAGTTGGAAAATTTCATGTAGCAGAAAACCCAATGCTTAACTATGGAAAACAACCGATTCGCCTGATTCACTTCCCTGGCTCAGTGCTATTTTAAGCAATAAATGCCTGCCGTTAAAGACTATATTCCTCTACGTGCAAAAAGAAAATCACGATATGTTATGGATCTAAGATTCATGCGCGGAGAGAGAATGGAACATAAAACCTAAATAAAAAAAATTTTCTGGACCTTCTAGTAGTGAAAAAAAAAAAAAGAAGCTAAAGATCGAAAGTCTGTTATCTGGTGAGGAAGGCCAAGATAGTAAGAGAAAGGAACAATAGTCCAAAAGATTTTAGATCCAAAAATAAAAATTTCCTCCAAAAAAAAAAAAAAATGGAAGATGAGGTTACAGTTGATTTGCCAAGCACTTGCACTCCAATCGATTATGGAGTAAAAAGAGAGTAAAGCATTGGTAAAACCAGTAGATAAAAGGATTAAAAGACATGAAAAAGAACTGAGTCCCCAAAAGACCTTTTGGACTGACTGTTTAGGGCAACCTTTTATCTACAGATAGAAAGAGAACCCCAAAATAAAGGAAACCCTAGATCTTGCACAGAGGTCCGAGAAGAACCTCCATGAGTGATTGGACTTCTACAAAAACAAAATGCTGATTTTCAGTCACACAAAGTTGGTATTTCTGATCAGGTGAAAGGAAAGAAACAAATGGTAGTCTAGATAGATTATATATCCCTTCACTTTTCAATCAAACAGAACCCCAGAACCCAGAAGAGAGAGAAAAGGGTTTCGAAAAGGACGATGAAACGTGTCGATCCGTCATTGGGAAGCAACAGAAATACCCAGAATTTCAATCCATCTATCGATACATGTCTGAAACCCAAAAGCCCACAAGAAATCGTGGGAGCCCAACAACCGGAGTATAAAGCTAGAGGTTTCACAGAGAAAGACTTGTCAGATCAGTCAGATGATCGAGAAGAAGAGCACTGGAGAGAAACCAAGTACAGATCAATGGAGCGTTGAGTCATTAAAACAAAAAAAAAAAAAAAAAAAAAAATCAATGGAGCGTTGAGTCATTTTAAAAACAAAAAAAAAAAAAAAAAAAAAAAAAAAAGCATATGGCAAAAAAAAAAAAAAAAAAAAAAAAAAAAGCATATGGCATTGCAAGAAAAAGAGAAAAGAACGATGTCAAATATCAAGAAATCCAGCTTAAAGTAGAAATCTGAAACCAAAAAGATAAAACGCTCTTACACACTCAAAGAGAGCACATCAAACATAGTGAGATTTCTGCAAGTAGTTAATTTATCAAGAAAAGAGAAGTTTTAGGCAATAGAAATGCAAAACTCCTGTGTTTTTTTTTTTTTTCTTTTCTTTTTGAAGAGTAATACTACAAGTAAGAGGGATCAGGTCAAAGAAACGTACCCAGCACTACCAAATTCATAAAGCTTGCCACGACTAGAGAAGATAATAAGGGCAACTTCAGCATCGCAGAGAACAGAAAGCTCGTAAGCTTTCTTCAACAACCCATTTCTTCTTTTCGAGAAAGTGACTTGCCGGTTGATCTTGTTCTCTATCCTCTTCAGTTCAACTCTTCCTCTTCCCATTTTTGTATCGCTCTGTTAATTTGTGTTCAATATGTGATTGGTATAATATATATATATTTTTTGGTATGATGATTTCTAAACAAGTGTTTTATATAAATATACTGTGACCGTGTCTTGTTGCGAACTGGGAACTTGGTGTTATACAAAAATGGAGCTGATGAGAACAGAGAGAATTGGAGAGGTGATGATGATAATTGCTTGTCTGTGTGAGAAGTGGAAGTTAAGGTAAATGGATATGGAACAAAGGAGGGACACTAGATATTCTTTTACAATAAAATGGAAACCCAGCATTTCTCTTCTTTTTCTTATTCTCTTTTCCCTTTTAGTTTTAGCAACCCTTTCTCTTTTCTCTCTGTGCAGTGTGTACTACAGGCTTCCTTCAGTTTCTCCCTAAGAAATTTACTTTTTCAAGTCTCCTTACTCGAGCAGACACGACACGCGCTACCTCCCACAACGGTCAACAAGTCATGCCTAGTCACCTTTTTTTTTTTTTTGGGAAAAATTTGTACAAGAGATATATTAAAAATCTGTTCTCACAGCTAAAGATATATTAACCGGGCAACAAAAGACCTTAATTCCCGTAAAAATGAGAATACCCGGATGCATACATAAGCTAAGGATGAACATACAGTACAGTATATAACTACCGTACACAAGTATGAACGGCTGAAATAGCTAGCATTTTCTAAATCCTGCTATATAAGCTGCTCCAAGACAAAGACATGGAATCTAAACTGAATATTGTTTCATTTGGAATGAGTTTTGTCTGAATGATACTTGAGGAATTCCTACATGGAGTCTCAGTAATGAAAATTGTTTGTCCTCTAATTGTCAAAATTTTGCACTGAAAAGTAATTATTAATTAGTAAGTACTAATTTAGATGGAGCAATTAATATATATATAATCAACAAATTCATAATTATGTCCACTTTGTTAGCTCCTATAATTACTAGAATTAACTTCCAGTTTCGATTCTACATAATGAATGGTTATGCCCATGTCTTCTGGCATATTCAGCTTTGTGAATTTTAGTATATTACAAAATTTTGTTTTTGGGGTCAAGTGTAAGTGTTTGTATACGGGATTGATTTTTTTACTATTCACCGTCTGTCGCGGAGGGGAAGTACCAAATTGAGTCCCCACCGCCTTTGAGTTGGTGTTTTTCATGCTTGGACGTTTCCTTATCACACTTGAACTCAAACCCTTACTCAGTTCTTACTACTCTACACTACTTTGCTCTTATCGGGCGCGTCTTGTTCACGCTCATTCATGATTGCGATTTTCTTTAGTTTCAATAAAATTTTTTATTTTTATTAGTTTAGTGATTTGGTTTAAGAGTGAGGCTATGAATTCAATTTAGGGCAATTTTAAATTTGAATCGCCTATTCTTCTTTTTAGTCTGTTGAAATCATCTCATTACCAAATGGATGCTGCATTTCTGATTGAAAATTATATTAATTTATGCATGGATTAATTAAATAATTAGGGTTTTGTTTTTTTTTTTTTTTGACATTATTAGGGTTTTGTTTATTAGTTACTATAAGAAATAAAAGTACATGGATGATGTTACTAAAAAAATTAAAGGGTTTTATCATGCATTAAAAAATTGCGTTAATTATGAATTTGAACATAATTTTTTATATTATTTTTAATTTAATAGATGGTATATTTTGCATGATAGTATGAGTTTGTAATATAACTATCTCCCATGCACAAAAAAAAAAAAAAAAAAAAATTGGCGTTAATATGAATTTGAACATAATTTATATTATTTTTATTTAATGATGGTATATTGTGCATTGATAGTATGAGTGTCTGTAATATAAACTATCTCCCGATGCACAAAAAAAAAACAAAAAAAAAGGAAAAGAAAAAAAAAAGAGGGCAAGAGGAAAAAACTTTAAGTGGAAAATTTCTTTAATTAGGGCTGTCACGAGATGAACCAACTTGCAGAAAATTAGCCAGAATTGGCCATGCACATGTGAATGTAGAGTAAAAAAAAAAAAAAAAAAGAAAAGAAAAAAAAGGAGGAAAAGAGGAAAAAAACTTTAAGTTTGGAAAATTTCTCAATAGGGTGTCACGAGATGAACCAACTTGCAGAAAATTAGCAGAATTGGCATGCACATGTGAATAGAGTATTGACTTTCCCATTGCTGTGAGAACTTATATACATATATACAGCTAGCTATCCCTCAGAATTGGCCTGAAAAAAAAAATATGGTAACTAGAAAGAGGTGCAAATAGGATAAGAGTTGAAAAAGAAAAAGCAAAAACCAAAATGAATGGGTAATAGTCACAGCATTTAAACATAATTTCCTTAGTGGATGGATCCAGCTACCACCTATGGACAAGGACAAAGAAGCCTAGGGTTGGGTTCCTAAATCTGTCCCTATTGCAATAATGGGCTGAAAGACGTGGTGGTGGTGGTTAGGGTTTACCATTTACAGAAAGCTTTAATGGATGAATAGGGTTTCTTCAATGCAAATTTCTATTTCTTGCAATACCCTTCCCTATCAGCTGAGCTTTAAGCATGCCTTGGCTTGTTCCCTTGCAATCAAAGTGGAACAAAGAGTAGACAGTCAAATGGGACTTGCTTGGAATTATCTTTTGTCTCTTTTCCATATTCATTATTCATTTGATTTCTCCTATAAATATACTTATCATCATAACAATAAGGTGGTTCTTTAAATATTATTTGGTGATTTTTCTTTTTTATTTTCGGCCTGTTAACTGTACTGAAACTTTGTGTAGGGATCATGGGTCCTTTCCCTTTCACGGCACTGCAACTCATGTGGGAGGTGGGGCACATGTGGTTTTTTAATCTTCCATATACATTGTCTTCTAGGTAATTTTTTTCATATAGGTGATCAAGTCAATTACCAAAATTTTTTTTATATGATTATAAATATTTTTTTAACTAAAACATTAATTGTGATTAGTTTGGTGTATAAATGGATTCCTATATCGAAAGTAGATAAAAATTTCCTGTCTTCCAAAGCGATGAAATTTAGATTGGGACAGGATTCTCCATATCAATTTTGATTATGTGTGTGATTATTAATTTCTTGATTCTTTTTCTTCAAATAAGCTTGTTTGACGATAATTAGCATTTTTTCATTAAGGAATTTATTTGAGAAGGAAAAGACCAAAAAAATAGGGAAAATCAGACACCCTAGCTAGTAGTACATGTTACATGCATAAAAGGTGTAGGCCAACGCATCTTGTTAATTAATTTTTACACGTCAATCAATTAATGTTAATCTTATGCCAATAAGAAGATTTTTTCCAATGTGTGCGACTGTAGACTATGGATATGGACAGTACAACTAGTTGATGGGTTTCCATTAAACACTTTGGGTCCCTAAAAAGGCCGAACTCAACATCACCCATATCTTACAAGCCCACTCTGAAAATCCAAATATCCAGTCGTCTGCAGCTAAAGTTCACCGGTGTGGCGGTGTCATCAGCTCAATAAACACAGCTCTTAAACTTTCAAGAATCTTCGTTTCGGCATTCGAGACGCAAAGGGAGAGATGGCGGGAGTGTCGGAGGTGCAAAAGAGACCAGGAGGGCGGCCATTGGGTCCTCCTCAGAGAGGTCCTCCTCCTCTTCAACCTGTTGATCGTGAAAAGGTACCATATGCTCATCTTTCTAGCTCAGTTAATTGATTTTTCTAGGGTTTTAAAGCACGCGCATATTTTGCTTCAAATAAGGAAGTTCACATCGTGTGCCTAAATGTTGCTCAAAGTCTAGGGTTTCAAAGCCTAATTCTCCTTCTCCCTGCTCTATCGCTCAATTGTATGACTTGATGTTCTAATTTGGTTGCTCTTTGTTTATGACTTGATCACTGATTAATGAAATATCAAAATATCTGTTTCAAAGCTTGTTAAGTCCATTAGACCACGCTGTGTGGTATTCGGCTGCCATTAGCATTTATCTACCAATTTGTTAACTGAACTTCATTTGCAAGAGTATGTGTTCCTTAGTTGATTATTTTAATGTATTCTAATACTTTTTTGTTTCCGCCCTCCCATTGAGAACGCAGACATGTCCTTTATTGCTTCGTGTTTTCACCGAGGTATGTTCACTACACTGAGCTCTTACTGAATTCTTCCCTTTAATTTTTTTTCCCTTTCTATATTCAACATGTTACATAAGTATGTGGGGACTGAGAATGATCATTAAGGAGGGGAATGTGAGGGACTCGACACACAGTCCACACCCCGATGGTCAATAGTAATATGATGTGATAGAACATTAACTACTAACATTACTTTCCAATTCATTGTTTTTCAGGAACTCAGCTGGAATAGTTTGGCATGTTAATAATAGATATTTGACCATCTTTTCCATCTCAAAATGCTGTTGCTGAACTCGCCCTTGTAAATTTTTTTTGACATTGTTTTCTTTCATATCTATGGAAAAAATTTTTTGATGTGTAGTAAGCAAAAAGATAAAGAGGGATTCTGTTCACTGTATTGATGGAACCATGCACAAGAAAAAAAAAAATCCAATTAATTCTATGTTCTTTTATTGATTTCTTGTAGAATCAAAAAAATTTTTGCTAGAAAGAAAATAGACAGCTTTGCCTACCTCATCTGAGCTTTAAGCGTGGTAATAAGTTTTTTGCTTGAAGATAGATTCTCGCGAGCTGGCTAGCATTAGGAGCAGTTCCCTGTCTCCTTATTAACAGGGATGGTTATACTTTACTTCACAACCCAAGTAATTGAATGTTATCTCTGAGCAACACTGGGGCATTTTACTCCATCTTAGGCAGGAGCCTAGAGTTAATGGTTTTGGTTGCTCTCATCGTACTAGTTTTTCTAATAATCTCATTTGAAGGGCTGGTAGGTTTTATAGTTACTATCCTTAGAAGCTATTTTGCGGCACATTATCAATGTAACTATTATTGTAATATCTAAACTCTGCAATCCATATGGAAATCTACATGAAGGTTGACTTGCTGAATTTCCTGCAGATAGGGGATCATCATTCCAAGGAAGAGTTTGCTGTAAGAGGCAAGGAGCCCAAGGATGAGGTTCAAATATATACATGGAAGGATGCCACTCTTCGGGAGCTAACAGATTTGGTATGTAAACATCATGTACCATTACTTTGCTTATAAACATCTAATGGAAGGAAATTTTTCGGTGCCTTGAATATTAGTATTGGTATGATGATAGGTAGGGAATGCCCTGAAACTCAGTATTGCTGGTAAGTTTGTGAGCACGTTGAATTTCAGTACAGGCCCAAGAACACCTTGAAACTTACCAGATTCTAGAGATCTCAACATTTACATAATCAAGTCTAGAGTCCAGATGTAGTTCTGAGAGAGGCTAAAACTGCAAGATGATTGGGAAGTATTACATTGTTCATGGAAAGATAAGTTGATGAGAGCTGTGCAATACCTATGTCTCACATTGATTAGAAGTTTCTACTTATCATTTCTTTTCAATAATCTCACTTCCCTAATGATGATTTCTACTTATTGCTAATCAGTGTCATACTCCCACTCGCAATTACCTTTATCATTGCTTTCCTTCACCCCCTCCCTCCCACCCCCTCTCCTATAGCTTTGTTCTTTTCACTATTTCCTTTTCCTGTAATGTTCTGGCTCATAGGGGAGAGGTTGGTCTAGCATTGCTCATGGAGCACAATCTTTTCCTCTGCAGTAGCTTACTGGGAAGTGGTGTAAATGAGCCTTTAAGATATGGCATTGAAAAGTGAGAATTGGCAACTCTGTCATTTCTATTTAATCAATTGCATGACATTGGAAGTGCCTCGTGTGTTATAAATTATCTCCTATGTCTGATTTTGGGGTGCATGCCTTTGCTATATCTTTTGGAGAAACTTATTTTTATGTTTTTCTACATTTTTTTTCTCCACCATCTTTGTTTCTAGTCATTTTGTCTCCATGCTTATTGGGATGTCTTCACAGGTCAAAGAGGTGGCTCCAGCAGCAAGGAGAAGAGATGCAAGACTGTCCTTTGCTTTTGTATATCCTGACAAACATGGCCGTTTTGTGGTGCGACAGGTCAGTCACTCTCTGTTTCCCGTCCCCCCTCTGGATGGGAATGAACTTCAGTTGCATATTCTCTATCATGTGCATGTATAGATCCCTTAAATTTCCTTCTCTTGTTCTTCCTTTCTTTTATCCTCTAACCCAGAAACAAAACCCCCCCACAAAAAAAATAGTAAAGTAGATCCCTATTAGGCGAAATTCAAGAAATTAAAATCTTATCACTATCTTTATTACTATGAGCAAGGTGTGTTGGTTGAGGTATAATTGAGATTTGCTGTAAGTTTCTGATTGTGGAAAACTTCATTGTTTCCTGAAGGTGGGAACGACAATTTCTAATAGAAATGGGAAATTGGATGACGGGAAAACATTAGCTGAGCTTGGTTTCCAGGTAAAAGGGAATACTGTTTCTGATATGTTTTTTTATTCTAAACCTGAGTGTTGCTAACATTTGTTTCACCCCTGCAGATTGGAGATTATTTGGATGTTGCAATTATGTAGAGAAGTTTTCACATTTTTTAGTTTTTACGGTGTATTAAGTTGGTGCATCATTAGTTTGATTTTGGATGTTTGTGGTAAGATTATAACAATGTTGTATTTGCCAAAGTTTTTAGAATATTAGCAAAAAGGATGAACCTTGTCAAATAGTAGACAGGTGGTGTTATCTACTGCATCTTCCTTATTTCATATCTTGTTTTATTCTGCATGTTATTCATGAACATTTTCTACAATTTAACTTCGATGAGCTGCCCTAATTGATTTGAACGTTTTTAGATGTTTGGGGCCAGGTAAGAGGATGCTAGTTGTGGTTAATAATTAGTCCCCATCTCAGCGGTGCAGTTGTTGAGTTGAGATCTCCTCTAATCAAAAAGTGCCGTTGGAAAATAATGTATTCAGTAGTTTAAATAACTCTATTACTTAGTTATTCAGCTCTTAATTTCAATAGCCATTTAATCATCAACTCGGTGCATCATTTGCCTCGTGAGATTTATATTGCTTTCAAGTCTCTAACGCATTAGTAGATACGTCAGGATATCAATACTGAACCAATCTTCATTGGTAACCATAATTATTACTGTATAAGGGTAAAATTGGAGAAAATATTTTTTAAAATGATTTATATTTTGAGTTGGAATGATTATTAATTATAATTATAAGTAAATATTAAAACTAATGTATTCTCCAGCGGTAATGGAACGGATGGAGCAATTTTTTGTGGCACCGACTTAAGAGGGTCAAAAATCTGTTTAACTTGAGTCAACTCCTGCATTATGTATTTAATCTTAATACAATTAATTAAAGATCACAAATTAATTACCTCTGTTTATTATTAATTGATTGATAAACAGAATTTTGTTATTTTTTTAATAGGCCATAATAATGATAATGTGTAATTACTTTTATTTAGCCTCACAATCTATTGTCATGATTGATTGGTTTTTCTATATCTGTTATTCCTAATAAATTTAAAAAAGAAAAAAAAAATTATCGTCGGCCTTGGTTGGTTTCTGAAAAAAGAAAAAAAAAAATTATGGCCGGTAATAATGCGGTGGAGAGAGAGAGAGAGAAGAGAAGAGAAGAGGAGAAGAAAAGCAAATTCCGAAAGTGAAGATAGGTGTTCTTATCCAATCCAATAAACTCTCTCTTTCTCTAGAGTTACGTTTTGATGAAAATTGATAATTTTGAAATTTAATTCTAATCACAACTCTTTTACTCTCTGCATTTTGCTTCGTTTACACGCTTTCCCACTTTCACTCCCATTCTTGTCTCTTCCTTCAAATGCATTCCCGCTAGATCTCTTCTCATTTTCGCTCGTAAGTTCTCATTTCGCCCTCCTTTTATCCTCTCTCCCCCATTTTTCAGTATGTGAGTTTGTTAGGTTTTGATTTTAGGTTTTCATAGGCAATGGCGTTGAAGCGTGGATTTTCTGGTGTCGGCATCCACAGGAACCGAGGTGGAGCCGGAGGCGGTGGATCTCGGTTGCCGATTGCACTTGTCATTTTCTTCTCTATTCTTGCGCCGTTGATTTTTTTTGTTGGCCGGGGACTTCATACAAATGCTTCGATTGGTTAGCTCTCTACTTCACTTCACTCGTTAATTTCAATAATTTTATCTGTATTTAGTAGATCTCATTTTCCATCTCCAGGAATAATTCATAGCTGCTGTTAGTGTTTGCTTTAACGCTGAAATTGTGAAGCATCCAAAGTAATCAAACTAGACGAATATTGTTTGAAGTTCTAGTGTCTCGTGCCATTGATTTGATTACGTATTGTTTGTTTTCATTATTGCTCTAGTTGCTTTTGAGACCGAAAATATACTGAATTTTATCCCTTTAGCATGGAAAACCACCCACAATTCTCCAGATAGTTTCCAGGCAATTTCTTGCAGCTTTATTTTCCTTGGAAACAGGCATGGGTGAGTGGGAACAAGTTAGATTTCTTTAAGTTGTGGCCACTTCCCCAATAGATGCACGGTAGTTGACTTATGCATGACAAATTATATTATCCTCTGTCTATCTATTCGCATTTTTGTTTCAGATGTGATCTTATGTCTAGCTAATTTACAGATATTATATTTATGCCACCTATAGACTCTGAGGAAAATGTTTATTGTTCTTGTTTTACCATATACATAATATCTTCTCTTACATTTCTGTTTGTCACTATGATTTTCAATTTGTGGATCTATGTGATCCTTTGCCTTTTACGAAGGGAAGGACTTTGGTGACTCTGGTAATTCTGTCCTAGTCTATTTGCTGGGGTGATCTTATTTAAAGAGGAAAAGAACTTCTTTCTTTCCTCTCAAGGATGGGAAACTTTTTAGCCATTGCTTTTTGGATATGTACTATTCTTTTTTCCCCCCTTATCTATATGCACATATGCATGCTTGTTACTCTTTTCTGGTTATACAAACTTCATGAGCAGTTTACATTTTGCTGTGTTCATATGCATTCTGGGGAGAGAAGTTGCATATATAATTCCAAGAACGAGACCCAAGATTGTTTTGGCAACAAATATTGAAGAGAGTGGTCAACGAGTTCAGTGCCCTTTCTACAATTGATATTTGATGTATTGTCTCAATAAGGGGTTTAGTGTTGTAACTTACTTTTGGTACGTAGCCCAATAGTGTTCATGCCCAAAGGCGAATGAACTCTATATTCTCAAGTTTGCAGCTTTTATTTTGCCAGTTTTTACCATTCAAGTTTATTGTCGTCTTAATGCATTCAGATTAGAGTGTGAGACTGAACCAAACAGATAGATTTCTGTACTGAATTCTCACAATAATCCATATTCCTCCCTTTAGGGTGTGGTTATATGGTCTGCTGCTTTCTTATCTTTGATTTTTCCTTTTAGGGATCAGGCATTTGTATCTTTCCATCTTCATCCTTTTCACCCTCCCTCTTTGAGGCACCCTCAATCTTATCCACATGCATGGCGTATAATGTGGTTGATTTGCTATTCCGAACATGCTATTCCACTATTATACTTGTAGCACGTCAATTAAGTTGATCCAACTTTTGCTGTTATCTTTTAGATTTATAAGCATTTGTCTGAATGTAATTTGTTTGCTGTTTTGTTGAGCTTGTGAGTCCTATGTTTAAAGTGATTATTACTGCCTCTGCAGATCAAAATAGTATCCCTGTTGGTTCCAATAAGCAGGTAGCTTCTTCAAATCGTTGTCATCTTATCCTGGTTATATGTTAGGTAGCAGGTTTTACCTGCTTCTTCTGTATCACCTAAAAAAGACAGACTTGGTTGATTGGTGCAGGACTTGGATTGGAGAGAACGGCTGGCCTTGCAGCATGTTAAATCTCTTCTCTCAAAAGAGGCAAGTGCCAGTTGTTGATAGTTGGTTTACCAAAAGTCCATATTTATCAATTTCTTTAGTGGTGATTATATGGTTTTATATTTATATTTTTAATCGAACAGCCTTCTAATCAAATCAGCCTTATAGGTCATTGATGTTATCAAAGAAAGCACAGCTGATCTGGGACCTTTAAGCCTTGATGCGTTCAGAAAAAACAATTTGTCAGCTTCATGGAAAGTTGTAGGTGTGGAGACATTAGTCAAGAATACCAGCACTTCTGAGGTGAGTACAACTATATCATATCCTGGCATTAATCTGGTGCGATCTTCTGTATTTTCTGCAATAATTTTCCCTATAAAATTTCTTGCCAACTTCTGTTTCTTGTCATTGATTGTTTTTGTTTATTATCCATTTTTATAGCCAAACAAACCAGCTGCAGTTGCCAAGCAAGAGGCACCTAAGAGCAAAGGGGATGACTTCTCTGGTAGTAGTTTTTCTTTACTTGATTATTTTGCAAATAGTTACTGGCTGCATTTTGTTCTAATATGAATCTGATTATCCATGCAGATGATCATTCTCAATCCAGTGACTCACCTGCCAAATTACTTCGAAGGGTAAGTATCATTCTTGTAAGCATTACATTGTAATTGTTCAAGTTTTGAACTCCTTTTAGTATCTTAATCCTTAGAAAAATCCATAGGACTTCAACTAGATAATTAATTTGATATGAGCTTTCATTTTAGTTATGTTTCTGCCAGTCTTAGTTGTAATTTTTATTTCCTTGTAATTCTACAGCAACTGAGAGAGAAAAGGTGGGAAAAGCGTGCCGCGGAGTTGGTACGACAAGACAATGAAGTGATTTTGAAGCTGGAAAATGCAGCCATCGAACGTTCTAAATCAGTTGACTCTGCTGTTCTTGGCAAATACAGTATATGGAGGAAAGAAAATGAGAATGAGAACTCTGACTCAACAGTACGCATAATGCGGGATCAGATGATAATGGCAAGGGTGTATATCAGTATTGCAAAGATTAAGAACAACCTTGACTTGCACCAAGAGCTACAGACTCGACTTAAAGAGAGTCAGCGTGCTGTAGGAGAAGCAACAGCTGATTCTGATCTGCATCACAGGTGACACAATTTTGGATGTCTCCGTCCATGGAGTTTTTTGTAATCTGCTTTGTTTCCTTATTTCCATGTTGAATTATGATGGGTATGGAATTTGTTTGTTTTTTATTTTAAAAAAAATTTCTAACGTGTATATCATTTACGTTTAGTGCTCCTGAAAAAATGAAAGCTATGGGCCAAGTGCTGTCAAAAGCAAGAGAGCAATTGTACGATTGCAAGTTGGTTACGGGAAAGCTTAGAGCAATGCTTCAAACGGCAGATGAGCAAGTTAGGAGCTTAAAAAAACAGAGCACATTCTTGAGTCAGTTAGCTGCCAAAACAGTTCCAAATGGAATCCATTGCTTGTCTATGCGCCTAACAATAGAATATTATCTTCTTCCTCCAGAGAAGAGGAAGTTCCCCAGAAGCGAGAATTTGGAAAATCCTAATCTTTACCATTATGCTCTTTTCTCTGACAATGTCTTGGCTGCGTCTGTCGTTGTCAACTCAACCATCACGAATGCCAAGGTAATTCCTTAGTCTGTGAATTGTCTCAACTCCATTTTTTTTCTCTGGAGGGAGAGTTGAGTTCAAACACCACTTATTTCTGAGGGCATAATTTTGGACTTCCCTTAAACCTTATGCACCATTACAGTGTGATCCTTGAACAGTAATTTTGTGCAATCAAGTACCTGAAAAATAAAATTATAATAATTTGTTAACTTTTTGATAAGTTAAACTAATTTTCAGTATTAATTAAACCATTAACATCATTCTTATTATCACTGGTTATGCACTGATTTAGGTTTTGGAACTTTATAGATTAACCTTTTTTTTCTTTAATTAACTCATCATCTTTTGTATATCATTTTAAATTTTAGTTTTTGGATTTTAATGGTTTATGATGGGCTTGTAGTTGATTTTTCCTTAAAACTACATACAAATGGTTCTTGATAATTAGTTCACAATTTTACTGGACCCTGACTAAAAAATTCCCTTTTAAACGTGCTTCTTGGCTGTACTGCAGGATCCTGCAAAACATGTATTCCATCTTGTTACTGATAAGCTTAACTTTGGAGCTATGAATATGTGGTTTCTGCTGAACCCTCCAGGAAAAGCCACAATCCATGTTGAAAATGTTGATGAATTCAAGTGGCTCAACTCATCCTACTGTCCAGTTCTGCGGCAGCTCGAATCTGCTGCAATGAAAGAGTATTATTTCAAGGCAAATCATCCAACCTCTCTTTCATCTGGTTCTTCAAACCTGAAGTACCGGAACCCAAAGTATCTTTCAATGCTGAACCACCTGAGATTCTATCTTCCTGAGGTCTATCCCAAGTTGGATAAGATCCTGTTTCTTGATGATGACATTGTTGTTCAGAAAGATTTAACCGGACTATGGTCAGTAAATCTGGGTGGAAAGGTGAATGGGGCAGTGGAAACCTGTGGTGAAAGTTTTCACCGCTTTGATAAGTATCTAAACTTCACAAATCCTCATATTGCAAGAAACTTTGATCCGAATGCTTGTGGATGGGCATATGGGATGAATATTTTTGATCTTAAAGAGTGGAAAAAGAGGGATATAACCGGCATATATCACAAGTGGCAAAAAATGGTAAGTCTTTGAAACTTTATTTGTTGTTCTTGTTATGTGTAAACTATGATTTCTTTCATGGCATTTTAAAGTGAAGTATTTGTTTAGTTATTAAAATCAGGAGTTAAATCTGCCTCTGTTTTTTGGTCAGTTATTAAGTGAATGTACAATCTCCTTACGTTCTGACATTCTTTTTTCATTTTATTGGATACCAGAATGAAGATAGGGTGCTCTGGAAGCTCGGAACATTGCCCCCAGGTCTAATTACATTCTATGGTCTGACACATCCACTTGAGAAGTCATGGCATGTCCTTGGTTTGGGTTACAATCCAAGTGTTGATCGGTCAGAGATTGATAATGCAGCTGTTATACACTATAATGGCAACATGAAGCCATGGCTAGAGATAGCAATGACAAAATATCGGACGTACTGGACCAAGTACATCAAGTATGATCATCCATACCTTCACAGCTGCAATCTGAGTGAATGAACTCGATCAAATTCACTAAGGTACAGCCAAATGGTGTTCATTCTCTCTGTGCAAATACGAGTGCTGATGAACTGATTTAGAACATGAGAAGGAAATGCAGTTGAAGGAATGCAGTTGAATTTTCTGTGCTGCATTTCCTTCTAGCCCATATTGTTTCTTAATTGTAATTCATTAAATTTGTTTTTCATTACCCCTTATCCATTTGAACTAGGTAATAGAGATTATGCATTGCTGACCTGTAAAATAGCATACAACGCAGTTCTTTTCTTCTTCTCGCTCCCCCTTTTCATTTCTTTAGAGCTCGTGTTCGATTTCCGACAGTACCAGTAAAGCTTTTATATAAAAGTGAATGTGTCGAATTCTTTTTACAATGACCTACTAATATGATGGATTATTTTGTTTTTTTTTTTTTTTTTTTTTTTTTTTTTTTTTTTTTTTTTTTTTTATTATTTTTTTTGTATTTTTTTTATGCTGGCTGATTAATATCCCAAGAGGTGGAAAACTTGATTGGTTGGCTGCTTCAGTAAGATGCTATTGTTCGTTTGCACTTGGCTTGATGCCTGGGTCCAGGTCTTATCTTTACTAACGTGTTGATCGGGTTCTCTGCATGATTTCAAATAGCTGATGCGAAGTGTTGCGGAAAAATTTTCTTAAATAATTTTTCCCAGACAGATGTGAATAAAGAAGGATTTTTTTTTTTTTTTTTTTTTTTTTTTTTTTTTTTTTTTTTTTTTTTTGCTGCTGATTAATATCCCAAGAGGTGGAAAACTTGATTGGTTGGCTGCTTCAGTAAGATGCTATTTCCGTTTGCCAGCTTGGCTTGATGCTCTGGTCAGGTCTTAATCTTTAACTACGTGTTGTCGGGTTCTCTGCATGATTTCAAATAGCTGATGCGAAAGTGTTGCGGAAAATTTTCTTTAAATAATTTTTCCCCAGAAAAAGATGTAATGAAGAAGGATTTGGCACCAAAAATTAATTTGAAACAGTTAGTTGAAGTGTAAACATATATGTAATGTAATTGAAAGATTCTAATTCCCGCAATTCTTTAGAATTGATCTTTCTTCTATCATCTTGTAGAAACACAGTAGCACAAATCACAGTCAAACATGGCATTATCGCTGCCCCCCATTATCTCCATGACTGACGTCCACCTAAAGGTACTGAATTCCTTTTGGTAAAATTATTCAAACGTACGGAAACGTGGATGGTGAAAATTGGCCTTGATATTTATTTATAAAACAAAATTCTCTAATAATTGGTTTGTCTGTTTCTTTTATTTATTTAGTTTCTGGTGAAAAAAGCAATGCTTCTTTTATTATTATTTAATTTACTATAAGCAGCAGAACAGCCTCGGCAAAGGAATCATGTGCTATCATCTTTTTATAGGCACCACATGTGGGCTGGTGAATCGTTTTTTTTTTCCTCAAAACTGCAATATTTTTTATTTTTTACTTGAGGTACAAATTCTATCCTCAACTTTTAACTCAGCATGAAGTAATTAATTAATTTTGTTAAAAGTGATATTCCTTGATTTAGTTCAAACACGCGTTGCATTTTATTTAATCTAATTTCAAAATCAAAATCAAAATCAAAACACAATATTAATATTCTCTTTTTCAGGACATACTATCTAATTATTTTAGCTTTCTGCCTCGGTTCAAAAATATAATTGTTTATTTATTAGACATGCACAAATTAACCAAAAAGAATCATATCATAGATTCAAATTAAAAAAAAAAAAAAAAGCTTAAATCTCACACTAATCAAAAAAATTATTGTACGCATAAATTTACTGTCAAATCAATAACTTTAGAAAAGTGGTAAAAAACGAATCTATCGTAATTGAAAAATGTACTACAAGGATCAAATTGATGGGAAATTACAAGATATTTGGCATGGGCAAGATTTGATATTTACAATAGTATATGGGTCTCCACTTCCTCCATAATCTACACCTTGTGTGGTGGTGATGGAAACATTACTCAAAGTACCTCCACTAATTCTCTACTTAGTGGTTTTTTTATCCTTAGTTTCTCTGCAAGCTCTGGAATTTTAATATACGACCATCTTTTCTTTATCATGGAGATGGAGATGGAGATTTAATCAAATCAACGCGCTCCTTATTGTCCTTCCACTACATCTAACTTTTGGGCAGTTGAAAGGTTACCTTCTCCCTATCTCACATCACTGATAACATTTTGTTTCCCTATCAGCTTTTCCTCCAAAAGCTATGAGAATCCAAGAAACAAAACAAAAAGAGAGGTATATATGGCCTACATATATATATAAATATAGATCTACAACAGAAATAATAATGCACATGAAAAGATACACATATATATATATATATATATATATATTATATGAAAATGAGTATAGCTATAGCGTCAAAAGGTCCAGCAAAATTGGAGCTTGACGTAGAATTTGCTTATACAAATAAGGTGGCGTGGAGGATCCAGGGCACACATGGCTGAAGCAAAACCCAAAGTAGCTTTCTGACTTCCTATATCTGTAAACCCTAACTAACATTATATTCTCTTCAGTTAATCCACGCAGTTGGCATCTCTCTCTCTCTGTTTTCTTTTTTCTTTATTTTATATGTTTTCTGCCATTCCTGTGGTAATTAAGTTAATATAGTAATCTTTTTATAATTAGTTATAACAAGATTACTGTATAAATTATTTGAAGTCCAGTTATGTATTACATGTGAACCAAATTGGCTTTATACAGTTACAGATCGTAGGCACTAATTAGTTAAATGAAAACTCAAAATTTTCAACTTACATATTTAAAGTCTAAATTAATTTAATTATACTAGTCTCAAATAGCAATTATTTAATGTAATAAATAAAAAAAAAATTGGAGACGGGGTTGGTATCGGAAATAAAGAATAAATGTAGGAGTAAAGAGAATTAAAGGAGGAGTTGTACATGCATGCAAAAACAGAAACAAGGTCGAGGCAGCAAGAATCTGGGGAAGGCCAAAAACAAAAGTACATGGAATCCATCCTTAATTTCCAAATAAGAAATAATAATAAAAAAAAGTAGCAAAAATAAAAGAAGCTAACTCTCTCTCTCTACATATATTTGTATTTGCTTTATTCCTACAATTTGCTTCTTTCATTCATATGATTCTGTCCAACATTAAGGCGTAGTCACAAAGACCAGCTGGCGTATTTTTTTGGTGTTTCTGTTGCCTTTTTCTCGCAATATCATCAGCTATATATTGTTTTGTTGCAGCCAGGTTGTGAAGACATCTAGGGTTTTCATGTCTGCCCTGTAATGCTTCTGTGTAAATTCTAGCAGAGTTGACCATGTGAAGTCTGGGTACTTCCTTGGATTTTTCAAGTCTACCAAATTATGTGGTGGTTTCACTACCTTCTCCATGTTTGGACATAGAAAGAAAGCCAATGATTTCCTTTCTCTTCTGTTATTTACCACTGCTCTGTGCAAGCAACTCTTGAATATCCCATTTGATAGAGCCTGCAGGAAGAATCCAATTAATTACGTAGTCAACTATTTCAAATCAAAAAATAATGTGAATGCATAAAATCTTTCAGTTTTTTACCATGAATGTATCACCAATATTAACAACAAAAGCTTGTGGATCGGGTCGAACAGCATGCCATTTATCATCGACGAACACTTGCAGGCCACCAACTTCATCTTGATGAAGAATGGTTAATGAGGTTGGGTCACAGTGAGGCCCAGTTCCAAGAGTGAAGTCTGGTTTTTGGCAAGGAGGATAATGATTTAACCTCATTATTGAATCATTTTCTTGAAAGAATTCTCTAAAGTATGCTCTTCCCAGTCCCAGACTTATCCCCAACAGCTCCATAATACCAAGGGACAGACTGTTCATGGCTTCGCAATATTCTTGGTACACCTGTCTATATATTATATTCGAAAACAAAATATATGTTAAATATTTCAAATTAAAGATCAGTTTAATTAGAATATTGATATTATCTTATGCTTACCCAAATTGTTTGAAATCTGGTCCCATAACGTTGATGAAATATTCTTGAACAATGTTGGACAAGTTATCGTCAGCAGAATATCGGAAAGAAAGAGTTTCTTTCCACGGAAGTTTTGAGGAGAACCTGCCAGTGAAGCTGCTCGCATAGCCACAGTGCTCTCCTATCTTTCTTTGAGCTCTCTGCTTCTCTGCAAGTGGCATACGAAAGAAAATGTCCATATACTCATGAGCTTTAGCTATAAGCTGCGAATCAACTCCATGATTAACAACTAGAAAGAATCCATGCTTCTTGCATGCCTCATTAACAAGCTCTATTGTTTTTGCCTCAACTTTTGGGTCTCGGGACAAGAAACTACCCAAGTCGATAGGCGGAATCTCAAGTTGTGGCGAGTCAAGGCATGGTTTCTCATCTTCAGGCCAAATGAACTGAGAGGGTATGTTGGATTCATGTTGAAGAATCAACTCGAAAACCAAAGGTTCTTTCTCTTGTTCGACATGGTCTGCTCGTTGGGGAGGTTCAGGAGGAGACATTGCTATTTTTCAGTTAATGCACTAGCGATCAAGAATCGGCATGTATATATATATATACATATCAAGAAGGAGATAGGAGAGAGAGAGAGACAGAGAGAGAGTGTATTTTAATAAGGGGTTGGAAGGGAGAGGAAAGAAAAGCCAAGGCCGTTCTTGGTTAAGGTGAGGGAACAAAAATACTAGAAGTAGAATCTTATTGTTTTCACTGTTGCGTCATTCCTCTCTAGTCTCATGCTTCGTCCTTGTTGCTTCAATTACTATAATCATTTGCTAGTGTTTGTTGTGGTTTTTTTATTTTTATTTTATTTTTGGACTTTTTTATATCAAATTTTTAATTAGAAATTAAATTTATGAAACTCATAACACTTTATATATCCATATTTTCAAACCCATTTTCCCATTTTCTTCTCTATTATCCAATTTCTTTTTTTTTTTTCATATTTTTCTGTATTATTATATCAAATGTAAAATAGAATTTATTTTATTCTCCACTGAAATTTATAATGATTTCAAGAAAATTTGCTAATAAATAATTTACTCTCCACTATTGAAATTTCTCAAAAATAATTAAATCATTATAAGAAATAAAAATGAAAAAATTATAATTAATTTTCGTTTCTAAAAAAATAAAAATAGACCTTCATAAATAGGCCCTAAATCAAATGAATATTTATTACCCATTTGATATAAGATTTTTTAAATCAGAACGTGCATGTATAACTTAATCCCAAATAATTACTCTCTTAGTTTCAAAATTATACTCTCGATTTTAAGGCACTCGATAAGGAAATTGAAACTATAATTTTAAGACAAAGAGTATATTAAATAATGATTAAGTGTCAGAGACCGAAAATATATATACATACACACTGTTTATCTATCAATGCATGAGTATTAAATAAATTTTTAAAGGATAAATTAAAAAAAGAAAAAGAAAAGTGTAAAGGAGCTATGAGAAAGGAGGTCCTCTTTGTGGGATGCCAATAAAATTCCCACCAATTCTGGCTGTGATATGTACATGTTACATTGTGTGATGGACCTACTTTCCTATAACATTCTTTTTCTTGGAAATACATCTCTTGTGTGTGTATTGCCTACCATTTTTTTTAAATAAAAAAAAAAATTTATGTATATTTATATATATTCCCTCAACAAATATGGCTGCAGAGATTCCATTTTTGTAGAAGAATGAAAAGATCGAGTTGCCCAGTCCTATATAGTATTTTGGAGTGGTCAAGAAATTAATTACAAGCACAAACCCACACATTTAACCTTATATATGTATATATTAGTTGTCGAAGTAAAAGGAGTGAATAAATCTTGAACAACGGCAAGATTCGCAACATATTGAGGGAGAGCTGGAAAGGTAATCTTGATAAGCTGACTCACTTCCATTTATTATGAGACATGTCCATAAATTTATTGGCTGAAGGATCATATGTTGACATTATCATTTATTTAGATTGAAATATGACTTTTCCTTTATCATCGTGTATATTTTCATGCTCGAGTTAATCAAAAGTGATATTCAAATAACGACTCAAAATTTCAAACCCGAGAGAGATATTCTATTAATTATGTATATATAGATGGAAGTACTTTTTAACTTTTGAAGCATTACCGTTAACCAATGAGAAGTCATATATATGATACACTGGTATTGGAGAAGTAACATAACAAGAGTAGCAAAAGAAATTTTACCTCAAAAGGCAAACGACATAACTTGCTTTCATCTTCATGTGAAAGAAAGTCTTTTTTTCTTTTTTTTTTTTTTTCTTTTATCAGAAAAAATTTGGACAATTTCCCAGTCTATGTCCTTTCAAATTTACAATAAGCCATAATTACATAGTAGAAATGAGGAATGAAATTGTAATAAAGATGGGTTAATCCAAATTTATTTATATTAATTGTGAGAATATATTCTGTTCCAATGTTATATACAGCTCATTACATTCCATCCATGCATATTAATATAGATAGATAGAAACACAAATCCAATGAATGAGTAGGAACTTTGTGAGACTTGAAGAGATCTAGAGCATCAAATATATAAACCTGCAAGATTTTAATTCATGTTTTGTCCCATCAAATATATAATTTTAATTCATGTTTTGTCCATCAATAATATATATATATCTATATATGATATTTCAATCATGCAGTTCAATTTGCATATTCTTGTTGTCTATTTAATTAGATTCTGATTCTCGATCTTTTGCTTACTGAAAGAGAATTAATAATGATAGTATTGCAAGTACCTCTCCCCTTGAAATTAAAGGGCAGTCCACTTGAACCAAAAGAGATGCTTCTTTTTCATTTCACTCTAATTTATTTAGCTTATAAACCAAAATCTTGGCAAATTAATTAATTAATTAAACTAATATGATACATGATTTTTGGAGAGGCTAATGGCTTACCACGTATCCATTTGCTTTGCTTCATTAACTCAATTCATATATTAATGGATGAGATGAGATGAGATGAGATGCTCCCATTAATATAATTAATTCCTAACATCAATATATACTTACTTTGACCTTCCAAAATATTAATTAATTGCATTTAGTAGCTTAATATGACTATGTCAACTCATCATTTGTACCTTCATAATCTTCTTCTTCAGTAATCTATCTATAAGCAACATATTACATAACTCATTAAAAGTAGAAATTGCATCAATCAATTAAAGAATGGTGGGAAGTAGCGTTGAATTCAAATCTTTTAATTTCAAATACCTTCACTTTAGCTATTAAGCCAAAGCGTTATTCGCAAAATTTCTTGTTTGAAATGAATTAATTACAACATACATTATCTACAGTATTGTAGCCATGATATAAGTTGATTTCAATTTTGCATTTTTTTTTTTTTTTTTTTTGTTAGTCAAATGATAAGCCAAAATGTATAAACCATAACATCTAAATACTTCAAATTATAAAATTACGTATATTAACACTTTAACTTACAAAATACTTTACTTCTAGAATTTAGTAGTTATGGAAGAATTTCAAAATTTTTTTAATACATTTAGCATCCTTAATTATATTATAATTATATCTTTTAATATGATGTAACATGCTTGATGAACATAGTTATTGGTGTTGCATGCATGCACATTTACAGGCTAAAAAACGAAAGAAACAACAAAGACTGCATCCTTAGCGACTTCCACAATGTTATTTCTCTTTTAAAATCAGAAGAAAGACGGTTCAAATTAGTTAAATAAGCGTCCCTTTAATCACTCTAATCGCTATCCATTGCTCCACACACTTCAATATTATCACTTGACAATCCCTTTAATATATAATAATAATAATTAATTTCATTTATATTCTCTCATCAGTAATTTTGTACGGATGAAATAGTAAAAGACAAAACAATATATAGCTACAGTTTGCTCTAACAAATAAGTTCAAATCTTGAATGGCATTTGATTAATGATTAACCATAATGAACCAATTGGATAATTAACCAAGTTGGGTTAGTGCCTAAGGTTCTGCAGATGTATTGATAATCATATAAAGCAATTTTGGATTTTTATGTGATGGAACAAGTTGGCAAAACCGTTACGGTTAGAAGATATATTACTATATATAGTACTAGAGAAAAAAACATTAAATTTGGTAATACTTTGTCTTGTCGATAGGGCACCATTGGGTATTATTACACTGCAAATAATTATCAAATTCGAATAAACTAAATGCCATAATTGTCTCCTTCTGTCTGTAATGTGAACACTTCTGAATGCTTGTTCTTTTCTCTTTTTCTTTTTGTTCCTTGTCATATACAATGTGCATATCATCGTGTCAATGATCACTTTCTTTATTAAATTACACAGTAAAATGGGCTTAAAAACTGATAATGATAGGCCTAATTTAAATTCGATTAGTGTAGGATCAGATTCTGTAATGGGCTTAACATGCTAAAGACTATAATATTATTAATAGGAACCATCTGTCCTTGGAAAATGGCCCAAAATTTGCTAGTCTAGGCCCAAAAGTTGCCGTGTGTATAGGCCCAAAATCATTGGAAAAGAGCTGCCTGCCCGGAGACTCCACATTCCTGTGTAATATTGCATATTCATAGCGCTCCCCAATCTTTCTCTGAGCTCTGCACTGGGAAATCAAGGTATGGTCTTTTTTGTGCTCAGGATAAAATAATAAAATAAAAACTGTTAGAAAGAATCAACTGTAGAAGTTATTAGCCATAATATAAAAATTTATACATTAATCACAGTAACAAGATCCAATTCTGGACATGTATGTCACAAAAACTAACAAAAGCCAGTTCCTTCTGTCCTCTGTCTTCTTCGGTCTTTCTGCTTGAAGACCATCAACTCATTCATCCATGACTGGAGAAAGTAAGCGCCCGTTAGAGAAAACTGCTTCCAAATTCCCCACAACAAGTTTACACAAAGCCATGAAAGATTCTGGCGTAAAGACTGCAATATGTGGAGATAGAACAACATTATCCATTCCAAAGAGCTCTTTAGGAACATGAGGCTCATTCTCAAACACATCTAATCCTGCACCTGCAATTTTTCCTTCCATCAAGAACCTCACCAGTTCCTTTTCATCGACTATAGCTCCGCGTCCAATGTTAACTATGACGCCTTCCTTTCCCAACGCAGATAAAACTTCCTTATTGATCATATGTTGGGTTTGATCTGTTAAGGCACAACAGATGATGAGAGCATCACTGTTAGCTGCAAGTTCACAAACACTGGAATAAAATGGGTATGGAGCAAAATTCTTTTTCTTTCTTGAATTGTAAGAAATAATGCAGCCAAAAGCCTCTAGTCTTTTAGCAACTTCTGAGCCTATGCTTCCCAATCCAACTATTCCCACTCGCTTCCCTCCAATCTGAAATTACCATCCACAGAATTCAGTTAAATGCATTTTACATTCAAAATAGACGACGAAGAAGAAGAAAATGACCTTAGAAGCTAGGGGATAGTCCCCTTTTTTGACCCAAAGCCCCTGCCTCACATAACGATCAGCAGCGGAAATCTTTCTCAAAACATCAAAATACAAGCCCACTGCGGCATCTGCACCGCCGTCGGAAAACACGATACCGGCATTGGTTACCGAAATTCCGCGTCGGCGGCAGGCAATTAAGTCGATATGGTTGATGCCGGCACTAGCCGTGACGACAAGCCTGACTGATGGAAGCCGCTGGAGTAGGTCATCGGTCACAGGAGAATCGCCGGAGCAAAGAATGGCTTGGATTGAGTTGGCGTGTTTGGTTAATAATTGGTGAAGAGGGAGTGGCGACTCCCATGCTTTCAACAACTGATATCTATTTGACAAAAATTGATCCTCTCCGAGGACCGTCACGACTGGTGGCGGTTTTAGGAGCAGAACTTGTGGGAGGTCTTGGGACTGGCAATTGCGATTCTGTTCTTGATTGTCCATCAATGGCGAGTTGAGAAATGGAGTTTGAATCGCTTCTGCTCGAATTCAACTGCTGACGTCGCTAATTGTGTCCTAAGATTAATGGGTCACTTTCAATTGGACCCATATATTTACAGCTGGACACCAACTTATGGTGGAAATCTTTGAAACGAGTTTTTTTTTTTTTTGAACGAACAAGATTCTTGATTTGTGTTCTATAAATGTGAATGAAGCTATACAAAATCATAAACTACAGAACTACAGCCAATCTTTTCAGGAAATATCAATAATCAATCTCACAAACGGAGCCTTTATTATAATCAACTAATATTTAAAAACAGAAGAATTAGAGCGGCATATTGTAGCATTCAATCATTTCTAACAGGAGAGAGTAAAGGTTTATTGGAAAAGAAAGCTTCCAGATTTCCTATAACAAGTTGGCACAAATCCATTAAAGTTTCACTGGTATGGGCAGCTCTGTGCGGAGATAGCACAACATTGTCCAATTCCACGAGTTCTTTAGGAACGTTAGGCTCATTCTCAAACACATCCAACCCAGCACCTGCAATCGTTCCTTGCATCAAACACTGCACCATTTCTTGCTCATCTATAATTGCTCCGCGTCCAACATTAATAATCACTCCGTCTTTTCCCAGCTCTGATAACACTTCCTTGTTAATCAAATGGTGGGTTTGTTTCGATAATCCACAGCAAATAATAAGAACATTGCAATTAGCTGCGAGTTCACACACATTTGAATAGTATGGATAAATTACAGACGGCTTCTTCTTCCTTGAGTTGTATAAGATATTACAGCCAAAGGCCTCTAGCCTTTTTGCAACTTCTAATCCAATGTTTCCCAATCCAACAATCCCGACTTGCCTGCCTCTCAACTGATCAAATTCATAATTCATGTTGATGGAAATGGAGATTCAATAACAATAATAATATCTTTCATATTTCAAAAAAATTTGTAATGAGAATTATATAGAATGAAGAAAAGCAAATTCTAACCTTAGAGCCAAGAGGAGAGTCTCCTTTGATGGGCCATGAGTCTTGTCTCACATATCGATCAGAAGCAGAAATCTTTCGTATTACATCAATCAACAGTCCTACTGCTATATCTGCAACATCTTCAGAATACACGCTACCAGCACTGGCTATGGGGATCCCTCGTTCTCGACAAGCTTGCAGATCTATGTGGTTGAGACCGGCGCTTGTGGTGACAAGAACCCGGAGTGACGGAAGCAGCCGGAGGGTATCCGCTGTAACTGGACAGGTTCCTGAAGACAGCAGAACTTGGATAGAACTTGCATGAGAGATCAAGAATTGGTTGAGAGGAAGAGGCGACTCCCATGCCTTCAAGAAACGGAACTTTTGGGACAATTGGTCCTCATGGAATTTGAAGAGAGGTGGCGGTTCAAGGACTAGGACTTGTGGCAGCAGATTTTCTTGTTGATGATCGTGATTCTGAAGAGTATGGCAAGCCATTGATATAGCTGGAAGAATCGCAGATGAGGAGAGTATTCTTTTCGTTTTGTCTATCGTTCTTGCAGATGCAACTCTATACCCCAGATTCTTGCAATGTTTTGTTCTTTTTTTATAATTTTTTCCACCGGGTTCTATTTACGAGATTCTTGCAAGTTCCAAGTAGACAAAAGCAATTTATTACAATTACAATTTAATTAATTATTATAATAATGTGTCAAATGCAGATAAATGTCACACTAACCTTCACTGTTGACATACAATCAATAGACAAAAATATTTAATGTTTAGTCCAGGCAGTACACAGGGGGTGAGCAACCGTCGGGTTGGGTCAAAACCCGATGCCCGAAATAAAGAGGAATGACTTTACCGATCCAATTCTTTTAAAAATTCAGACCAACCTGAATAACCCCTGTAAAATCAGGTCTGCTTATTCGGAATCCATTTTAATCCGAATTTCAATTAAACAATTTTTTTTATGGCTTGAAAATTTTTTTACGTGGCTCTTGTGCAATCAAAATTTTTATTTGGATCCATAATCAAACCATGATAATAAAAGAATTTGTCTCAAAAAGTAATTATTGCTCAAATAACCATAATCGAAACATCATAAAACAATAATAAACTATAATCAGCATCAAACATTCATAATTAAAAAATTATAACACAATCAAACCATAATAATCACAATCACACAAATCACAATCAAACAATAATTTTTCATCTTCAAATTATAACCCACCGTAGCAAATTAAAAAGTTCTAATTAAATATTTATCATACATAATAGACATACAAAACATAAAAACTTAAATCAGTTATTCATAATTTTAGTTGCTCAAGAAAAAATGCATACCACCTTTAACAAAAAAAAAAGATTTTGATTTGGGATTTTTAATTTTACAAGTAAAAGAAGAAATAAAACAGCATGAGTCATGTAAGGAAATAAAAAAAAAAATTATTTTTTCGGATCCAGTTAAACAAGGTATTTACCTGACCCACCCGAATTGAATAAGGGATATACATCCCTCTAATTGACTGACTGACCCACCCAATCCAAAAAACTCATTATAACCCTGTATTTTCGGTCAAGTCAGGTTCAGGTTTTGCACAGCCCTATTGCACCCACGCAAATCACCTCCTTATTTGACACTATTGAACAAAAACATAGTCATCTGAATGAAGCACCAACGGAGTATGTTTAACACATACTTCGTATATATAATACTTCTCCACGATTTATGCCCTATATGTTAGATGCTTATGTGCCATAAGCACATAAAGAATGATTGTTATTCAAAACCACAGCCAATCATTAAGAAGAAATGATTATTGGTGATTCCGAATATACAGAGCCCATCCTTGAAGGTCATGCGCCTAAATACTTTTAACAAACCTAGCACTGAATGATGATAAAATAACATTTCTTGATCTTTTCTCCTCCATGACTTCTTGATCCCGTCACCTTTTATATCCTGTGCGCATGGAAGTGCATAACCACATCAAACCATTTGCAACTACGATATAGCAACTTTTTGAACTTCTGGTACTGCTAAAAAGCATAAGAAAAAGTGCGCACAGAAATTACTCAAAAGGAATCAAGTAAACCTTGCTAAACTTTTCTGGTCAAGTAATTTGCAATTTCCATACAAACTATGCAAGAACAAAACCCAAAACAGAGAACAAAACCCAAAACCGCATTTAAAAGATTGGCAAACACCTAGACAAAGAAAATGGTCACTCTTACAAGAAACAAATAAAGCATGATCAGAAAACAAGGTGTCAATCACCGTGACCAGCAGGCAAAATTTCTTTAATAATGAGACAGCCGATTGAAACTTTCTTAAAAATCATATTCTTCACTAACAGAGAATTAGTCAGAACCAATAAAGAAAGTAACCTATGACTAGAACGTTCCACCAATCATTCATCCATGTATTCAGAAAGTAAAGGTTTGTTTGAAAAGAAAGCTTCCAGATTCCCAACCACAAGTTCACTTAAATCCTTCAAAGATTCTGGTGTGAAGACAGCAGTATGCGGCGACAACACAACATTTTCCATTGTAAAGAACTCTTTAGGAACATCAGGCTCATTCTCAAACACATCCAATCCGGCACCTGCAATCTCTCCTGCAACCAAACACCTCACCATTTCCTTTTCATCAATAATAGCCCCACGGCCAATATTAACAATGACTCCCTTTTTACCCAGAGCTGACAAGACTTCCTTATTGATCATGTGGAAGGTTTGCTTTGTCAATCCGCAACAGATGATGAGGGCATCACAATTGGCAGCAAGTTCGCTGACATTTTGATAGAAAGGGTATGAAACATTTGGTTTTTTCTTCCTGGAGTTGTACGAGATATAGCAACCAAAGGCCTCAAGCCTTTTTGCAACTTCATATCCAATTCTTCCCAATCCAACAATTCCAGCTCTCTTGCCACTCAACTGGAATCACCAGTCATCCAGAAAACATAATGTCAGATAGTTAGATGTCACATTTCAATCACAGTTCGGTGAGATTTCAATTTTAGAATTGTTTACTTAAGTTGCAAGTCATTTTCGTCTCCATTTTATTCCATGGGTTAGACTCCACCATTGACTTCTCTTTTAAATTCAGTTTCAAAGTGCAGTGGCGATCACTTTTGCTGTATACATGTTTGGCATATATAAGCATCAGTAGCAAACTCAATTATCTATTGAGGATGTCAGAAATGATGTTAGAAAATTGGCCTTATTCAAATTTCCTTGTAAAAGGATGTAAGAAATGGCTTTTTTTTCTTTTTCTTAATCAATTACAGGAAGCGTCCTTTAATCAAGGCGAAGTATATAGTTTATAAAGATTGCCACACGAAAAGACGTTGGGAGTAGAGATTTTAACTAACCTTGGCACCAAGAGGATAGTCACCTTTGGTAGCCCAAAGCCCTTGCCTGACATAGCGATCGCTGGCTGAAATCTTCCTTAAAACATCGATTAACAAACCAACCGCCAGATCCGCTACGTCAGCGGAGTAGACATCGCCTGCGTTGGCGATCGCGATTCCACGGCGGCGGCATTCAGGAATGTCAATCTGGTTGAGGCCCGCGCTGGTGGTGACCACGACGCGCACCGCCGGAAGCAACTGCAGGATATCGGCGTTGATGGAAGCACCACCGGAGGCAAGGACAGCCTGTACGGACTGTGCATGCGCGGCCAAGAACTGATGAAGAGGGAGCGGTGATTCGTATGCTTTCAAGTACTGGAATTTGGTGGAAGTAAAGGATTCTCCTTCAAAAAATTGGAAAGATGGTGGCTTTTTGAGAAGTAGCACCTTTGGGAGGTCCTCTGGTGATTCTTGAGGATCGGTCGACGCCATTTTCTTCTGGTTCTCTGACACTGCTGCTGGAGTGGGGCTAGAACCTCGGCCTTTGGCCCGACAGCAGTCAACTTATCTCGAGACGGTTGCTTATGATTTTAAGCCCTTGTTTTGAGAAAGAAAAATACCGCGAGAAGGGAAAACAATGAAACTATTCCACGTCAAACAATCTAATTTTCTTAATCAATTCTTTTTCTTTTCTCAAATTTAGAAAGGTTTTAGTTTTATGAGCATAAAAGGAAATTAATTTATATTTTTTAAAAAAAAAGAGAAAATTCTTTTTTTAATATTTTTCTTTTATATTTCCTTTCCTTATTAAAAAATATTCCTTAAACCAATAGTTGGACTAAAAAGCCAATTGGACTGAAATAATATTGTGTTTTATACCACAAAAGGTAAACCTTCCACTATAAAATAACATAAGAAGATTAAGAACACACTTGATTAACAAAAAAATTATTTAATTGTTTTCGTTTAAAAGTTAATGATGTACAATGCCTTCAAATGAACTAGTATACATAAAAACTTTGAAAACAATTCTTTTAGCTAAATTAAACTTTGATTAGTTCATAAATTATTAATATAAAGACATTAGAAAAGAAAAACTAGGAAAAATTGTTATGATTATATTAATCATTTTTTCTTAAAGTATATATAATGTGTGTGTGACAAAAGAAGTACTAAAGTAATAATACTATACAATACGAATATTTGTACAAAGTAATTGAATAAAGAACAAATAATATCTGACCTATCACTTAAAAGTAACTAAATCACTTAGGGCATTTTCATTAGAAATTCTTTTCAGATTTACTGGAGAAATGAAAATAAAAAAAAAAAAAAAAAAAAAAATTTACTGGAGAAATGAAAATAAAAAAAAAAAAAAAAAAAAAAGACACCTGGAGATACATAATAAATATGAATAACACGTAGATAAATTGAGCAGAAGAGCCACGCAAGGGACTTTACAAGCTGAGTTTTAACAATAATTACATCTAATAATATGCATTGGTCAAGAAAAAAAAAAAAAAAAAAAAAAAAAAAGAACACCCTGGGATACATAATAAATATGATAACACGTAGATAAAATTGAGCAGAAGAGTCCACGCAAGGGACTTTACAAGCTGAGTTTAACAATAATTACATCTAATAATATGATTGGTCAAGCAAGCATAAATTAGTCTAACTAGGAAGGAACATAAGGTTCAAAAAGCGTTACACAAGGATTTGGATCATATTGCATGATATCTGCAGCGCGTTCAAACTCCTCCCTCAGTACTTTTATGCTGTACTTATCCACTACTCTTCCCAGGTCATGAGATATCTCAAAGGGGTCCTCTATGCATATCAAATGCCTATCATTCCCAATTCTCCTTGTCCAGTCCTTTTCCCGTTTACTGCGTAAATAAACATTGTGATTACCAGTCAGTCAATTGCAGGAATTATCTTAAGTCGATTTCTCACCTTATATCACTAAACAATGAAGAGCAAAACCATCTATCCTCAAAACTATCAACTGCATAACAAGCGGTTTTGCATTTTGTTTCTACCATCAAATTTATTGACAACTAAAGCCTAAGTTATATCAAATTACAAAGGGAAAAAATTCCAAGTCTCAACTTTGTCAACACCAAGACGAGCCTTTTTCATTATTATGCTAAATATTAACATAGATTGTCATCCAAGAACAGAAGAAATAACTAAGTGTAGTTAACTGATTGCTTTCCTGGGCCAAGCTGGACCCATATTTGACCAAGATTTATTGCCTGAGTGAAGCCTAAGAATTCAAGCGTAACCCTTTTACCAAGTGCAGTTAACTGATAGTCTGAGACCAAGTCAAGCCTAAGGTGAAAGCCCTTGCCCCAGCAAGGAATTTTGCAGGATAAGGTAGGGCCCCTGGACCATGAGCAAGTGTGGGAATAACCATGGCAATATATTTGCAAGAGCATTAATGTGTTATTTCATTCTCATGCTTGAGCAAACAAAATCCTAGTAAAGATGCCAAAACATCATATCACCTGATTATGCTTCCTGTGCGGATTGATATAACAGCATTTGCATAATCATGACGATATGCCCAATAATTGAAAAATGCCCACACCAATTGAGCAATTGTTTCCTTGTTACGAGATCCAAAACCACGAAGCTTTTCAACTTGATCAAAGTAAGCACATTGAATGTCATCTACAGCGACCGAATATGTTGCCTCCATTTCCTATAAGGCAGAAGTTAACATTAATACTTCATGTGGAAGCCAAATACATTTATACTTCGAAACATTAAGTAACAAAAGAATAAAAAATATTTTGCACCAAAAGATGCCAAATAATATAAAAGTGAGACTTTTAAGGTTGGAAATCTGGAGATGTTATCAAGTGAAACATGAATGTCCATTGAAATCTTCTCGCTCACATGGTTCTCATGTGAAATGAACTTCTATGCCATGAATAACCGGTCCTATAACCTAAAAATTTGAAATGAAATGATAAAGAAAGAAAAGGCCAGAGCTTCCAAATAGCCAGACGTTTTCTCTTCACATGCCATTGCTTGATGAGGTATTTATTCATTTAGTGGAAGCAAGAAACTCGAAATCTTGGTTCCATGAACAGTAAAATTTGTATTTTATGTAAGGAGTATCCAAATTTCAGTTACACTAAAGCAATATTAGTGGGTTCAAAAGTACTCAGAAACATACTCCACAACGTCAGCCTTAGAAATCAGGTATCTAGACTATACTCCAGAGACATGATATGTGGAGAAAAGAAAATGCCAATGAACAAAAGATGGGTTAGGCCTAGCTGTGTAACTTTTTTGAGGAATTGGCGACTGATGATAAATGCGATGGCATCTAATTAAGAAGCAAAATCAAAAAATAGACCTGTAAGCATGGAAGAATAGCCGGTCTACGCTGTTGTAAGAAATGAATGCACATTAAAACATACCTGAAAAGAAAGAAAAATTAGCTAAATAAATAACAATTAAAGGAATATAAACATTTAAAATCTATTAAAATAGATAGCTGTATGTTTCTGAGTCTGGAATACCAAATAGTTCTCAAATGATAACTCACGCATAGCTAGATAGGGTTCCATGATAAGTTTCATTAACTCCTCTGGATTTTGCCCAATGTTTAACTATAAAAGCCAACTGCCGCAACCTGACATCAATTTGTGCATAATCCCACAGAAGCTTCGTATTTACAACAGCCAAAACATTGTTTATGCATATGTCACAAGAGATTCCAGTTACTGGATCCATGAGCTTTACTATTGGGACCCTAGCCCGTGTCAATGCCTGTTGAGAAAGATTAAGAAATGAAAGAGGTCATGCAAGAATTCAACCTAATGATGAAAGGATTCCAAGAGAAAATAAACTTAGATGAATTAGTTTTCTAGAAAACAAAGACTGGGACTTATAATTGACCTGTAAAATGAATTTTCAAAAGGTACCTCAAAGCAAAGAAAATATTATCTCATATGTTCAAATATTATTTATTTTCGAAATCGCATTTTTAGTTCCAAAATCAAAAGATCTTTTATTCCACTAAAATGGTAAGCATTAGTTTACTTTACAAACACTGAGGAAGAATTTTTGTAAGCAATCAGAAAATAATTAGTGCCAATCATCTCAGAGTGATCTAAAGGCTCAAATATCAAAATCAACATAAGAAGAAATATGACTCTCTTATGACAAGATCTGCAGCTTTACTACTGACATCACCAAGATTCAAAATAGTAATTAATTCATGCTGTTAGAGGCATTACTCTATCAGTCTTTGCTTATCCAGTGTACTTTTATGGGTTTTTCTTTATGAACAATATATCTTACAACCCATTTTGCTCTTCTCCAATATTCATTTTTTTACGTAAGAACAACTAATTAATCATGATATATTGAATTCCAAAGAACAATAAGAAGAAAGACTAGCATATTATTAGCAAATGTTTCAAAGTAAATCTCCTGATCCACATCAAGCATATTCACCAATATCCACCAAATATCCAAATAGAACAAGCATCCAAAATATAAAAAGGCAAAGTTAGAATGAATGCTAAGGCAAATCATATGTACCATGAAGGTTTAACCTAGTAACCTCTACAGACACTTTATAGTAGACAAAATAGAAAGAGAAGTGCCGTAAGGGGCATTTAAAAGCTGGTTTCCATGTAAAACAGCAGCAAAACCTCACCAAATTAATTAGCCTTTTATCAATGGGTTAACTAATGGCAATATAATTATGATACCAAATAAACTTTATAAATGCATGACTTGAAAATTTATAAAAGAAAGAAAATGCAGTTTTATCGTCTCAAGTCACAGTGTCAACAGAATTCCCGGTAATAGTTCATGAATAGCCTAAATGATAGCTCCAAGCAAAAATAATATCATTCTTGCTACTAGCACCTCGAAATGATAAAGAACAGTTAATCATTTCCTTAGAAAATTCCTCTCCAATTTTCCAAAATGACTTCCTTTCCAAAACCATCAACAAGGACTTATTATAAGAACAGCTTTTCATTATTTAGGGTATTGCAAATTGAGATTTACATTATAAAAAAAAAAAAAACAAAAAATAAGCCTAATTCTAAAAATTAGCTAAGAACAAAGGATAAAGAATTTAAAACATGTATTTATGCATGTTTTTGGCATTAAGGCTTAGTCGTCGTTGTTGTTGTAAACTTAAAACCTATCATAACTTGGTTCGGGTTTTCTGATCACTGTAAAAACTCTAATGACGGAGACGTTTTAAATGATTAGTGTCTGCAATGTTTTTTATCAAAAAGTCAAAACAATCTTATTCACCTGCACATTCTGGAGGTTATCTGATTGCAGTATATCTGCCAGCTTTAACAACACTTCGGACTTGTTAATATCTGCATTCTGGATGGCAAGGCAGACATCAATATCACTCTTCAGAACCCCAAATGAGTTCGCACAAGAACCATAAAGGTATAACCTAGCTTGAGGCCATTCCTTGTTCACTAGTTTCTCCAATAAGGATAATAGTTGCTTCTGCTTTGCTTTTTCTTCCTCTGGAGGTACTAGTGACTCATAAATTGCAAGAAATGGAGCATTTAGCCTGTCTATGTCTCTGCGACATTCCATTTGCCTTTTAAGCATTCTCATTCTTTGGCTAAGTGTTCGCTGTCCCCTGTTATCTGATCTAGACTCCTGATCATAAAACCAAAAGTGAAAACAAGAAGATTTTGCAAATTTGCAAATATCATTCCTTGACATTAAATCAGATAGCAACAATTAATTTCATGCACTGACCTCATCTTCATTTTCATTAAGAAAATCTTCTGATCACGTATCACATCCAATTGATTAGTCGGATATAGACCATTACATCAAAGTTCATTTAAGATTGACATGAAACCTTTAAATAAAGTTTGATGCAAAATTTTTGAACATGATCACCAAAACAAACAGATATGCAAAAGTTTGGTTCTTCACAAAGAAAAACCAAATGTAAGGGAATAGAATTTACCTTCTCACGAGAATGCCGATTTTGCTTCTTGTCATTCTTTCCATCAGATTCACCCTCAAGCAATAAAGAATCAACAAGTTCTTCACCAGCTTCATCCAATTCGCGACCTTCATCCTTCCCGTCTTCAACCACTTCAGCCTCCACGTTCAGCATAGACAGTTCAACATCGGCTGCTGAAACAGAATAGAGATTACTCCCTGCAGGCGGGCCTGGGCGGTCAAGCTGTCCAGTGAGCCCCAAATCTCTTGAGCGATCACCATCCCTTGGAATCTTATCCTCACTACTAAAGAGCGCATTCCTATTACTCAATTCACCTTGATTTCCTTTTTCCTTGTTCACATTGTAATCTAACTCTCTCCTTCTACTCACATAATCCCAATTCCCTCCCCCTCTTGGCTTATTTGAAAACCCTGGAGGAGGCATTCGAGTTTCTTGCGGCCTGTAATTCCCTCCATGGGGCTGTTTTCGCCAACCGCCTCCACTTCGATCCTGCTCTCGCAAATCGAAAGTTCTCAGTTGTGAATCGAATTTTTGGTCACTTTCCAATCCATTTAAGTTTCTGGTCGCTAATCTTACTTCCAGCTCCTTTGCTGCATTTAGCTTTGAATTCACATTCAATAAAGCCTCGACGTTTTGGATATCACTGCGAAAGGAACCAAACTGCAGCTTTTGCTCCAGTTGCTGCTTCTGCTGTACACGATTATGAATTGTATTATTAGCTCTTACATCGGCGCCTGAAAACCCTAATATCTGAAGATCATCACCCAAGACTCCTTGCTGGTTTCCTTGAAATTGACCAGCCGCTAAGTGGTTTGCAGGAGAAGGCCAATGGTTTTGGGGAAACCCAAGGAAACCAGGAAGCAAAGGAGCAGCAGAAAGATTGTGGGGCCAGGGAGGAGTGAGAACATCTCGACCGTTGGATTGCCAAACAGGCTGCGAGAAGGGGAGGCTAGGGCCCACAGCTGCAACGGCGGGATCAAGAGCGAGAGATTGTTGTTGTTGTTGTTGCTGCTGCTGTTGATATTGTTGCGGAGTAATTGGAATGGGAATTGGCAACTGAGAGTGTGGTGGTGGCGCTGGTGTTTGGAGCTGATGGTTAGGCCTTTGCAGCAAAGAGAGTAAAAATTCTCCACCATTAACCGCCGGCTGCATCGGTGGCGCGTCGGCTCCGCCACCGTTCATACTAATGGGTTTCAATAAGGTTTTACACTGACTGAAGCGAGACGAAGGAGAAGAGAAGACGTAACGTCAGAGTTTTGAGGATCGAGTTTATGTTCACTTTCGGAAGACTATTGGTAAATCTTTTGTATTATTAGGTATATGTACTGATACCGAAAATCCGTCTGAGTGTATTGTATATAATTCCTCTTTCTTCGGTCATCGCTATGCTTTACAAATTCAACGGCGTCAAAAGGCTAGCATATTACGATGTAGTGAGGTCAATTACACTTATCAAGAGGTCTTCGTAATTTCACTACGATTTTGGAGGGTAAATTTGACAATTGATATAGTCTGATGTACTTACTCTTCCTTCGTCTGGAAGTTGTCCAAGTTGGTGAGCTATAAGCCTATGACCAATCGCGGCCGCCGGAACATGTGACTCGATACTTTTTACGAGAAACTGCTGTTAAAAGCCTCGAACATTTTAAGAAAACAGCTATTAAATCCTCAACTTCTGTTTTTCACTTACTTAGATTCTGTTGTTGCTGGAGTTCGATTGTTTTTCCAATTTTGTACAAAAACCATTGGCCAAATACATAGGTACCCCTAAACTTTGCAAAAATAACCTTACGGCATCTCAAATTTTGCAGGGTGCCAATCATGCACCTCAATTTAAAAATTTTGCACCACATTAATATTTTTTCCACGCTGGCAACGAATTGACTCTCGCCTGCATTACAATTGCGCTGAGTAGGATTAATAAAAAAAAGTGGGACCCATTACATTTACATATCAGCTAATTTGAAAAAAAAAATTAAGGTTAAAAAAAAACTAATAACGACCGTTGATATTTGCAAATTGAAAAGGAAAAAAACGAAAGAAAGAGAAGTTGAGAGAGAAAATCATTGAGTAAAAGGAAAGCAACGAGATTGTGTTATTGGAAAAGAAGAAAATACTAGCTATGTTGGTATTTTTGTGCACATTAGTTTCATGTTGGTCTTTTTGTGCACGACCTGACATGAGATATGTTGCTAGCTATGTAACTATTGAAGAAAATGTGGACTGTGATAGGAATTCTCATGTGGATTTGCTTGGAAGAGCTAAAGAAATGGGATATAACATAATAGGCCAACTTTTTGCTAGAGATTACAATAAAAGCTCGTTTAATATTTTGATTAGTCAAAACACTAAAAGCTAATTTAATTTGTCAAAATATAAAAAACTACTTAAAAAGTTGCTACTGAAAACAACTTTCATCATCCTATTCGCTCTTCCATCTATTTTGCCCTCTTTTTTTTCTATTAATACAATGATAGAGTAGGCAAACTAGTAATTTCCTTTTTTTTTAATACATGGTGTAAATAAAGTTATTAAGTCATTTCATATTTGGGAAATGAACGCAATCTATATCTGAAAATAAAATTGAGGGATGAAATAATTTATTTTGAAAATCCAAGAATACTTCTTCTAACGTAAAATTCATTAAAATTAGATGAAATATCCATTTAATGTGACGGAATAAAACCTCAAAAATTAGATAATATACAAAATCGTGAAAACATGAACCAAATAATTATTTTCCTTCATTTCTATCCAAACAAAGGAGTAAACTATAGATCCAAAGGAGATATTATTTTTGACGTCCAAATCAATTAATGGACTAGTTGCTGCTATTAAGATTTATATCTGTTGTCAAGATCAACTCCAAGCGGAAAAATCTAATATTATATTTTTTTAGATTTAATTTCATTATTCAAAAGGACATGAAATTTTTTGTTTCGTTAAAAGATCAGTGAACTATATCTGGTCTACATGCTTATTTGTAATTCTTGATATTATTATTAATGAATTATGTTAAAAACAAATTTGCAGTAGGGGTTGTTTGTGGATATGGATTCAATGAATATGGGCTCAATAAAAGGACTTTGTTTTAATGGGCTTCTATAACTTATAACTCAATAAAAGACTTATTCTTTTTTTTTTCCCTTTTTAATGGACATTGATTTTTTTTTTTTTTTTTTTTTTTAAATTACTGTTAAAACACAAATTTGCAGTAGGGGTTGTTTGTGGATATGGACAACTGAACATACTGGGCTTCAAATAACAGACCTTTTGGTTTTTAATGGTTTCTACTAACCTTATAAACTCAATAAAAGACCTTATTCTTTTTTTTTTTTTCCTTTTTACAATGGACATTGATTTTTTTTTTTTTTTTTTTTTTTTTTAAGGACAACATCAGTTCAATCCTATTTTATATAGTATTGCTACCTAGATATAAACTTGGTTGTAAACATATTTTATACTTTTCTTTATTGACTTTTTACTTTTTCTTGTTCAAAATACAATAAATTGTTTTTTTTTTTTTTTTTTTTTTTTTAAGGACAACATAGATTCATCCTATTTATATCTAGTATTGCTACTAGATATAAATTGGTTGTAAAATATTTTATTTTCTTTTATTGATTTTTATTTTTCTTGTTCAAATAAATATTGTCTTTAAAAAAATTAAATTATCAGCATTCTCTTCAATCTAACATGTTAGGCATTGAAATTTATAATTACGAAAGAGCATGATTTTTTTTTTTAATCAGAAATACACAGCTTAATTTATTACTTGAATTAAAAAAAATAAATGTCAAATATATTATATTTGGTAACGAACCTTAGAAAATGTCAACAGCAAACCCAATACTTTCGGGATTTTTATTACCTTAATTAACCATTATTATTTCATTCAAAATAATAATAATAAATAAAATAATCTCATGCAAAACAAAACAAAATTTTTTCTCTTAACATGGGCATGGCTATCTGCTGTAAACCTTTAATATGGCCACCTCCAGCGTCTCTAAATCAGACCCCTACGACCACCTCCACATTGCTCTTAACCTAGACGGCACCATCACTCGCTTGCTAACTCATCCAACTGTAGAAGCAAACCCAGAGGCGACCAGCGGTGACGCCGTCGTATGCAAGGACTGGACTTTAAACGCCCAAAACAAAACATGGCTTCGCATATACAGACCTACCAGATTACCTTCCAATGATAACACCATAGCTCGCCTTCCTATTATCATCTACTTCCATGGTGGTGGCTTCATACTCTTCTCCGCCAAAACCAAAACTTCTCACGAAAAATGTTGCGAGTACGCCAGCGAAATCCCTGCGATTGTCGTTTCCCTAGATTACCGTCTTGCTCCGGAGTGTCGTCTTCCGGCGCAATATGAAGACGCAATCGACGCAATTATTTGGGTCAAGGAACAAATTGTGGATCCAAACGGAGTGCAGTGGCTTAAAGATTACGGCGATTTCTCTCGGTGTTACATTGGCGGCCGTGGAAGCGGTGGAAATATAGCGTTTAACGCCGCTTTGAGGGCTTTAGATTTGGATTTAAACCCGCTGAAAATATCCGGGTTGGTTTTGAACCAACCGATGTTTGGAGGGATGGAGAGGAAGAATTCGGAGCTCCAACATGCAGAGGATCCGCTGATGCCGTTATCAGTATTGGACCTAATGTGGGACCTATCTTTGCCACTTGGAACAGATCGAGACCATTCGTTTTGCAATCCTTTAGTAGATGGCCCACACAAAATAAAGATAGGGTCGTTAGGGAGGTGTTTGGTAACAGGGTTTTGTGGGGATATAATGTTTGAGAGGATGCGAGATTTTGTGACGATGTTAGTAGCGTCAGGAGTTAAGGTTGAAGCGCGGTTTCAAGATGATGGCTTTCACAACGCTGATTTTGTCGACGCGCAATGGGCTCTTAACCTTCTAAACAAAATAAAGGAATTTGTTATCTAATATATATATATATATTTTTTTTAAAGAAATGATTTTAGAATTTGTTATCTAAGTTTTTTTGTTCGTGATAATTTAATGAAAAATAATTTATCCATAGCATGTTAGAGACAGAATAATTAATTTAAATTTAATTTAAAATCCAAACCATCAATTATTTAAACACTTCATAAATAATTAATTCATCTGTTTTTTCTTTTATGGAAAGAAATATAATTACAAGGTTCTTTTAAATTAATATGTGTTTTAAAGGTATTTAAATCAAAATATGTGTATTGGAATTATAAACCATGCAACGTTAAAAAATTTATTATTGAATTATTTGTTTTAGATTTCATCGTTATAAAAAATAACCGTCACTGATCATTATATACACACGCAAATATCATAGGCAAAAAATAATTTTATTTTTTAATAAAAAAATTTTACCTTCTCATTTCATAATCTTCTAACAACGATGATAAAAAAATTTAATATATAAACAACATATGACCATAATTTTCATAATTGTCTCTCAATACTTAATACTCTGTTTGGCGACGCCTGAAAAAATTGATTATGCCTGCGGTTGATGTTCAACTTTTTGGATATTCTTCATATCATCAGTACCAGAATTTTCAAAGGCAGTATTAGCAACTTCAATTTGCGAATGGACAAACTGTTTTATAAGATTTAACAATCCAACCCTTCTTCTCGTATCAACAATTTCAATTCTGTGAAATCCAACTTCATCAAAATGAGCTTCCACTTTAACTCCATGATTCACCAACATCTGCACAAACTGCTGTTGCCTATCCACCAAAGGGTCCATTCCAAAACCAAGAACTAGGCATGGAGGCAGAAATTTTACCTTATCTTGATGCGGGCCTTCAAGAATTGGGTTACAGTATCGATGATCTCGATCGGTCCCTCTAGGCAACGCCAATTCCCATACCAGATCGATTACCGGCAACGGTATTACCTGATCCGTCGCGAAACGTACTTCAGATTCTGTCCTGTGTTTCCCGCCAAACATTGGCTGATTCATTATTAACCCAAGAATCTTAATTGGGGTTAAATCCATATCGACTGCACGTAAACCAGCGTTGTATACAATATTGCCTCCATTACCAGACCCGGAGATGAAGCATTTGGTGAAGTCTCCGTAGTCTTTAACCCATTTGTCACCATTTGGATCTAAAGCTTGTTTTTTCAACCAGAGAAGTGCTTCTTCTGCATCTTCATATTGGGTAGGAAGGCGGCATTCAGGGGCGAGCCTGTAAATAACGAGAATGATAAGAGCAGGAATTGAACCGGCTACCCATTGACGTTCGAGGTGAAGAGCGGGGTTGTCGGCGGAGAATTGAGCCCAAGAACAGCCATGGAAGTAAAATAAAATAGGAAGACGTTTCATTGTGGATATGCATTTGACAGGAAGGTAAAGGCGGACCTTTGTGTTTTTTTCAGCATTAACCATGACGTCTTTGGAGAGAATGGAATCGCCGGATGCTGGATCGGCATTTGTTTTTGCCGATGGGAAGCTTAGAAGGCGAGTAACGGTGCCGTCCGGGTTGAGTCTCAGGTTAATATGCTCGTAGGGGTCAAATTTCGACATTGTTGTATTTCAAAATCAATTATTGATCAGAGAATGTTTGCAGATGCTTGTTCGTTGTTTTTAATTATTTCGAGCATTTTTGATAACTTCAAACCATTTTGTGCTCCTAAATCGGAAGTTTTTTGGATACCATTCATTTACTAAAAAGGACAAAAAAAAAAAAAAAAAAAAAAAAAAAAAAAAAAAAAAAACGAGAATGTTTGGCAGATGCCTTGTTCGTTGTTTTTAAATTGATTTGCGACGCATTTTTTGATAACTTCAAACGCATTTTGGGTGCTCCTAATCGGAAGTTTTTTTGGATACCACTTCATTTAACTAAAAAGAAAAAAAAAAAAAAAAAAAAAAAAAAAAAAAAAAAAAAAAAAAAAAAAAAAAAAAACCTAGGAAATTACTATCTTCTTTGTTGTTGTATTTGTGGCCATAATCTATTTGGAGGCTCTCCCCGTAAACTCTTTCCTATAAGAGTAAAGCTAAAACGATGCGTATAATCGCGATTACATTATAATATGTTTATTTTAAAATAATTAAGAAATTCAACGATACTCTAAATTTTACAAAAATTTATTTTTAAAATTGCAAATTTTCCTATGCTATGCATGGTTTTAATATATATTTTTTTATTAATTTCAAATTTTCTCAATATAAAATTATTAAAGATTTCTTATTATTGTAATATATTGTGTAATTTTATTCAAATTTATTGCTCTATTTGTGTCACGACCCATTTCCATGGGCCGGACCGGCACTAGGGCCCATCCATGGGCCGGACCGCACTACGGGCCCAGGTAAGCTTAACGGCCTCCCCCGAGGCCCGTACAGTACAGCCTGAAACGCCTTAACAAATTTGCTATCTCAATAACAATTTTAAACCACTTTACAATTTTCCCTGCTTACCAATACACTATAGTTATAAATACCGGCTCCAGACACTTATTCCATCTATAATAACTACACCACACTTAAAAGTATACAAGTTCCTATAACCTGCGGAAGTGTTACATGACGGAATGTATACATAACAGTCTCGGAACACTTATCTATTTAATTATCTATTTAATTGATCAATACTAAAATTAGTGAATTTCTTTTTTAACGGTGAAGAGCAGAGTTATAGCTGGGATTTAGAAAATGCTACTTCCTGAAAGATTTGAACAAAAGAGATGTGAGAGTTTATTAATGAATCATAATTATTGCACAACACACGCATTCACACAATTGTATAAATATATCAACCTAGTCATCCGACTAAGTATATGCTCACACAGTCAGTCACACAAATGGCATATCACCAGCACTCACAATTATTAACATCTTCATATAATCACATCACGTGGAAATTAATCAGTGCGTCAGTGCGTCACTAACCCCGACGACGCCGTCTCACAACAAGCCCATCCTCTCAAACATGACGTGGCACCGACGGCCGGGGAGCCAATCCCCCATACTCTGGCCGCCGGTCTAATCCTCACATCTGACGCACGTCCTCTCATATTTTTTATTTTACACTTCTCTCTTTAATACACTTTTTCCTCTCATCACACATCATTTTTTTCAATCAACTTCATATGCGCACGGGTGCAACACGCGGGGCGCCGATCCTCGGCCCCATTTACCCCGGCCGCCACACGACGTCCAATTTTCACAATTCATCACTAATCAGGATCCCATGCTTTATCGACGTCCTCACAAACCCACTGGTGACCCACTTCATCCCAATTCCCACACAGCACAAGCCAGCAAACTATCCACAACACAATTAATCAAACCATTGCCACAACAACACTGCACGACATATTAATTCAAATTGGACCACGTCGGTAATCATGCCATTAACATCCAAAATCACATGCAAACTACACTAAATAAATACAACTAATAGAAATTGACAATACAACGATAATAAAAACTATAACACATAAATAACAATCATAATGCAAACTAAATAACTAAACTATCAACATACAATATGAAATGACACTAACTACAGATAACTAATACATTAGAGCCACCCGGATTTATTACTGTACCAATTATACGACACTAACTCTAAATAACACTTACTCTTATTAATGTTGTTACATTAACAATTTAAGTTTACTTTTTCTGTCAACTTTCGGCACGCACATCTAAAAATTGGACTATCTACTCGCTCACCATATCACAATATCATTATACTTTATCAATCAAAGCACCACACATACCGTCGGGCAAGCAATCAACTTTATTCTCCCTTCCTCCCAACTACGTAAACCAAAATAATTTATTATTTAACCATCTATACAAACCTATACAAAACCTTAGCTTTACTTAATCCATGGTTTCAACATCGATACAAATTAGTTTACTACTAATACAAAAATATTCATAGCTTTACTAAGATTAAACAAATAAGTAAATAAATACGCGATTAAATGAAAATGTTTATTTGTTTAATTTCCGCGTCCTACTACTTTAAACTATCCTTAAACTATCTGATCATATATTCCTTTAATAATCATACAAAGTTATAGCTCATATTCCTTTTACCAACATTAATTAGGATCTTATGTAACAACTTAATAATTTGTGAATCACTATCCTCACCAAGCAAGATTATAGGAAACGTCCTATTTAAATTATCTATTAAGCATAACTAAATAGGTATACTCTAGCTAATCAAGTCTTCTTAGCACGATGATTTGGTAACTCAATACACTATACGCCTTTGCTAACTCACTTAAGCAAATTTAACCAAAATAACTTACAACTAGCTGCTGCCTCAACGTAATTAAAAATATCATATACTTGAACTTAATTTAAACCGAAAACTACCATTTCTTCTAATCACAAGTTGTTTGCCAATCTACTCCAATCTTACGCCTATAACATACACACACATTACCTCATATAACACAACATCAAACCCACTAACACTCACACAACATTTTCCATGAAATATACTAGACAAAGGTTGACAAAGTCCTTCGATTAAATACCTATTCGAAGTTAACTAAAATGTCCCATAAATTTAAATGTTGACATTTATAACACAATTAAATTTAATAATCAATTGATGCTTTATATGCAAAAAAAAAAAATTTGAGAATTGAGTCTTCGAACGTACCAATTGAGAATCGGGTGACGATTCCATGCTCAACGCGAAGAAAAGAGAATTCTGTCTCCCGGGCCTCGCCGGAGTGTCCCCGGCCGGTCACCGGACCGCCGCCGGCCGGCCGCCATGCACGGTGGCCGGAAAAGCTAAACCGCCCAGAAAATTGCAAGGTCACCACCACCTGACTCCAATTTTCGCGAGGAGTCCAAATCTACCATCGGTTTGATGATTTTTGATGAGGGCGGGCTTTCGTTTGGCCGGATTCGACCTCCACAGCCACTTCAAGCCGCCATCCATGGTGGTTTCATCAAAACTCAAGAAAACTCACGTACCAATGGGAGGGGAAATTGTTCACGTGGACGGAGAGGAGTCAATCGAGACCTTCATTCCACACTTTGAGCCCGTCCCGGACAATGGCGAGAACGTCCGGCCCGGACGATCGAAGAGTATGACTGTCGGAGGAGATGGTCTCGATTCCGGCCGCTGGAGGTCCAATCGGAGCGACGGGGAAGTTGGGAACACGTGACCAGCATCGCAGAAGACCGATCGCCGCTTCATCTTGTTGACAGCGATGGCCGGAACCGATACGAGACGGAGAGGAGAGACCTGTCGCGCGCGCGCAGGAAGAACGAAGGGAAACAGAACGGACGACGAAACAGAAAGGAACACAAGACAAAGGAACGGAAGGACACAGTGGGACTGGGCCATTCCGCGTTCGACTTCGAACCGGTTCGGTCCCGACTTAGTGGACTGATCTCAACTTTGGTTTCGGTTTTTCGACGTTTTTTCCTACTTTACTTCGTTGTGGTTTTTCGATAAATACCTAATTTCCAGGTCCGGTTTTGATTTATTTTACATTACTTTTTACTTATGTTTTGGCAACCTTCCTCCACCTTACTTAAATAATACAAGTACTTACATAAGTACTGATTTTACATTTACGACACTAATTACATTCATATATTATACTACTATACTACATAGATTAACATCCTGGTGTTTTCACGTTATTCTTCGCAACTTTTAACTGTCCTCACATCGACAACACTTCCCGGAACTGAACTGTTTTGGCTTAGGCCCAATTCGACAAATTTTGGGCTCGAATTGGGACTTATGTTACAATTGGGACTATGTTACAATTGCAACCCACGCGGCCAAAATTTGCGATTTTTGATTTAATAAAAATTTAAAAGTTTTGAAAATAAAAATTCAGGGTGTTTCAATTTGTCTAAAATATGTATTTTTCTTTTTTTTTCCTTTCTCGTCAAAGTATATTTAAAATAAATATTAGATGCGTTTTTAGTATAAAACACTAATTGTGATAATTTTTTTTCCAACTATATTTGTTTCAAAGCTATACTTGAAATTTTTTTATATATTATTCAAATCACAGTTAAATTCAACTAATTTTTTTTGAAAATGTAAATAAATTCAACTAATCTAAACTATATCATAAATGTTGCAACTTTAAAACTATTTAGTGAATTGCAATTTATAAATTTAAAATAAAATAAAATGTATTATAAAACTCTCATTGTGAAAAATAATGTATTATAAAACTCTCATTGTGAAAAATATATTCTAGCTATAGTTATTTAAAAACTATATTTAAAATGTTGTTATATATATCATATCATTCATCCCATTTACTAAACGGTTTATTGTGCAAAACATTTATTTAATTTAATTTTAAATTGAAGAAATCAAAATATTCAGTCCTTTGTTTAATCAAATTATTATTAATAATTTCAAATGATGATAAATATATTGATAATAAATGATCACTTATTATATACAGATTGTGATAATTATTTATGTAAATTAATTACAACTAATAAAAAATTAAAAGATGCAATCCTATTTGGTTCTATGCTTATATATTTGTGCTATGCATAGATAATTTAATAAATATTGATTTTTAATATTTAATTAGAATTTTTATATCTCAATTTTTATTAAATTTTATACTCTTCAACTTTTTTATTAAATTGTTTATACGATAAAATAACTTTACAAGAACACTCTGCATTGTTTAACATTTACATTTAATACAATATAGCTAAAACTTTTTATGAATTATAATATGAATAACATACAATCATTTTTGAAAATATAATACATAATAACTAATAATAATAAATAATAATAATAATGTTAGAAAATAAAATATTCTATTTAATTTTATTTATTTATATAGTCAAATAAAAATTTATGATTTTGAAATGGCTATTTTTGTAAGAAAGACTTATTTAATCTTTTATTAAGTTAAATGATTATTATTTCTTACTATATTATTATGTCTTATCATTTATGTTTATATTTATTTATTAATTAAAGCATTTTGGAATCCTATGTGGCATAATTTAACTTTTCTAATCCTATATGGCACTACATAGAAATTCCATTTGGTACTTTATAAGAAAAAGATGCCTACTTTATATATATACTAGCTATACCAGTGTCATGTACGGTTAAAAAATTAAAAAAAAAAAGTAAATTTGAGAGAATATATATATATATTATTGAATAAAGATATATCAATAGTAAAAAAAAAATATAATGTAATTTTTTATTATTAAAATAAAAAATAGTATATAGACATGTGTTCAAAAATATGGATTAAACAGTTAGACCACTGTGTTCAACACAATCATGGACTTAAAAACTATTGACACATTTATAAGATAATAAAAAAATAAAATGAAAAACGTGGGGTAAAACTTACTTGTTTTGATTTATTTTAACAAACTTAACTGCAAACAATACATTACACTCACTACTTTATTAATTCCATGAACTAAATAACTTTAAACGTTTTAACATACATTAAACAGTTTTGTATAACTCTTCACACCTTATTTATGTTATTACGTACTACACTAAATTAATCATTATATTTAACCATAATTTTTAACTTTAATAACAAATTATTATTTTTACTTTTAATACTAATACACTAACTTGCCAATACTCGCCCATTCATTAAAACTTATACGATTATGTAATTTACTTTACATATTACAAAGTTAATACTAACATTGTTTTACTTTAACACCAGTTACTTCAACTTTTCTAATGTATATTATAAACTACATTTAACACGGACCGGTTATTAACTTACCATAAATTAATTTATTTTAAATAAATATAAAAACCAAACCAATTAATTATACATATGTCACATTAATTTACGAACTCTTTTTACTAACAGCAACACCAAAGAAATTTTGCCTGCTACTATATACTATATATATAATATACTATATATATAACTATATAATATATATAATATTGGATTAATACGTTTCATTGGCTGCAATAATATGCTTAACAATAATCTTAAAAACACAGGAGACAAAACAAAAAAATTTTTGGAAATACATTACTAACCACGTTACGGACACATATTAGGACTTACGGATTTCAAATATTCACGGTGACCACTCTCATTCCCCCCCATTTAAGGACATTACTTATCCATTCAGAAACGACGAAAAAAACAAACAAAAACAGTACACAATAAAAAAGAACCATACATAAGCTAAAGAACGCAAAAAAAAAAAAAAAAGTACAATAAAAAAGAACATAATAAGCTAAGAAGCACATGCCCTATTAATAAAAACCTTAACCTCAGCATACAGAGATTCAGCTTTTGAAGGATCAAATAACTCAACAGCATGAAACCCATCCTCGATAAAACTGGACTCCACTTTCACCCCTTTGGATTCCAGCTTCTTTGCCATTTCCTTCTGCTTGTCCACCAGTGGGTCCCCTCCATACCCTCTAACGTAACATATCGGAAGCCTTCCGATCTTCTCTTCGTATGACCCTTCAACCATCGGATTACAATACTCATGATCACGATCAGCATCTTTGGGCAATGCGAGTGACCACATCAGATCATTGGCCGGCAAAGGCAATATCTTGTCTTCGATCAATCTCATTTCCGATTCAGTCCGCTGGACCCCGCTAAAATAGGGTACGTTCATTATCATCCCCACGATTTTAATAGGTGAAAGTTCCATGTCCAGTGCACGCAAGCCTGCTTGGTAGACTATGTTACCACCTGAACTACTGCCCATTAACAAACACTTTGAGAAATCTCCATTATCTTTCAACCACGGATCACAGTCGTCCATCCCCCTAGCTTGATCGCGGACCCACGTGATAGCATCCATAGCGTCATCGTAGGCCGCTGGAAGACGGTGTTCAGGTCCGAGGCGATAATGGACGGACAGGATCAATGCTTGGAATTCGGAAGCCATGCGATTGCAAGATTCATGGAAGATAACAGAGGCAGGAGTGTAGAGGATAAAGCCACCTCCGTGGAAGTAAATTATGATCGGTAGTTTGGCGTCTGGTGGTGCGTTTAGAGGGCGAAAGATGCGAATATAGGTCTTGGTGGTGGGATTGAGGGAGACGTCTTTGGAGAGAGAAAGTTGAGGTGAATTCGGATCAGTGACTGGTTGGTCAACAGGAGGTACGTCAGGGAAAGGAGGGTTCCTGGTAAGCGAGCCATCTGGGTTTCTTGAAATTTTGAGGAAAGCGTAAGGATCCATTAAGGATTGCTTTTGTGTTTTTGCTGTAGAGATTGAAGCATTGCTGGTTGTATATAGATGAAGCAGTTTGTGTGGAGGAGAACAAATCGGATCTTTGTGGTTGGAAATGGCAAAATATAGTTGAATGAAATTAATTAGTCAGTAAGTAGGTGTAAGCATTCAAGTGGTGTGATAATCCTGATAGATAAGTGACAACAGAAACATTTTTCTTACTTGATTTTGCTTAATTCTTTTCAGCCAGTCAGTCAGCGTTTAGATAGTTTCTGATTTGTCATAGGCACTAACCTAATCTTGCGGCTAGGCATCAAATCAAGTGCGACTTGATCCGATCTTAATTAAATGGCCTACAATGTAGGGGTCGCGAAACAAGAAAGCCCATAATAGCTAAAATATAGTTTTTTTTTTTTTTTTGGTACAACGATAGGGAAGAACAAATCATTATAGTGCCTAATTTAGTGAATTACAGCAGAACACCAGAACATATACGCCATTACATCCGCCATAATGTCACGATGAATACACCATCCGCTGCTGCTGCTTACGAGTGTCACAGTTTTAGCACATCAGAAAGAGTGATCCAATTAATAGCTAAATCTAATTATGTACAGTAGTTTGATGAGTTATGAAGACAGCTGTTGCAATATTTCTTTTACTACCAGGCCACCACAGACTCAGTTATGCTCCATTTTGTTTTTTAACAGAAAGGAAAGGAGCATCAGATTCAGAACATCGTATTCAATGGGATCATAATAGGTAGTTTATATTGCAGCAAGATACTCCGCAGATGGCAATAAAGAGAGATTCAATTCCCATCAGATAATGAATCCTCTACCTTTCTACTGCAATGCAATTGTAATGGGGAAACTATGTTAGTTATATTCTGCATCTTCTCCGCTGTAACAGAAGCTAGATTGAAGTTACTTGACTCATTTTTTCTCTTTTCAACAATTTCGGTAAATACTTGAAAGCCATATATAATAACACTAAGAAAAAGCCTAAAAAAGAGCAGGATATTAACTAATTTGATTTCTAGTTTCAATTCCTGCACTGAATTTTAAATTGCTACATTAAAACTTTTCTTTTAGTTTAAAGGTGCATAAAAGGGTTGGAGTTGGATATGTTCATGCAAGCATATACTTTATAAATTTAAGATTATAAATATAATGTGACAGCCTAAGCACTTGCAAAAGGATAGACTGGGCCAATGTTTGTTTCCCTCTAGACTGAATTTCATGTTACTTAGATAAACAGATGGGCCACTTGTGAAAGGTAGCAGACAAGGAAAAAGGATATTATTTTCTGGGTCCGGTCCTAAAGTTCGAAAAGCCACAAAAAAGCAACAAGGGACTTGAGAATTCCAGCCAATATGTTATATTGATTCAGAGTTTTATTTATGGTGGGATCATCATTTGCAAAGCAAAAGCTATCATCTTTACATTTACAGTTAATCCTGGGATTCCTAAAATTCAACAACTTGTAGAAGCAAAAGTCAAGTGACTTTTGGCCCAAAACCATAACAACGCTCAATAACAAGTCAAACACTGAAAACTGAACTGTAGGACCAAAGAAAGCAAAAAGAGAAAAGCCTAAAATTCACAAAACACATGTATATTCATTTTCATTTTGACAAACAATTTCTACAAACATGATAATTAGAACTGGTCTAGAAAAAGCTACAGCATCGCACACTCTACAGTTAATTCAATTATGAAAATGACGTCATGAATCAAATAAACTCACCTCACCGGGCCTTCTTCCGGGACTTGAATGGAAAATTGGACGGCGGCGAGGGTGAAAATTCAAATGGCAAGTGAGGTGGTTCTGCCTCACCGGAAAGCATCCCTACAATTTCATTCATCGTAGGCCGCTTGGTTGGAGATCTCTGCAAACAGAGCAGTGCAATTGTAATGCAAAGCAGTGCCTGATCTTTATCCAATGAATGTATTAAAGGATCAACAAGATCCAAAAGCTTCCCATTGTAAGCAAGTTGTCTAGCCCAAGAAATCAAATTAGCCCTCTCAAATTCCGACATGGGTGAGGCGGTTACTTGCAGAGGTCTCCGACCTGAAACCATGACAAGAAGCAGAACACCAAAGCTGTACACATCACACTTCTCTGATAACTGGCCACCGCCGCCGTACTCAGGAGCAATGTAACAAACAGTTCCTCTCATACTAGGCGTGCTACTGACACCGCCGCTCTTAGGGATCTCTCCACTTGCCCAATCTTGACTATTTCTTCTTCCATTTCTCAATTCGCCACTGTATCCATCTAACCACCAATCAATGCTCCCTCTGCTCCTCTTCTTTCTCTCTTGTACTACATCATCATCCTTCTGCCACCATGAGTCTCCGCCATTACTCGAATTAAGTCCTCTCTTTTTCTTCTTCTTCTTCTTCTTTGTAAGCTCATCGCAGAACTCTTCCTTCCACCATTCTTTGGGCTTTCTGTTTTTCTCCTTCTTTTGCATTCTTTCCTCATCCAGAGACGCCCACCATTCCAATCTTTTCTTGTGCTTCTTCTTCGGCTCAATTGTCAGGCTTTGGGGTCTCAATAGATTGTTATCAACTGAGCTAGGAGAGGCAATCCATTCACTTTTAGGTCTCTCCTTCTTAATCTCACTCCCAATCCACTCCATTACATAATCTTTCACTCTCCCGGATTCTGACCCGCCTCCATTGTCCTGTTTCCACCACCAGTCCCTTCTTGACCCTCCTTTCTTCCCTCCGTTAACTAAATCCTTTCCACTGTCAATACTAACTTTATCAAATGCAGTCTCTGAAACACTCCCCTTATCCACTCCCATCTCCGGGGACACTGCAGCAGCCATCTCCGGTGATGCATCTGAATCTACAACCCTAACGGCAAAACTCTCTGGGGATCTATCAATGCCTACAGCAGTAGTACTATCTTCATATCCAGTCACCACACTCTCCGTCTCCTCTAAAATCGATCCGTTATCTTCCCCAACTACAAAAGCTTCCTTCTTTTCCACAACATTCTCCTCTGTCTTCAATCTCGCAAGTCCGAAATCACCAATCTTTGCATTAAAATCTGCGTCGAGCAAAATATTACTGGGTTTAATATCTCCGTGAATCACTGGTGGATTACAGTAATAATGTAGATATTCGAGTCCTTTAGCAACATCAGTTACTAAATCAAATCTTTTTCCCCAATTCATAAGTTCTTCACATTTCCGATCTAGCAAAGCTTCCTGAAGGCTCCGGTTCTCCATGAGCTCGTACACCAAAATGAGCTTCCGTCTTCGACGGTCAGAGGAGAATCCGAGGAGAGTGACAATGTAAGGAGAGTTGAGAGAGGAAGCAAGAGAGAGCTCGTTCTGGAACTCGCGCTCCCCTTGGAGTGAACCATTGGGGTCCATAAGCTTGACAGCTAACGGCTGGTTTGTTGGAGGAAGAATGGCTTTATAAACGGAGCCAAATCCACCATGGCCAAGCCGGTTGGACGGAGAAAACGAAGCCGTTGCGCTCCGAAGTAGGGAGTAAGAGAAGCGGCGACATTGTTGTTGCTGGTGGTGATGATTAGGAGATTTAAGGTCTGATGGAGCTGTACGGTTACGGGACAGTTTTCGATAGAAAAAGAAAAAGAGGATAATGAAAGAAAACAGAGTGAGACTGAGGGCTCCAGCAAGAACTGGAGGAAGGAGACGCAAATGATGAAAGTGGCGGTGGTGGTAGTTGTGGTTGTTATTTAAGGGCGGCGAGGCAGGGAGGGATCTAAGATGGCGAGATGGCATGGTGTAAATAGAAATGAAACGGAAGGAGATATTAGGATTTCATTAATGAAATAGAAACAGAGAGCGTTATGTCTTCTTTTTCGGGTTCTGCTAGTGTTCTTTTAAGCTTACTATAATATGGTTATAACTTCTTTCTTCTGCTGTATGTGTTCAAAAGACCAGCTTGTTACGGTTTTCCATTCTGGAAGGATAAGGAGAAGGTGTTGGGATGACAGGAACGTCGTAGGATATCGATGCCTGTGATGCTAGTTGCTTTGACTTTTGGCTGTACGTGTCGCCATTTGGTTTGATGGTTATCGTCTTAATCTAACTGTCATGTGAGTCGGATTTTGTTGTGATCTAGCAACTAAATATTTTACCTGGGATGTATTAGACACGCGCCCTGTCATGGGCGTGGGATGTATGAGAGATCACGTGGAACATTGATCTTGAGCCTTTCCTTTTACAGTTTAATCGTTTGTGGGGTCCATGAGTCAGCATTTAATAATTCAGTACTAGTTATGAAACGGAGTGTTTTTCCAATTCAATAATTAACGAAGAACTATAACCTTAATGTAATAGTGTTTTTTATGGCTATTTGAATTTTTTTTTTACAATAATTAATACTAACAATTTAGCTTTACAGAAAAGTACGTTCTAAAAAAAAAAAAAAAGAAAAAGAAAACTTTACAGAAAAATAGATTATAAAATAATTTTATTATTTTATATAGAAAGATAATATCTATATACTAAAGATGTATTTTTAAAAAAATATATATTTCAATACTATAGACTGCTTTATTTGTTTTTTATTCACAGGAAGTAAAACAAAGTTGGCCCTCGTGCTGGGGGCTTTGACCTTTTTCTAACTTTGCGGTGGACTTTTCACTAGCCTTTTCAATTGGCAAAGACCAGATTGCCACACAGCCAGATGAATGGATTTGATGTTTCAACATATGTCAAAGGGTAGTCGGGAGTAATTTGGTGGAGGGGCAGGGCACTAACTAGGGTAGTGAAGCAGCTTCGTAAAAAGAATATGACTTAGCAGAGGAAACCATAAAAAATGGTCTTTTAACCGCTTACGAGAAAGAAAATCCAGAGAGTAAAACAGGAAGACTGAGATCATGTGAGTCCCACCCACTCTGTCTCTCTCTCTCTCTCTCTTATTACAAATTTACAAGTCTTCTTCGAACCCACGCTTGTCGGGGGAGATGAGCTGAGCTGACCGGGAGTGTTGACATTTCCTAGACTGTTGTAAATCAAAGAATATTCCCTTTTCTTTTGTTTATTAAGTAAAACAGCTGGGTCTAACACTAATTTAAACCCATCAAAATATTTTGAAAAGAATTGACAATACAGGAACAAGAATGGAGATTGTGTATGATACGAAGCAGAAGAATCCACAGCAGAGCAAAAAGTGTCGGCATGTGGCTTATTACTTGAAGACAAAAACAGGTTTGTTTTTGGCTCTCTGATACCAAACATAGATATTTGAGACCATAGGTTGTTTTTTCACGTATATGTTAAAATTCGATTTCACGGGACCAATTTCTTGATTTGGATGAGATCACGAGTGTGCTCTGCTTTCTTTTTCCTAACTACGGAACTATGGATCCTATGCTTCGGCAGAGTTCTTTCACATAAGTCCAAGTGTTTAATAACAATACGGCAGGCATTTTGGGTTAAAAGCCATGGGAAACTGGGCGGGCTGGGCCCATAAGTTTCAAATCTGGTCCTCAACGGACAAAAATATCAATTTATCAATAACAAAAATGACAAAAATATTAGTCTACAACGGACAACTGCTCCGCTGCAAATGGCACAAACGATTATCAATTTATCACAATAAAACGAATGCCAGATATGTTTTCTAGAAAACACAGAATCGTGTTAATTTGTACATATTGTTTAAAAGTATATTGTGAATACACGTATGGTAATACAGTTGAGAAGGGAGAATAACCGATGCCCGTCACAAATTAACAGAATGAAGAATACTGGAAAAACACTGTGAAACAGTGTGCAAAATAAGTTATCTCAACCTAAGTCATGGGACACCAAGCCAAATGCTTAATTCACATTTTATTCTGCTGCAATTGCACTACCGAGGCTTTGCCCCGCCATTTTCTTGCACGCTATGGACTGGAGTGCTAGATCCACTTCTCTTGCTGGAGTGCCCGGTAAATGTCCTACCCACCAACTTTCCTGCTTTGCTCAAGCCGCTGCCAACAGCTCCAAGGCCGCTGCCCATGATACCCACTCCAGCACCAACGCCAGTTCCTACAAGCCCAACACCAGCACCGAGGCCAGTTCCAACAGCACCGATGCCAGTTCCAACAAGACCAACTGCTCCATCAAGCGCATCCATTGTGCTCCCTATGACTCCAGCTTCTTTTAGCTTCTTTCTTTCTTCCAGGATCCTCTTTTCTTCTTCTAGAGCAGCCAACTGCTCCTCCTTGTTAAATTCGTGGTAAAACACCTGCAAGTCCAACCCAAATATATGACCAGACATGAGAATGATTTAGAAAACAATTGGGAAATTATGTAGTCTCAAGGCCGAAAGGAAAAAAAATATATATATGATCACTTTTTTTGTCTTACCTTAATTGTAAGAGTACCTCTATCCTTCTTATCCTTAATCTTCAACATGTCAAGTGCAGGTAGCAGTCTTAACTCCAGTTCTTTCCAAGTTTCTTCTTCCAGCTCATTTAAAGGCAATTTTACTATTCCCAACCTCTTGTCTTGCCCAATATCCTGATCAAAGACCTGTTGGAAAAGTTTCAGACAATGACTAATGGGTTTGGCATATTTTTTTTCCCAAAAGACCAACTATAAAAAGTCGTAATTAGTCTCTCTTTTTCCAATAAAACAAACAGAACTGCAACACACAGTTTTTTCAGCAATAAAACAAAAATAAAGAGTTTCTGTGAAAAAGCTCATCAGCATTACATTCCTCAAAAGGCGAAATCGCATGGCATAAGCAGAAAGAGATGGAGTAAAAGAAATTTAAAACCTCAAGAGTAAGCGACTGTGTCTCCTTGTCTTCAGCAATCAACTCAAATGTGTGGTCCCAAACAGGATTGAGGTTGTTCTCAACTACATTTGTTTTAACCTTGAACATTGGCCGAATGTGTAAAACGACATAAGGATCAGATTTTCCAATCATTTCCATGTTCTTCAAATCACTTGCTTTCACTACCGTCACTGTAAGCTTTCCCTGTGGTTTTAGCTCTAATTCACTGCATAAAATCCCCCGACGCAGGTCCACCCAAAGAAAATTATTAAAATTTATGTAATAGAGAGAGACATACTACTACCACTATAAAGATGACGAGGTAAAACATTTTCCTATATTTTAACATATCAAATACCATGGCAGCAGTAATAGAAGTTTTGAATATGAACATGCTGAATTATGTACTGACTTGATTGGGATTGAATCCTAAAAGCGTAAGATGACGCATCATTTTCATCTAAGCATTTCGAACTCAATTCAACAATTGGGCAGTAATGCAATGTGATACGATTGAAGCGAGCAAGGAGCAAAAAATCAAAAATATTATGTTACCTCAAATCAACAGGTATACCACCAATTGGAACAACAATCCTGTGGGGCCACTGAAGCATGTCTGTAACAATTGAATGCACAGTGTCCTACATTTTGTGTAAACAGCACAGTAATGAGAAAACCTAATCAACAGGGAAAGATACTGCCGGGTGGGGGGTATACAAGTGTTCTGATAGCAGAAGGAGAACTCACATCAATCATATCCGATAGCCCAGGAATTGCTGTTAAGCTGCCACCAACAGCTTTCAGAACATAATCGATTTTAGGCTTTGGCTGATAAATGAATCAACAATTAGTCATTTCCAAAACAAACGAAACTTATAACAGTGTCTACAATCACTTAATAAATTTCTCATCCAATTCATAGTGTACTAAATTTTCTAAGTCCATAAAGTTGAAAAAGAAGGGCAATTCTCTTGTTGTGTTTCTACTAGAGCAGCTCATTTGTCACCCCTTGTGTCAATAATGCCATTATCAATGATAGAGCTATTTTGAGTTGTAACACAAAAATATGAGTCAAAAAATGTGGAAGCAAACAATAATCATCCTATGCTCAAAATCTCAATCTCATTGGGATGAGATGTGATAGCTTTACTGGGGTCTCCTCTCATTTGCAACCAAAGCCAATGAACCATCTAATTTACTGAGAGGGAGAAAGTAAGATAATATGTATTGACCAAATTGAATGCAACCATCAGGTTCAACAGTTGTACAGTATTACAATCAAGCATATTAGGTTCAAGCAGAGTTAAGAACCCAGAAAAGTTTCAAAGTACCTCAGAAAGTAGAGCAACAACAACAGCAGATATACATGGTATTTCCTCAGCAAGTTGGAAGATAACGCGAATTACAGTATAAACTTCAAGGTCTTTTAACTGCATCACATTGCACCATGAAAACATTGAGATAAATATTCTCATTAAGATTTGAGTGAATTAAGAGAAATCAACATAATCTGGTAAGTCATTTATGTAGAAACCTGAATGGGTATAGAGGCAACAAGTGCAGCTTCAACGCCTAAAATGATGCTTGGATCACCACCCCATCGAAAATCAATATCCATAATTATTTGACCCTTCTTGAGGTTCTGAACACGAATACCTGCATTAACTAAGTACTTAAACCAGGAAAACATGTAAAAGGAAATGAGAGGAAGTGCAATTCAGTATGAACATCACAAGTGTGCCTAATAGTTAACAATGTCCTTATCAGTGTTCATTCACCTTCCTTGTGTTTGAGTAAACATCTGAGTGCGTGTAAGACGTAGCAACCGTAGTTACTTTTTATGGAATTATTGGTTGCTGAACCAATTATAACATATCTCAAAGACGTAAGAACAAAGTAATAAAGATAACTAGAGCATTATGACAAATACATGCAATAAAGAAGGGCCATCTATTGATCCATACCTTCAATCTTGGGTGGCACAGTTCCAAGAGAAAATTTGCTAAACTTTAATGAAGTAATCCCTGGTGGTCGATAGTCTTCCAATAGTGGTTCAACAGATTCTTTAACCACCATCGTAGCTGCCTGTATACAAAACATCCAACAAAAATGACATAATATCTAAGAAAAAAAAAACTTGCTTTATAGAGCCATTAAAGTTTTCTTAAGTCTTTAAACATCATTCTTCTCCCTAAAAAAAATTCCCTATTCCCCTTTTGCCTCTGTCATTCCCTTTTTGCAGATCTACTTTACTCGTTAAAAGAAAGGAGGAAAAGGGAAGGAATTGAATAATAGCTGTTTTTTTTGCTTGAAATGAAATTATCTACCTTATGGAGCGAAAAAAAATTATCCCACAAGCAACAAAGTATCCCACAAACATTTTTGTAGACTAAAATAAGTAACAATAAAAAGGCAAAAGGCTTACATCTGCAATAAATGGCCATAATTTGCTCAGTAGCTTGTTCAGCCATTTCACCTAACAGATCCAACAAAGCATGATAAGATAAATTGGACTATGAATATGATAAAAGAGACTTAGCAACAGGTGAGATCCAATCATACAGAAATATGCTTTCTGATACAGAACATATACCTTTAGAATTCAAGAAATGCATTACAAGCATTCAGAATAATTCAAACACAATACTCAACTTATTCAGTTGCCATAGACAATTTGGCGAAGCAAATTGAAGTGTTGGTAAACACTAGGTTAAAAAAGGATAGGTCATATTCAACTCTATATCTGAATATAAAGAAGGTGGATATTAAGAAACTGAGTCATAAAACCAACTAAAGTATAACTTTCTGTAAAAAAGAAGGAGCACGATGACAAAGAAAATCAACCATATTATGATTATGATCATACCGAGAGAAATATGATAAAAAATATTCTTTGTTAGTTATGAAATTACTAAACTGCACACCTGAGTGACCAAAACATTCACATTTGGCCAAAAAAAATATATTAAAAGAAAACACATATGCAGGATCACTAACGGTTCTATCCACAACTGTGCTTGACAATGAAAACAATAGAATACTAAGCAAAAGGCAGACCTGTTCAAAGACAGGAAAAGATATCCATTCAGGAAAATTATCACCACATATTTTCTTCAAATCATCTCTGTTTAGGGACCCGAGGAGTTTTATATCAACTGCCTGCAGAAGAAAATTTATATAGTGAATTATAGCACTACAAAACGATTTAACAAGCTTTAATAGTTCCATATAATAAAGCGAAATTCAAGAAATATGACTGCAAAAACTACAACTACTAGAGTGTGCATCAGATAACCTAATCAACAATCTACGGACAAAATACATCAGCCACAAGCATGAGCATCCATTAAATATGATGAATTAGAGTACAAAGATTTGCATGAATATAAGTGAGTAAGAATCAAATATTTTACTGAGCTAATTATCACAGAAGAACACATTCTCACACTCTTCGTTTAAACGTGCTTCTCAAGCTTGCATCCTAAGCAAATATTCAGGTCAGAACCAAAGGATAGAGAAATTAAATTCTAATTCCCTGATACTGAATTCTTAAGCAGAAACTGACCTAGCTAATTAACTACCTATCATAATACTTAACAAAAGGCTTAATCGCAGAAGTTCCTATCCGAATGATGAATGGAAGCTTTACTAATCAAATTCAGGCCAATTCACAAGCAAGACAGCAAGAGCAGTCTCCAGACACTTGAGACAAGTTCCAAAGCTCTGGCTCAGGTAATGAAACAAAATAGGGAGCATAATAAACTTATTTGGAAGAAATCAGCCAAGAAAATACGATTTGAAAACGACTTGAATAACAAAATTAACGCACCTTCGCTACTCGCTTAGTGCTTCGGTAACTCATCATGTGTTTCCATCCCGCCATCACCCCGATCCCAAAGATTATCCCTAGAAAGATCCCAGAAATCAAACCCATTTTCCCTTGTATTCCTAAAGAAAATTCTCCTGAGAAGACAGAAAATCAATTCATCAGATAGAGAAAACCAAAATTCCTCATACAATTACCAGAGAAACACCAAACTTACAGCGAACCAGAAGTCGGACGAATGCGTGGAATAGAAAGAGGGGATAGGAATTAAAATTTGGGGATCAGTTATAAGAGATGAAATGAAAGTATGAGTAAATGCTTTACGCTGTGTAAAAATCTAGAGTTTCTCTCTCTAAAGAGAATTGGTTTCTTGTGTCTTAAAAGTCTCTATCGACCTTTCGTTGTGGTGTGGGCATTTGCTCCACAAAATTGGAAACGAAAATGAAAAAGCATTGAAATGAAGGTCAGGTAGGCCAGAGGACAGGGTCGGCTTCTATCCCTCCGTCCTGCGTGTGCATTCAATTTCAATCCTCTTGGCATTCAATTCCTTGTTTTCAGTTTTACAGGTCTCTCCGTTTTTTGGTTCTGTTTGGTAACATCTCATAGTGTGTTCCGTTATTTGGGAATGTAAGAATAAGAATATGTAATAATTGCATTGGATTGGACCTCTTTCTATTTCTTCGTTTTTTGTTTGTTTGGGGCTATTTCGAGTTCCTGTTCTTGTTCAGACTAGCCGTTTCTAATCTCGATTTGGATATGTATGCTTGAAGCATCGTAACAATTTAGCACTTTTTCTTTTTTTTACATGATTTTATACGCAGTATTATTTTCCCTTTTTTATTTATTTAATTTTTAAGAATTGCGTTGCGTTTCATTGCACGTTGGTACGTTATGACCAACGTGTTAAGGTTTTTTTTTTTTTTTTTTTTTTGGGGGGTTTATTTAATTTTTTAAGAATTGCGTTGCCGTTCCAATTGCACGTTGGTAACGTTTATGACCAAACGTGTTTAAGGTTTTTTTTTTTTTTTTTTTTTTTTTTTTTGGGGGGGGGAGACATTGATTAATATAATGAAAGAAAAAAAGTTGGGAAGATTATATGAATACTTGAGGTGAAAAGAAGAAAAACTTTCAAGCCATTCTTAATTAATTATTACTCCGTTCAGCATTAACTTAAAAATATATTTGATTAGCAGCATGTGCTCAAGTTTCCGTTCAATGTGGATATTTTTATTAGAAAATTATTGTGAGTTGATTATGGTGTATAAGATTTAGATATGGAAGGATAATTACTGCAGATTTTGTATATTAATTTCAAAGTATATGTGAATCATCACAATTTGGTTGTAGACAATGATCTCAAATTAGTAAAGCAAATTATTGAACATAAAATTCAAAGGGAGCAAATAATTTTGAAAAAAAAAAAAAGATTGAAGTTTCTATTAGTTGTATGTTCGATCCTTTTAGTTGTTCATTTTAATTATATAAAAAAAAACTTCACAGAGTCCATGGCTCCATTTGAAAACTGAAAAATAATGAGAGACTAAAAAGTAAAATGCGTCATTTTCTTTAAAATTATTATTTTATTCGTTAAAAACTTATCGCCATCGACAGTGAAAGCCCTGTAATGGCTAGCATCGACGGTGGCTATCTCGCTCTCGTTAACCGTTATATTAAACAGATTTGGTAGTGGGTACTCTATCCATTATTAGTAAAAAAATATATTTTAAACAAGTTCAAAATTTGGACAGTTAAAGATTTACGGATACCCTACCCGTTGAAGAAGTACTTTCAATGGGTTTTTGCATGGATACAGGTAGTAAATATTCAAAACGAGTTCGAATATGAATACTTAAATAGGTATTTAAATGGGTTTAAAATGGATACGGATAGTAAAATTTTAAACGGATATCTATACATGTAGTTTCAAATTCACGGTACCGGCTCTGCTTTCGTTCTATTAATAGGTGTATTAAATCAAGAGTATGTTAAATTTTAAAATATTTTTGAAATCTTTGGATTAGAGATGGATTTGTGAATGACTCTTTTATTCATACATAACACTCTAAAACCAACGAAATCAATAATTTTATAAAATCATTCAAATCAATAATTTTTTGAATACCATCAAATTTGTATGGACTTTTAAAAAGTTATAATTAAATACCATCAGTCAATAATTTTTTGAATACCATCAAATTTGTAATGGACTTTTAAAAAAAGTTATAATTAAATACATCAAGATTTTGATGGATTTAAAAAGAGCTTATAACAAAATTTTAATAGACTTCTAAAAATTAATCTAGATCTTTAATACCTTGAAATTTTAAAATCTTAATAAAATAATTTTAGAATCTAAACATACTTTCACCTTAATTTGACAAACTCTTTAGAATTTTTTTTGTTTGTCCAATAAAGTAGATTAAGTTAAATATTAATGGCTAAATTCTTAATTATGAGTTGTCAATCAAGTTTAATTTAAATTCTTTTTACTTGTTTTGAAGATGGAAAAGACTTCGAGTTTAAATCAAATCTTGACAGCAAATATACCATTGAAATTTTAAAATCTTTTAAAATATTTTAGAATCTAACATACTTCACCTTAATTTGACAACTCTTTAGATTTTTTGTTTTGTCCAAATAAAGTAGATCAGTTTAAATATTAATGGCTAAATTCTTAATTATGATTTGTCCAATCAAGTTTAATTTTATTCTTTTTTACTTGTTTGAAGGATGAAAGACTTCGAGTTTAAATCATCTTGACAGCAAATAATTTCATTAATTTACCAAAATTTTACTAATTTTACCTATTATTATGTAGCATCCAGTGATATGAGGAAATCATCATGGCATAATATTTGAAAAAATATTTAACGGGTTTCAATTTTCTTCCTCTTTAAGCTTTACTAGCATCACTAGTTAATCCGACGCAGACATTTAGTGTACCTCCAAAATTCAAAACAATAAATCACATAAGCAATCTATCACACTAATAATTCCAGTAACCAAATCAATCAAATGGTTTGAAATTGATAACATCTCTCTCTTTTTTTTTTTTTCTCTCTTTCTTTTAAAAATCAAAGTATATGATTCATTTCCAGCAAAAGAATCGGAGACAAATACAGAAACTGTAATCCGGACAAGAATATGATTATCCGTGGAAAACGGGAAGAGAGCATTTCGCATCTACATCCTAACATGTCCAAACAACCTGCTACCTCTATCCAAATCACCAAACACACACCGAAGGATTCAAAAACGTGGGCCACCTCTAGTCTCTGGATCACCAGCGAAGCAGAGTAACGCCGGCTACAGCAAACAGAACGGCACACGCAACTCTGCGCATATCAGCGCCGTCCTTGACCCCATAATTCAGCGGGGTTTCTGATCCCCCGGCAATAGTAATCGGCGGGGGCTGAGCTGAGTCGGGACCTGGAGGTTCTATGTACGGAGGCGGCGGAGGCTGGTTAAGGCTGGGCGGCAAGCCAAGGCCGTGATTGACTTGGATCTCGAAGGCCAGACCATGTTGGCATTGGCTGCCGTCATCAGCATCGGAGAAGAAGTAATTTGGACCTTCAATAGTCAACGCTACAGGAATGGTCAACGCTTCACCGAACGCCGTGCTTCCACCGCCGAACTGAAACGTATCGCTATCCAACGCATCGTCCGTTGTGCAGCTCCTGAATGTGCTCTCGTTATATGTCTGGATCACCGTCTGATTAGAGTTCGTGTTGAAAACTGCACGGATCACAATAAGAAAGAAAACGGGAAAGTTTTAAACTCGCATGAAGAGTATGATCGAAAACATTAAATTAAAATAAAAAACAATTAAATAAAGCTTACTGAGGAAATCTCCTAAGTTGAAAGTCTGAGCAGCGGCCCAGGAGGAATAGTTAGCGGCGGCGGCGGTGTTGGTGGTAGAATTGAAGAACCAGCCGGCGTTACCTCCGACAGTGTGGTTAGTGTAGGCCGTTGGACGGGTCTGTGATGCGGCCGCAGCGATCATTAGAGCTGTTATCGTTACACGCATAAATGTAGCCGCTGTCATGGCTGCACGGCGCGGTTTGATCGAATGACTATTTCGGCGAGTTTGTCTGGATTTATACTTGGGTTTAAAACGGGGAGCTAAGGGATGCGATCTAGTCAATGGAACGATGGGCGACGGTGGTGATTCCTGGATGTTGGACACGTGGGTATGGGTCCACAAACGACACTTTAAACTGCTCCCTTGTTTTCCGGTTCAAATATGCATCTAGAATTTAGAGGTGGGAACTAGGAAGCATGATTTTAGTCTTTAGAGTTATTTTTTCACGCAAATAATATTTTTTCTTATCATTTAATATGCTCCGTTGAAATTCATTTAACATGAATTGAAAATGTAGAATGTATTTATAAATAATTTTTATTAATAAATTTTTTATATTTGGGATAAATTTAAATAGAAAATTTATTTGCTTTATTTTTAAAAACATTCTTAAATAATAATTTTAAAAATTAAAAGGATGAATAATTTTGTCATAAAAGTTTTATTTAAGTTCATGAAATTCATTTGAAAATTTCATTTGAAATTCATTTTTACTTTTTTTTAACCAAACACAAAAATACTCTTAATCAAAATTCCATCTTAATTTGTCTTGAAGATGAAGTAATAATAAATTAATAAATTCAGATACTCTAATTCACTTTTTATAATGCAATGGTATCTTAAAAGTAAATTATAGTGTAATTATACTAAATTGATAAGTTTATGATCCTTATTATACAAAGTTCGATTTATACTAATAACTTGAAAAGTTTAGGTGAAATTGATGATTAAACCGAATAAAATTTATAAAATTTTACTGAATTCATTTATTCAAAATAATGATTTTTTTTTTGAACAGGGGAGAGCAGTTATTAAAAAAATTAACAGTAAATTTTTTTTCACAAAGGTTTGCAATGCATGTAATTTTACCATTATAATATTAATTATTGCTTATATATATATATATTACGGGGTTGTAGATAAAGGCCCACATAACCACGGTCCTTGAGATGTTGTTTGTTTATTCTTGCCTTGGCAGGTGGAAATCGCATATATATATATATATAATTATGTTATATATTACACGTTTTTTAATTTATATTAACATATATATATTTTGAAAAGTTTAGTTATATTAATAATAGTTTTAGATAACACAAATTTCTGATTACGATCTGTAATCTCCACCGTCAAACCTTGATTTAACATCTGAAAAAACAAAAAAATCTAATCTCCCAAGAGGTATAGAGGCTGAGGCATGCGAAAGATGCCCCACATCGTACATCATCCACCGGTTGCTATGCCATCGCCACACAGTCACATCACTACCAAGGAGACACATCAGAAAATATTAGCCCCATCAGGGGATGTCAATATATGTCATCATATCTGCCATGTCCTTGGATGACATGTAGCCAAGTCAACCCACATCATAGACCATGTCATCTCCATTTTTGCCTCATCATTGCATGACGCATCAGCAAGTGCCAGTTCATTGTGGCTTTCTCTTGGGGCTTGGTTCTTAGCCCATATTTGCAACCCAGGCTTTTATTTTCCCGGCATTTCATTTTGCAGCCCAAATTAGCGGGAAATTTTGTATTTTCTTAATTGTAAATTTTCGATTAAAATAATACATATCATTATAAATATAATTAAATCATTTATCTTTGAAGAAAATTATGGTTAAAAAATACTTTCAAATAATTGTTTTTCACTGTAATATTAAAAATTAATTAAAAATTTTTAAAACTTTCAATTAAAAAATATATTTAATTTATAAAACCATAAAAACATGTAAGATATTGCTGATGTGGCCAAAATATCATTTTTAAAATAATTAAGGCGAACCACGTTTTCATATTACAAATAAATAAGTTAAGATAATTTTAAAATATAAAATCAAGATGAAAGCCTGTAAAGTGAGGATCTCATAACTTGATGAATCTCGAGTAAAATTATGCCATTTAAAATATTTATTTTTTTTTAAATTAGGATTAAGGTTTTCTTAATCTTTGATATTTTGTAATATTAAGTTAAAACCAATACTCTTAATTTGTCTTTACATGAATTGACAAATCTAAAATGATATTTTAAATGAGATCATTCATCAAATTTTCACACTATATAATTATTAATTATATACCAGAGCTCGTAACACATTATATATGATATTTTTCTTTTCTTTTTAATGTTTTGTTTCTCGTTTCTTTTTTATGTTTAAACTTTATAATTATACAAAACTCTAATAGTTTAAAATTTATTTTTTTAGATTAGTTGTTCAAATTAAATATCAACTATAAATCAAATTGAATTTATCGTCTTACCAAAATTCATGATATTTTTTATTTATTCTTTATAGAATAATTTATCTGTAGAAAATAATAATAAATAATTAAATGAAAATTTTATAAAAAATAATAATGCAGTTATTTTTTTTATTAAATATACACCTTATATAGGGTAATACAATCAATTAAAATTAAATTATTTTTATTTTTAACTAATAAAATTAAAATTTTTAAAAATATTATGTTTGTTATCCAATACATACCTTATCTAGTATATAATTTAATCTTAATTTATCCAATAAAATTCAAATTTAAATGAAAAATTAATGTGACTATTAAAATCAAATTACTTTTATTTTTCAATTAATAAAAGTAAAATCTTTAAAGACATTTCTTATCATATTTAATATATTCAATATATACATGTAATGTCATTGCTTATTTATACGATAAAATTTAGATTAAATAGAAAATTATAGTGATACGTAGAATGATTATGAATAGAAACATGCTCCGCTTCCTTCACTTACACGGTAAGGTTGGACAAAGATTTATCATTCGAGAAAAAGAAAAAAAGAAAAAAAGAAAAAAAAAAAAAAACAAAGAAAAAAGGCACAAAAGCAAAAACACCTTGGAGCTTGGATATAGCATTATTACGCAATTAACTACCCCTTGCATTGTTTTTGACTGGGCAACCACAGGGAGGTTCTATTACTTGCCAAATCCACCTTCTCTCTCGCGCCCAAATCGCCTCCTCTTTCGTCTTCTCCGATTCTCTCTTTCGCTTTCGGAAATCGGATTTTCAATCGTCGTCGTTTTCCATTTTCCTTTTCTTTTAATTAAATTATTTATCCAATTAGCCAAGGATTCCAAGTCGAATCAGACGGATCCATTCTCCAAAGGTATGTTCATTACATTTCTCATGCTGTTCTCCACTGAACAATGGTGATCGGAGTCTGATCTGTTTCCGATAATTTCTTTGATATTATCTTCAATAGTTTTATTTTTGGTTTAAACATCCCTTTGTATACGTATAATGTAGATACCTGTTATAGTGTTTACGTTAGCGTGCCAGAGACTTGATTAATCGACTACATTTGTATCCTATTGAGACGTTCGTTGGATAATTTAGCTAACAATGCATGATTTTGTAAATATTGAGGTGTGGAAATGAATGTATGTGCCTCGTGAAGTAGATCCTTTGAATCTTGATTGAGTATTCTATGTGTCATTCGGATCATGAATTGCTTTATCCCTCTGATTTGGAGTTTCCAGCTTCCAGCTCCGTGATCCACTGCTGGGCTGCTGAGAGTTTGTAGTGAAACCGAAACAACATGCAAACATGAAATTGTATGTTCTCATCGATTGGCAAATAATGGTTGTCCGGAAAAGATAATGTCTGCTAGTTTTTATCGAAAAACTTAGTGTCTTCGCTGTCTTTACACCTTTTTTTTTTTTCTGTTGTCTCAACTTCCTGGAATGGCGTTCAATTTTCATTCATTTGCTCTACGTTTCTTTTATAGGTACTGGGTATGTAAATAGTTTGGATGAGTGTTTGTTAGGTCTTTGTGATGGAAGACGATGAAGAAAAGAAGGAGACCAGAGCTTCTTGGAAGGTTACGGACATGCCTGAGGTAGTTAGTGCTGTAGCAGTTAGTTTAGGAACATCTTATCCAAAAAATGAAAATTTTACTGGTGGCAGTGACATGCAGATAGGACAGGACAATGTAGTTTCCCAGGGGGTTGATTCTGTAGCTACAGTTATGGATGGAGAGCAGTTTGAACAGGTAAGTTTGAAAGATCAAGATAAAGCTGCTAGCGAGGTACAATCTTTGCATTTGGATTCAAACCACTTATCAAATTCAGAGAATGAGATGCAATCATCTGATGGATTTGATGAAGCCTCTCAGAATTTATCCAGGAGTTTTGGTACTGAGCATTATTCTCCTCCAATGACTGACATTCGGCATGATCGTTCAGTATCAAGCCCTGGCCCTGAGAGACAATTTGGTTCTACAATGAAGCAATCATATTCATCTGCCAGTCTTGATTCTGCTTACTTTGGAGACATTGGATTCCCTCCAGTTGGTTCACCACACAGGTCTAAGCCAAAAGCTGTAATGCCAAATGTGTCTCCAGAGTTACTGCATTTAGTAGATTCTGCTATCATGGGAAAGCCTGAAAGCTTGGACAAGCTAAGGAACATTGTCTGCGGGGTTGAGACTTTTGGCATTGGAGAGGAAGCGGACACCATTGCCTTCTTGGTTGTTGATTCACTGCTGGCCACAATGGGTGGAGTTGAAAGTTTTGAGGATGAAGATAATAATCCTCCCAGTGTGATGCTGAACTCTCGGGCTGCTATTGTCTCTGGTGAGCTTATTCCCTGGTTTCCTTGGGTGGGTGATAGTGAGATTTACATGTCCCCAAGGACACGGATGGTAAGAGGGTTACGTGCTATATTGCAGGCTTGTACAAGAAATAGAGCTATGTGCTCTATGGCTGGTCTGTTGGGAGTTCTTTTGGGGACAGCAGAGAAGATTTTTGTTGAGGATCTTGATTCGATGGCACCTGCAAGATGGGATGGTACTCCTTTATGTCACTGTATCCAATACTTGGCTGGGCATTCGCTAAATGTTTTTGATTTGCATAAATGGTTTCAAGTCATTACAAGACTGCTTACTTCTGCATGGGCACCTCGCTTAATGCATGCCCTGGAGAAGGCAATGGGTGGAAAGGAGTCGAAGGGACCAGGATGTACTTTTGAGTTTGATGGTGAAAGTTCTGGTTTGCTTGGTCCCGGGGAAAGCCGATGGCCATTTACCAACGGTTATGCGTTCGCAACATGGATCTATATTGAATCGTTTGCAGACACATTGAACACGGCTACTGCTGCTGCTGCAATTGCTGCTGCTGCTGCAGCAAAGTCGGGAAAATCGTCTGCTATGTCAGCTGCGGCTGCTGCCAGTGCACTTGCTGGTGAAGGCACAGCCCACATGCCACGACTTTTTAGTTTCTTATCTGCAGATAATCAGGGAGTAGAGGCATATTTCCATGCTCAATTTTTGGTTGTTGAAAGTGCTAGTGGAAAGGGAAAGAAGGCTTCCTTGCATTTTACTCATGCATTCAAGCCTCAGTGCTGGTATTTTATTGGTTTGGAGCATATCTGCAAGCAGGGACTACTTGGGAAAGCTGAGAGTGAACTGAGATTGTATATAGATGGATCGTTGTATGAAAGTCGACCTTTTGAGTTCCCTAGGATCTCCAAGCCACTTGCCTTTTGCTGTATTGGGACAAACCCTCCTCCTACGATGGCTGGTCTACAACGTAGACGTCGTCAGTGCCCTCTGTTTGCTGAGATGGGTCCTATTTATATCTTCAAGGAGCCAATTGGCCCAGAAAGGATGTCCCGTTTAGCTTCTAGAGGAGGGGATGTGCTACCCACTTTTGGTAATGGTGCAGGACTTCCTTGGCTATCAACAAATGACTATGTTAGAAGTGTGGCAGAGGAAAGTTCACTTTTGGATGCAGATATTGGAGGCTGCATTCACCTTCTCTATCACCCTAGTCTCCTTAGTGGGCGATTCTGTCCAGATGCTTCCCCTTCAGGTGCTGCAGGTGTGTACGCCATTTCTTTGTTTTTTCTTTGAACAGTGGAATGATTAGGCTTAATTGACTCAATATTGTTATTTTCTATGAACTATTTGGCATATTCATGATGTTCACAACTAATATTCAATGCATCTGAAATTGGATCTTATATTGGAACCATAATTTGTGACTATTTTCATCTCAAAGATATTTTTATTTTGAAGACTTGTGTGCTTGTAAAGGTATGGCTATGCCAATCTCTTTTCTTTAATTGTTTTTCTCAACTTTCTTATTCAGTCTTTCCATTATACTCTGTTTATATGTTAATTATTGAAGGACTGCAGTAAGATGATGCCTAGTTTTCCGTCTAATGCCTCCCCCCCCCCCCCCCATTTGTTCGACCTATTTTTCATCTCAAAAGAATATTTTTATTTTGAAGACTTGTGTGCTTGGTAAAGGTATGGAATATGCCAATCTCTTTTCTTTAATTGTTTTTTCCTTACTTTCTTATTCAGTCTATCCATTATACTCCCTGTTTATATGTTAATTATTGAAGGACTTGCAGTAAGATGATGCCATAGTTTTCCGTCTAAATGCCTGCCCCCCCCCCCACCACAAAAAAAAAAAAAGCACTCTGTAACCTGACCCATGAAAGTATGTTTTTAAATACTATAATGTCCAATTTGAAACTGCCCTGCTCTTCCTCTTCGTTATTCTGTGTTGATTGTCAGGTTTCAGTCTTGAAAATCACCCAGATTTTTTGTAGAATTGGTAAACCCCCCCCCCCCCCCAAAAAAAAAAAAAGCACTCTGTACCTGACCCATGAGTATGTTTTTATTACTATAATGTCAATTTGAACTGCCTGCTCTTCTCTTTCGTTATTCTGTTGTTGGATTTCAGTTTCAGTCTTGAAATCACCAGATTTTTGTAGAATTGGTAAACAGAATTTTAAATTACAGAAGCATTATTACTTTTTGAAAGGGGTTCAGCATTGATTTTTTTTTTTTTTATAATATTCTTTTGCATATGGCTGAAGGGTTTGTAATATCTCTTTGCATACAAGGCCTGAATAATTTGGTTGCATGTATGCCATTTCTGATTTTTCCTTTTTTGATGATTTAGGCATGGTGCGGCGACCAGCTGAGGTTCTTGGACAAGTTCATGTTGCAACACGAATGCGACCAGTAGAGGCTTTGTGGGCCTTGGCCTATGGAGGTCCTTTGTCTTTACTTCCTCTAGCAATAAGTAATGTTCATAAAGGTAGTCTGGAACCAGAGCAAGGAAGTCTTCCTTTGTCCTTAGCTACTGCTACACTGGCTGCCCCAGTATTCCGAATTATTTCCATAGCTATTCATCACCCTGGAAACAATGAAGAGTTATGTCGAACTAGAGGACCTGAGATTCTCTCAAAAATCTTGAACTATCTTCTCCGAACTTTGTCTTCATTTGATACTGGAAAGCACAATGGTGTAGGAGATGAGGAACTTGTTGCAGCTGTTGTCTCCTTATGCCAATCCCAGAAGCATAATCATGCACTCAAAGTGCAGCTTTTTAGTACACTGTTATTGGATCTCAAAATTTGGAGCTTATGCAACTATGGACTGCAAAAAAAACTTCTATCATCATTAGCAGACATGGTTTTTTGTGAGTCGTTGGTAATGCGGGATGCGAATGCTATTCAGATGCTTCTGGATAGCTGCAGAAGATGCTATTGGACAATTCGTGAGAAGGACTCTGTGAACACTTTTTCACTAGATGAGGCAACACGTCCTATGGGTGAATTGAATGCTTTGGTTGATGAACTGTTGGTGATCATTGAACTTCTAATAGGAGCAGCACCACCTTCCATGGCTGCAGATGATCTCCGCTGTCTACTTGGCTTCATAGTTGATTGTCCTCAACCCAATCAGGTAAGTTCCTTTGCAGAAGCTTGTTTTAATCTGGCATGATTGCTTGCTAGTAGATTGTGTTCTAACATAGAATTGATATCTATATATATTTGATGTTTTCTCACTTTTTTTTCTGAGGAATACTGTTTTCCTTTGTTTTCTTTAAGTGTTTTTGTTCATTAAAGATCAAGGGAAGTACCTGAAACAGTTCCTTTTCTTTTCTTTATTTTTTTTTCTTGCCTTTTGTTTGTAAGTAGTAACAGTTAGTAATATGAACAAAAAATTATGCGAGTCAAGATCATGAAAAATAATAATAAATAAAAAGATATAGTAAGACTAAAATTCTAGTGTTGCACTAAGGGAAATAAATTTGTTTTTTTTTTTTTTTTTATTTTACCCGTAATAAATAAATAAATAAATATAGTAAGATTAAAATTCTAGTGTTGCACCAGCAGAAATAAATTTGGTTTTTTACTTGATTTTACCAGTCAATTGCATCTGGCCACCTCATTGGTAGTATCAAACTTAAAAGCATCAAGCTTATTGCCTTTTAGTTTTATATGCCAAGTTATCTTCTTTCGTTACTATACATGATATGTGTGATATTACCAATACAAAATAAGGTTGCTTTCCTAATATCCATTTACTCTCTCCTTTTATCCTTCATATGGTTTTAGAGCATCATTTGCTCCAAATGATATAAGCAGTTCTACATCATTGAGACAAGTCACCTAGACTTGGGGGAATAAAATTCCATAGAACCAAGTCGTCTCTTATTTGTATTTAGTAGTTGTTTTTGCATTAAACTGAAATCTAGATTTTGCGGGATATTCCGTTTCCCCTTCTCTCTGAAGGGCCATACAGCAAAATACATGTAGGTCAGTGTGCTTTGCATCAGTCAGCAAATTTTGTAAACCCTCTTGTTGAAGTACATTAATTTTTGGGAGATGTAAAGTTCACAATAATGAGATGATGAATCTTTTTCATCCTATTTTGGTACCGTTTCTTCTTTTGGGTTTGGGGATGCATTTTTATTTTGCTCATTTTCTAAATTGGATTTCTTGAACTAGAGAATGATAAGATCTGAATATCAACAGGGAATTAGATTATTCATTCATTTACAAATTTGAAGGCACTATTTATTAGTCCTTTACTTCTTAATTTTCTGTAAATGACTACTGCGAATATCTGATCCCAGGTTGCCAGAGTGTTGCATCTGATATATAGACTCATAGTACAGCCAAATACAGCTAGGGCCCAGACGTTTGCAGAGGCATTCATAAAATGTGGTGGGATAGAAACACTTCTTGTTCTGTTGCAACGGGAAGCTAAAACTGGTGATCATAGTATTCCAGAATCAGAGTCAAAGAGTGATAATAGCTTATCTGTTGAGGAATGTGAGCTAGATGGAGGCAATGAGAGTCCAGAAAAACATCAAAATAATGAAGCAAAGAATTTTACTTCACACGTGAAAGATTGTGAATCTGAACCATCTGATTGTGGTGGTAGCCCTGACGCTTCTTCTGCTATCACAAGAATTGAAAGGGCGTCATCTGTTTCTGAAAATCCTTCCCTTAGGAATTTGGGTGGTATCAGTCTTTCAATTAGTGCTGATAATGCACGAAATAATGTTTACAATGTTGACAAAAGTGATGGTATTATTGTTGCAATCATTGGGTTACTGGGTGCTCTGGTGACATCTGGGCATGTAAAATGCAGTTCATGTGCACCCACAGATACCACAAGCAGCTTTTTGGGTGCTGGATTGCAAGAAGGAGGTGGCTCAATGTTTGATGATAAAATTTCTCTTCTACTTTTTGCATTACAGAAGGCTTTCCAAGCAGCTCCAAATAGGCTTATGACGACAACCGTTTACACAGCTTTACTGGCGGCCTCGGTATTCTTTTTGTTTTGGTCTTATATAATCTAGTGAATTTCTTAATCAATTAAAAGGATGATCCATGACTTTCTATTGGTAATTTATGGGATATTTTTAGCCAGGAAAAAGACACGAGCCCAGAGTTTCAATCATCCCTATAATTTTGCCATTTCCCCACGCACTGCATATTTTTCATGATATTAATCTACTTTTATACTTTTTGCACCAAGGGGTCGAAGGAGACAAATGCATCCTTTATACTTTGTGCATATGCTATATCAGTATAAATCTATTCTTCTGTTTTGTGTTGGAAAGTTGAGGCTTAGGAATGAACCTTGATACTTATTCCTCACATTGGGTAATCACTTTGTGACATCAAATTCCAACAATACTAATGATTCACTTGCTTACCAAGTTGAATAAGTTCTGGACAATTTGTTCTAATTACATGATTTTAAAGACATATTGAACTGATTTTATGCCGTGAGTAATTTCGATGTTCTTTATTTGATTTAATCTTTGATTGTTGATTTAATTTGTCCGTTTGAACTTTATCTGTAAAGTGTAAACTTTCTTTCCTGAGTGAGCAGCAGTGGATGTACAAGTGGAAATTCTTTGAAATGGTTTCGTCTAACACCCAACATCCATTCATGCAATCTTAAGACTTGAAATAAGTCTTTGATTATCTGTTGTACTTATGACATCTTGAAACTCCATTTTTTAAAGGGACATTATTTGTGAACTATGTTGACTTCATTGCGATGTCTCGTCCATGCGAACATTCAGAAATACTGAAAATTTAAATCTGCCCTTCGTATTTCTCAGATCAATGCTTCTTCAGCAGAGGATGGCTTGAACTTTTACGACTCTGGTCACCGCTTTGAGCATTCACAACTTCTGTTGGTTCTTTTGCGCTCACTGCCTTATGCTTCTAGGGCTTTGCAAAGTCGAGCATTACAGGTATCTTGTTTATCTTCCTAGTGCTTTGTATCTGTGGGGATGCATGTGCTGGTGAGATGCTGTAATTGCTATAGCCATTGTTCATGAATGGATAAAGAATCTTAAATACCAGGAGGATCATCAGTTGTGGAATTTCACTCATGCTTAAATTGTTTGATTTCATTGTTCGTGGTTTCATTGTATGTCATTCATGTAGGCTATCCTATGTTTTAAAGGGCTGCATGTGTGCCTCAACTTAATTTTAGTGGGAGGAAAGATAGGTTGAGCAGGCCTTACCGCATATCAGTGTTATTGCTCCCAGAAATTGATAACAGAAGGATGATTAGATGCAATCGTTTATGAATGTAGTCACTGTAACGAAGGTTCCTGTTATTTTTATGTGTTACCTTAATGAATTGGATTTATTTTAATTGTGCTCATGAAAGATTTTATTAATTATGCCAACTGGATTCACTTTGAGAGTGAGTTAGGTTGTGCATTAGGAAAGTAGATTGAAGTCATATACATTTTGCAACTTGGATCTAACAGGATATGGTAGCCAAGAAGAATTTTAAGTGTCTGCAACATTTTGTTTCTTGGTCTTCCACTGTAAGACAACGAACTGGGGCTTTCCCCTATCTTACTGTATGGTTGCACTATGCTGCTTAACCAATTAGCTGGCAGTAGTGTGTCATTGCATTAATGTACATTAGGTACTTGGTTGCTTTTATTTCAATCAATTTGTTTATATATGAGTGTTTAGATGCTCTAATTTCCTGATCAGGGCCCTTGATATTCTGTTTTAGTTTCTGAGCTGCTTCTTTCTACGTGATTTCAGGATCTTCTGTTTTTGGCTTGCAGTCATCCAGAAAACAGAAACAATTTGACGAAAATGGAGGAATGGCCTGAGTGGATTCTGGAGATTCTAATCTCTAATTATGAGGTACTGTTGTCTAACCTTGTTCTGGATTTAATTTTTTGGATTTGAGATTCATGATATTTATTTATGGCCTGACATTTTACCTGTGATAGAGAGCGTATGAATTCATTTGGTGAAGTTTTGAGTCTATACTTGTATTTTGTGTTTCCGACTTTTGCAAGTGCTTGTTTTGCAGATGGGTGCATTGAAAAATTCTAACACGGCAAGCTTAGGGGACATTGAGGACCTCGTACACAACTTCTTGATTATAATGCTAGAGCACTCAATGCGACAGAAGGATGGTTGGAAGGTGGATGTTTATCTGTCTTGTCATCTAATCTTCTTAACGGGGAAGCATGGCATCTCCTCATTTTTCTTCTTCTTAGGGTTTAGCAATACATGCATTTTTGTGTATCTGATTATTATCATGGGTTTGCTTCATTATTCGTTTCTCCGTCCCAGTTTTTTGTTATGGATATCTTTTAGTTGTCCACATTATTTTCTACGGAAATTATATGGAGAATGGAGGCACCTTGAAGAGTTTTATTCTAGTTTTGTCCGTGGAACATTTAATTTGGCAATCCAAATCAGACACCACCACAACTGAACCCACCTGCTATCTAATGCCACAGTTGACATTATGTATATGAGATATGTGAAATGTGTTTTGTAATTTTAATAAGAAAAATCTTCATTGAGAAAGAAAGAAAGCAAGAAAGAAACTAGTTTATACTATAAAGGACAAGGAATCCTCTTACATAATGTGTGATTATGTTAATTCATACTTGAAAACAGAAGTATGCCTATAAAAAAGTAGAAAATAAAAAATGAAGATGATTGGAATGTTTTTGTCCTTTGGAGGTTGGAGTTAAGGAGAAGCCCCTAGAGTCTAAGGGTTTCAAGTTAAGTAGAACTGGAATAGATTACGTAAAAATGCAATTTTAGCCATGGGAAAGGGGTCAAAGTGTGTGGCAAAGAACAATACTTTCACAATATCAGTAAGGCAGAAATAAAGGCGTTAGGACTTAGGATGGATTTATTGAAATGCAAGTACGGATTGGTTAAGCTCTTTGTATTTTGAGTTCACATATTCTGGTATTTATTTTTTCTATCATACCTAGACTTGTGCTAAGTCCATGTTCCATGTATTCCCACTTTGTATTAGTTTCATTTATTATTGCTTCCCTTTTACAGGATATTGAAGCCACGATTCATTGTGCAGAATGGCTTTCTATTGTGGGGGGATCTAGCACGGGTGACCAACGAGTTAGGTATTACTGTATCCACTTCGAAAACTTCTGTGAAGTTATTTCTTTTTAGGAATTATTATTCAAGTTATAGATTGGTTGTTTATTTGGCTAGCATCATCATTAGTGCTTATAGAATTTGGATATTTCATCTGCGTGTTCATTTGCCATGGTCAGTAGATTGCACTCTCTAGTTTTTATTGAAGTTTGTCTTTGCTGTTCGGTGGATGATCCCATGTAGGTTACATATATAATTGACAGTTGAATTCCATGGAAGCTTTTTGTGATGTTTCATTTTCTACAAAAATTTTTAAGTAATAGTTATCGTATCTTTCATCTTGAAGTCATCCCTAGTAGTTGCTAATTGATGTCTCTATCTTATTAATTTCTTTGTGATTTGAAGACGTGAAGAATCACTACCTATATTTAAAAGAAGGCTTTTGGGTGGCTTATTGGATTTTGCTGCAAGAGAGCTGCAGGTTCAGGTAACTTTTGTATTTCATAGTTTGAAGCAGGATAAATATGATCCTAGGTTGTTTTAATACGTTCGCATTTTTATTTTTCAATGGGACATGAAATTTGTAAATGGTGTAAAAAGATTGTCATCACAGTATGGAAAAAGTATTCATGAGCAATACTACAGTCTTGAATCTAAAATAGAGACAGTTGGAATATGGGAATTATAAGTGGAAGGAGTCATAAGAAAGCCTCTAGTTACAAATTCTTCTTTTCCCTTTAATTTTTATGCTAGATTTTTTTTTAAAATATATGCAAGACAATTTAAAATGCAGACTACTAAAGGCCTGATTCACACAATAGTGTTCAACTGGAAAAGGATAGGAGGAAAATCCATGGTCCATGAGTTGGACCCTAATACTATTCTGCATCTTTTTATTTCTCTTTATGGATCTATGGTTGAATGACAGGTTAGCTGACTTCTTTCTTCATAATCAAACTAACTTCCATACTAAAGTATCACATCCAAAGCTTTACAGCAGTATGTTGGGAGGCCCATATGTTATACTAGCCCCTAATAAGAAATTGTACTTTAGCCATTTGGGGTTTACTTAACACCCTCCCTCATCTAGAGGCCTATCAGAACTCAACATATCTAAAGGTCTGCAACCAAAGTATCAGCAGTATAGGCTTAGCCAAACAAATGGTTCTTGCATGTGGTGGAGCAACAAGAACAAAAAGAACACAGCAGCGTGTATCATTATCATCTTAGAATATCCAAACCAAAAAATCTTGTAAAGGTGGAGAGTATAATAACTGTATGAATCTACATTGAGTTACTTACCAGAACAAGGTTACTACAGAAGTATAGCAACTTGTCTCAATACTGCTAAACACAAAATGATGATAACTATCTTTATCACTTTCACTTTTATTGTTTCAAGCTGGACTAGAGGGGAGAAAGAGCGCACTTGTTAATGCATCAAACCTTTCTTTTGTTGTAGACTCAAGTTATTGCGGCAGCTGCTGCTGGTGTTGCGGCTGAGGGTTTATCACCAAGAGAGTCTAAGGCTGAAGCAGAGAATGCTGCTCAGCTTTCCGTGGCATTGGTTGAAAATGCTATTGTCATTTTAATGCTTGTTGAAGATCATTTACGGTTACAAAGCAAGCTCTCTTGTGCGTCACATGTTGTTGATGCTTCTCCATCTCCCCTATCTCTTGTGTCCAACCTGAATAACCGTTCAAATTCATTGACATCCACTGGTCGGAATTCATTGGAAAGTCTTGGTGATCGCAGATCAAGTGAATCTGGGGGACTGCCCCTTGATGTATGTATTCTAGCTTTTGTACCCCTTTCCTGTGCTAACTTCTATTACTCTTGTCACCAAAAGCATAATGGATTTTATGGTGGTTATTTCTCAGGATGTTAATGTTATTCTACATAGATCCACCTCATAAAATTAATTTTGTTGTTTTATGCACTAACACAAGGTTTTCTTAAGGTACTTGCTTCAATGGCTGATGCAAATGGGCAAATTTCAGCTGCTGTGATGGAGCGTCTCACTGCAGCAGCAGCGGCTGAGCCTTATGAGTCTGTTTCTTGTGCTTTTGTGTCATATGGGAGCATTGCAATGGATTTATCTGAGGGTTGGAAATATAGGAGCAGATTGTGGTATGGTGTTGGCCTTTCTGCAAAAACAGCTGTCTTTGGCGGTGGAGGCAGTGGCTTGGAATCTTGGAGGTCTGCTTTGGAAAAAGATGCAAATGGAAACTGGATTGAACTTCCTTTGGTGAAGAAGTCAGTTACCATGCTTGAAGCTTTATTATTAGATGAGTCTGGACTTGGTGGTGGTCTTGGTATAGGTGGGGGATCAGGAACTGGCATGGGAGGAATGGCATTACTGTACCAGTTATTGGACAGTGATCAACCATTCTTATGTATGCTCCGGATGGTGCTTCTATCAATGAGGGAGGAAGACAATGGGGAAACCAGTATGCTCATGAGAAATGTAAGCATAGAGGATAGGATGCCTGAAGGAACTTTGCCGACAGAAAATAATGCTCGAATTTTGATGAGACAACCACGGTCAGCCTTGTTGTGGAGGTATTTTTTTTTTTTTGGTATTATAGTTAACAGAGCCTGGCTAATTGGCATTACCTATCTTATGCATTATTCTATTTATTAATATATCAAGTGATTTTAAAATTTTGCTTCAAAATTTTTTTCTATAAAAAGTATTTAAAAGTTTTTGCCGACTTAAACTTTGCTTTGCATTACTATTAATTTGATCAGAGCGGATATTGGAACTAAGCTTAGTTATCGCCTTTTATTTTTAAAGATTTATTTTATGATTTTTGTGGATAATATTTATTTTATGATTTATGTGGACACTTGTGATTCGCCCAGTATGGGATCAGGGTGTTATTCTATTGTTTGAAGTTCATGGATAAACCTATGATCCTAAACAAGATTAGATGAGAATAGGACTTAAGTCTCAGAATATTAGGTGACTGTTATGCTTGATATCACCATACTGTTGTTAAATGGGCTAAGCTATGTTATGATTGAGCTGAATTGGATAATGAATGTCGTAGTGTTAACTACTAAGAATATAGGTGTGTCATGTTAGGTGCAGCACATATGTTTGGTTCTTGGTTATTTTTTCCTCTTAAGTCACATAAATCTCCTGATGGGATTTTGCTCACTCTTGATAAAGTTTTACCGAGGATACATTCTTGTCTTGCATTAGACCATACAAATCTTGCTGAAAATAATTTTTCTTTTTCAGTATAATTGTATACTTATTTTCATGATAAACACACAGAATTGTTACCTTGATAATAAATGATATGATGCATGGTTGTCCTTTTCTTATCACATTTATTTGTGGGGTTTATTTTATAGTCATTATGGTAGTATCTTTTTCTTTATCATCATAGAATGGTTACTAATTTACACTTTTATTTGCAGTGTACTTTCACCCATTCTAAATATGCCCATTTCTGATTCAAAGCGACAGAGAGTTTTGGTTGCATCTTGTGTTCTCTTTTCAGAGGTTAGTTCTGTGTGCAAATGACATTTGTGGTATATTGGTAACTTATTATCAATTAAAAAGTTCTATTGCTGCTGGCCTTCCACCTGCTTCACGTAGAAAGATGATGTAGCTGGCTTGATTCTTGTTGTCTGCATTTCTAGTTACCTTGTTTCACTTGATCTGTATGTTGCAGGTATGGCATGCAGTTGGCAGAGACAGAAAACCTTTACGTAAACAGTACCTTGAGGCTATTTTACCACCATTTGTTGCTGTGCTGCGGAGGTGGCGGCCAATTTTGGCTGGAATTCATGAGCTTGCTACTGCTGACGGCTTAAATCCTCTTACTGTTGATGATCGTGCATTAGCTGCTGATGCACTCCCTATAGAGGTTTGTTGCTGCAATTCATGACATACGAACTAGTTGTATTCCTTGAATTACTTATCATCTTTTATTAAATTACGATTGTCTTTCAGTGTTGCTATATGTTTTGAAACACTTTGATTGGTTTTCTTTCAGGCTGCTCTCTGCATGATCTCTCCAGCTTGGGCTGCTGCATTTGCATCACCACCAGCAGCTATGGCGTTGGCAATGATTGCTGCTGGTGCTGCAGGTGCTGAAACACCAGCTCCTCCAGCTACCTCACATCTTAAGCGTGAGACTTCCTTGCTAGAGCGAAAATCTGTTAGATTGCATACCTTTTCAAGCTTTCAAAAATCTTCGGAGGCAACTAACAAAACACCAGCTGCTCCAAAGGATAAGGCTGCAGCAAAAGCGGCTGCTTTGGCAGCAGCAAGGGATCTTGAACGTAATGCTAAAATTGGCTCTGGAAGGGGCCTTAGTGCAGTTGCGATGGCCACATCTGTGCAACGAAGAAATGCTGGTGATATGGAGCGTGTGAAGAGATGGAATACTACTGAAGCCATGGGAGTTGCTTGGTTGGAATGTATGCAACCAGTTGATACAAGATCAGTCTATGGGAAAGATTTCAATGCTCTATCTTATAAATATATTGCAGTCCTTGTTGCAAGTTTTGCTTTAGCTAGAAACATGCAGCGATCAGAGGTTTGAATAGTGTTTGCCTTACAATGTAATTAAAGTTAATTTACAAGAATTACTTATTTATTAGTTCTTCTCCAGGTTGACAGGCGTGCTCAAGTTGATGTAACAGCTCGCCATTATTTATCTGCTGGAATTCGTGCGTGGCGCAAACTTCTCCATTACTTGATAGAGATGAAGAGCCTTTTTGGACCACTTGGGGACCACTTGTGTAGTAATGAACGTGTATGTATGCAGACAACTTAACATGTCGTATTATTATATCATATACTATTTTCTTGAAATGAATCCTTATGCATTATGTTGAGGAGCTTTGCTTAAAAGAACTGCTAATGTGTAGATCTTCTGGAAGCTAGACTTCATGGAAAGTTCTTCGAGAATGAGAAGATGTTTGAGAAGGGATTATGCAGGGTCTGATCATTGTGGTGCTGCTGCTAACTATGAGGATCAAATTGAGACGAAACATGATCAAGGGGTTGTTCCAGTTCTGGCAGCAGAAGCAATCTCGATGGAGGGAATAAATGAGGATGATGAACATGCGGAAAATGATATTTTAGATGGTAGAGCCTATGACATAGAACAGAATGGAGAAAGTCAGCCAAGACCATCAGGAACAGCTGATGAGAATCTACAGCCATCTGCAGGATCAAGTGATGCTCAAGTTGCTGGTGACCAAGGCTTAGAAGATATATCAGTAGTTGCACCGGGATATGTTCCCAGTGAACATGATGAAAGAATTGTTCTCGAGCTTCCTTCATCTATGGTCCGGCCTTTAAGGGTTATACGTGGAACCTTTCAAGTAAGTTTTACAGCCCTAACTAAGGACTTCCTTTTTGTGCATTCACTTTGTTATTTGTTACATTACTGTACTGAAATTAATGGTAGTTTATCATCAAAATCTAAAAATTGTATGTGCCATACTTGATCCAAATAAACTCTGTTAAAAATACTGAAACTTATAAGGTCAATTTATATAGGAAAAGACTTGCTTGGTTGTCAAAAATTTTCAAGTACATGGAGTTGCAAATTTTTTCCCCATGAAACATGGGGTTCATTTTAGCTTGCTTTATGAGTGTTTTGGTCATAACTAAAGAGTGAGAGAGCAATATGGAAGTTCGCATCGTTGACTGTTAGATGCTGTATCTGCTAATGATTAATAAGACATGTTAGTTTGTGCTGCTTAGTTGTAGGATGATGTTATTTGGGTTTACATGACTGGAAATGGTTTTTAATTTGCTTACAATGCATAAATCCTGTTCTCATCTAGGTTGAGATTCTCTTCTGCTGATGGGGTTACTGGTATCACACTCATTATTATGTTTTATGTTTACTGCTTAATTAATAGTGGGTTCTACACAATATTCATGTTTGCGACAGCTTAATTATAAGTGGAGACACTGCTGATTTCTTGTTTTTAGAACATGATGAAAACTACATCGATGCTCTAACATATTAATATGACCAATTATTACTCAGCACGGAAACCAATGACTTTCAGGTAACTACTAGGAGAATAAATTTTATAGTTGATGCCACTGAAATCAGTACCATGGACGGAATGGAATCTTCTGAATCAAGAGAACATGAAAAAGACCGCAGCTGGTTGATGTCGTCCCTCCATCAGATTTATAGCCGAAGGTAAGCTATTGCAGCTTTATTAGTTTAAATTGGAGTTACATTCCATCAGTTACCATTTCAATTAGCAATTTGAGTGTCACATTCTAATAGTATGTACAGTGCCTCAGTCTGTGTGATTTGAGAATATAGTTGTAAACCTGTAGACAGACCATCATTCATAATTGTAAAACTGAGCTTCAATAAAAGAAATGAGAATATTTTTGTTTTCGCTTAACTGAAGAATTTTCCTCTCTTTGCTATTCTAGTGGAAATGGGTTAAGTTGTCGTTTTGTTGGATGTTTTTGACATGAGACTATACCATGTGCAAGGTTGACGCACCATTTCAACATTGATACGCGTTTTGATATAGTTTCTATCTATAAGAATAATTTTCCATTTGTAGCACCTTTTATGCATATTTAATTATTTTATTTGATGGAATCTTTGAAATAATAAAATATTAAATATAAAAAATGGCAACCCAGTGTACGAAGCATCCCACATTTGTGGACTTTGGGAGGATTGATGTATGTAGCCTTCATGCTTTTTTACTGCCTGAAGGAATGCTTAGCATAACTGGAAGATGCTATAACCAACCTATCTCCTATTGGAATCGAGGTATCAATGCTCGAAGCTCACCTAGGCAGGCTGTTTTTGTGGTTCAAATCCATGACCTCTAGATTGTAAAAGATTAAATATATTATTTAAAATTTGAAAAGTGGAAATGAAATTAGCAACCTAATATATAATTGTCTTCATGTTAATGGTTCTCAACATACTAATGGTTGTGGTTTGTGTTATTACTTTATGAAATGGTCACGTTTCTTTCTAGGTCTTTGAAATATGAATGTTAGTTATGTTATGTTTATAATACAATAGCATTGAAAAGACATGAAATGCATGTCAACTTGAATTGTCATTCCTAGTTGGATTATAAAATGTGATTGTAAATTGTTATTTGTATTATTGCCTTCACATTAATTGTTATTTTGCATCTTAATTACATTTTTGAAGTTTGGTTTTTTGTTGGTTATTTTTGTCACAGATATCTTCTTAGAAGAAGCGCTCTGGAACTTTTTATGGTTGATCGGTCAAACTTCTTCTTTGATTTTGGGGTACTTTTTGAAATATGCCTAACTATTTCCCAGTTCTTTGTTAATGTAAATAAAGTTGGACCATAAACCTTTCTCTTTGGGTTAAACATTTGTTACCAGAGTACAGAGGGGCGAAGAAATGCTTATCGAGCTATTGTTCAATTACGTCCTCCTTATTTGAACAATATTTATCTAGCAACTCAGGTTTGCAGCCTGTCTTTTGACTTGTAGATTTCTTAAACTTAACACATTTCTCCCCAAGTTATGGGCACTATGGGGTACTTTCCAGTGTTTGTGACTTGATCTAGTTAATGATAATTCTTTATATTTGTAATTAAATGGTGCAATTGATTTTCCATAGAGACCTGAACAACTTCTGCAAAGAACTCAACTTATGGAGCGCTGGGCGAGGTGGGAGGTACAAAATAAACTTGAGTTTTCTGTTTTATGACTAATATGTTAATTCCCCTCAAATTGTGCATGGTAACAAGTAAACTACAATCATTATGCAGATCAGCAATTTTGAGTATCTGATGCAGCTGAATACTCTGGCTGGGCGTAGTTATAATGACATAACTCAGGTGGATTTCCTGTTTAACTGCTTTTTTGTGTAGAAGTCTGTACATTTGATTCTTATTTTTTTATTGCAGTATCCAGTTTTTCCTTGGATTCTTTCTGATTACAGTTCCAAGAGTTTGGACCTTTCGAATCCTGCTTCTTACCGAGATCTTTCAAAGGTGAAATTTAGAATTTTGTTTCACTCTCTGTGCAGTTATCCTTTGCTCTCTTTCCTTATTTACCTTTTTACTTGCAGCCTGTTGGCGCGTTGAATCCTGATCGACTAAAAAAATTTCAAGAGAGGTATTCTAGCTTCGATGATCCAGTCATCCCAAAGTTTCATTACGGTTCTCATTACTCAAGTGCTGGGACAGTAAGTTTCCATTTCATTTGGTCATTTGAAGTTATTGATTGTGTATCAGTTTTATATTATGCTATTGGCCCTAATCTGTTCATGGAATATCGTTCACCTTTTTATTTCAATTACCCTGATGCACATTGGATTTGATATATGTATCTGTATGTATGCACCCGCTTTGTTCTTTTAATTTGGATTCTTTGTTCTTTGGCATGTTCCATCTTCATGTGTGTTACTAATATTTTAATGCCAATCAGGACTTTTCTTTCAAGTTATTCTCTGGTGTAAATTGTAGCAATGTGGTTTTAACTTATAATGATTACTAATGTTTCTGTTATAGGTGTTATATTATCTTGTTAGAGTTGAACCGTTTACGACTCTTTCAATCCAACTGCAAGGTGGCAAATTTGATCATGCAGATAGGATGTTTTCAGATGTTACTGCTACATGGAATGGAGTTCTTGAGGACATGAGTGATGTGAAGGAATTGGTATGTGTGATAATTACAATTAAGGCACTGCTTTGTTTTATTATCCCATGACTGTTTGTCTTATATCTCTCTAGTCAGTTATTGAGGTGTTTCTTGCATAATCATCTGCAAATTGATGATTGATAAAACTCTTTTTGGGATTGGGGTTTGTTGACTTTTTTAGGTTCCCGAGTTATTTTATCTCCCAGAGATCTTAACCAATGAAAATTCAGTTGACTTTGGTACAACACAGTTAGGAGGAAAACTAGGTATGTCTTTCAAACTATTTTTAGTTTTATCAGTGAAATATAGTTCTAGTTATGAATATATAGGAACTCAGTCTTATATATCTATTTTGTTTCAGATACTGTGAAACTTCCTCCTTGGGCTGAAAACCCTGTCGATTTCATTCATAAGCATCGGATGGCTCTCGAGAGTGAGCATGTATCTGCACATTTACATGAGTGGATTGATCTTATCTTTGGGTAGGTTTCTTGTAAAACTATTATATCCTTTGCTGCTCATGTTGAATTCTTGTCTGTTTTGTTTTGTTATTTTTAGTCTTAGTTATTTTTCCCTCAGGGGTCCATTAGATGAGCCAAGGGGTTGCTCCCATGTTTCCAATAAACCTCCCCAGCCTAACATGAGATCTCCTTGTAAACATCTGAGGTCTTACCACTAGGAAGTGCCCTTGTGGACATCCAAAAGTCTCTAACTTAAATTAATTTTTGTGTCTTTTAATTTTAAGTGTTAAATGAATTGTATTATGCAGATATAAGCAACGTGGTAAAGAAGCTATTCAGGCAAATAATGTTTTCTTTTACATTACCTATGAAGGCTCAGTAGATATTGATAAGATTTCAGATCCAGTAAGTTTTCTTTTCTTTTCTACAAAATATTTTAATTTAAGTATTGTTCCTTATTTTCTTCTTCACATCTTGATACAAAAGGTACAACAGCGAGCTACACAAGACCAGATTGCTTACTTTGGACAAACCCCATCCCAACTTCTAACTGTTCCTCACTTGAAGAAGATGCCATTAGGAGACGTTCTTCATCTGCAGGTTTGATCTTAGTGAAATGTTTATGCTTTCATGTATGATACCGTTTTGGATGCACGTGTTTGTGTGTGTGTATGTGGATTTGCTCATTTTTAACTCAGCCTTAATGTGATTTATTTTTGATACAATATTACGCACTACTTGATATTTTAATGACACAGTTGTGGAATGGATATTCTAGCTTGTCTTACAAAACTTATGGTGCTCTTAATTTAATATAAGCTTTTCTTTTGGATTCTTTATGTTATAACTAGATGTTGCAACTTGCTGTTAAGGTGTTCTGATTTAAGTTTTCATGTCAGTCTATCTTTCGGAACCCAAAAGAAGTCAAACAATATACTGTTCCAGCTCCTGAACGGTGCAATCTACCTGCTGCCGCCATTCGAGCATCTTCGGATGCAGTTATAATTGCTGATATAAATGCTCCGGCAGCACGTCTTGCACAGCACAAGTGGCAACCCAACACCCCTGATGGCCAGGGTTCACCTTTTCTCTTTCAGCATGGAAAAGCTGCAGCAAATTCTGCCAGTGGAACATTCATGCGGATGTTCAAAGGACCAGCTGTTTCAGGTACTGATGAGTGGAATTTCCCTCAGGCACTAGCATATGCTGCATCTGGAGTCAGAAGTACAGCTGTGGTGTCCATCACATGTGATAAAGAAATTATCACTGGTAAGTATTGCTCCTCCTCCCCTTGCCTTTCTTTGTTGGTTGGGTGGGGACATGAATTTGTCTGATTATCATTTTATACTCATTTTCAACCCAAAAAAAAAAAAAAAAAAAAAAAAAATCTTTCGTCTTTACTATGCATGGAAAAGCCTGCAGCAAATTCTGGCCAGCTGGAACATTCATGGCGGATGTTCAGAAGGACCACTGTTTCAGGTACTGAAATGAGTGGAATTTCCCTCAGGCAACTAGCAATGATGGTCTGCAGTCTGGAGCTCAGATATACAGCTGTGGTGCTCCGATGCACATGTGATGAAAGAAAATTATCACTGGTAAGTATTTGCTCCTCCTCAACATTGCCTTTCCTTTGTTGTTGGGTGGGGACATGGAATTTTTCTCTCGTCCTGATATATCATTTTATACTCATTTTCAATACCCAAAAAAACCAAAAAAAAAAAAAAAAAAAAAAGAGATTATTTAAGGGTGGACCAAAAAAAAAAAAAAAAAAAAAAAAAAGAGATTATTTAAGGGTGGCAGAAATTAATTTCAACATAAGAAAAAGGTGACAAATTCAAATTGGAGTCTTGTGACTGCTGGATATGGAATTGTTATTATGCAATTTTTATTTTTATTTTTATTTTTTTCTCAATCATTATCTGGGAAAGCAGATAGAGCTTTTAGTTGTTCCTCCTTCATCTTCTTTTTCCATTAAATAACTTTAAATTCCTAAAAGAGGATAAACCAAAAAATATTTTGCTCTCTCTTTACCTTTCTGTGTTGGTTGAATTCTTTTAGCTTTTCATTAGAGGGGGATGATCAGATAATATGGTGCCACTTTGAAACGTTGTACTGACTTTACCTTAAAGGAGACATGCCTCCCTCTATGACTAAAGTATAGGAGAGGAAAAAGGAAAGCGTTGTTTATGTGTGTGTGTTTGTAATATGTTCTCTAACTGACTTTAAGTAAATAACAACCATTTGTTTGGTTTCTAAGAAGCTAAAACAACACTACTGAAGGGAAACTTTGAGATTTTGACTACAAATCATTTTTGGAAGACTAAAGGACTTTCTTCTTCTTACAACTGTTTCAATTTATTTTTGCATATTATAAAGTTTACTTGGTATAGCCTTAGTTGAGTACTTGAGTGCTTAAACTTCATGTTAGAATTTGGCGTGTCTTAATATTCTAATATTCAAGCTTATAATTTTGCTCTTTTATTTTCCAAGTAAATTTATGTCCATATTCCATACATTTGTGACTATCTAGGTGGGCATGTGGATAATAGTATCAAGGTACTGTCATCAGATGGAGCAAAGACCTTGGAAACAGCCACTGGGCACTGTGCTCCTGTCACTTGCCTTGCTCTTTCCCCAGATAGCAACTATCTTGCCACAGGATCTCAAGACACTACTGTATTACTCTGGAAGATACATAGTGCTTTCACTTCACACTCAAGCAGCAGACCAGAGCTTTCCATAGGCACAAACACACATGCTACAACCAGTAGTACTGTAGCAAACACTTTGGCAGACAATAGCAGGAGGCATCGTATTGAGGGTCCATTACATGTCCTCCGGGGTCATCATAGAGAAATACTATGTTGTTGCGTCAGTTCAGATCTTGGAATTGTTGTTTCTAGCTCCCTTTCATCTGATGTATTATTGCATTCTGTAAGAAGGGGTCGCTTGATCAGAAGGCTGGTTGGGGTTGAGGCCCATGCTGTTTGCCTTTCATCTGAAGGGGTAATATTGACTTGGAACAAATCTCAACATACACTAAGTACCTTCACTGTCAATGGGTTACCAATTACTAGAGCCCAACTTCCTTTCTCTGGTACCATCAGTTGCATGGAAATGTCTGTTGATGGGAGGAATGCATTGATTGGAATTAACTCATGTTTAGAAAATGATGGAACCTGTAATAATAATTGGGACTTAAGTTCAAGGAAATCAGGAGCTGAAGATCTTAACAATGAATTGGATAGCAGATTGGATGTACCTAGCCCCTCAATTTGTTTCCTGGATCTGCATACGTTGAAGGTATTGAAAAAAAATTACTTGACTGCTCTTATGCTTCTTTGTTGTCCTTTATATTACAACCAGTGGTGACCACTTGGACATGCCTATCAAATGTTGAATTGAGGTGCATCTAGCTATAGCTGTGAATTTGGAGTGCTTAAGCTGCATTATTATATCTGGTTTAGGTAATGCGGCATTCTAGGATCTTTTAACAGTTAGTGAGGCTTTCTTTTTGCATTCATTGAACATCTCTGTTGTCTAGTTTGATTGAATGTTTACGCATATGCATTCCAAATCCAGTCCCAAAGAGGCACTGTACTTGTTCTATAGTGCCTCATATATATGTTTTAACCAAGTAACTGCCAGGTCTCACTATTTATCGGTTATGCGAATACTAACAAGCAAGAAACTTCCGGTGCTCCAGGTGTTTCACGTATTGAGACTCGCACAAGGCCAGGATATTACAGCTCTGGCTTTGAACATCGATAACACAAATCTTTTGGTGTCGACTGCAGATAAACAGTTGATAATCTTCACTGATCCAGCTGTAAGTCGAATCTGATTCTTTGATTTACTATATATATCTGCAATATTTTTTTAGTCCAATTAGGAAAAGAATGTGGTATGCATCTCCATACAAGGGCGTGACTTTAAAAATTATCCACCTTATAGTGCAAATTTAAAATTGTGATTAGCTTATTTAGTAATGCTCTTCAGTTTCCCTGGTTATCTGCGTGTTTTAAATTTGCTGGTAAAAAAAAAAAAAAAATAGTAATAAACTGTTCCACAAAGTTTTCAAATAATGATAGTAACCATTTACATTTTTCGTAATGGTTAAGGACCTTTTGTCATGATTGAAATGCTTGCCATGAAGTAAACCCTGTAGTGACTCAACCTGGTTTCTGCTTGCAGTTGAGCTTGAAAGTAGTTGATCAGATGCTCAAGCTTGGTTGGGAAGGAGAAGGGCTGAGCCCCCTTATAAAGTAATAGATTTAGGCCACTGAGTTTTGAATAGTTGAAGAAGGATTACAGAAGATACGCAATACTACTAGGATACTACTAGAATGTATACAATGGAAGGGGTTGCTCGGGTTGCTTAAATGCAGATTCGAAATCAATTGCTGAACTTGCACTGCGCAGCGGTTCTATTTTGGGTGTAACATATGTATTTTGACAGGCAGAAGAATCCCTGGATGTTCATGAGTGCCTTGTTCCGCAGGGTAGTTTTACGTTTTCTTTTTTTCGCTTATTCAATTTTGAGTTTAGGTTTTCTCCAATTCAGAGTGATGATGCAAGTCTCTGTAGCTTGTGCTGTCCATTTTTGGCCATAATTTCTTTTTCTTTTTTGTCTTTTGATGTAGAGAATGAGAATACAAGGGTTTTCAATCTTGTATCATCTGTACATATAGTTTATTCCTTGGTATAAATCCATGTAAAATCAATTGTCTCTTGTCAAAACTGAATATTTTTTAATTAGAAACAGTAATGCTAATTCATCTAGGTTTAAGCATTTTTTTCACGACAATGGGTTATTTGAATCTCTTATTTGCAGTGATGCCTAAAGCTGCCACGTCAATTTTATTTTAAATCATCTTATTTTGACATGGATAAAAACTTGAGGAAGACAAAAAATAAACCTTCAATTCAATACAAGGACACGTTAAACGGTCAGTTGCCACGTTTTTCCGTCAAGGTTGGTCGCGTCTTTTCTAGACGGAGTTCGACTTCAATTTAACGAAAGACGAAACAGCTGTTGCCTTGTACTTTTTATTATGGAATTGTTAATTGGTTTATATATCTATTAATTGTTATTAGTGTAAGATTTTTTTTTAGAGAAGTCGAAATTTATTTTTATTTTTATACATAATTTAAGAATCGGAGATAAATCTATTCAATTATAAAATTAACTACCAATTATAAATTATAAATTATATTCTACTTTATCGAACACAGAAATTCTACGTCAATAATCCATTTAAACCAAGCGGTAGCCCATGGACAGTGAATTTGGACCGTCGATTAATTACCAGAAACCAGAGAGAAGAGTAGGGTTGAGGAGATACATAGGGAAACCGAGATGGGAGGGAAAGGAAGGAGGAGAAGAGAGAAGAACTACTTAGCCGCTCATGGAGGGCGAACTCGTTTTCCGCCGCCACCTGACCCCTCTCAACTCGACGCTCTTCCCTCTAAACTGCGGCAAATCATGTCCTTTACTTCTCATCTACGCGAAGGTTCTCTCATACATATTTATATATACCTGTAATCGCAGAAAGTTTACTTATGTGGATTTGCTTTGTGTCGTCTAGGATCTGCTGAACCTTCCAAGCGTGACGAAGGGAAGAAGAAACGGAGATGTGGTGATGGCGAAAAAGTGAGCCCTGATTATTCTATTATTCTTCTCGAATAGAGCTGGAGTTGGGGTTTTTTTATGGTTAGAAGAATCGTGTAGGGGTTTTATTGAATGAAATTTCTTGACTTGATTTATCAGCCTTCAATTGCTTTGCAATCTAGGGTTCATCTTTAACATGACGAAATCACAAGAGATGGCAATAATGGAATGTAATTCTTGGAATTGGGTTCCAATTTTTGATATTTTTCCTAGTTCACTAGGAATCCAAAATTCTTTTCATGCTTTTACATTTGAATGATTCGATTTCATATTGAATGGTAGCTTTAAGTATAATTCTTAATATAAGAAGAATTTAAAAAATAAACCTGGAATGAGATTCTTTGAATTTCATTTTTAGTGTGGAAAGAACATGATCATAGGAATTTTATTGTATGGAATTGTCAATACTATCATTTTCTATTTTTCAGTTTCGTTTCTGTTTTACATTTTTACTTATGGAATGAATGATATATCTAGAAAATTCCTCTGGAGGATGCTATTGCCTCAGAACCTACATTAGATCAAAGTGATGATGGCATACCTCAACATTCAGATAATGATGATGATAATGAGATTGTGCATCAAAGTGGAGATGGAAAGAAAAAGAAAAAAAGAAAGAGAAAACAGGTCACTGACCTTCGGTTTGAAGCATCAATAGACAAGACAAAAACCAATGAGAAAAGGCGAGAGCGCAAGAAAAAGTAAGCATATAAGATCATACTCCAATTTCTTATGCAATACATTGTCCTTGTTAGTGCAAATATCTACTATTATGTTTATAGTTCTTCCCCTCTAATAGGCTCAGCTCTAGATTATAACTCTAAACATAATGTAGGTATTTAGAAGCAAAGAAGAAGAAACAACAAAAGTCTAGAACCAAAGAGAATTTGGATTTTCCTGGACCTGAACAGATAAAATTTGGAGATGTTGTCCAAGCTCCACCAAAACTACTTGCGTTTCCTAAGGTAACTGCGCTTTTACTTCATATTTACATAACGAGCGTAGTAATACTCTGCAGTTCAAAATAAGATGTTTATGTTTCCTGCAGGCACTGAAGAATGTCCCAGATGCTTCACAAGAAAGGGTTCGGTTACAGGCTGTTGAGGCATACAGGAAGCGCAGAGGATGGACCTCCAGACCAGGGCTTCAGCTTCCTGCTGTTACTACAACACCATCTTTGTAATTGGTCAGCGCTAAATGCATATTCATATTTTGTAGGACCAATGCTCAAAATGCTGTTCATGATGAGTGATATCTTTGAGTGGCAGTTCACTCTGCTTCAATTTTGTTGTTAGTTTGGAAGGAGAACGATTTCATAATATGAATAGATCCCCATTCTTCTCATCATTATTAGACTGGAGTAGACAAAATCCTCTGATTCATTTAAATTGCTGAAGTCTATTTTTTATATCTTGGTTTCTCGTAAAGGAACGAATGTTAAGGAATTACAGAAACTGTTATACTTTTTTATTCTAAATTAACTTCCAAGTCACACGCTGACTGGCGTTTTCCTCTTCCTTTTCCTTTTCCATTGAGAAGGCAACCAAAACGGATCTCAAAAACGGAACCAAAACAGATCTCAAAATCTTCCGTTTCCACCAATATGCATGGACCCTCCAATTTACTAAATCATTTATTTTATTAGATAAATATCGTTATTTGGAAAATTAATTACGTGCAGCACATAAAAAAACAAAAAAAAAAAAAAGAAAGACCAAAAGACCTCTTTATACTGGGATTAAATGGATGTCTTTAAAGTCAAATCACACTGCAGGGCCGATCTTTCTCAATAACCAAATGACAGGTCAAGTCAAAAAAAAAAAAATGTTGAAGCCTTCCAAAAATGCGACAGCGTATTTTCCGAAATTGATGCAGTGGCTTTTCGTTGTTTGAATTTATGGCTATAGCTATAGCTAGGTTGGGGCAATACTGAAACGATAGTGCATAATACCTTTTATTAAAACATGAATATTTCAATATATATGCACATTCCATAAGCAATGGGAGAACAAATTTTATTATCAAAATTATCATAAATTCGTTAATATTTGAAAAAAAGACGTTATTTCTCTTCAATATAGCTTTGTTTCACGAGAAAATTGTTCCCTTAGCTAGTCTCTTAAGCACCCAAAGTTCAAAAAATGTTAAAAGTAACTTATACAACACAGGACTCAATTAAATAACAATATTATTTTATTATTTTTGAATGGGTTCGACGTGATCTAAGAAGAAAATCCATACCATTGCCGGATTGTAGTACAAACCCCCCAAGCATAGATATGCAACTATGGAATTACAATTTTCAAAGAGGAAAATCAAAATCTCAACAATAAACCTTGCAACAAGAATGCTACCCAACCAAACATATATTTATATAATTATTTGCTTCACGTATCAAAATTCATGAGCTTCCCCTGGGAATTGCACGAAGATGTAGACCTTCATGAATGTGGAGTGTGAACATAGTCCTATAAGTTACATTTTTGGTTTCATCAGCCAATTTGAAGCGAAAGAATCGGAGAAGAGCCATTGATACTATCTTCATCTGCCGGTAAGCAAAGTCTTTTCCCAGACAAATCCGAGGACCAGCCTGCACCAAGAATAATAACGAGCTGTCAGTAATGTTTGCTAAAATTTCAGACAACATTCAATAATCAGTAATGAAAAAAACAGAGAAATTACATGAAATGCGATAAATTTGAATGGAGATTCAGGTTGGAAAATCCCATTGTTGAGCCATCTTTCTGGGCGAAATTCTTCAGCATCCTCTCCCCAAATATAAGGCATCCTGCCCATGGCATAGGCCATATAGTATAATCCATCTCCCTTCTTCATTTTATACCCATCAGGAAGAACATCATCCACTTCTGCACATCTCCCATCCTTAATAACAATTATGTATTGGCAAGTTAATAATAATTACTTGTTTTATTGCATAAAATTAATTAATTGATATTAGAGAGAAAAAAAATATATATATACCACAGGAACAGCAGGGTATAGCCTGAGGGTCTCTGTCAAAGCTGCATGAAGATAATGCGTTTGCTCAAGTGTCGTTTCAGTTATCTTTGCCATGAAATCTTCAACTCCAATGTCATCTTCTTGATCACTACCTGTGACCCTTCTCACTTCTTGTACAACTTTTTCTTGTATCAGAGGGTTCTTGCAAAGCATATAGAAGAACCAAGACAGAGTACCAGCACTTGTATCTTTACCAGCTATCATAAAGTTCAGAATAATATCCCTCAGGTATTTATCATCCATTGTTTCAGGATCTTTCTCACTCTCCACCAAGAACCTCGATAGTATATCCTCCTTGACATTCTTCAGTTATTATAGTTTTGGTTAGTTTTGATTCTGACATCAAAAGATTGGAAATTTTCTCAAAATTAAACTCACCTCGTATCGTTGCTCGGCAAACAGCTTCCTTCTACTGCTGATAACGTTGCTCACAAAGTCATCAACAATCTTTATGTTCTTCCTAAGCAAAGCCTCACACCCAAAATTTAAATATTTTTTCAGTTTCCAAAATGGGTCGACATAGCGCCAATACACCAAAGCATTCGAGTCATCAAAAGCCTTCATGAAAGCTGTTCCCTCTTTACTTGACCCTTCCAAGCAATTCAATTCCACTCCAAATCCAACTTTGAATATGGAATCCAAAGTGCATCTCATCAAAATATCCTACATAAAAAATATATATATATCACGTCATTTTTTTGCCCAAAGATAGAATCTTTTTAGAAAAGAAAAACATAGCTAGTTGAGACTCACTTGCATATCAAAAACCTGATCAGCTATCGCAACACTTGAAATACTTCCAACCAGTTTGGTAGCATTTTTTCTAAAAACAGAACAGCTAAAATCTCTAAGAACTCTGGCAGAGAACTCAAAGCTAGCAAGCTTTCTCTGTTGCTTCCATTTATTTCCATCAACGTTGAATATACCTTGACCAAGAAGATTAGTGAGGACAAATTGATTATACTGCCCTTTTGAATAGTTATAGAATTTCGTTTTTAAGACATGCTCAATATTTCTAATATCAGTCGTGTACAAATTGCTTCCTAGAGGACCAATTAGCCGGAAGGTCTTCTGTTTTTTGGCCACTTCAGTTTGGTGGTCGTAGAGGTTGTTATAGTAGAAGAACTGGTAAAATACTGTGCCGCGTACAGGTGCGTAGTTGGGGTTTTTGATGGATTTTCCTACGTATATTTTAAGCATCAGATACAAGAAAGTTGTGAAGATAAGGAGAAGCGGGATTGCTATGGAGGTGAAGATGATGATAAGAATATCCATTTTTGTGAACCGAAGAGAGGAGACAAAAATGAACGCAGCGAATAACGGTTGCTAGGGTCTGTATATAAAGCGGTCATATAACAGAAGAATAAATATAATTACTATTTAGTCCTTGGAATTTGGTTAATTGCATATCAAGGACCTTAATTTTTAAACCTATATTATTTACTCTATATATTTTTCATCAAACTATATTTTTTTTTTTTTAAAATTTATTGGATGTTTTTAAGAGCTGAGATAATACTGCGGACTACATAATAGGGAGTAACATTTCCTTTGACTCACCATATTAGTGAAAACAACTGTAGTCGACCACATTATTCGACTTTATATTTATTATTATTTTTTTATAGTATTAAATACTCTTTCTGTTTCATTTTTTTTATGTTCCAAAATGTTTCTAAAAGTTCTAAATTTAAATATATATAAATAATTATTTTTCTCATAATAACATTTATTTAAATTTTTAATATGCATATTTTGTCAAAACCATGCAAATAATGGGCCAGGAATAGTAGAAAATTTTTTTAAAAAAATTATCAAAATATTAAAATTATAATGTGGAAATTAAATAATATAATTTTGAAAATCAAAATTTTTAGCGGTGCATTTACCTCCAAAGAATTATCTAAATTCTAAAGTCAAAGTCACAAGACCAAAAAGTAAGCAAAGCCACAGCAACGGTCCTTTTCTTAGCAGGTGAGGTGATGGACGATGAGATGACTTTGGATTGGGCAATTTGGGTTAAGGCGGTGAGTTCATAATTGTTGGGTATCATATTCTAATTTCCATAAAGATCTCAGAAGCGTGGTTGACCGGTTGCTTCGGTTTCATTTTTGTTTTTCTATTTCTAATTATTTGCTTTTTGTGGGTTGTTGAACTTTTTGCTCAAATGGATTTAGCACTATAGCCAGCGCATTTGACTTTGTTTTTGTTTATTTTCAATGATGAGTGCATGAAGTAAGAATTTTTATTTTTCAGTATATTTTATCTGATGTAGAGTTTTTTCTATCATAAAAATTGATATGAATCTCATATTGATTAGCTAAAAAAATAATCCTTAATGTTAATAAATTGAGTTTGAGGGGTAGATCTCACTTTACAATCAAATTTTTGGAGTTGAGGTAGGCTTTTCATACTTAATTAGTATCAGAACAAGCTCAGTCTGATGAATCGTAAGTTTATCACTACTTTCTGCAAGTGCATAAAGCGAGTGTGCAATGACCAATAATATTATTTGGCTCTTTTCTGAGGAATTAAAAAAATAATAATAATTTTTTAAAAAATTTTTTGAATTCAAATTAAAAATATTTGTGTTGCTAGGATGATAATAGTAAATAAAAAGCTGTGGTAGGAAGATGGAAAACATTAAGCAGTTTAAGTTCATAATACCTTTGAAAATTTTTACATAATTGAATATCTGAACCTTAGATTTTTATTTGATAATCTGCAAATATTTTGGTTGACACATTTAGAATTCACAAGCTTGTCCTCCTGGGAATTGCACAAAGGTGGAGACCATCTTGAATGTGGAGTGTGAACATAGTCTTGTAAGTTACTTTTCTCGAGTCATCAGCCAATTTGAAGCGGAAGAATCGAAGAAGAGCCATTGATACTATCTTCATTTGCCGGTAAGCGAAGTCTTTTCCCAGACAGATCCGAGGACCAGCCTGCAAGTGTAATAATGAGGTACAAATATAAAAAGGATAGGGTTTTTACTTAAATATAAACTTATTTTAAGTAGAAGGTAACAAAACTAATGAATTAGAAATGTCATCTTACATGAAACGCAACAAATTTGAATGGGGATTCAGGTTGGAAAACGCCATTGTTAAGCCATCTTTCTGGGCGAAAATCTTCAGCATCCTCTCCCCATATATAAGGCATCCTGCCCATAGCATAGGCCATATAGTATAATCCATCTCCTTTTTCCATTCTATTCCCATCTGGAAGAACATCATCCATTTCTGCACATCTCCCATCCTGTCAAGTTTGTGAAGCGCAAATTCATGATCAATTATATACGGTTTCTATAAAGTTAAAAACTGCGTAACTAATTGATGTTAAGAGAGAAATTTACCACAGGAACTGCAGGGTATAGCCTCAAAGTCTCTGTCAATGATGCATGAAGATAATGCATTTGCTCAAGTGCTGAATCGGTTATTTTTGCCATGAAATCTTCAACTTCACTACAGTTATCACCATGATTGCTGCCCATGACCTCTCTTACTTCTTGTGCAACTTTTTCTTGGACTAAAGGGTTCTTGCAAAGCATATAAAAGAACCAAGACAGAGTGTTCGCACTTGTATCTTTACCAGCAATCATAAAATTCAGAATAATATCTCTCAGGTATTTATCATTCATCTTCTCTGGATCCTTTTCGCTCTCCGCCAAAAACCTCGACAATATATCCTCCTTGAAACTCTTTAATTGTTAGAATTTTGATTAGTTTTGATCATCAGCCAAGTCAAATTTCAAAAAGATTGGATATATGCACAGAAAAACTGACCTGATACCTTTGCTCAGCAAGCAGCTTTCTTCTTGTTCTGACAAGGTTACTTACAAAATCGTCAATGGTTTCGATATTCTTCTTGAGTGAAGCCTCACTTCCAATATTGAAATACCTTTTCAGTTTCCAAAATGGATCCACATAACGCCAATACACCAAGGCATTTGACTCATCAAATGCTTTCATAAAAGCAGTTCCTTCTCTGCTTGAACCCTCCAAACAATCCAATTCCACCCCAAATCCAACTTTAAAGATGGAATCCAAAGTGCATCTCATTAGAATATCCTACAAAGAACAGAAACTGCATATTATTTTGAACATAATAATAAGAAATTAGAGAAAACCAAAGATAGTTGAGGACTCACTTGCATATCAAAAACTCTATCTGTATTTGCAATCTTGGAGATGAGTCTAACCAGTTTAGCAGCGTTTCTTCTGAAAACAGAACAGCTAAAATCTCTAAGAATCCTTGCGGAGAACTCAAAGCTAGCAAGCTTTCTCTGTTGCCTCCACTTATCACCATCAACAACGAATATACCTTCTCCGAAAAGATCAGTCAATATGTCTTGATTACGCTTACCTTTGGAATATTTATCGAAATTCGTTTTTAACACATGCTCGATGTTTCTGGTATCAGTCGTGTAAAATTCGCTCCCCTCAGGACTAAGAAGCCGAAAGGTCCTCTGTTTTTTGGCCACTTGAGTTTGGTAGTCATAGAGTCTGTTGAAGTAAAAGAGCTGGTGAAATACTGTACCGTATACAGGTGCGTAGTTAGGGTTTTTGATGGATTTGCCTGTGTAGATTTTGAGTATCAGCCACAGAAGTGATGTGAAGATAAGGAGAAATGGAGCTGCTATGAAAATGAAGAGCATAAAGAGAATATCCATTTTCTTTGCTGAACTAAACTATAGACCTAAAAGTATTTGCAGTGAAGAAGATAAAGTTTCATCTATCAATAAAAACAACAAAATAACTCTCAAAGTTTCATCTGTGAGAGTGAAATGAAGATTAAGAACAAAATGCAATCAAACAAACTACTTCTATGCCATTCACACGGTAGGATAAAATCACACCCTGCCTTCAATCTGGTCAAACTTAGACAATAAAAAAAATAATTTTCATGGGCCCCACAACTGTAGCTTGAGTTAGCTAACCCAAAGAATTGGATTAGCAAAAACTTGTGTCGTTTCAGTTTGGCTTCTATCTTCTCTTTCTTCTTTGTCGATCTCCCTTCTCACTTTCTCTCTCTCTCATGGAATCTCAGTGACATCCATGTAACTCTCATCTATCGCTTCTGCTCTCTTTCTTTTTCCAAAATTGATTAGGTGTTTATTTTTATATGTTCTGCTTACTCCAAGTTCAATGCTATTTTTAAAGGAAAGCAGGCTCACTCTCAGACAGATAAAATGTTCTATTAAATTTGAATGTCATTCTTGTAACTCTTTGATGGATTATTATTTGAACATTAGAGAGCAGAGATTATTAATTCAACATTTATTTGACAAATTAAAAGTCCAAATATAGTTTCTTGGAATTGTTTAATTGAGGGCAATTATGTTGTGTCTTGGACTATAATGCTTGTTGGCAATTTTAATGTTGGTTTTCTTGTTGAGGCTTCTATTCTATTCAATAAGGCGATAGAAAGGAAATTGGTTTCTTGCACTGCGCTAATTAATGGTTTCTTGTAAATGAGTTGTGACGGCAAGGTTTGGAGCTTTTCAAAGAGATGCAAATTGCCAAAGTTGAGATGGACAAAATCACCATAATAACTTTACTCCCTGCTCGTGCCAGGTTGGGGGTTTGGATCAAGGTTGTTGGCTCCACTCTTTTTCTATCATCAACCTATTCACATATATATATTTTTTTAATTGCTTATATGCTTTAATTAATTTTGAAAAAAAAAAAAAAAGCAAGAGATGAGAAAGATCCATGGCAATAGAGAGAGAAAAAATGGAAGTCATCAGGTTGGGGATGATTGACAATGCAGAAATGAGAGAAGATGATGGATTTCAAGGTTTGTTGCTCCACTCTTTTCTATCAGTCAACCTTATTCACATATATATATTTTTGTTTTAATTGGTTATAGATGCTTTAATATTAATATTTGAAAAAAAAAAAAAAGCAAGGATGAGAAGATCCATGGCAATATGATGAGAGAAAAATGTGGAAAGTCATCAGGTTTGGGGGATGATTATGGGACTAATTGACCAGAAATGAGAGAAAGATGAGCAAAGAGATGAAAATACACCGTTTTTCGCGTTAGAACCAAACTCCTTGGGTTAGCTACTCAAGCTACAGGGTGGTGGGGCCATAAATTTTTTTTTTTATTTTTTCTAATTTGTTAACGAGATTTGAAGGTTAATGGTGCAATTTTAACATTCTCAGTGCTGAACGGGTTAAGGTCATTTGGGAGTATTAATAGATACAAATCGCGCTCTCAAACTTTTCAAGTTGTATATCAGATGGTTTAGCTAATTTGGCAAAGCTCGGGAGATATTTATCTAACTCTTTATTGGACTTTTGTTCTGCCACAACATTATAAATAACTAATGGGAGATATTAATATACACTAGTATCTTTTACCTTTTAACATTAAATTCCAGAATTAACCATTCTCTCTCACGATCCTCCCAGAGCTCCTGATATTTATATCATATCATTCCTTAATCATCCTTATGATCCTTACTTCTCGTCTATTCTATTCAATAAGGCGATAGAAAGGAAATTGGTTTCTTGCACTGCGCTAATTAATGGTTTCTTGTAAATGAGTTGTGACGGCAAGGTTTGGAGCTTTTCAAAGAGATGCAAATTGCCAAAGTTGAGATGGACAAAATCACCATAATAACTTTACTCCCTGCTCGTGCCAGGTTGGGGGTTTGGATCAAGGTTGTTGGCTCCACTCTTTTTCTATCATCAACCTATTCACATATATATATTTTTTTAATTGCTTATATGCTTTAATTAATTTTGAAAAAAAAAAAAAAAGCAAGAGATGAGAAAGATCCATGGCAATAGAGAGAGAAAAAATGGAAGTCATCAGGTTGGGGATGATTGACAATGCAGAAATGAGAGAAGATGAGCAAAAGAGATGAAATACACCGTTTTTCGCTTAACCAACTCCTTGGGTTAGCTAACTCAAGCTACAGGTGTGGGGCCATGAAAATTTTTTTTTTTTATTGTCTAATTTTTTAACGAGATTGAAGGTAATGTGCAATTTTAACATTCTCAGGTGCTGACGGGTTAAGGTCATTTGGAGTATAATAGATACAAATCGCAAATTTCAAGGTATATCAGATGGTTTAGCTATTTGAAGCGGAGAATTTTGCTAACTCTTTATTGGACTTTGTTCTTGCACAACATATAAATAACCAAGAGAGAATATTAATTACACTAGTATCTTTACCAGCAACATAAAATTCAGAATAACATCCCTCAGGAATAAGGTATTTATCATTCATTTTCTCTAGATCCTTCTCTCTCTTCACCAAAAACCTTGATTTTATATCCTTTCTGACTTTCTTCAATTATGTATCAGAAATTTGTCGCATAATACATTAATTTCAGTTATTATTATACATTCTACAACCTTGGCATGCACTTCAATGAACAGACATCTTCTGAGAAGCCATGGGAGCTCCAGGATTGTTAGTGCTTTCAAATACCAAAGGATGGGGAAGATGCTGTGATGAGAAGGAAGAGATAACAACCTTTCCGCGGGCTCTTCCAGTTTCTAAATATTTAAAAGCCTCAATTACATCAGTAAATTTATAAGGACCGGTGGGATCGATCACAGCCTTGAGCTTACCAGTCTCTAGATATGGCCGGAGCTTCTCCAGGTTTTCCCCTGACACTGTCAAGCTTGAATAAACAGCCCTTGGATGTGCTGGTGGCCAGGTTATGTCAATAATCGGTGCATTATCCTTGGCTACCACAAACGAATTCCCGGAATCACCTGAAGATCAAATTACAAAGCAGCACATAAAATCTAAAGCAACCTGCAAAGTTTCATGGATCTTTTGTTTATTGAGAAAACAAAGAAGGATGCAGAGAAACTTGTGAGCATTAAACTAGGTAGTCAAGAAACATACCAATTGTGTCATATACGAAATCATATTTTTCCTCAATTTCTTTGTATTTGATCTTCGTGTAATCTGTAACTTTATCAGCTCCCAAACTTTTGACAAATTCCACCTTCGGGGTGCTAGTTGTAGCAACAATATAAGAAGCTCCGTATAAATGCTTGGCAAGCTGCACAACTAGACTGCCCACACCACCTGCTCCGCCAACTACAAAAATATTCTCTCCCTCTTTAAAATCTGCTGTTTTGAAACCTTCCATTGCTGTCTGAACGGCTAATGGCAAACTGGCAGCCTCCTCAAATGAAAGGTTTTTTGGCTTATCTGCAACCAATCCCTCCTCCACAACTATGAACTCTGCCAGTGTCCCAAGCTGCTTTAAATGTCCTGCATCAAACTGTTGGATGTTTCCATATACCTCATCACCGATGCGAAATTTTGTAACACCGCTTCCTGTTCCTACCACCACACCTGCCATGTCACAGCCGGGGACTACCTGCACACCCGTCATTATACATGTCAGTATCACACTGATTCAATTATAAACTTGAAAACTATCTCACCATGAATCAAACACTATAAATTATTCATCCTAAAATCTTATTTTTCGTCTCTTAATTATGTTCTTGTCATCCAAAATGTATTCTCTTTTCTTTCTCAATAAAATTTCTTGTAGTATCAGAAAGTAAAAATTCAAAACACACACATACGCTCAAGAACATCCAAGCAATTCTGAAAATTTTCAAAATAATCCTGGATAAAAAGGAAATTATTTAGGATATATTTTTGTGGTTCTTTTGTATTTTATAGTAGTCAGAGATATGGTTAATCTCTGACTTTCATTCTCTCCCCGCCCACCCTTGGCTCTCCCCATTAATGGTCCCATAGTACTAATCTCTACTCACAGGAAATTCTGAAGGAAATAGGGCTCTTTCACGCCTTTTGAAATCAATAGGATTCAAAGCAGCAGCTCGAACTTCGACTAGTAGCTGATTATGCTGGGGAGCAGGAAGTGGGAAGTCTCCCAATTTGAGAACTTCCTTGGGACCATACTCCTCATAGAACCAAGCTTTCTGCATGTTGATGTCTCTCAAAAAAAACATCTGTTTTCATCTCCTTATATAAGATTATAGAACGCCTTAATGCATAAACATGTCCCTATACCTTACATTTTCAAATCCTAGTGGCCAATTAAACGGGCAATGACGTGGATGGAAAAGACAGGTGGCCTGTTAGTTAAGCCACGTGGAACAAATTCAGGTTCACTTATCCCTTAAAAAAATATACATAAAAAAATATTAAAAAAAAGTTGTCGTTTAGTTTTCTTCTCTCTTTTCTCCGTCTGCCACTTCCCATCACCAAAAAATGTCCAAGATTTCGTCTTTGAGTGTTTTTCTTTCGTTTCTCTAACTGTGTCTTCTACATTTTTCAGTTTTGAGGTCGTTTTGTGCCTTTTTCTCTTCGTTTCCATTTTCTCTTTCAGGTTAACTCCAAGTAGTCTCACTTGAGCTCTGTACAAAACCAAATTTAAAGTTCGATCCGGAACCTTCATCTTTATCTCTCAAACTGTAGACACTATCATCATTCAATATGGCTTTTAGTCAATTTACCAAAATGATTGATAAGTTTGTGTGCCATATTTACGCTAACAGACAAAGGATGCCCCCTGATTAAGATATATCCAATCAAATAATTGCAAGACAAATAAATTAGAGAAATACTCACAAGAAAGATGATACTGGATTTAAAATAATACGCATCATAGATCAGATTATGCATTCTAGCCACATGTTTTAGCGATTGATGGGATTGAAGTTGATATAGCAACCAAAAATAAGGCTTTTCTACGTCTTCATGAATATTCAACTAACAGTCCCAGGAGACCTGAAATTCAAAGAACATTTTATAGTTGAGCATCTCTTTCACAGCTAATATTGTGAATGTTCATATTATTCATTAATTCTGAACAACAATCAGATCAAAAGAAAGTAGCTCAAGTAGAAAAAGGAAATAGCAGAAACTCGAGTAGTACTTAAATTGGTTAGTTACTTAGCTAGCTAGACCGTACTGGGCTAGTTTTTACAGTATTTGTTAGTTAGTTAAACATTTGTTACTACTTTGTTTGATCAGTTTTACTTTCCCGCCAATTTTGCTGTATAGAAACAAATTCTCTTCTGTACAATACAAATAAGCCATCATTTTCTTCGAAGTCAGTTTCGTTTCAGTTCATTTCAACATAAAAACAAACAGTTACTGTGCAGAAACTTTACATCTTATGAAACAAGTACGTTTTTTTTTCTTTTTTTGTCACATTACAAGAAATATGGCAGTTGCCTCTTCAAGGTCAAATTTTTGTTTCCTACAAAGCAAACAAATTTACCTCGAGGGAAACTTTTCTCTATGGCAAAAACTTTTCCAATGTGAGGGGCTATAATCGGAGATACCATCATTTCTGGTACAAAGGTTCCTATAAAAATGGGAAATGCCCTAATTTTGAGTGCGGTTTGAACTATTGAAAGTAACAAGAAAAAATCCCAATGAAAAAGCAGAATAAATTAGATTGGTAAATAATAGGCGGCGAACTTTTCCATCCGACGGAGGAAAAAATCCACCGTCCGTGCGTCAGTCGCAATTTTTCCCATAGAAACGGAAATCGCCTGCTTTCGTTTACTAATACCGTCATTGAAGTGGCATGGGCCTAGCATACTGCCTAAAACGATGGGCCCATCATATTAAACGGCATCTGTTTTGGCAAAAGAGTCCAACCCAAGGGACAGAATAATGGGCTCAGATTCGCTTGAACAACTGGATCAAGAGTCATGACTCGATTATCTCACTCAAATGATGGCGAACCGTTGAGGCAACTGGGTCGGCAATGTTTAGGCCTTTTATAATATCCAACCCAAGAAGATACGCAAACGGCAAACGACGCCCAACGACATTCTTCTTCTTCAGAGAACTGCCAAACCGCAGGTAATAACATTTGTTCTCCTTTCTCTATTGGTTGCTGTGACTTGAATCAACTGGTTCATTGTTGAATTTTCATCTCGCAATTTGCAATTTGCAATTCACAATTCGATACTGTCCTCACTTGTTAAAAAGAAGTTATCAATTGATTTGCTTGCTTGTGAGATTATTTTCGAAGATGAATTTATCAGCCGCCAAAAGTTTCTGCACAGAATCTCTTCAATGGATACTGAATCTGTGTGTCTAAGTTGGTTGCTGTTTCTGATATTACCAATGCGATCTCCTGCTAAACATGAGTTTCTTCAAAGGCATAATCGACTCGCTAGGATCGGTTCTCTCTTCATATAGTTCTTCGTATCAATTCCAAGAAGAAAACCCTAGCTCTGGAACCATGGAAGGGATAGCTGGCAATACGGTAACGAACGAACGTGCTGCGTATAAGCTGAAGGGGTACTTCGATTTGGCTAAAGAAGAGATTGCCAGGGCTGTAAGGGCCGAAGAATGGGGTTTAGTTGATGATGCAATTGTCCACTACAAGAACGCCCAAAGGATACTTGTTGAAGCAAGTTCAACAACTGTGCCTTCTTATATCAGCGCTAGGTATTCCACAAATTAAATTCTGTTAATAATTGTAATGTAAAATATTGAAAAGTGGAAATTTTGCTTCACTTGGATCTTTATTTGTATATGGTTTATATTGTGAATATCCATTAAACAAGCGTGTTTGTGCATTTTTATAAGTCTTTATCTTGTAACAGCGAACAAGAGAAGGTTAAATCTTACCGTCAAAAAATATCAAAATGGCAGGGTCAAGTTTCGGAGAGATTACAAGTGTTAAATCGGCGAGCAGGTTCATAATTCTTTCTGAATTTATTAATACATTGTTTTATAATACATTGTTTCCTGGGAGAGTGCTAATACTTCCTTTGATTGTTCATCCAATTTCCACTGGTTTCTTCAGGTGTTCTTTCGGCTGGCACATCGTCAAACAAGGTATAGCTTGTTTTGGGTAATTGCAAATTTAAAAATCTCTTTTTACTTTGTAGCTTAGTTGCACTTTTATGGTCGCTAGGCTAGGTAATTGTTTCTTTTTCTGGAATTCAATCTTCTGCATCCTAGCTTAGCCATACAGAAAAGAGCTGTTTTCATAATATTTAGCTTATATTATTTGATACTAGAGCTAGTTGTGTTTTACAGATGAAAAAATTTTTTTGTTTCCCCTATAAAACTGTTTGTAACAGTTATTAATGAAGTGTCGTTTATGGTTAATCTAGCGTGAATGGAAGTTGTAATAGGACACTGCCTTTTGCATGGTTGGGTCCAAAAATTAGCATACTGCCTTTTTATATGTTCAAATTATTGTCTGATTTTCTATAAGTTTACTGGTTTATTCTTGAAGAAAGTTCTGCAAGTTTTAAAATATGAATTGCTAACTGATGTTGATTATGTAATTACATATATGTTGTTTATTTCTCAAAATATTGCAGAACACCATAACTCATGCACATACTGCTGCAGTTTCATCATCAACATCAAATGTTAAACAAGATCTGTCACATATGTCTCCTCGTTCAACTAGAAACAGTCCAGTAATTAGGAATCAGACTGATAAAGCTGCAAGCTCAAAGCACGTGCAAGATTCTGGTAATGGTTATGAAGCAAAATTAGTTGAAATGATAAATACTGCAATAGTGGATAGAAGTCCTTCTGTTAAATGGGATGATGTTGGTGAGTAACTATGACTATTTATTCCTTATTTTCATTGTCTGTTACTTGACTGTGCTTAATTAACTTTGAAATGAAAACTTAGTCATCTAAGTTGTTTGCAGCTGGACTTGAGAAGGCAAAACAAAGTTTAATGGAGATGGTTATTTTGCCTACTAGGAGAAGAGACCTGTTCACTGGGCTTCGGAAGCCAGCTCGAGGTAACAATGAAGATTTCTACATTCAGAAAGATGACATTACATTACTTAGAGAACTTGTTTTTTTATGTGAACATTAGAACTCCTAATCCCTGTTATTCAGGTCTACTTCTCTTTGGGCCACCTGGTAATGGAAAAACAATGCTTGCCAAAGCAGTTGCTTCAGAGTCACAGGCAACATTTTTCAATGTTTCAGCATCTTCCCTAACATCAAAATGGGTATTTCTGTCTTGTTAAAATTGCAGTTGTGTGGTTCTTCCTTTTTCTTTTCTTTTCCACCCCTTACTGACAAAGAATGCCTAATAAGTTCTGCCTCTTCTGAATTAGGTGGGAGAGGCTGAAAAGCTTGTCCGGACTCTCTTTATGGTTGCAATTTCCCGACAGCCATCAGTGATTTTCATGGATGAAGTACGCTATTCTCTCTGTTAACACCATTCACTGGTTAACTTTATTAGATACTATGCTTGTCTTGTCTCATTATGATGTAAAAAATCCAATTACGCATATCTTTGTGTCAAGATTAATGGACGCTTAGATAAAATAGTTTATTGGGATTCATTTTGGGTGTTGAACAATTACTACTAATTCCTTTTAACATGGTAACATCAGGACCAATTTTGTCTTCCTCGTTTTCACTGGAACTATTTTTGAGGGGCAAAAGTGCATGCTTTTATCTGTTCAGAGCCCTTTTTTTTTTTTTTTCCTTTTTCGGAATTCTGCACTTTGCTTCAAGTTAGAATGAAACCCTTATCTACATTCAATTACAATCTGTCCTTGCCAGCATAGTAATTGCTACCACCAGCACGCTAATACCAGATCCTCTTGTCTGGAAGAAGCATTCTGAAACATGTAAGCTTTTTCTTGTCTGTTAACAGATTGATAGTATTATGTCAACAAGGCTGGCCAATGAGAATGATGCAAGCAGAAGGTTGAAGTCTGAGTTTCTGATACAATTTGATGGGGTGACCTCTAGTTCTGATGATTTAGTAATTGTTATTGGTAAGCTTTAAATAATCCAACTAAGGCTTACACCTAGTGTAATCTATGGCATTAATTATTTTTGCTATATTAAATTAATCAAGTAAAATTTGTTGGATGAGTGCGTATTAGTGGTCATTAATTTCCAATTGTCACATTCCATCAAGAGAGCAAGTTATAAGACTTCTACTCGTTTGGCATAGCCATCGCTCTTTTCATTTTCTGTTCACAGATATGGCTTGTGGGTCCTTCTAAAATGTTTGTTTCATTTAATTCTTTTTAGTGTCATTGACCTTGCCATGAATGCAATCTATTTATATCTCCATCACATTACATATTAAGAAGGAAAGAAAATTACTGCCACATTTGTTCTTTGAATTTCTTAGGGTCGATATCAAACTGACTGTCAATTCAATTATTCTGTAACTTTTCAAACTGATACTTGCCTGTTCTTAACTCCTACTGCACTATTCTAATGTGGTTGGGTTTGTTTATCTACATTCTTGATTAATTTGCTTTTTTTTTTTTTTTCTTTATGTAGGTGCTACAAATAAGCCACAAGAATTGGATGATGCAGTTCTTAGGAGACTGGTACGTATGTTGGTAACGTGATTTGCTGCAGCTTTTACAAGCAACTCGAAGTGTAAAGTTCTCTTAGAATTTTGCTTGCAAGCATTGAACGGAAATTATCATGGTGTAATGTGTTTTTTATCCTTTCTATAACTGTCCAGTGTAGTAATGCCTGGACAGTAGATCTATCTATATAATGAGACCATACACATTCTTGCTAGGCATAAAAGAATGGTGACTATGTATTAATACTGCAGATTGAGAGGGTTTCTTCCACATTGCTTATTATTTATATTACCTGAATCAATTTTTACTCTTCAATTCCTTTTTATTAACTTTTGGTATTATGTTTAATATGAAACCCTGAATCAGGTGAAGAGAATTTATGTACCATTACCAGATAAAAATGTTAGGAGGCTTCTTTTGAAACACAAACTCAAGGGCAAAGCTTTTTCCTTGCCTGGTATGTAATATGTGCTTTTGTCCCTTTCCTTTTGCTTGAGTGTAATAATTTACATGTCATTACTTATGGCAGATGGAGACCTTGAAAGACTTGTCAGCGAAACAGAAGGTAAGATGATGATTATTGTTTCCTTTGTATATAATGTTGCAAATTTTAATGTAGTAAGAAATGAGTTAGCCAGAAACATTAGCCAGGGGATCTATGTCACTCATCATACAAAGAAAGAATGAGCCATAATTAGATCTATGGTTTCAACTCTTTAACTTATAGGTTATTCTGGAAGTGATCTACAAGCTTTGTGTGAAGAAGCTGCGATGATGCCAATTAGAGAGCTTGGCGCAAACGTTCTCAGTGTCCAGTCAAATCAGGTAATTTGCAGCAATAACTTGTTTCTGTTTATGACTTGGCAAATAAGCCTCTAGTAAATTATTTTATCTTAGTCCTAATCCGTGTACCTGCAAGAGAGAGCATCTAGAATGATATGAAGGGTTGAAAGGACGGGGGTACATGGGAAAGTTAATCGTGTTGTAACAGTATTGAGCACAATTTTTTTTGAAGTTAGGCTGTAATTGATATTTGTTTGCCAGGTGAGACGACTAAGGTATGAAGACTTTCAGAAGGCAATGACCGTAATTAGACCCAGTCTAAGCAAAAGCAAATGGAAAGAGCTTGAACAGTGGAATGAGGAGTTTGGATCCAACTAATTAAACTCCCATTATAGTTGAATTTTGTTATTGTGCATATGATTTGCATTTTGGCATGAATATTGTGACTCAAAAGAAAGCATTTTCCGCTGTACAAACTTGCAAAGTTACATTAATTACAAATGTGAAATAATATGAAATTTCAAGTTTTCTTAATTATGTGAAGGCTGCTTCATGAAAGCATTCGGTAATTCGATGAAATTAAAATTTTGACTTCCCTTGTTTATTTTTTCTGCGTAGTTCCTTTAATTGATGTTAAGACGACGCCCATATCACAATTCAATCATGTTAGAGCTTCGAAGGCTCGGCTGGCTGTATTAGCTGTTGGGCTTCCTCAAAAGGAAAAGATAATTCCTCGACAATGCCAGATTATGGGGCTTTTGTCCATGTACGATTGAAATTCAATTTTAAGTTCAGTTCAGATTGAATTGAACCTTTGATAAAAAAAAAAAAAAGTAAAAAATATATATATATAATTTAACCTAAATTTTTTATAATAAAAAAATAAAATTCAACATATGTTTATATTATTATTAAATTAAATAATCAATATTAAGCATCTCAACAATTTTTTAATAATTGATTCACCAGATAGAGAAACGCCAATGTCAAAACGGTGCGTTTTATCGTGGGCGGGATAATACATTCAAACGATACACAAGGATTAAGGATACATATTTAAATTTCTCCTTCACCGACCAAATTTTCCCGTCCGACTCAAATCGGCAAATCCTCTCTTCAGATTCTCCATTATTAGCCTTTCAGTTATCACCTCTACAATCATCAAGAAATGAAGTCTAGATCTCAAGAAAAACAAGAGAACCAGAAGAAGCAATGGTCGTTGCAAGACTTCGAGATCGGAAAACCACTCGGGAAAGGAAAATTTGGGAGAGTCTATCTCGCCAGAGAAGTAAAGGTATTGCCTTTTATCATTTCCCGTTTGGTTACCAACAAAATGAGTACAATTCTCCAATATCTAGCACTGAATTTTTCTTTGACCCCTTTTTTTGTGCTTCTCCCTTAAATTTGTTGATTTGTTTTTTCCTCTTTGCTATTTGCTATCCTCAGAGCAAATATATAGTGGCACTGAAGATAATTTTCAAGGAACAAATAGAAAAATACAAGATTCAACACCAATTACAGAGAGAAATGCAGATTCAGACGAGTCTTCATCATCCGAATATTCTGCGTCTCTACGGTTGGTTTCACGACAATGAACGCATTTTCTTGATACTGGAGTATGCTCACCGCGGCGAGCTTTATAGAGAGCTTAAAAAGAAAGGTTATCTCAGTGAGAAGCAAGCTGCAACGGTGAAAACCTCTTGCTCCATGACAGATCGCTTTATTCTGCAGTTTTGTTGAGGTCTCAATTGAGTGATTTTATCCGCTATAAAAGCAAGGACTAACTAATCTGTTTGTTTCTAATTATTTTTAGTATATTGCAAGTCTCACAAATGCGTTGGCTTACTGTCATGAGAAAGATGTGATTCACAGAGATATCAAGCCAGAAAATTTATTGCTTGATCATGAGGTATACTTTGGTTATATAGTGATTTGAAAGATTTTGATCCGTAGGCATTAACCTAGCTTTTTTCAAGTTGTTCTTTTGCCTTGTATCTACAAATTAAAATTGACAAACTGACAAATCATTAGCCAAATTGATCTTGTACTTGCCTTTCTTGGGTTTGCCATTTTTTCTGACTAATTAGATAGAAATTAATGAGCTGCTAAATAAAAATTTTTGTAGGGCCGACTGAAGATTGCTGATTTTGGGTGGTCTGTGCAATCTAGGAGCAAGAGGCACACAATGTGTGGAACTTTGGATTATCTGGCTCCAGAAATGGTGGAGAATAAAGCTCATGACTATGCTGTTGATAACTGGACTCTGGGGATACTGTGCTATGAGTTCCTATATGGTGCACCTCCATTTGAGGCTGAGTCTCAAAGGGATACATTCAGAAGGTAAGAAGTACTATTTGGCCCATTTGTGTCAATTAGTTTATTCTGTAAACCAAATTGTTAACAAAGATTGGATTGTGTGATGCAGGATCATGAAAATTGATCTGAGTTTCCCTTCTGAACCTCCAGTGTCTGCAGAAGCCAAAAACCTCATCAGCAGAGTAAGTTTTATCCATCAAAATTGTCGTGTTTGCAGTGAAAGACAATTGCAGCATTTTTAATCACTTCCCTAAATATGCAATCCGTAAATTTTTGCAGCTTCTGGTGAAGGACTCTTCAAAGAGGCTCTCCCTTCAGAAGATCATGGAGCACCCTTGGATAATCAAGAATGCAGATCCTATGGGAATCTCCAGGAAGTAACATTTTCTAATAACCTAACTAATTAGATTTTTGTACGTAACATTTGTATTTTGGGAAAGAAATTTTTTCTCAGGTTGATAAAGCTCCAAAGTAAATGATTCTACAATTGGAAACCTAACTCTAAGTTTAAAATATGCATCAGCTTTCTTACTTTGTTCATATTATATCTGCAACTGTGTATTCAGATGCAGGCATTTAGAAATTGTCCAAATATATGGCCTTCTATTTTGTGTATGCTTTTGACTACTATATATCTCTTTGTTGTGGCTACTCTGGTTAACAATTGGCTTTCTTTCATTAGTAGGTCTTCTCCTTTTCAATTTCATATTCACTATAAGGTTTCCATTTGATAATTGGCATAGCCAATCTGAATGCGCTAAAGGATTAATCTTCAGCAATCAGTGTATAAATGTCGTAGAATGATCTAAACTAGTCTTATCTTGTTTTAACTTTTTGCAAATAATTTATCAAACATGTGCAGCAATAATTTGCAAAAGCTAACAAATAAAATAAAGCTTTCAGCACAGAAGAATACCTTCGAGAAATAAAGTTGCTGATCGGTTTCGTTGTCCATCGACTGAAATCTGCAGCTTCTCTTGCATATTGACGAAATCGAAGATGTAAGATCAGGCAATAAGGCAGAGATTCCATACCATTCTTTTAGCTAGAATCTGGACATTTTTGCTTTTCCAAAAAAAGAACACGCACAGTTAGAATCCAAAATTCACTGACTGTGACTATTGCACCAAAAGAATAATTAGGGAAACAGATGAATACTTCATGCCCAAGAACAACTGCTACTTCTGCATCCTACTTAAGACAATCAAGCAACCCTCTATAAATAAGCATTTTACCACCAATATATCAGCAAGCATTAGCTATTTTATAATCCACCACATAAACTTGCCAATCTTTTCCATCAAAATGGTTAGTAGCAGGTTTCCATTTGAGTTGTTTAGCCTGCTTGTCGTTGATTTTTAAGCGTTAGTCCCGTGTTCATAGCTTGAAGTATCTGTCTCGCTGTAGATTCAACTCGTATGACCCTTGGGTCTGATGGAAGAAGTGTTATGTTTTATTTTCCATCTTGTTTTAAGAAAAGGATATTCCAAAAATAATCTCTCTCAACTTTTTCTCAATTTAGCTGATAAATTTTTAAATGATACCCCCTTTGGCACAGATTTCTCTCTTTTATACATGGGACATCAAAAACAAGCTATTCCTTACCTGCAAAGAATTCATAAGGTCCTATGTTTTCTCCTTTGCTTTAACATTTAAAACTTCGGAGGTATAAACCAAGAAGGATATCAAATAAAAACACAAAAAGAAGTTCATTGATTACATATATTTCCATATAAAATCTCCATGCCTCTCAAAACTGATCTCAGGATGTTGGCAGATTCAGGAGCACGAAAAGGGCTTTCACAACCATCCAGACAGAAGCCTATGAAGAGAAGTCCCCATCTTCACAGGAGGCAACTATGGTGTCACTGATGGTGGTATCACTGCTGACAGTGTTGTCACTCGCATTATCATTAGTCACAAGTTGAGGATTCACAGAGATTGAGATTGAGAGATTAGTGTTTAAGTCTGTAATAACGTTCTCTTTCGTGGGCAAGATCGCAGGAGTACGCGGATGACTGCTAGTGGAGTTACCAGAAGCAGGTGGCTCGGAAACCTCTACACGCTTCTTTGCACCTCTGTGCATATGCATCTTGCAGTATTTCTCGTTAGGCACAACATCCCTTCGGCATCGCCACTTCTTTCCATCTGTTCTTCTACACCTCCTTGGTTCAGGTTCTGCATAACTTCGAAAGAAGTGTGGGTCCCTGCAACCTTGAACTGAAACAAATGGTAAAGAAAACAAATAAATCCAATCTTACACGATCATAGAAACAAAAATATTCTATATGCATGGGAGAGATTAGAATTAAACTACTAAAGTGATCAATGGATATTTTGCTAATTGTTCTATTGCTTCCTTTTCTCATTACATTATGCTCTATTAGATAATGAGTAGATACAATCTAACAATAGCAATAGGCTAGACAACTTTATCTTTCTCCGAGTTGGTAAGAAAGTCAATGGGAAGCTATCATCATATAACCCCTAAAAGCACATGATAGCTTTTAGTCAGCATAAAAGTAACCTGCCAAAGCAATTTCCATCTAGAGTACACTATATTACCTTGAAGAACACTGTTCTGTGAGAAGTCGAATCCTTGAGATGTGGCACCTTGGGTATTTCTGATGTCTTTGCTGTTGCTACCGCCACCAATTAGATTCTTCAAACTAACATAGTTGCTGCAGTTTGCATACTTATCACTAATGACATTAGTCATGTGATAGTTTTCATTACAATTCTTGTTAGTTCCTACAATTGCTGTGGTGACAGTGGAATCCATGTGAACATTGCCGTTGATTGTGACTGCAGTGGACTTTATGCAGCCAGCAACGCCGCTAGGGGTCATGTTCGTGCTAATGCTCTTTGGGACATTAACAACACTAGTAGTCTTGGTTGTGCAATTGAGTGTGGCATCAAGATTACTACAGGCAGTGCTAGAGCTTTTGCAGCTTATAACAGGATTATTAGATAAAGTTGCAGGGGTTGAACTGGAACAATTGACGTTTGGGGAATTCTTGATTGAATTGTGAAGTGGTGTAGCATTAGAATCAGTGACAGTTTGGGAAGCTTCCACAGGCTTTCTTGAACGTTGACGGCCTCTGTGGATGTGCCGCTCACAATACTTTTGACCAGGAACCACACTCCTCCTACACTTCCATTTTTTCCCATCAGTTCTTCTACACCTCACTGGTTCTGAATCCATCATGTTTCTATAATTTAAATCCTGAGGACTGAATTCCACAACTGAAAACAAGAAACCAACAAGGGCAATAAATAGATAAATAAAAAGACAAATACTTTCAGTAAACATGTATCCATTTCAAATTTGGCAAAACAAACAACAACTTTGTATCCCTCCCCACCCCTCACCCCCCCTTCTTCCTTCGAATTTTAAGTTCAGTCAGAGTAAACATTTTCTAAAGAGTCAAGAGCCCAAAAGAATTGTCAGATAGACTGATGAGAATTTAGCCATACATAACAAAATTGAAAATTGCAAGGGCTAACAAACAGGACACAATTTTAATTTCCAGGATACATATATCTTAAACAAAAATTTAAAAGAAAAAAATCGCACAATCAAGCACAAGACCTCTGAGATAATAAGACTGTAATCAACTCCCGCTAAATGAGTAGAAATGTTTGAAATTGGGCAAACATAACACGAAAAATTCAGAGTGGAAAGAAAAATAACAATCAAACATAAACCAAAAAAAAGAAAAAGAACCAGGAAAGTGAAAACATAAAGAAGACTTACTGCTTGGGTAAGGTCTGTAGATTCCACCATTAGCAAAGCCAGAAGAGGCAGCAACGCTCTTCCAAATGGGAAGCACAAGTGCAGACGGCACAATGAGACCAGCTGCTATGTACCTGTATATCGCCACTTGTCGTTGAAGCTCATCCAGCTGGGCTGCAGTTAACAGAGGCTTTCCATGTCTGATGATCGCAGGGCCATGCGCAACAGCAATCCCGATGCCCACCTTCATCGACGGTGATACTACTTCTTCCTTCACCTGACTTTTCTTTACTTCCGTCACCAGCGTCCGTACTTTATCATCACCACTCTTATGGGACCCACAGCCTCCACCCAGACACACAAAAAAAAAAAAAAAAAAAAAAAATTGCGAAGGTCGCTAACAAATCAGGGACACAATCTTTAATTTCCAGGGTATAGCATTATCCTTAATAAACAAAAATTTAAAAAAGAAAAAAAATCGCCACAATTCAGCAACAAAGACGCTTCTGAGATAATTAAGACTGTAATTCCAAACTCCCGCCTAACGATGAGTAGAAATGTTTGGATAAATTGGGGCAAACATTATACACGAAAAACTAGCAGCCATGAGTGGGAGTGGGAAAGAAAAATACAATCCAAACAATAAACCAAAAAAAAAGTGAAAAAAGAACCAGGAAAGTGTGAAAACATTAAAGAAAGAAGACTACTGGCTTGGGTAAGTCTGCTAGGTGTAGATTCCACCATTAGCAAAGCCAGAAAGAGGCAGCAACGCTCTTCTCCAACATGGAGCAACAAGTGCCAGGGCACGCACAATGAGACCAGCTTGCTATTTACCTGAATATCGCCACTTGTCGTTGAAGCTCAATCAGCTGGCGTGGCTGCAGTTAACCAGAGCTTTTCATGTTTGATGATCGCCAGGCCATTGCGCAACAGCATATTTTCCCGATGCCCACCTTCATCGACTGGTATTCACTACTCTTCCTTCAACCTGACTTATTCTTTACATTCCCAGTCACCATGCGTCCGTACTTTATGCATCACCACTTATTGGGACCCACAGCCTCAAACCCAGACACACAAAAAAAAAAAAAAAAAATAAAAATCAAACAGGAAAAAAAAAAAAAAAAAAAAAAATCAAACAGATGAATAAATTAATTAAAGATTTTTAAAGCTAGTCCCAAACCGTCCCGTCAGCACACCAGTAAAAATCAAATAAGAATAATTGAAGAGAGATGTCCATACTAGAGGCAGTTAGAAGAGGTTTGGCCTCCAGTTCCATTACCATGGAGATTCGAGATTAAAGAACGGGCGAAAGCTATTAAGCTAAATTAAAATAACAGAGATGGCCGATGGGTAATGTGTTGTTCAAAAAAGTGAACTTCAAAGAGATCAATCCATAGCCTACTACTTGAACATGGGCTCATGAAAGCAGTGGCAGGTTTCTGACAGCGTCAGGCTTTTCGCGCTTGCTCGCAAAACTTCAGAGGAAATGCGTGTATTTTAACATGCAAGTAAGATCAATTCCCACTTGATGCAACAGAGCGTCAATATCACGATGCTTTGGCTGCGGATGTTGCTTAGTAGAACTTAGAAGATGGCCTCTACGCGCCCTTGTCAGATTGATTCACTGGACTGAACAGTGTCGAGAAGATGACACGTCAAGCGTCTTTTCAGTTAAGTGGGCCCGTCTTATTGACCTTTAATTGGCGGGGTCCAGTTATGGCCAGGTGGACCTTGCCAGTGGCTGGGGAGTGTCCTGAGTCTCCTGACCTCTTGTGATTGTGAAGGACGTCCTACGCTTAACAGCTTAAGGCCGACGTGGGTTCGGAGACTAAGCGAAGGCCCAATTTAAACATCCAAGGCCCAACAATTCGTTTGCCCTTAAAAGGGCCTGAACTCGGTACCTTATTTAAACCCACAGACTCAACCCAGGAATGAAGCTCGGCGAGTGAATATGGGTTTTGTGCTCCAAAAAGTGAACAAATAAATACCAAATCTAGAGAATGTTCTTATAATTTTTGACACCTTATCATATTTTGAAAAATAAATTTAAATATTTTTTTTTTTTTGTCTGCCACTTCATTAACTGTTAGTTTAATTGAATTAGTGTATTTATAAGGATGCAACTGTGTTTTTATATATGTTTTTAATAATATTCACTAAATTAATAAAAACTCGTATAATAATTGAGTAACGAAAAATCCATTGCAGTTGAAAATATCCAAATTCGTTAATTCACATCACCGTATACATATCGAAAGTGAGAAATTAATTATGGTTGGCTAATAATATGAACATTTATTTGTTGATTTATGTTATTATTATTTTATTATTTAGGGTATGGTGTGGGATACAACCACATTAGCAACAAAACAGGTGGGACCCCTTGCACACTTCAAAGGTTAAAGGGAAGATGGGATCCATCCAGCGGAAAACAGGCTTTATCTCTTCCTTCTTCGGCAATACGCGACGTCGTATTATTGCCGACAATTTTAATCTCTGTACTTGGAATAATTAACGAAAAATCTTATGAATGATTTGAGTCTTCTTTTTTTTTTTTTCCGAATCATGATTGAGTCCATTTATTGATTATCAACAATGATAAAATTAAAATGAATCAAAGAATAGTAATTTCAAAACTTAAATATTAAAAATAAAATGATTAATCAATGATAAAAAATCAATATTTTTACATATATAGGTCTTAAACCGATGCTATATTAGAATTTTTAAATTGAAAGGAAAAAAAAGTGAATGATTACGCAATAAGCTATAATAAATTAAATAATAAATCACTAATATTAAATTAAAGAATAACTATCAATTATATCCTCAATAATAGCTTTTTAATTATCGAATATGTTTGTATTTTGTCATTTTCACGCGTTTTACTTGTTTAAAATGAAAATGTATTTTGTCAATTTGATTAATTTTTCTCCGAGCATTTGTATTTAAACAATGATCAACCTGAAGAAGGCAGGAAGCAGCTATTTCAGTTCTCACAACAGTGGCCTTCAATTTTACATGTGTTGTTTCTCGATGATTTAATGTACCGATTCAAGACAACGATGTGCGCAGGCCACAAGATGATAGTGTGAGCGATCATGTTCAGTACACTGCCACTTCCACTAGTACAAAATCAAAATCAATATGGTCCCAACGCCACTCCCGAGCTTAATTATTTATCACATTTCATAATATTTATTATATTTAAAATTTTACGTTATTTAAAAAATTATTAAAATTATATGAATTATTGAGTAAATTGACTATGTTATTTTTAATTTAATATGTATTAAAAAAAATCATTTAGTTGAAGTAATAATTACTTGTTATATACAAAAAGTAAATATGGAAAAAAAAGACTTATTTCTCTTTGAAACTACAAACATGATAAATATTTTAGAATAAACTATTTTTCTCAAATATGACAAATATTATAGAAGAAATATATTAAAGCAAAAGCCTCTTTTACCTTATTATTCATGGTACATATTAACATTGAAAAACTTTATCTCTGTAACATTATCAATTTATTTTTTAAAATTCTATAGTTCGGTGCTTATATTTTGTTTTAGTTAGACTATTGTATCATTCTAATTATGTATACTTTTTCATCAAATGGATTTTTTTTTTCTTTGCATTCGAGATAAGATAACTAATATATTCGTGTATGATAAAAAATTATTAAAAAATTTAACAGGAAGATATACCGATTTTTTGCAGCTGTTTTTGAATTTGGCAGTAATAAAAATGTATTAATAAAGTTACAAATTTTAAATAATGATTTAGACATATGTTTTCTCTTTTATCCTTTAATTGTTTTCTCCAAATATAAATTATTATATTGATATCATATTTAAGATTTAAATTTAAAATTTTATTAATAAATTCATCTGAAAATTTTATCTTATTATTTATCACATAATGTTATGGAGATTTCATTTCCAAAACTTTGTTTATAACTTGTTTTTTTCTGAGCCATACTCTTCCATTCGTACCAAAAGATTTTTCTTTTTCCTTCTTTTTTTTCTTTTGTCACCGAAGCTTCAAGAAGTATTTGTAAGTGTAAAATGTTGATTAGGTGTCTAAAAATAAAATTAAAACATCCTGACACGTGTTTGAGAGGTGTTCGAAAAAACAACTTGGCAGAATTGACCGTTTCTCAACAATTGGCATTTCGTATCTGCGTTTCAATGACCGTTATTCATCAACCAACCATCGTAATTCATAATCATATAGCTGCTTTATTATCAATACTGACGTGGCATTAATCCAAATTTTTTTTGAAAATTGGAAAGAGACATTATAGTCATTTCAAAAGAAAAAAAAAAAAAAGCATCGTGATAGAATAATGCCAATGCCACAAAAAAACTCACATTTCCAGCTGTGACCAAAGTATGCTTGCCCCTCACATGGCCCCAACCACTAACCGCAGCTAAACCTCGCTCCTTAACCCCAGTTAAACCCCTAACCTTTCTTCCTCCTTCTCTTGTCCATTCCTTTTTATCCCTCGCTCTTGCTCAGAACTCTCTGTAACCTTCTTCTTTCAACACCTAACATCCGCCATGGGACTACATTACCTTTTCCTCTTCCTTTCTTTCTCTGTAATCTCCACCACCATATCAGCCCATAATATCACCGACATTCTCAGTGGCTTTCCGGATTACTCAGAGTTCAACAAATACCTTACCCAAACAAAGCTTGCTGACGAAATAAACAGCCGAGAGACCATTACCGTACTCGCCCTCAACAATGGGGCGATTTCCTCTATTGCTAAACACCCCCTCCCCGTTATCAAAAACATCCTCAGCCTTCTTGTTTTACTTGACTACTATGACCCATCAAAGCTCCACCAGATCTCCAAAGGAACCACCCTCTCCACCACCCTTTACCAAACTACCGGAAGTGCCCCCGGAAATTTAGGATTTGTCAACATCACCGACCTCCAAGGCGGCAAAGTCGGGTTTGGCTCGGCTGCCCCTGGCTCCAAGCTTGAATCTTCTTACACCAAGTCTGTGAAACAAGTTCCTTACAACATCTCCGTCCTCGAGGTCAGCGCGCCGATTATTGCTCCCGGGATCTTAGCGGCTCCGGCCCCATCGCCTTCAGATGTGAACATAACGGCTTTGCTTGAAAAGGCTGGATGCAAAACTTTTGCTAGTTTGCTTGTGTCGAGTGGTGTGCTTAAGACGTTTCAGTCAGCGGCTGATAAGGGTTTGACTATCTTTGCACCAAATGATGAGGCGTTTAAGGCTACTGGGGTTCCTGATCTGAGCAAGCTCTCAAATGCTGACCTCGTTTCGCTCTTACAGTATCATGCTGCCGCCAGATACAGTCCTCTTGCGTCGTTGAAGACCAGCAAAGATCCAATTTCAACATTGGCCACTAACGGCGCAGGGAAGTTCGATCTGACAGTGACCAGTTCCGGTGACTCTGTCACTCTCCACACAGGAGTTGACTCATCGAGAGTCGCCGACACAGTTCTTGACTCAACGCCTCTGTCGATTCTCACTGTTGATAATGTGCTTCTCCCATCAGAGTTGTTTGCGAAGTCTCCATCTCCTGCTCCAGCACCCGAGCCTGTGAGCTCACCGTCTCCTTCTCCAGCCAAGTCGCCAAGTCCAGCTCCAGCTAGCGTCGAGGCACCGTCACCCCTGGCCGCTTCTCCACCTGCACCGCCGATGGAGACTCCCGAGGGAGCACCATCAGATGCGCCGGCTGGATCGGAAAATAGCACATCGGATAATGCTGCTGCCATTCACGTGACTGCTCCGGCATTGTTCACAGTGCTGCTCACTGTTTCCGCCAGTGTAATTTGTTCGATTCTCATGGCCTGAATCGTAATTATGTAGGTCTGTTAATTTGATTACTTCTTTTTTTTTTTTTTTTTTTTCATTTCACGTGACCTGCTCCGGCCATTGTTTCACAGTGCTGCTCACTGTTTTCCGCCAGTGTAATTTTTGTTCGATTCTCCATGGCCCCCTGAAATTCGTAATTTATGTAGGTCCTGTTAATTGGGATTACTTCTTTTTTTTTTTTTTTTTTTTTTTTTTTTTTTTTACTTTCCTTTTTGGATATTGAGTTGTTACTTTACTAGAGGTTTATTTTATTTTAAATTTTAATTTATTCTGATTTTTAAATCATGGGTACAAAGGGTGAAGTGAGCTAGCTGCTGCGCATTCTAGCAGCAACAGTATTGTTCTTTTCAAGAAACGATTGTTATCGGGTGTTTCGCTTTCCATTATTTTAAATGTTAGATCTGTCGGTTTTTGTGATGAAGTGGAATCCAAGCGCAGAAATTGTTGTATATAGCTGTGAGCCCACGTGACTGGAGAGAGATGTTGTGGGTACATTTATTAAGATGAATGGTGTCGGCTTTTTCTTTTTTTTTTTTTTTTTTTTATTAATACTTGTTTATGCTAATATAGATCTCATGTTTCCCTATCTCTCTTTATTATAATAAATCTCGGATGTTTAATCATAGAATAGGAATTCTGATTTTCTCTTCGGCAGAGATCGACGGAATTGGTTTTTTACCAGGTGTAATCTTTTTTTTTTTTTTTTTTTCATTTCTAAAAGTCTTATATTATCATCTGATTAAGCTGTTGACTGGGAAAATAAAATGGAAACCACCACGTTGGCAGATTTAGCATTTTAATTTTAAAATATTTAAATAAATTATAAATAATTTAGTTATTTACTTTTGTATGTTACGCAAAGGCATCTATATTGCATATTAAGAAGGAAAAGTGACATAATAAATTTTCATACATTTTGTTTAATTAATTGTAGTTATTAATTTTTATGTACTTTTAATTTATGATTTCACAAATATTTTTATAATAATTTCACAATATTGGTTCATTAATGATAGTATGAGTGAAAAAATTAATAATTATTACCAGTAGTGTGTTTTTTTATTCTAGATGTTTAAAGTAGATTAATTTGTTATTATGATTGGTATAGCTGTTTAATGGTTATTAGAGATTCAATGAGAACCTTTTAAATTTAAAGTTAATTAATTAGTCGTTTTCATCAAATAATGACATTTATGATCTTATATCCTGTTGCAATGCGTAACGCTACTTTTTGTTTCCAAATTAAATTAAAAGCTTTGCTCTCCGTGTTTATACAAATAAGTGTGGTGTAAACAAAGCTTGCTAAAATGCAAATAGGTTCTCTAAAATAAATAAATACGTATAACCTATTTATGTGATTCTTTGAATTAATTAATTACTATTATTTGTAAGATCATGTTTAATATGTGGACAAACTCGTAATATCTTCTTTCTTTCATTTTTTTTATCTCTCGTTTAAAGTTTATTATATTTGATAATTAAAGAAATAATTAATTCAAATATAAATTATAATTTAAAAATATTTTTAATTCGCTAAATTTTTACCCTTTTGATTTTTTCGCGTTCTTTAATCTGTAATATATTAGAACAATTTTTTATAAACTTTCTGTGGCTTGGAGGTTATGGCAAGTGTCTGTTATCATCAAAAAACTCAAGAGAATATTTTAAATTATATGGTCCCACTGCGGCATTTCGTAACTGTACGTGGTAATCCTAAATATTTACTTTTTGTTGGGAAATTCTAAATGAAGAGTCGATAGCATTATTTACTTTATTGAGATTTATATCTTACAGTAGATAATTTCTTTTACTTTAAATTTTGCATTTTTGTGATAACAAAGATTTTCATATTTCTTCTTAATAGAAGGTAAAAGAGATTTCTGACTCAAAATTTTTTTTTTTTTTTTTTTTTTTCTTTCTAAAACTTATTATTATCATCTGATTAAGCTGTTGACTGGAAAATAAAATGGAAACCAAGTTGGCATGATTTAGATAATTTTTATATAAATATATAAAAATTAGAGCATATTTGATGACGCAAGGCATATAGAATGCATTTTGAAGGAAAAAATGCATAATAATTTCATAATTTTGTTTAATTAATTGTAGTTATTAATTTTATGTACTTTTAAATTTTTATAATTTCACAATATTTTTTATAATAATTTCACAATATTGTTCAGTTAATGGTAGTATGAGTTAAATAATTAATAATTATTAAGTAGTGTTTTTTGTTATTCTTAGAGTTAAATAATAATTTGTTATATTGATGGTAGCTGTTAATGGTTATTAATCAATGAGCCTTTTAAATTTTAAAGTTTAATAATTAGTCGTTTTCATCAAATTAATAAATTTTATATTGATGCTTAATTGTTGCAGGTAACGCTACTTTTTTTTTTCCCATTAAATTAAAGCTTTGTTCCCCTTTTTATACAAAAAGGGGAACAAAGCTTGTAAAATGCAAATAGGTTCTCTAAATAAATAATACGTAAAATATTTATTATTTGAATAGTAATTTATATTGTGAATCATGTAATATGTGGACAACTCGTAATATCTTCTTTTCTTTCATTTTTTTATCTCTCGTTTAAGTTTATTATATGATAATTAAAGAAATAATTAAATCAAATATAAATTATAATAAAATATTTTTAATTTCGCTAAATTACCCTTTGATTTTTTCGCTTTTAATTTAATTATATTAGAACTATTTTATAAACTTTGCTTGCTAATTAGGCATGTTGTTATCACAAAACAACTCAAATTTTAGAATTATATTCCACCATTTGTAACTGTACGTGGTCTAAATATACTTTTGTGGAAATTCTAAATGAAATTGGGTAACAATTATACTTATTGGATTTATTATTATATTTCTTACTTTAATTTTGCGGCAGCAATTTTTTATCCTTTGATATGCAACTAAATATCAATATATGTGTTTGTGTTTATAATGATTTTTCTTTTAGCAATTGTAATATTTTAGTTTGTCACAAATCAAGTAATTTGGATATAATTAAAATTATTTATTATTAATTGATAGAATTATTATTGAAATTAAAATGAATTGTGAGTATTATGGAATATTTAGCATAATTGATATTTGTATTATTGGCTGAAGCAAAAAATAAGGGACTCATTTTTTATTGATTGAGATTAATTTTTATCTCTTTATTCTGATAAAAAAAAAAATATCCACATGCATAATATTATTTTATTTTGTCGTAGAGTTATTAATGAAATTGAAATGAATTTTTTTTTGATAAATAACAAAATATAATATTTTCAGAATTCTAATTATTGTGATTTCAACCATTGCTTTTTTTATATGATGGTATTTTAACATTTAGAGTTATCTAAGTTAGGTAACTTTTAAGCATGAAATTAAATTATAATTTTGCAATGCAAAAGATTAATTCTTAAAATTTATGTAAATTATACAAATAATATTTATAAATTGTAACATAATAACCCGCATAAAACGTGGACCTTGGTATAGTAATAAGAAAAGTGATAAATTAGGTTTTAACAATAATTATTATACTTAATTATAAATAATTGTAGAATTGAAAAATAAATAATTAATTATAAACAAAATAATTCGACAAGATGGATGACAAATTAAATCATACATTAGTTTAAGTCGACCAAGTATCCGCTATGAGATATGAGTTATATATTTAATAGTATATATTATTCATTAATTTTAAATTAGGATAATTGTGACAAAATATTATAAATATAAATAGGGCATCAAATGGATCGTTTGGCTTGCAATTGTTACAAGAGTTAAAGCACGGGGCTTTTTAGCCCATATTAGAAAAGAAACAAGTATGAATCGACGTCGTTTCGAGGAAGTCAAAACAGCCCCAACCGCCGCTATAAACTATCCAAACGGGTAGAGGAGAGCGGCCTATCAAGTACAGATAAACGTCCATGGCGGCAGAAGTTCCTTCCGCCACGTCCGCTGCCAGTGGCACAATTTCACTTCCGCAAGAGAAACGGTACCGGTCCATCTTCGACGTCCCATCTGACTTCTTCGACCGATGCCGCTTACTTTCTCCCTCCTCGGCTTTAGTTTCCGAGACCCCTGAGAATCCTGAGAATCCCAAAATAGTTGAAAACCTATACGAGAATGATAGTAAGGAAGAGAAGAGTTCCAAAAATGGTGCAGCGAGGTTTAGATGGACCTGCAACACCTGCAAGGCCGAATTCGAGTCGCTTCATGACCAACGGTCTCATTTCAAATCCGATATTCATAGAATTAACGTAATACTTCCGCCCATTTTGTCTATTCTTTTTTCATTTTATCAAACAGACATTTGCATTGCCAAAGTGCTAAATTACTGTCAATTTTGATGATTTATATTGAATGCCGCCTTTGTCAAAACTGTGATGTCCATAGAGTTAGTGAAAGCACTGTTTCAATTGCCTAATATTGTAGTCACCAAAGGTCTATCCAATGGTTGAGAGTTGAAATTGTTTACTTGTAGTCACCAAAGAGTCAATTTTTTCATTGCATGTTTTTGTTATGAGTTCATCTACTATAAATTTCCTGATCACAAGTGATTACAGGTTAAGCTAAGCATTGCAGGGAAGGGAATTATGAACGAGGAAGATTTAGATGCATTAACATCTGATTCTTTTAAAGATTATGATATATCGAGTATATCTGGATCAGAAGATGAAGAGGATAAAGAATCCATCGCTCGTGATGATAAGCAAAAGAGATCAATTGAGAGTATTAAGAAGAAGCTGTTCATCCGTCTTCATACAGGAGAAAGGGTTTCACTTTGGAAGTGTATGCTTCTGAATGAGTCTGAAAGTGTTTCCTATGACAACGATAAAGAAGTTTTTTCTGACCATGATATGCAATGCCTGAAAGAGAGTGAAGTGGTTGAAAGATTGAAATTTCTGAGTCATGAGCCTAGAGATAAGACATGTTTGAGGATTGTTTTGCTTGCAAGTGGAGGGCACTTTGCTGGCTGTGTCTTTGATGGTAATGCGGTTGTGGTTCACAAAACCTTCCACAGGTCAATATATATATTTTTTCTCTTCCATGCATTTTACTTCTGTTCTAACAAACCCATTACATCTCTTTTTCTCTTTCTCCAAGTCTAACCACATGTAGTGTGAGAGTTGTTCTTGTAGCCTTTTTCCTTCAAGGAAAAATAATGTCTGCTAAATAGGATTCTGCTTAGGGAGTAATGGAATGTACATATAAATCATCCTGAAAATTTGAACTTCTTTTGATTTAGATATGTTGTAAGGGCTAAAGCTGGTAAAAAACAGTCCTCAAAAGATGCAAGTGGCAGGGCTGCTCATTCTGCTGGAGCTTCACTTCGCCGGTACAATGAACTTGCTCTTAAAAAGGTATCGAATGATGGAATCTTTGCCGTGCTTATTTAAGAATAATTCGAGTTTTATTGTTTCACTTATACCCTTCTGATTTGGCGTGTTTAAAAAATTTGGCTGTTACTTTTAATGAGCTATTGTAACAAAAGGAAAAACGTTTGTACAATGAAAACAAAACTTTTGCCTTGCATGACATGACAGATTTTTGGAAGGTTAATTATTGTTCACTCATAAATTTTATAGGACATTCAAGAATTATTTGCTGCTTGGAAGCCTTATTTTGATGCTTCCACCTGTGTTTTCATCCATGCTCCTTCAAGCAATCGTCAACTCTTTTTTGATGGAGATAAAACATATTTTAGCCATGAGCATTGTTTTGTTAGAAATGTACCATTGAATGTTCGAAGGCCTACTCTCAAAGAAACTCGTCGTATCTATAACCAATTGACACAATTTGCTTATGAAGTAGATGTGAAGGAAGTTTTATACGCCGCTAGAGGGGACTTTGTCTTAATTGAAAACACTATTACTGATGACAGTCCAGGCTCTGAAAAAGAGGGCTTGAAGGATGGTGTTAATTTTAGGGAAACTACTGAATCTTCTTCAAGTCACAAAGACTCTGGTGAGCTGATAATATCTAGTAAAACAGATAGTGAAAGCGAAGTGATTGGCATAACAACACCTTTGCATGAAGCTGCAGAGTCTGGCAATGCCCTTAAAGTCCTTGAACTTTTAGAACAAGGTATGGATCCTTGTGTTAAGGATGAAAGGGGGCGGACCCCCTATATGCTGGCAGATGACAAGGAAGTCAGAAATACTTTCCGGCGATTTATGGCTTCAAATCTTGATAAATGGGATTGGCATGCTGCTAAAGTGCCTAGTGCATTGACAAAGGAAATGGAGGAATCACAAGCCACTAAGCAGGTAATGCTACTTTTTTTTCTTAAATTTTATTTTTCTGCACCTTTTGCTAGTGTAATGTAATGACTCCAGGCTCTTGGTTGCTCTTTCTAATTGAAGAATTAGCCTATATGTTGTTTTTTAAAACCATACTCAATTAACCTTGCATGAGATGAGTTCTATCAAGTTGCAAGAGCCAGATTCATAATTAGTATCTCATAAAAGCAATTAGCTTTTCTAGAAGCATTTCTTTTCATGATTGTTTTTCTTGGATATTTGGTTTGAACTAGTTAGTTTACAGTTTATCTTTTTTGTTGTTCAGGCTGAGAAAGATGCCAAGAGGAAAGCAAGAGCAAAAGAATTGAAGAAACTGCGTAAAGCTAGAGAAAAAGCTCAGGCATGTTATTGTATTTTTCAGTTTTAGTTTGGTTTGCAATGGCTTATTTAATTGGTGGTTGGATACTGCATTGCATTTGACCCAAAATGTTGACTACAAGTCTGAGGTAGGTATCTCAACATTTGTGGCATAAGAAACAATAAGAAAATCAAAAGCTTGTCGCCCAGCCTGAAATATAAATTGAATAACACAAGAAAGATGTGGGCTTTACATCTTTTCCCCTTAATCACTTCTCTATGATATCAGCATCACCTTGCATCTACTGGCTTTAAAAATGCTTATCCATTATTTATAAATTATTCTTCTTTACGTATGAACAATTGCAATTTGCAATGAATAATGACATTGTCATCATTAGTTGATTTGTGCAATGTGATTGCAGGCTCAGACTGGAGTATCCCAGAATGCCACAGCAGCTGTAGATAATCAAGCCAAGTCGCGCACTATCAAGGAACAATCTCGTGGTACAGAACTGCGGCTATCTAAAGAGGTCAGATTATTACCTTGTTTTTTTTCTTCTGCTTCAATTGTGCTTTTGGTTATTTTTCCCATCACGATAAAATCATTTATTCTACTGCATTCTTGTTTTGGTTTTTCAAGTTCAATTTTTTCTTTTTTTGATCTAGGAGGAATTGAAGAGGGCACAGGCTGCTGAAAGGGAAAAGAGAGCAGCTGCTGCAGAGAGGAGAATGGCTCCAGCTGCTGCTCTCAATGTTCAGAGCAGCGGCACAACTAGTGTTGTTAACAAGGAACAACCCAAAAGTGGATTGGCGAATGATATAATATGTTCCTGTTGTAATACATCATTGGCCGGCAAAGTTCCATTTCATAGGTATAATTACAAATACTGCAGTACGTCATGTATGCACGTACACAGGGAGATACTTGAGGATGGATAAATGTGAATTACTTAAAAGCTTTTATTCTGTGATTTTCCCCCCCTCATTGAGTACCTGCATATATTTGTAATTTTAAGAGGTATTTTCTTGACTTTCATATTCATTAATTTGTCCATAAGTTTTATGCTAGTTCATTGTTTTAATCCAAACAATGTCTTCACAATTCATTCATGTACATGGAAAAAAAAAGAGAAAGGGTTTTAGTGGGAGCTGCTATGATCATACCCGTTTAGGCTTAAGGTTGTCGCTGCAAGAAAAACAGGCCAGACGATTTTTAACAATCCACGGTCGCTTAGCGTTAGCGGTAAGCTTGTTATTAGGCGGTACTTGACGTCAATTTAATCAATAAACGGCGCTTTAATAGCCTGGGGTACAGTGTAATGTTGTTTACATTTGATGCTGTCGTTCAACGACAAGCAGGCCATATTTTTATATTATGACTTATTAGACGACGATTTGTTCAATAAACGGTGCGTTAATTTCCAGCGATATGTCGCTGTGGTTTTAACGCTGTCGTTCGACAACGAATAGCGTATATCTTACTTAACCATCAGATGACCGTTGTATTAGGAGTTTAATCGGTAATAAAAGGCGCTATACTAGTCTAGAGAGGTCTTGCACGTCAGGCTGGTGAAAGGCAGCTTCTCCCTGTACTCTATCGTCCTTGACAAATAACAGGCGAATACTTTCTTTAAGCTTCTTTCTTCCCCTTATCCTGAGCTATGGTTAGTTTTCGCTGCTGTAATTTCATCAAACACCTTTGCTACGTTATCCAATTAACAAACAAGCTCATGGTCCATTCTTTTTTTTTTTCTCTGCTTTGTGAATAGTCGGTTACACTTCACACAAATCTCGGGGATATCAAGTGCGAGATCGCCTGCGACGAGGTCCCCAAAACGGCCGAGGTTAGTGCCCTTCCTCAGTAGTTTCTTCCTGTTCTACAATTTCCCGTGTAGGCAGTGTTTTATTTGAATTTATTAACGTTAAGCTCAAGACGCCAAGCTTATTTCTTCGTGATTAGGGTTTTTAATTAAGAGTTTCATCAGAATTATTTTTCTTTTTAACTGGTTATTTCCAATTGTAGAACTCGTTGAAACCCTAGCACGGTACATTAATCGTTATTTGTTGGACTTCTCGATTCATATCCCTCTTTTTAATGGAAAAATATGGCACCGCTTGTGATCTTTGCTAGGTTTTGAGAGATAAACTAGTTTTTGGAGTTGTTGATTTCTTTCTTAAGCGTTGAGCTTCCTTTGCAGTATATGAATAACCAATCACCAACATTGTATACTATACACAAATGGATCTACTAGTGGCTTACTTGTCATGTCTTGTTGGATGCAGAATTTTTTGGCACTTTGTGCCAGTGGTTATTATGATGGAACCATATTTCACCGGAATATAAAGGGTTTTATGATTCAAGGTGGAGACCCAACAGGCACAGGCAAAGGAGGGACCAGTATATGGGGGAAAAAGTTCAATGACGAGATCAGAGAGTCGCTTAAGGTATGTAAAATGGATGTCTCAAGTATTTTGTGACCATCAAATTTTGCCATGACTCATTTAAGCTCAACTTAATATTTCATTTTGATGTCATCCTTTAATGATCTAAGAACAGTTGCACGTGCTTTGTCTAACTAAGCTTGTGCTCCCTCCACCCCTGCCCACCCACCACTCACCAACACAAAACCCCCTTCTTTTTTCTGTGGGGGAATAGGGTGGGGGTGAAAGCAATTCACTTCTGTTCCCCTTTTGAGTTTTGAGACAATCTAGTTCTCTTTTAGAAGCCTGCTAACCTAGTTTGTGCTTTTTGGAGGGCTGGATTCTAAAATTAAGTTGCTAAAATAGTTGGTACCTCAGATTTCCCAGGAACTACAATTCAATGCCAATGCCTGATATGCAAGAGGCTGAAGGCTGATTGTTTTGCTAATAGGCCTAGTTTCAATACTTTTTAATGCACACCGCATTCTTCCTAATGTTTTAGACTTTTCAATATAGAACTGGTCTTGCTTGAATAGTGACACTGCAATACTGATTATGCTGCTGCGACGTGCAATATTGATTATGCTGCTAACATGTATTTCCTATTTCCAGCATAATGCTAGGGGTATTCTAGCAATGGCTAACAGTGGGCCGAATACTAATGGAAGCCAGTTTTTCATAACTTATGCAAAGCAACCCCATCTCAATGGATTATACACTATATTTGGCAGAGTAATTCATGGCTTTGAAGTCCTTGATCTCATGGAGAAGGTGTGTTCTTGGCTATTGACCTTGCTAAGATGCATAATTATTTCTGTTCTGATCTTGTGTTTACCTGTCAAATTATCTAGACATGTAATTTGTGGACATACCACTAAAAGATGCTTAACTCGATTTTCTTTTCCAACATCAAATAAAGCATTATTGACTGCTATTTGTTTTTGTGCAGACTCAAACAGGACCAGGCGATCGACCTCTTGCGGAGATAAGGATCAATAGAGTGACAATACATGCTAATCCACTTGCTGGCTAGTAGGATCTTGGAATGTCTGGTTGTATGGCATTTTGACATTATGTTGGCATGATTGTAACAATGATTTTTTTGTCGAATATCAAAAAAAATTGAGACTGCTGATGTGACCTGCAGTTTAATGTACAGTAGCATTTTTTTTTTTTTTTTATAAATCAAGAAATGTAACATTTGAAGCTAGTTTTATTTTCTGAATTCTGGCGTGTGATTTAAGGTTTTGAATTTGTTACGGTATGAGAGCTCTGTTATACATGCTATAGTGTTTTTCTGCTTGGTGATTGATCGGGTAAGGTTATAGTGTTCTTTTTCTGCTGAAGTGTTAATGGCTGTCCGTCCAGGTAGACCTAGTTTATCGGAGAAAATAAATAAATAAGTAAAGCATAAGATAACAGCTAACACAATTTGGCTTATGGCATTGTTGCTGCACATGTTACCTTTTTGTAGGCTTTCCTACTAGGAATATGTATTTTTTTTTAAAAAAAAAAAAAAAAGAAAAAGAAGAGGCAGTACTATGGCCCAAGGGGCCTAAAGTGGAGTCACTGGCTCACAGCCCACTTCTGAGTGCTATTGTAGTAGACATCGGATCGAGTTAACCGGAGAGAACGCAACTGCAAATCTTCCTCTGGAAGCCCCTTCCGATATCAACACACGTCAGTGTCACACCTCCTCATCATGAAACGCAAAAACAGGCGCTAACCCCTAGGGTTTCAAAATACCCGCCATTTCTTTTTACACATTCTCACTGTCACTCTCTGTAGTCTGCTTCAATGGCCGTGGAAGACGATAACCCAGGAACTCCTTTTTGTTCAAAGCCTAGTCCAAGTCCAGTCTCTCAAACTAGCTCATCGCATCCTCCACCTGGTTCAAACCCTGACGAGATATCGCCGAAGAAGCCATTGAGCCCAAAGGAGTTCATCCTCTCAGTAGCCTCTAAGATCGCTTCTCAGCCTCTAACTAACCCAGACCCCAACGTCTGGGGTGTTCTCACTGCTATTTCTAACAATGCCCGTAAACGCCACCAGGTACCCCTCTCTTCATACTCCAATCCACCCGATCTTCCATTTTCTTTTGTTCTTCTAATTTTTGAGGTTTTATCTTCCCGTGAATTAGTACTTCTTCCTTCGAATGCGTACTCGCCTTTTGTGAGTTCTATTTTTTTTTTTTTTTTTTTCCAATATACATTTTACATTTTACGCAAAAGAAATAATCAATATAATATTATTAATTAATTAACATTTAAATAATTTAATTCCTTTATCGCATAAATGCCATTTACTTAAAAGCATTTTAATACACCATAAAATACGTTATAGTCACATATTTACTATAGAATATCGATAAGTGTGGAATTCTTATATTTTTATGTGTTAAGTTTAGATATCTTTCAAAGCTTCATTTAAATTTTATTTATTGCACATTTATTCTATATCTTACGTATACTAATTATTCTTTAATACCATATTCTGTTTTCGAGCATTATGCTTTGGAAAATTCATTTGATACTTAATCACTAATTTCCAAGTTAAAGGTTGCTTAAGATAATATGGATCTCAATTTCGTGGTTTAAATTGCGCTTACCAAATATTTCAAATGGCTCCGCATTCACTTAGGAGTGAAAGTATCGAAGTAGATTGCTTTTTCATAAAACTTTTCATTAAATTGGCCGTTAGGACCACAACTTTTCATAATTGGTTTAGGTCGCCATCTTATCATACAAAATATAGAGCGCTGTCCGCCGCCTAACCATAAGACACCCCGGTGCTGGCATTGGTCATAGCTTCCTTCTATCATAAGATTGCATCAAAAATGCCGAGCATTGGCATTCATCTACATAATAAAAATTCAATCTACCACTCCACCCTCTCACATAGATAATTTAGTAGCTTCCTTGTTTATTCTTTATCATAACCACACTTACTCCCATATAGACTTGTCTTATTCCCTTTAAGTCTTTTATTCCATAACTGTAGCTTACTATTATAGATATACACAATGATGAGACCGCGATGGCTGTCTTACTAGTGGAGCTTACTTGTCATGTCTTGTGTGGATGGCCAGAATTTTTTTGGCATTGTGTGCCTAGTGGTTATTATGGTATGGAAACCAATTTTCCACCGTAAATAAATCTGGGTTTTTGATGATCCAAGGTTAGCGGAACCCAACTAGGGCACAGGCACATACGGATGTAGTATGGACCAGTTTATATGGTGGGGCCGAGGATAAAGTTTCCAATGAACGAGATATGTAGGATGTCGCTTGTCAATGGGTATCGTTAAAAGTGGGCGTTATGTCTCAAGTATTTTTTGTGACCATTTTCAAATTGCCATTGACTCATTTAAAGCTCATACTTAATATTCAGTCTTGATGTATCATTCCTGATTAATTGATCTCAAGAGAGCTCGCGCAGTTGTACACGTGCTTTGTCTAAACTGAAGCTTGTGCTCCCTTTCCACCCGCTGCCCATACTCCACCAGCTCACCAAACATCAAAAAATCCCTCCTGTCTTTTTTCTCGTGTTGGTGTTATTTGATTGTGGGGTGGGTTGAAAGCGAATCACTTCTGTTTCCCCTTTGGAGTTTTTAGACAATCAAGAATAGTTCTCTTTAGAAAGCCTGCTAACCCGTAGTTTGTGCTTTTTGGAGGTGGTGTCGTGGATTCGTAAAATTAGAGTTTGCTTAAAATAGTTGGTGTCTACCTCAGAATTTCCCTAGGTAACTTACAATTCAATTCCTAATGCCTATATGCTAATAGGCGTCTTAAGGCTTGTTTGTTGGTGTTTCTAATAGGCCTTCTGGTTGGGATGTGATTTGCCGACATTGATTATACTTTTAATGGCAACACCTGCTATCCGTAATGTTTTAGTGACTTTTCAATATAACCCGAAACTGCGTCTTGCCTTGAATAGGACACTGCAATACTGATTATGCTGACTGCGCACGTGTTTTTGCATAGTTGTATGTGCTAACATGATGATGTTTCTATTTCCATCGTGAGTGTCTAGGGTGTTATGGATGTAGATGTGATTGTCTAACAGTGGCCGAATACTAATGCGAAGCCAGTTTTCATTAACTATGCAAAGCAACCTCATCTCAATGGATTTATTACACTATATCTTGGGCAGAGTAATTCATGGCTTTGAAGTCCTGATCTCATGTTGAGAAGTGTGTCTTGGCTATTGACCTTGCTAAGATGTGCATAATTATTTTCCTGTTTGATCTTGTGTTTATCCTGTCAGAATTATTCTAGACATGTAAGTTTGTGGACATTAACACAATAAAAGTATGGCTTAACTCGATTTTCTTTTCCAACATCAAATAAAGCATTATTGACTGCTATTTGTTTTTGTGCAGACTCAAATCAGACCAGGCGACGAACCTCTTGCGCGAGATAAGGTATTCAATAGGTGACATATACATGCTAAATCCAACTTGCTGGCTAGTAGGATCTTGGAAATGTCTGGTTGTATGCATTTTTTGGGAAATAAAAAAAAAATAAAAAAAAAAAAAAAAAAACACTGTTATGTTGGCATGATTGTAACAATGATTTTTGTTGTTTATCGAATATCAAAAAAAAAAATTGAGACTGCTGATGTGACCTGCAGTTTTAATGTGGGCTGAGCATTAGATTATATTGTTTGTTATAAATCATGTAACATTTGAAGACTAGTTTTATTTCTGAATTTCTGGGTGTGATTTAATAGTTTTGAATTTGTTACGGTATGAAGAGCTCTGTTATTACATGCTATAGTGTTTTTCTGCTGGGTGATGATCGGGTAACGGTTACTAGTGTTCTCTTTTCTGCTGAAGTGTTACATGGGCTGTCCGTCCAGTGTTAGACCTAGTTTTATCGGAGAAAAATAAAATTAATAAGTAAAGCATAAGATAACAGCTAAACACAATTTGGCTTATGCATTTGTTGCTGCAGCCATGTTACCTTTTTGTAGGCTTTCCTACTAAGGCAATATGTATTTTTTTTTAAAAAAAAAAAAAAGAAAGAAGAGGCAGTACTATGGTCCCAAGGGCCTAAAGTGGAGTCACTGGCTCACCAGCCCACTTTTCTGAGTGCTAGTTGTAGTGACATCGGATCGAGTTAATCGGAGAGAACGCAACTCAAATCTTCTCGTGGAATAGTCCCTTCCGATTTATCAACACACGTCAGGTCACACCTCCTCAATCATGAAACGCAAAAACAAGGCGCTAACCCCTAGGGTTTCAAAATACCGTGCATTTTCGTGTACGGTTTTTGTGTTCCTCTTCTGCCAATTAAAAATAATAACTCTTGGTTTTGTCGGTTTTTCCCCACTCTTTCCCTTTTTTGTTGTCTAGGGGGGGGGGGGGGTTCTGGCTTTTTTTTGCAACATGGCCGATGGAAGGACGAAACCAGTTGTAGATACTATGTTGCAAAGCCTAGTCCAAAGTTGCCAAGTCTCTCAAACTAGCTCATTCGCATCCTCCACCTGTTCAAACCCTGACGAGATATCGCTGTAAATGAAGCCTTTGATGCCGCAATGGGAGTTGGATTTGGTCTCGAGTATGCTCTCCGCTTCTCAGCGTGATTACTTGTATTGCGACCCAATATCTGTGGTGGTCTCCTACTTATGTGATGTCGTGAGTATCCCGTCAAACGCCAACCAGGTACTTCTCATCATTACATTCATACTCCAATCACCCGATCTCATTTCTGTTTCTTGTTTTGATTATGGTAGTGTAGGAGGTATATGATTCATCTTCGGATATAGTGTAGTATAGCTTTGTGGAGTGTGGAATAGTTATTTTTTTTTTTTGTCCAGTTCCATGGAAAGTTTGATAAAGAAAGCGTGCTTTAATTTTTGCCTAACCTATCCATATGTTGGGGGAAGTGTGTATTTCAGTGTTAATTATATGAATTTGTGTTGGGATATCGCTTTGCTAATGTGGCGAGCATTTTGTTCCTTCTGTTTACTTTTGCTATTGTGTGAACATTTTTTTTTTTTTTTTTGTTTTCTTCGATTTTTTTTTTTTTTTTTTTGTTTTCTTCGAAACATTGGGGTGCCATCGTTGACATTTTTATTTCTTCCTTCGTCGTACTTTTCGTTGACTGCGAGTCCTGTTGGATTATGTTAAATTGCATCCTCAGGATAAAATTTTTTCTTCACCCTAAAGCTTAGAGGTTTGTGATTATTCGACTGTTAATTTTTGTTAAGGGAATGAACCCCTTGTCTATTGATTTGCTTTACTTAGAGGACATTTATTGCGAGATACTATTCCCGCACATGAACTGAAACGGGCCCTACATTTTTCGCTAATCCTGTGTTTAAATCTAGGACGATGACAAAAAAGATTGATATTGTGGTTGATATGATTCCTTGTGTAAAATAATACTTTCAATTCCTGTTTAAAATAATAATAATCATATTTTCACTTGATTCCTAGCTTGCTAGTACTAGTTTATTAAGATCTATGGGAATAGTTGTTAAACGAAATCTAAGTGGCAATCACTTCCCAGAATTAGATAGTTGCAAGCATATCTAATTGCATGGAAAGTGTCACCTCGCTGCATTCTTATTTTTTGGTAAGCTTTGAGTTTCGTTTGAGTAGTAGGTTGATAAGTTTTTATACGGGTCTACTGTGTAGCATAAAGTCTGTGGTACTTGTCTGTGTCCTTGGGACACTTAATTAAATAGTGTATATGTAGTTTTTGTCAGTTCAAGCTGATGAAATAATCGTAACAGGGTATCAACATGCTTTTGACTGGCGATGAGCATTGCATTGGCAGATTGGTGGAGGATTTGCGTTTTCAAATTGAATCAACTTCAGTTAGTGGAAAGCACTGCAAAATATATAGAAAAAATGTCCCTCTTGAAGATGTGGAGCATCCATCTGACTGTTATAGCTCTGTCTTCTTGCAAGATACTAGGTTGTGCATTGCATGCATACTTTTATCTTACTAACCTTTCTTTCTTTCTTTTTTTTCTCCATTTCAATATTCTAAAATAATTGAGCTTTCTGTAGCACAAATGGGACATATCACAATTGGAAGAAATTGAGTAAGAGGAGCCCTGAATCAAAAGTCCAGCATGGGGATATTATATCATTTGCTGCTCCTCCTCAGCATGGTAATAATGCATTCTCTTCCCCTATGTCCATTTTAGGGGCAGATAAAAATGTTTCTTACTTCTTCAAATGCTCTCTTCATCTGTTAATTCAGTTCATTTCTGAATCTTTTATTTATGTTGTATATTTGAGCATTTCAGTTATATTTTACTGTTTGTGTGTGATGTTAATGCTCTTATGCGTTTAAAGTTTCTGTCTCTGTTTTATTTTGCATTATGTTTTATCTATACTCTTTGTTAACTGATCCTGCTTCCCTGTGCGACATTACTTTGAAATTCCTAAAAAACCATTGTTATTAGTAAATCTATGTTTAAGCAACTTTTTCTCCATCTTTATTAATCAAACATTTCAGCCCCAACCTTTAAGGTTGTAATAACTCATAAGGTTTCAGTGAGTTAATAGTGATGTTAAAGATAAAATTTAAGGCACATAAATAAGCATGTGCCTATGCTATGTAGATTTTAATTGAACGTGTAAAGCTGGCTTTTTCATTGTTTGGTTTTTAAACCATGGATTCTGGAGAATCTACAATTTTTAGTGCTTCATTTTTATCTGGTACATGGTTGCAGAACTTGCATTTGCATTTGTATATCGAGAAGTTCATAGGTCTACTCCTTTGATGGAAGGGACAGCTGCTAAGAGAAAATCAGGTACGTTCATCAATTTATCATTTATATATACACTAAACAATTCATGCTATCTTACTTTACGATTTTCTTTTTATCAAGTTGCATATAAATTTGATTGCACATCACCTGCTGTGGTGGTCTTACAAAACTTTGAAGACATCAGAAGTACTAACTAACAAATGAATTCTTGTTCTCTTGTTGGGAGAACCATGATGTGACCATACCAAATGACCACCGTAACATACTGTTAACCTTATAAAACACTTCTTCAGGTCATATTCATAAATAATAAGTTTGGTTTTATTTTATTTGAGTGTGCAGAGGAGATTGTCTCTGAAAACAAGAGACTAAAAGGTATAGGAATTGGTGCTCCTGAGGGTCCTATATCTCTTGATGATTTTCGAAGCCTTCAACGTTCAAACACGGTATAATTAATTTAAATCATATTTATAGTCATTGAAAAACTAGTAAATTCTTTGAGGAATCATAACTCTTAAAATTTATGATGGAATTTGTGTCCCTATACTATATTCAGGAACTGAGGAAGCAATTGGAAAGCCAAGTCATTACAATTGACACATTGCAGAATGAGCATCGAGCAACTATTGAACGCCACGAAAATGTATGCTCTTCAGTTTTTTTTTTTTTTTTAATCTGTTTGAGTTTCACAAAAGGTAATGGTGATTTAATCTGGTGGAGGGATTTAGTATTTTTCTTGTTTGAAAGAGAATTTTCTGTTCCATTTATTGGATCAGTGTGTAAGCTTGTATTATGAGTGGGAAAAAATGTGGCATAACGGAATGAGCCAAGTAATATCTTGCTCCATACAAGTTTTTACCAATGAATTAATTTTGAAATTGCAAAAAAAATTATGGACTTCAGTGTTGTAAATATCATGGCTGTGCAACTAAGAAGTATTTATGCGCTCGAGTCTTTAGAGCAGCCACTTAATACTAAATTCTAATGGTTGTCACAGTCCCTTCCCATGACCCTACTTCAGTGGAAGCATCACTGAGTATTGCTTTTATCCAGTGAAATACTATCTGATTCATGAGATTTTCATCTGGACATCTAATTTTCATTTTTTGCATTAATTAGTCAATTTTATAGATGTTATTGCTTACATGTTTTATCAACCACTCATTCTTTGATTTGACCAACTATTTCTGTGCGTTATCTCAACTTGAGGTTTGTTCTGTTTCTGCAGGAGATGCGAGAGGTGAAAGAAGCTGTTGCAAAAGTTTACCTTGATCAACTCAAGGAGTTGCAAACTGTGTTGGATGTGAAACAGAAAGAGCTTTCGGAAGTTAATAGAATATCAGCTGAAAGAAAGCATGACTTAGAAGACCTCAATGAAAGACTTGCTGCTTCCAGACAGTCATGTATTGAAGCAAATGAAATAGTGAAGAGGTGAGGAACATTGATGTTGAACCTAGTTTTCTCATGCTCTGAATATTCAAATTCAACAGTAAACCAAATATGCCAGTGGAAGCTACATCCTCATGGAGAAATTAAATAGAAATAGAGAGAACACTTTCACATCTTCTTAACCTGAAGTGGCTGGAGAGATGAAAGGTTTCTTTGATACAACTAAATAAAAAATTACTAAACAAACCTAGGAAATATAATTCGTTTATGTTTCCCTTTCTTAGAATGTCTTTTCATAAGTATGAGTTATGAACAGGTCCGTCTTTCTTAGATGTACTTGGTTCATGATCAGGACTCAGGCCATCATTTAGTAATGAGTATATACTGCATCAAAGCTGCTTTTGGTGATAAATGGTATCATTCCTGTACTAGTAAAAGCACATATCAATTCAATGCTTTTGGATGGCGAAGATGGTTACGTCTAAGTTTGAATCTTACCAAGGTTAAGAAAGAAAGAGAACCCAACTGTGATATGCATATCCCTTACCTTTTTGCTTGGTATAGCTTGAGTTTCAGTGCAGAATAGTACTTCGGTATTGCAGACACTGATGGTTACAGAAATTTTTAAGGAATGGTTAAAAGATTGTAAACTCTTGCATTTTTGTTTTCAGCCACAAGGCATCTATTTCTGAGCTTGAGGCACAATTAGAAGAAGAGAGAGATCAGAGAAGAGAAGAGCGGCAGAAGGCTGCTGCTGATTTAAAGTTAGCAGTGCAGAGAGTTCAGTCTGAGGCTCAAGAGGAAATCAAACGACAGACAGATGCTGCGTCTCAACAGGAGAGAGAATTGCTAGAGGAAATCAACAAGCTTCAGGTTGGAAAAACTTTTTATGGTTTTAAATGTGTTGTTGCATATTTGTTTTGTATCAGAAGCTAGAAAAAGTTGAATTTTCTGCACTTGTATTCAGGAAAGGGAGAAAAAATGGTGTTCACAAGTGGAGACTTTGAGGCCGAAATTGGTATGATTAATTTTATCTTGATATGATGCATTCATTATTTGTATGGTTTGATATAAATGTACTACTTTTATTGTCTTTGCCAGGAGGAAGCCAGGCAAAAGTTGGTTGTTTCTGATAATAAGGTTCGGCAGCTAGAAGCTCAAGTTGCTGGAGAGCAACTGACCTCTGCTAATGGAAGAAAAGTAACAACACCTTTTAATGCTTCTTTATATGTTGTCATATTTAATATTGTTTTCCCTATCCTGTTTCAGTCTCTATGATGGTGTGGACAGTACTGGGCCTGATACTTCTTTTCATGTATTATTTGAGCAGAGAGTTGAGGAACTTGAGCAAGAAATAAAACAACTGAGGAAAGAGCTTGAGAGTGAGAAGGTATATATGTAAATTCTCTTCAATTTCTTTGATTGTTGATTATTAAATGATGATTCCCTCTAAATGCACAAGTGACACTGCCATAGACACCATCACATTCCTAAATGCAAGTAAATCTTTTATTTCAATTCCAAAGTCAGTGTGTCAGATGTTAATTTTGCTACTTCATGTCACTAACTGTCCTAAATTTACATTCTGCTAATTTTGCAAATGGTTAAACGGATAAATTTCCCAATGCTATAAGTTCATTGTTTTGATACTATCATGGTTAGGAACCCATTTGCAAGGGTAAAGAAGACTGATGTTTCTTGTTATTATTTTGAGGTTCTTTTTTTGGTTCTTTCCTTTTTTTTTTTTTTTTTTTTTAGAGTTTCAAGATCCCTGAAGGCTCAAGAGGAAATCCAAACGACAGGATCAGATGCTGCCGTCTCAAACAGGAGAGAGAATTGCTTTGTATAGTTGGTAGAATCGTAATGCAAAAGGTAAGGGGGATCATAGAGAAGCGTTGAGAAAAACTGTCTATTTATGGTTTTAAATGTGATTGTTTGGCATATATTTGTTTTTGTAGGAGGTACGTTGGATCAGGGTGCATATCAACGAGGCCGGGCTGAGCAGGCTCCTTGTAGTGCCGGTCAGGCCGTGGGATTGGAGTGGACGTCCGGGGCGTGGTGGTGCCAGATTCGTGCCAGAGTGGAGAGAGACGTCAGTATAGAGATGAGTCGAAGGAGGTACTTCTGCAGCGTGTAAAATTGCGCAGCGAAGGAGGAGAAACAAATGTGTATCACATTAGTGGAAGACTTGGGAAGGGGAGCCAGAACGTCCTCGAGTGTGGCCGATAGGTCGGATGCAAGTATTTGTTATCGTTGGAATCAATGAAGTGGCATTGCATCGTATTTTGTATGGTGATATACAATGGTACTACTTTTTAATTGTCGTTGCAGGAGGAAGAGGCGCGGAGAGGGGCCGCGACAGAAAAAGAAGGTTGGTTGAGTGTATCGATAGCATGATAGATTAACAGGGGAACGAGTTGAGATCAGGCGAGGTCAGAGCGCATTAGAAAGCTTTAAAGGTTTGACTGGAGAGGCACACCTGACCCTTCTGCTAATGGAAGAGAAAGGATAACAAACACATTTTGAAATGGCTTCTTATATGTTTGTCATATTTATATTGAGGTTTCCTCAAATCACTGTCTATACCAGTCTCTAGTGAATGGATGTGGACAGGCTCAGACATAGGGCCTGATACTGAGCGTCGTGGAGTTATCGGAATGTGATGTGGAAGGAGGTAGGATGTAGGTTGAGTGATGGAGACCGAGAGAGTTGAGGAACTTGAGCAAGGGAGAATGAAAACGGACGACTGAGGAGACGGAGAGCTAGCTTGCGTTAAGGAGGTGGAGGAAAGTTATAAGTGCGAGGTGGTTAATTCTGATCTGTGGACACGCGCAATGTGTGTTCAGTCGGTAAGACTGGCTGTAGGGTGTCTCGGTTTAGTTGGAGTGTGTATCCTAGGGATAAACATTCGATAAGATGATTGCATTAATACTCTCTAAAGAAATTGGCACAAGTACGAAACTGCTGGAGCCATGAGAGACACCATATCACATTCCTGCAAGAGTGCAACCAGATAGGCGGTAAAAATCTTTTATTCAATTCCAAGCTGCGTGAGTGTGTGGTGGAGCAGGAAATATGGTTAATTCAATACGCTCAGCTTCATTGTCACTATTCCTGTGCCTAAAATTCTACATTCTGCTAATTGCAAATGGTTAAACGATACAATTGTCCCAATGGTGAATAAGAGGTGTCATTGTTGTTGAGAAGTTACTTATCTATGGGGTTAGACGAACCCGGAGTTTGGCAAGGGAGTAATAGAAGACTCTGATGTTGTCTTGGGTTGTTATGTATTTTTGGAGGGTTCCTTTTTTTGGGTTCGTGTCCTTTTTTTGTATGTTTTGTTTTAGTTGTTTAGTACTGGGTTTATATGTGAGTATCTGAGGTGAAGGGAGTTGGACAAGGGGGGGGGGGGAGGTAATCGTGTCTGGCAAAGTGAATACAGAGTCTGGCTGGCATTATGTGTATAAAAGGTGTGTTTATTTTTTAAGAAAGCTGAGATTTCTTGCTTTGCACTGTTGGATGGCAGGCAGCGGCGTGAAAGAAGCCCATGGGCTAAGTTGTCTGCCTTTGAAGCTGGAAGGATAAGAATATCTGGCCGGAATGCGGGATGCTTGATTTTGAGAGAACGCTGGCAGCAGAGTTTAAACGATAAAGAGGGCCCTCGAGAGTTCGAAATGTATAATAAGATCTCGCACACTGCATGAGAGTAGCGTGTCCGAGGTTAAACATTGAGCTACGGAGAGATTGTGTACCTTGATACATGAGAGTATCTTGGAAGATGTGAGCCGAGCGTGTGTGATTTTGTCGCCCCTTGTTATTTCTTGAGGTATAAGGCTACCCTAAAAGCATGTATTATGCTCCACCACAGAACTGGTCAACTGTGGTTTAATGGCATGCATCTAATTGGAATGATGACGACGTGTGTTGTCTAAATACAAGATATTAAGTTTTTTAAACTGGCACAGCCTAGAGGGGAGTTGCAGATCTGGCTAGAAGGAATTGCTATCACTACTATATGAATTGCTTTTATAGAAAAAGTTATTATAGTATTTTATGATTCGACCGCTAGAATCAGTTGATTGATTTGTGGCTAAATACCCTTTCCCGCTCCCTTTCTCCCTTGACATGTAACGTGTTTCTTATAGTTCAAAAATTTATCATGACGGTTTTCATTTTGGCCATTTACAAATTTGTTCTATATTGGGGGGGGGAGTATCTTGCAAATGAATATCTGCTGGCATTATTATAAAAGTTGATTTATTTTTAAGCTGAGATTTTCTTTGCTGTTGGTAGCAGGCAGCGCGTGAAGAAGCATGGGCTAAAGTGTCTGCTCTTGAACTGGAGATAAATTCTGCAATGCGGGATCTTGAATTTGAGAGACGGAGATTAAAAGGTGCTAGAGAAAGAATAATGCTTAGGTATGAATTCAGCCATTGATGTGTTGTGTGTATATATCTTAATTTATTTGTTTATTTTCCCCCTTGTTATTTTTGGTATAAGCTACTAAAGCATGTATTATGCTCACCACAAACTGTCACTGTGTTTAATGCATGATCTATATTGATGATGACGACTGTGTTCTATACTAAGATTATTATTTTTAACTGGCCAGCTAGAAGTTGCAGATCTGGCCTGAGGAATTGCTATCAACTACTATTATGATTCTTTTATAGAAAATAGTTATTTGAGTTATGATTCGAGCTATCAGTTGATGTTGTGGGCTTAAATATCCTTTCCCTCCTTTTCTTGACTGTAACTGTTCTTATAGTTCAAAAATTTATATGACGGTTTTCATTTGCATTTACAATTTGTTCTATATTGGTAAAAAATTGTTGGTGGTTTCTGCTAGGAGTCAATATGGGACTGTTACGTTTCTGCTTAAATTTAATAGATGCAGATTGATTCTGGATGGATATTACATATCCATTGTTTTGTTTAATATCCCCTGTAATCAATTTTCTCCATAGTAATTCCTGTATTGTGCGCTTGATTCTGTGGCATTTGGATCTTTCTCTGCATCTGAAATATGTGCTCAATGGTTGGGATGATATAGTTGCATGTGAAAAAAAACTAAATTGTGCACATGTGAATAGTGGCAGTTTATATCATAGTAATACGTGGCAGCAATGCAGGGAGACACAGTTGCGGGCATTTTATTCCACAACTGAGGAGATATCGATACTGTTTGCCAAGCAGCAAGAACAACTGAAGGCAATGCAGAAGACATTGGAAGATGAGGAAAATTATGAGAACACATCTCTGGACATTGACCTGAATGCACCTGCTGAGGAAATAAATGGCACCCTGGTCAGAGAAAAAGAAACGAAACAATACCGAACCAATGGTGATGCAAAGACTAGCTCTGCTACTTCAGCTCAGAGATTTGATAGAGATCAGGCTACTGCTTCTGGTGTTGAAGCGAGTGTCACTGAGAAGCATGAGTGTGATATCAGAAGTCAAGGAGAACAAAATACCCAGGAAGAAGATTTTACAAGTGCCTGTCATGCTAGAGGCGGCTTTGGTTCTGACATTGATGGTGTTGGCACAGCTCCTGTTCTGGAAGTGGATGCCATAGGAACAGAGCAAGTTCTTGAAACAGAAAGCCCTGGAAGTGATCGGAATATTGATGTAAACAGGTGTGGCTCTTTAGCTGGGGATACTATGCAACTTGATGATGAAGCCCATGTACATGAAAGTGATGAGCACATTCAAACAAATTCTCAGGATGCTTTGCATGATTCCAAATCAAATAATCCTCTTGAGAATCAGAAAGCCATGGATGATACAGAACCAGGGGGCACAATCAGAACAGCCGACCTTTTGGCTTCTGAAGGTGTTGGGAGCTGGGCTTACAGCACTGCTCCTTCTGTCCATGATGACAATGGATCTCCTAAAGACAATGATGAGAACGGTGGGGTAGGGCCTCAGGATTCCAATATTCAGGTAGCTGAGAGTCAAAGCACACCATCTTCTGATGCAGCAGTTGTCAGACGGAATCATGAACGTCGAGCATTAAGTGAGATGATTGGAATTGTTGCACCTGATTTAAAGGAGCAGTTTAGTGCCATGGATAATGATTGTGATAGAGGAAAGGAAGATAAGGGTTCTACTTCAAGCTCCGATACAGAGGGTTGCTCTGAAAGTAATGGTCCTAACAGTGTCAAAGATGCATCAATTTCAGACACTGAAACCGAGGGCAGTGATGGAGCCAATGAGAATCAAAAAGATGACGCGATGGATGAAGATGAAGACACACAAGAAGATTCTCTTGGGTAGCAGAGCAGGTCTGCTAATACTAGACCAGAAAGCAAATTGTAAATAATGTTTGATTTCGACTCTTCCTTTTCCATCTTCCCCAAAATTTCTCGCTGTACTGTTTATTTTAGTGGATGTACAGCTGCCCTTGTGAGCAATAACCGGAAGCTAATTCGGAAATTAGCAAATTTGATGTAAATGCATTAATGGGCAAGTTCTAGTATCAATGGGCAGAGACTATTGTCAGATACTTAGTGATTGAAGCTGTAATTATTCATTTGATTTTGAGCCTCACTCGAATTCCCATCGAAGGCTGGTTCCGTTCTCCATCATTTCCTTTCTCTACCAGGCTACCACTGTTTATTATAGTAATTTTTGCTTTTTGAAAATATTGGATGGCTGAGATTTGAGTTCTAGTAGGCGATAACGGCTTTTTTTTATTATTATATTATTATTATATTCAAATTTAGTACGTAATGTATTTACGACGGTTGAAAAACCAAAGTTGTATTTGAATATATCCAAATAACTAATTAAATCAAATTTGAAAATCGCAAGACTTTGATTCCGTTGTTGACTATCTACTTGCGCAATAGAGCAACGTACCTAAACAGAAAACCAGTAAAGAATAGTGCCTAGTGGTCCAACTCTTTCATCAAATAGCTCAACCATTTCTGGTTTATATTCAAACGGAGCATCATGAGACGTTAAACCTCAGTATTTATACCTTGTATACAATTTTTTTTTTTTTTTTAGGATTTAAATCCGGATCTATGCATAAATTTCATATGAACTTATCACTAAATGAGCAATTTGTTGAGGGCTGGCAGGCTTTAGTAGAGCCCAGAAGCATGTGAAGTGGCTCAGACGGGGTTGGACAAAAAATCAGTATTACCATCATTATGCTTCTGCGTTGTGGAGAAGATGCCAAAAAGCGGTTCACTTTCCAAATAAATGAGCTACTCAATTACATTAACAAAACCGACAAACCAATTGAACCTAACAACATTGACTATTACTTCCTTCCTTCCTTCCTTCCTTCCATTCTCTTCTTCTCTCACCCCACCACTCCTTTTCTCCGGCTCTCTGTCTTCTCCTACTGGCTCCTGCTTGCCCACCACGTGACTTCCACGTGATTGCCTTAGTAGTACATATATTAATATAACAGGTGTTCATCGACCAACTCAAGAACGTTCAGCAAAAGAAAATAATAAAACAGTTATGCCAAAAAAAAAAAAAAAAAAAAACTTGACGGAAAAGAGTCGTCGTGTGAATAGTAGAGCACCTAACCATATTTGAGTTATATTCGTGAGTTCGAACGCTGTGACCTCACATCATATGAGCACGGATTAACCTCAGAGTATATTAATCTTGGACACGTGAGATATAATCGACGGTATAATTATTTGTTTATGATTCTTGTATTTTTATTTTCTTAGGGGAAAATTTAAAAGACTCCGGATCTATGCCAGGTAAATTTCATATGAACGTTGATCACTAATGGACAATTGTTCCGAGTGGGCTTGGCCAAGCAGTCTATAGTAGAGATCCCAAGAACGCAATGTGAAGTTTGGCTCAGACGCCGGGGGTTTGTGGACAGAAAATCAGTATACCATCATTATTCTGTGCTCTGCAGTCTGTGAGAAGATGCCCAAAAAGCGGTTCACCTTTCCCGCCAAATAAATGAGGCTACTTCAGAATTACATTCAGGACATAAACCGAAACAATACAGAGTTGGGAACCTAACAACATTGACTAACTTCCTTCCTTCCCATCCCTATCCCCTTCCGAGTGGCTCTCTTTTCTGCTACGACCCCACACTCTTTGTTTTCTCCGGCTCATCTGTCTTGCTCCCTACTGGCTCCTGCTTGCCCACCCACCCGTTTGACTTTCCCACCGTGATTGCCCTTAGTTAGTACATATATTAATATAGACAGGTGTTCACTCGACCAACTCAAGAAGTTGCGAGCAAAGAAAAATAATTATAAGACAGTTATAGGCCGAAAAAAAAAAAAAAAAAAAATCCGAATTTACCATTTACGAAGTAATGCATGTGTACATACTATTCTTAATTCATAGATTAATTTATAGAAATTTAGGTAACGGAAAAGGTAATGATTAATAACGGTTTCACTGTTGTCAGTATATGTACTTTTGCCTTGAATGGTATATCAAGCTCGCAAATGATTACGCCAAGCTAAGAGAGCAAAATTACTACTTACGAGGGATTGTGGATGTGTTTCGAAACTTTAAAACGAATTTACTATAAAAAACAGTAAATAAAAATGGGTGAGGATTTAAGGACACGGGCAACCATTAAATAATTGTCTTAATTAAAAGAAGGCCAAGACACTATGGAAAGGTTATAGCATATATATATGAATAAGGTATGAAGCTTATATATGCGTTATCCAAGTTGCTACTTTTCTGCTAGGTGAAAGTTAATTATCTGCGGTGGGTTGTCATAGGTTTTTCTATTTATGTTCCTAAGAATTATTAATTAATTTAATTAATTGAGAAATATTGGCACTTGTTTTAAGTTGACTTTTAAAATTAATTAAGTTTCAGAACAATCCATGCTTATCAGGGAGTCTAATTTGAATTTACTATTATTCTGAAAAAAGGGGCCTAGGTGATTGATAGGTTTTGACCTTCCGTGGTCCACTAATAGATCTAAAAAAAAAAAAAAAAAAAAAAATCCGATTTACCATTTAAGCTAATCAATGTGTACATACTATTCTTATTCAAGATTAATTTAGAAATTAATAACGGAAAAGTAATGATTAAAAGTTTCACTTTCAGTATTGTATTTTCCTGATGAATATCAACGCAAATGATTACGCATAAGAGAAAATTACTACTACGAGATTTGGATTGTTTGAACTTAAACAATTTACTATTAAAAAAATAAAATAAAATGGTGAGATTTAGACGCAACATTAACTTAATTTCTTATTAAAAAGCCAAGACACTTGGAAAGGTTATACATATATATATATATATATATATATGCTTGACCAGTTGTACTTTCTCTCAAGTGAAGTTAATTACGAGGTGGGTTTGTATAGTTTGTTCAGTATGTCCTAAAATTAATTAATTAATTAATTAATTAAATATTGCATTTTAGTTGACTTTAAAAAATAATTAAGTTCAGACAATCCCATGCTTATAGGTATTTAATTTGGAATTTACTAATTCGAAAAGCATAGTACTTATAGGTTTTGACTTCCTAGGTCCACTAAATCTAACTAATTATGAATGGATAAACTCAAACCTACCAAATTTTGACTTTTTGGTATCTGTTCCTTTCAAACGTGGTGAGCTAACTTATGTAATTATTATCCCATAGAGAAACTTCACCTTCTCTTTTTACTTTCCCCTTTCAATTTTTTTTTCTCCTTCCATTAATCTAAATTTTAATTTAGTAATCATATACATATACACTAAGAACAATTAATTAATTATATAATATATACATGTGAAAGACCAAAAAATATTTGCAATTAATTTCATACCAGATTAATTGAACTCAATAAATAAATTTGGAATTTTATTGTCTCCTAAAAGTTGTTCAAAGATATAATAATTCATGCAATCAAATAATTTATGTCTTGCCCTTTTTATGTGAACCCTGGACTGAATGCACCTTCCTTAACACATTTCAGGAAGACTAAAAATGTCTTTTTCTTGGCAAATTAGGAACTTTACGTTAACTAGAAGAAGCTAAAGGCTTTAGGAACTGAAAAGGAAATTTCTAAAATTCAAAAAGGTTATTGCTACACTTACATTGGTTTGGTTTTGTATGGTCCTATTCTGTGTGCCAAACCCTAAGGCCTCTCCCAATCAATTTGTATTAGTCTTTTAGACTTTGTGAAATACTAATCAAATAGGCCAAAGAAAAACAAGGAAGTCGCCTTTTTCTCATCTTCCCACTGCATATTCTTCCATCTGTTTTTATTTGCTGGCCATTGTAATCATGGGTCCTTTCAGCCATCATTACAATGGAAAGCCTTCTCTCTCTTTTCTTTCATATGCAATTACACATTACTTCATGTCTTCTTCTATATAATTCCCATTTTCTTTCTCATGGGTTCTTCACCCATACCTTTCCATCTTCCATTGCCCTTTTTCTTTTCCTCTCTTTCTTTCTCAGAGTAAAAGAAGCCAAAAATGTGTACTAACTCTTCAAAACTGAGCATATGCGGTTCCTTTTATGTTGCTCTTAGCAATCCAAAGCTATTAAGAGGAAGAAACCGCCCGTGTCGCCGATTATTAAGCTGCAGGTTTTGTTTTTTTTTTGCTTTTTCCATTCTTTCTGTGTTGGAGGTTAAAAATATCATGATATTTACTGTTACATATGTTGCAGCAGAAGAAGGAGGTGGTTAAAACAAGCAAAGGAGAATAAAATGGCAGTTGCAAAGAAAGAGATGGAAATCAAGAACTTGAAACTTTATATGAAGAACAAAAGCATCATAGAAGAGAACGAGAAGCTAAGAAAGAAAGCTTTACTTCTACACCAGGAGAATCAAGCCTTATTATTTCAGCTTCAAACTCTCAACAGTAAAAACCATTTACTATAATAATATGAGAACGTGAGAAGAAGAAGCGTAGGAAGGAAAGAGGGGGATTTATATATATTTAGTTTCTTTTCTTCTCTTACTTGATTAGGGATTCCTTATATTAATTATTTAGTCTCTTCATGCTGTTTTAATCTTTTTCTCTATCTTTTGTAACTTTCCTTCTTTCTTTTAACCTACAAGCTTAAGCTATTTCTGCATTTATGTGACAAATAAATTTGAAATATAGTGTACTTTATGAAATGTTATTGTATTTAAATAATTTAAAGAAAATAAAAGTATTTAAATTTAAATTTCTAGCAGAGACAAAAACTTGAAAGCTGATTAAATAATTCAATGCAATGGCATAGCATAGCATAATATTAATAGCATACAGGCATACAGCTCTCGAGGGTTCAGGTCGACGAAACGAAACACTGGACATGTTCGAAAAAGAAGTAAAGACAGTTGAAGTGGGAGATAAAGCCCAATTGCTAGGTTAAGACAGAGGGCCCAAGCATGTCCGCGTTCGTTGCAAATTAAAATTCAGCCACGTATTGTTTGGGCTTATTAGATTGAAAGCCCAATATGAACTGGGCAACATCAGAGCTTGGAAAAGCCCATGATATAAATTAAGAATGATTTGGTGTCAAATGCTGTTATATATTTCTACATTCGCAATAAAACGACAAATCAAATGCGAAATAGTTAACAGACTTGTCATTTTCTAGCAGATCCTGTGCCTTCAAATGTCATGTGTTTGATTACATGAAAAGTGTTTGCTACCAAACTATTGAAACTAGCAGTTAAAAGTTCAAACGACAAGAATCGGCTATTAAACGACAATAATCAAAAGAAACCGCCACCGGCAACTGAATCAAAACGAGCCCACTTCCCTACGAAGTTTTGTTGAATCGTGCAAAGTGTATAGGCCGATAAATTGGCGCACTTCATATCACAGACCTTCCAAGTTCTAACGAGGTCAAATAGTCACGGAAACAAAGTAAAAAGGAATAAAAAAAAAAAACCCGTAAAATTTCAAAGTTTTCCAAGGAAGAAGTGGGTCCAGCTGCTGTGACTGTCTCTGTCTCTTGCAAGGCCCTCAACATCTGTGGGTCCTATCTTCATCATCACTTTTGTTTGAACTTTGTATCCACCGAAACGCAGACACATCCCCAAATCTAGCTCACTTGACCTGCCTTTCTCAATCCATTTCTCAATCTGTAATTTTAATTTATACTCCTTTGTTTCTTGCCAATTAAGAGGAATAATAGAAGAGCAAGAGAGATAGTAACTAATGGCCTCGAGTGCTTATAGAAATGGCACTACGAGAGGATCAGTGAAGCCGCTTGCTGCAAATCTCAAATCATCTTCTTTTAAATCGAGACTACATCCTTCGTCGTCAACGGGTGCCGTCCTTCGCCGCCATTCCTTCAGCCCAAACGCCGCTGCTTCTGCTGGAGATGATGGAGGTTACTTTGTTTCTTAAAATTTTCACTTAACTAAATTTTGGAACATCCTGTGCTGTTGTTGTATCTCGAATTAGCTCATTTTAGGAAATGACGCGATCTAGAAACCTGTTTGCTTCTTCTATTCTCATTGTTGTTTATTTGGATAATGCGATTACGAAGGGCTTTTTGATATTTATTGCGTTTAAACTTTAAATTAGCCATTTGCATTCTCACATGTGAGAAAAGTGAATGTCGAGCATCAATAGCTGTCCGTGTTACAGATTAAAGGTTAATATTTGCAAATGATAGTAATAGACTTGTGCTGTTGTTCCTGATACTGATTCATTGCTTTCGGTTTGGGGTAGTACCTGGAAGAGTTCGAGTCGCGGTAAGGTTGCGGCCGAGAAATGCAGAAGAGTTGATCGCAGATGCTGATTTCGCCGATTGCGTGGAATTGCAGCCAGAGGTGGTTTCAGCCTCTACAATTCTCATTTTATATTCTATACCTGTGCTTGGATATATTAACTTGATTCTAGTTTGTTTCTATCAATCATTTGGTCTCTCTCAGCTTAAGAGGTTGAAACTACGCAAGAACAACTGGGACGCAGACACGTATGAGTTTGATGAGGTCCTCACGGAATTTGCTTCACAGAAGCGTGTCTATGAAGTGGTGGCCAAGCCTGTTGTGGAGGTTCGTTCTTAGTAAGAGCTTCTATCTATATTTTAGATTGAAGTTTGATTGAATCCTTGTTAAACATCGTTGAATTCATTCAGCGATTCTCATTACTCTTCCTTTTCTCCAATTTCTTAGAGTGTTCTGGATGGTTACAACGGAACTGTGATGGCATATGGTCAGACTGGTACTGGGAAAACTTTTACTGTTGGACACCTGGGAGATGATGATACATCTGCTCGTGGGATCATAGTTCGTGCAATGGAGGACATTTTGGCAGATGTTTCTCTGGAGACTGATTCTGTATCAGTCTCATATTTGCAGGTTGTTAGTTTGTAGTTATTTAAAACACTTTTATGTTGATAGACTTTCCCCATGCTTTTTTGAAAAAATTAAAATTACCCCAATGATCTCCAGTGTAGCTAATTTTGTTCTTAACATATATCTATAGCTTTATATGGAGACCATCCAGGACCTCCTTGATCCAGCTAATGATAATATTACCATTGTTGAGGATCCAAGATCTGGTGATGTTTCACTACCTGGGGCAACTCTTGTAGAAATTAGGGACCAGCAGACTTTCGTGGAGCTGCTAAGGTTGGGAGAAGCTCATAGAATTGCTGCTAATACGAAAATGAATACTGAATCTTCTCGTAGTCATGCTATTCTCATGGTGAGTACTTCACTCTTTTTCTCTACTGCTCATGTGTCATCTTTCCATGGTAGCCCTTCTGATGAATGCTTAAGTCTGTTAGTGCAGGTTCATGTTAGGAGGTCAGTTGCAGGACGAGAAGATTCTTTTACTAGTGAAATTGATAGTTCTTCTCACTTGGTAAAACCTGTGAGGCCACTTGTTCGGAGGAGCAAGTTGGTCCTGGTAGATCTGGCAGGTTCAGAACGTGTTCACAAGTCAGGTGTTTATCAGAAAATCTAATATATTATAATCACCTTTAATTTTCTTAACAGTTGCCTTAACATATTAAACATGCTTCTTACAACTGCATGCCGATGTAAGAGGTAAGAAAAGTAAACGAGGATAGTTTTTCATGTACGTCTTAAGTCCTTTTAAAACTTGCATTGAAGATAACATCATGAAAATATGCTTGTTCATTCAATGTTTCAATGCCAATCAGATATATTCCTCTTTTGTGATGATAAGGAATGGATGTCTCATGGATACCTAAATAACCATTGTGTAAGAATATTGAATTTCTATTTTTTGTATATATTTTCACTCCACAGTCTATAAGCTTATGAGGCCACGGTGTAGTTTTGAGGATGAATGTTTTCCTAATTTTGTTCTGGTGCTTTTTGAGTTACTATTTACAAGTGTTGTGAACTTCTCTAATCCTTCTTTTGGCAGGAAGCGAGGGGCATATGCTAGAAGAGGCCAAGTCTATCAATCTCTCACTTAGTGCATTAGGCAAGTGTATAAATGCACTGGCAGAGAATAGCGCTCATGTGCCAGTTCGTGATTCAAAGCTTACTAGGTTGCTCAAAGATTCATTTGGAGGTGAGATTCCTTTCTTGTTCATATAAGTCAATATATGCTTACTGTTCTGACTGTGTCAGTTTCTCAGATGTTCAATTATCAAAGTATGTGCTATCATATCATTATAACAGTACGAGTCTTATATGTCAATGTGGAACGGAATCATCATATAATTGCTTATTTCAGATCTTCAAAAAGACCAACATGCATATATTTTGCTTTATCATGTATGATTTGACCTTTTTTCCCACTTTTCTGTCACTATTGAATGGCTTTTCTTTTACAGTTTATTCTTCTCGTTTCATCAAATTACAGGCACAGCAAGGACTTCATTAATAGTCACCATTGGCCCATCACCTCGCCACCGAGGAGAGACTACAAGCACTATATTGTTCGGGCAGAGGGTGAGCCCTTACTTTATAGTTTTTAATGTATGCACATTGTTAGGCGTTACATTTCATATCAAAGACCTTTTGTGATTTTATTGGTCTTATCTTAGGCTATGAAGGTTGAGAACATGTTGAAAATAAAGGAAGAGTTTGATTACAAAAGTTTATCTAGAAAGCTTGAAATACAAGTAGACAAGCTCATTGCAGAGAATGAAAGACAGCAAAAAGCTTTTGATGATGAAGTTGAAAGAATAAATCAAGAAGCAGAAAATCGTATTGCTGAGGTTGAAAGAAACTTTGCTGAAGCCTTAGAGGTTCGTTATATCTATGTCCATAATGCTTGTAAAGTTTGCGTTGTGAAATTCCAATCACTTATCTGCATGCATTCGTATTCATTTGTTATCAATGATTTGTATTCTGGCTAATGCTTTTTGTTTATGTAGTCTTAGAATGATATTATTATTTTTTTTTCCTTTGCGCTTCATGTTAAATTCGGATCTTGAAAAGAACTTTAGAAATGGAAGTTGTAAGTCAAATGCCTTGGCAACGGCTTTGTATTACCTTATCTGTAATCAGACTGAAGTCTCTGCGTTTCAACTGCTATAACCTCTTACTTGGCACATTTCATTTTTGGTATTATTATTTGCAGAAAGAGAGGCTAAAGTGCCAGATGGAATATATGGAATCAGTGAAGCAGCTGGAGCAAAAGATGGTGGCTAATCAGAAAAGGCATGATCATGATGGTTTTATCAGTGATAAATGTAACGGAGAGGTACCTTTCACTTATTTTTTGTTATTATTTTGCTGTAATTTGGGAAGTGAGTTTTGTTGTGGTTGACGATTATCAGGATCATTTTTGACATGAAAGATATTGATATTAAATCTCATATCTTGACTAAACTTATGAATCGCTTTTACTTTTGATATAAAGGAGCAATTGTCTAAAATCCCCTCACTACAATGAATTTCTGGCTTCCTGGTGTTACAGTTAACATTACTCCGTTATGTTTCTGCACCTATTGATGCATTTTGTTTTGCTTCTCATCATTGACTGGATAAATGTTTGGAATGTGATTTTTTTCTCCTTTCCTTCTTCCTTTTTTCAAGGTGCCGGGTGTTTCTTCTTCTGAGGAAGTTGCTGAGATAAAAATGCTGCTTCAAAATGAAATTCAGCTTAGAAAAACAGCAGAAGAGGAGGTTAACAAGCTTAGGAATCAGTTGGAGAATTTTATGCAGTCTACGGTATGGATTATGTGGTTTTGAAGGGTGTTGTGTTAAAATTATATGCTTCTGCCAATTTCTATGTCCTCTAGATTTTTTACTATTACCACTATGGTTTCCGCCATCTCCTGAACCGACAAAGAATTTAAAGGAAAATGTCTTTGGATTTGTGATCTACAAGGGGTTCTTTTCGTGTATTAGTCAGGTGGGGAGGCAGAAATTGTAAAATTTCACAGAATTCTGGAGGATGAAGCTCATACAAAAAAGAAGTTGGAAGAAGAAATTATGATTCTACAAAATCAGTTATTGCAATTGACACTTGAAGCTGACCAGGTACTTGGTTTAGAAATGTTAAGAAGCTCATTTGCTTATAATTGACTTTGTTATAATGAAGTGCTTGAGCTTTTGAATTGTGCTTATTGTCTGAAGTAAGTTTGTTTGCTTGGTTATTAGATGTAGTACTCCTGTCTCTCATTAGCTCCTGAATACTTGCATCAATATGAAAGCTTAAATATGAACTGTGAACTTTGAGTGTGTGTTTGTAGAAGAGGCGGTATCTTGACAGAGGTGGATCTAGAAATGCTTTTCCTGGTTTAGATTCTTTTATATCTCAAGCTAGGCATTCCCAGTTTGATGACACTGTGAATGGACAGAAGGCACCAATGGCTGCACTTTTTGAACAAGGTAATGAAAATATTTTCCCAAAATAATATGATAAAATTTTTAACCCCCATTTTTCTTATAGTTTTTATGATCAACAAATTTGACAGTTGGATTGCAAAAGATTTTGTCATTACTTGAGTCTGAAGATGCCAATACCCGAATTCATGCAGTAAAAGTGGTGGCTAATCTAGCAGCTGAAGGTTAGTAGTTTCTGTCCAAACCCCAACCCAAAAATATTGTTTTCTGATTTCCGGGCAATATATTTTTCTTGTTCAATGCTTGCAAAACTTTAGGTCATATTCTCATGTTGAATACTCTCCTTTAGAATGCCGACTTGTTGATATCAAGTCTGCCTAATCTTCATCTTTGAACTACTATTAGATAAAATTAACAATTTTACTATAAATATTATTATTATTATTTTTTTTTAATTTTCTCTCCCTTGAGCAATAGAGCTCCAGTATGGCTGCATTTGTTACTTTAACCCGTGTTCTGTATGTATGAAGCAGAAGTAAATCAGGAGAAAATTGTTGAAGCTGGAGGCCTTACTTCCTTGCTGATGCTTCTTAGAAACTTTGAGGATGAAACTGTTCGCAGAGTTGCAGCAGGTGCAATTGCCAATCTTGCAATGAATGGTAATTATTATTAGCCCTGATCTTGTCTTCAAGAGTACATTAGGCATATTTTTAGATGAGAGCTACTGCTTAAGGTCACTCTGGTTCTAACTGTTTTGTTTTCTATAATGTTTTTATAGAAGCAAATCAAGAGCTTATTATGGTTCAAGGGGGCATCAGTTTATTATCCATGACAGCAGCTGATGCTGAGGATCCTCAAACTCTCCGCATGGTGGCTGGAGCTATTGCAAATCTGTGTGGAAATGGTACCATGCTCCATTCCTTTATCATCTTTTTTTCCCTTTCCTCATTCAGTCCTTTTGCCGCAGTATTATTTTTTCCTCTCCTTTGTTGTTTTTGTGGTACTGAACCTGTTCAAACTCTTACACTGGATCCATTCCATGCTTGCATTGATATTCACGGTTACTTTTTGTTATCCCATGTGCCTTCTATGCCTTGCAGATAAGCTGCAAATGAAGCTGAGATCTGAAGGTGGGATAAAGGCCTTGCTAGGAATGGTGAGATGTGGGCATCCTGATGTTCTCTCCCAAGTTGCACGTGGCATTGCAAACTTTGCCAAATGTGAGTCACGAGCATCCACCCAAGGTTAGTCCTATGGTTGATGCCTGCAATTGGTGTAACTGGATTTTTTACTAAATCAAATGTAGAAATCAATAACTATCCATTACGTTGACACCTGCAGGAATAAAAGGTGGCGTTGGCAGATCGCTTCTTATAGAAGATGGTGCACTTCCATGGATCGTTAAAAATGCTAATAATGAATCTGCACCAATCAGACGCCACATCGAGCTGGCCCTTTGCCACTTAGCGCAGCATGGTAAGTGCAACGTCATCTTTTCTGTTGAGAAATTTTCTTTTCACCGCACTCCAGGAGACATAATATTCCTTCAATTTCAGAAGTAAATGCAAAGGACATGATTAATGGAGGTGCACTCTGGGAACTAGTTCGCATCTCACGGGACTGTTCTCGAGAAGACATAAGAAGTCTTGCTCGTCGAACTTTGAATTCAAGCCTTACCTTCAGAGCCGAAATGCGGCGTTTACGGATAGAGTTGTGAGTGTAGGAGTGATGGCTAGGGATCTTCCTGCACACATTTTCAGCAAATTTTCCTGTAAAGAAATGTCTGGTCTTTGTAATGTGCAACAGGTGTTTGAATGTTTAGCTAGCATATTAATAGTTGTTTCTGGATAGGATAACGAGCAGAAAGAGGATGAGGATGAAATTATATGAAACGATTTTGTAGCTGTAGTAGTTAGCTAAATTCTTTGTATGGCATTGCTTAATTTCAGCTTTGTAAATTTGACTAATCCTATTAGTAATCAATATCTCAATTTCTTCACAACTAATTCATATTTTAGTTCCAAGCTTCCTAGCCTTGGTTAAATTTTGCTTTTCAGTATTTGTGGGCCCGTGGTTCTTCTTTTACAAATTGAAGACCACGCTATCTCGTAGTAGTAGTACACAAGGCCATGGGCCCCTTATATCTTTTGTTTGGACTAGGTCGAATATTTTGTTGTAGACTGCTTGATTACTTTGTACTGATATTCTTCTTATATGGAAGTCTAAGAAGGAAACTGATCTCAATCTGCAGCTATTTTCAGATTTAGGACATTAAGTCAATAGGTATTTTTGTTTTTGTTTACATCACAAACTTTTGCCAAATAGCTTTACCTCAAAACATGAAAATGATAGCTCCTTTTTTTTTCTTTCTTTCCCTTTTAGACGATGCGATGGCTCCCAACCATCTGGCTTTCAACATTTTCATCCTCGATTCTACATGGCAAAACTGATTGTAGTACGGAAAATCAAAAATCAGTTCTTTCTTTTCTTTGCTGGTCAAATTCTCAATTACTTATTTTCAAAAATCAAAATTTAAAAGAAAAAATCAGTACCAAGAGCGAGGGAACAGAAGTTCATTGCTACTGTAGGAAATCACGTCATTTTTTTTTTAACTAAATAAAAGGTGACTGCTAGATGTGTTAGTGACTGTTCCATTGGCTCGGCCACTGCCAGATATTTACGTTCCGATTTTAGATATTCTCATAAAGCACACCGATTCTCTTTACACTAATGGGAGACGTTGTCACCTTCTTAACAGTTAGTTGCTCAATCTAAATACATTACTCGTGCATGTGTTCAATCCGGTCCAACGCAACCCGGTTGAATAGCCCTAATTCTGTGTGGCACAACACTTCAAACTTAATTTAATTGTAAATACAATTAAGGAGCGAACATATATAAATTAATTAAATTAAATAATAAAATAAATAAATTGCAAAAGTTTAGAAAGGCACAATTGGAGCAACAATAATTAATAATTTATAAGCATTGATAAGGAGAAATTGGAAAGGACAGTCATGGGTGAAATGAGATCTTTAATTAGAAGTTTCGAGTTTGAGTTTTGAATATAAAATTCTTCTAAACAATTGAAGATTAGTGCTTTGCTCCTTTGATGGGTCTGTTAATGCAAATTCGAATTGTGCGAATCCAGATTAATCAGGCCAATCAGATATTGAAATTCATGATAATTAAAATAAAAAGAAAACCAAATCATGTGTATTTTCCTTAAATGAAAAAAATAGGAGAGTTTGCAAAATCAAAGAATGATTTAGAAGGTCATCAATACACAACGTGACACTAATTGAGAGGTTCAAATAAATTAAGAAATGGACAGAAAAAAATGGTCCATGTGCTAATTAGCAAATCCTAGTAAAAGGGGCATGTAATTAAGTGGGACATATTCTCTTTCTAAGCACTCAACTACACCCATATGCAAAGAAGAAGGAAAGATTTACAGATAAAAAGTTTTTTTTTTTTTTAAATTTTTTTTTCAAAGTTTGATATAATGCAGAGAACAAGTTGGAGATGGGAATTGGAAAGCCCATAGGCATAAAGACATCATTTTGGTTAGGTCATTCTAATGGCCATAGCAACCAGAAGAAAAGAAAGGAAAAGGCAAACATAATAAGAGTGGAGTTGTAATATTTTATATACTTGCATTTAATCATTGAAGAGTAGTTCAAAGAATCAAGATGGTTTAATCATGAAAAACCAGAATAGCATTTTCACAAAGTACAATAGATATGGTCCACCTAAATATCACCCTCCAACGTGTACAAAATCTAGGTGAAATATATATTTTTTTTTAATTTTTTTTTTCAGGATTTAAACCTTGTACACACCAAGGATCCGCACATTTATATTGATTGGTTGATAGATATATTAATAAAAAGCAAAAAAATGAAAAAAAAAACCTAATAAGTCATAATAAAATTTCATGTACATATATAAAGGTCTAGCTAGGTGACATAATAATAAAACAATCTTTAAGTTTACAGAACCATTTTCATTCTGTACAGCATAAAAAAAAAAAAAGGAAGATCAAAATCAGAAAGACAGTATACCAAAGTTCGAACTTTATTGTTTGGTATAGAAGGAAAATATTAAGAAATGAGAATGGATTCAATAATTACTGCATAATGAAGAAGAAGACATAGAGAAGCCTTTCTTCCACATAATCAATAAAAGTTTGGCTGAAAAAAAAAAGTCACTGTTAATGGACTAAGAGAGAAGACAACGAAACTGTAATGAAATCAAATCTCAACAGTGGCAATGAAGAACAAAGAAGGACAAGAAAAATATATAAAAATAAATATTGTTAGTATTCCCAAAAAAAATAATTAGTAGTAAGTAATAAACTCAGTCTCTAGTCTCCTGTCCAACTGTTAAAGGGTGGAAGGAAGAATACCTTGATAACTACCAAAAAAGATAATAATAATAATAATAATAATAATAATAATAATAATAATAAACTCAGGCTCTGCTGGTTCTACTAAAATTAGAAAGAACACTGGAAACTCTGAACAAGGAAAAGAATTCAACTAACCTACGACGGAATCCAAAAATAGAACTTATCATTACAAGAAGGATCATATGCTGTTTGTTTTTCCTTCTTTTTTTTTTTAGAAAAAAAAACAAACTGTAAAAGAATTAAAAGAAAGAAAGAAATTGCTTAGCTTATACTGCTCTTGGATTTCACTTCCATCCTTTACCTTCAATGGAGTCTGTGACAGTTTTGGAGAGAGAGAGAAACTTTCAAGTTTTAACGCTTGTCCTGGACCCCTGGTTGTTGTAGGCTTTATATGGCGTATATATATATATCTATATATATGGAAGTGTAAGTTTGCCTCGAAAAGGAGCTTTTACAGAGCAGCGCACGTGTAACCCAATACCCAATGTTCATCTCTGCAGAGGGGGGCTTCCATAATGTTTAATAAAACCCTAACCAGTCAGAATTCACATTTCAAAACTAACAAACAAACAAACAACATAACCTAAAGCCCATAACTTCCCCTTACTTTCTATAAGTCATGATTTGCCACTTCCTCCCCACCAACTCTCTAACATTCAATTTATGTTTACAATTGATAGCATTTTCTGTACAGTGTGTGGTGACGGAAATTATGAATGAATGTTGTAATGTAGTATGCAATGGGAAAGAAAAAAAAAAAAAAGGAATTTTTAAATACAATGAATATAAATAAATGACTTTTCCAACTTAAAAAATATAAAATCCACGAAAATCTATGTATGAATCTAGTTTAAACTTGCAATGTTTCCTTCTTGATTTTATTTTCTATAAAAGAATATATAGGGGTTTGGATATCTAACAGAATCTGAGACTCAAAAGTTTTTCTTTTGATCCATCAAAAAAAATTATTTTGAAGATTTTTTTTAAAGAAAAAAAAAATCAAGGAGGACGAATTGGCTAACATTTTGTTTTCATATTTCAGTAAAAGAAAAAAATGATTAATTATCAGGCAAGTTATCAGAACTGAAACTGAGAATGAGTAGAGATGGAAAGAATTGAAAGGCCATCTTCTCTTGATGCTGCTTCATCTTTAAGCTAAATCAAATAGAAAAAAAAAAAAAAAAAAAAAAAAAAAAAAAACAAAAACCCACAAAAAAAAAAAAAAAAAAAAAAAACAAACCCACAAAAAAAATTCATAAATTTGTACATCCTTCTTCAATCAAAGGCAGTTGAATACCATGATCATCAACATCTTAAACATAACCTAACTTTTAAAGGAGGAAGAAGAAGAAGAATGAAGATTGAAGATTTAGAAGTGAGGAAACAAAAGATAAAAGAGAAAGAAACACAGTTTCTGTTGTGTTACTAATTAATAAGGAGGGCGACCAGTGCCCCAATAGGCCTCGGCTGGAAGTTGCACTGAATTTAGTAGATTAGGAGGCAACCCTTGAAAAAGAGATGGATTTGGATCTTGCATTAGTTGCTGTTGCTGCGTCTGCTGCTGCTGTTGTGGTTGTTGCTGCGGCTGTCCGACAGCTCCAGGTGACCCTAGAGGCCCATTTCCAGCCACAGCCACCTGTCCCTCATCTTCCTCCAACGGCAACCTCTCATATGCGGCATTACCAAAAGAAGCTGCCATAATCACCACCGGCCCAGATGCAAGAAGGGGACCCACTACGCTCCCTCCAACCACTTGGCCTTGACCACCGGCTAAATATATGGTCAACCCCGAGGCAGCTGGTGGAGCTGGAGGTGGCAAAAACGATCCTGAAAGTGATAAAATCTCGAACCTTCCATGTAAAGTTACAACTGCTCCTGGAGAAGCCGGTTGCCTAAGAGTGACATTAGTAACTGTTCCAGTTCCACTCAAAATGCAAACCCCTCTTTGTCTTCGCCTTGCAAAAGTTGATACACTCTCCATAATATCACAACCGTTGGCGATTTCCATAACATGAGATCGAAGGGCATTGGCGCTATCTCTGGTGATTATGATCGGTGGTTTAGCTTTATTCTTGGAACCGGCAGGTCTTCCTCTAGGTCTTCTACCCATCTCTCCTTCTCCTCCAGAATTTGCAGGGACTAGTTCTTTACCTTCGACACTAGTGTTATTGGCGGTGCCGGTAGTGATCTCATCGTGCTCTCTCTTTTGACCGCGATTAAAGCTGCCGTTACCACTTTGTTCATCTTCAGAATTTTGTTGTTGGTGGTGTTGAAATTGATGATGAGTATGCAAATGAAGATCTCTCGTATGGAAAGGAGGTGGAAGAGGACGCCCATGTGCTGCAACTGGATCCATCTCTTTCTTCTTTCTTCTAAACTTACCCTAATTAATTATATCTTTCAGTATATAAAGGCCAAGCTAAAATAATTAAATTGGAAGAGAGAAAAACCAAACTGAAACTCCCTCGTGTTTCTTTCTCGCTTTCTTCTTTTAGGGGGAAAGATTAAATGCTACTGATGTTCAAAAGATCATAAGGGAAAATTAAACCAAAATTAAGATCAAATAGCTGAATCAAGCCCATCTTCATGCGAGCGAAGAAGGTAGGAGAGATTGTGTCGAATGAAAGAGATGAACTGATGCTGCTGGTTAAAGGTTTGGGAGAAAATGAACGAGAGAAGGGGAAAGGCAATAGAGAAAGCGAGAGAGAGAGAGAGAGAGAGAGAAACAGAAAGATAGAGTTTATTGGGTCTCCTTTTGAGCTTTTTGGTTTTTGGGTATAGTGTTGTTGGGTTAGGGTTAGGTCGAGGCATCGGGTCGATGATGGGTTTAGTTTTGGTAAGACAGCGTGCGCATGGGCGGTGTGTGGGGCCTACACTTCTCTCTCTCTCTCTCTCTTTTGTCTCACAATACAACACTATGGGGCCGGGTCCCAACACCCCATGTTCTCTCCCTTGCTTTCTCCATCTCATGTTTAAAAGCCTGCGCTATAAGATCATTTTGTCCTCCATCGTTTTTATTTCCTTCCTTCCTCAAACTAACAATCAACCCACCTTCTCTCTCTCCCTCCATACATTCTCCTTAATTTATTTCACACTATTAACAACGTTAACTAACTTCCCATCTACTCCAAACTTATCCTAATTAATTCTAAGTACTGAGTCGTTTCCATCGATTCTTCAAATTGACCATCTTTAAGGTTTTTGTTCTGCGTCTCGTGTTTCCTTACTATTAGGTCTACCCAATAAGAAGCATAAAACTACAGTCTAAAAGCACTAATATTTCTGGAAAGATTTATATGTAAACTGATAAGCTCTATCTTTCTCTCTCTTCCTGTGTGTATATATATATAGTAACGACCGATGTTTTTGACTTGACTGAAAGAATCAAGCTGTAAAAGGCATCAGCCCCCTGCCTCTGTTAAATGCATAAAAGGCAAGAACTTTTCGTGAGATAAAAGCGTTATATATATTCATATGAAAATGACAAAGGTTAAAAAAAAAAAAAAAAAAGAAACTATTTCGTTGAGATAAAAGCGTTATATATTATTTCATATGAAAATGACAAAGGTTAAAAAAAAAAAAAAAAAAGGGAAAGAAGAAAGAACTTTAAAAAAAAAAAAAAAAAGGGAGAAGAAGAAAGAAACTGATGAGTTAACGTTTGTGTTCTCACTTCTCGGGCTTCTGAGCTAATAGCGGTTACATTGTTGTTTTACTGTGTCTTGACTCTAGTTGATTGTAAGAACTAGAAACGAAAAACCGAAAAAAATGAAGCGTGCGGAATGAGTGGCGTTTCCGTAATTTAGTACGAGGACAGGGTGGTTCGTGGGAAATAGGGTGGTCCATGTGGGTCATGGGAAATTGGGATGGACCCACCCGAACAAAATGGGTCAGGAGAGTCAGTGCGTGTCTTAAGGGCGACTCTCGATGCTAGGAATGCAAATGCATTGATGTTGATGTGTATGCAACTGTAGGGTCCACATAAAAGTATAAATTAAAAAATTAGAAAAAAAAAAAAACAAAAGAGCCGATCATGAGACGTGTCTCTTCCCTAGTTCCTTCTCCTATCGGCCCTCACCTTTTTTCCTTCTTATCATCTCCAAAAGACAAAAGCCTAAGCATCTTGCTTCTACTCCATCAATCCCATACAAAATATATCTAGTGTAGCTTTCGTATAAATTAAAAAATATATACAAATCAATATAATTATATTATAATTTTCTAAATATGTTATTATTTTTCATTAATTATTTATTTAAAGACTTGATCAATAATTATAGTAATATATTTTTCATTATTTGATGAACAAGTTGAATTAAATTGAGTATTACATTGTCTGATAATATATGAAAAGAGGTGTGGAAGCATATATTTATGACAACATTATAAGAAAATGATGGCCTGAACTTATTTGGTTGAAAATATATGAGTATTAAATGCAGTGCAATGCCATGAGTCATCCGTAATTATTTTCAAGGATCTCAAAATTTCTCCAGCCGCCTGTCTTTGTCTCTCTCTCCAAATTAAATTGAGTTCTTTATTTTTTTTTTTTTTTAAATCAAAACTTACGGACTGAGAATTGAATTTGAATTTGAGAATTGTTGGAATTGGATATAGGATTTTTTTTTTTTTCATAAATATATAAAACTTGATTATTTATGTTTTATTTTCGAGTTATTCTATAATTCCAAGAAATTGGGCAGTGACATAAATAAAGATGATCACAGCCGTTGGTTGGAGGGCAAAGAGAAGGAGATGTGGTCAAGAAAGAGAGTCAGCAGAATTTATAATAGGACGTCAGGTACCGTTGGATTTTGTCCCCAGCATGAAAGCATCCAACTCATGCGCACGTGCAGAGGCACGGTCACGGAATATACCTGTCGCGGCGATGCTCTCTTTTTCTGTCATCTTTCTCTCCCCTTGCTTTCAATCCAAGTACAGTTTTGCTCCCTCATTAATTGCGAGGGAAGCACCTTCATACCAAAGTTATCTTTCTAACAATGTGTAGCCAAAATTCATCAAAAGCATCGTATAACAAAAATAAATAAAAAAAAAAATAGATATCACGATTTTGTTTATTTAAATCAATATATATTGTATAAAGAAAGAAATAATTGGTGATCACTGTTGATGGATTTCCAAATTTAAAAGTAAAAAATCATCATCGAGCGAAGAAAAGAAAAGGTCAAAGGAAAGCGATGGAGATGAAAGATGACTGGTTCGGCCATATTAGTTGAAATGCAGTAAGACATTGCCAAAATGCATAAATCAAGGTATGATCCCGTAAAACCTGGTCAATTTACGATATTCAGCTAACTATTTTTGTCCTAAAAGCTACTATAATATTTCCCATGAATGTTTTATTTTGGGAATGGCCTGCTACGTACATTTTTTTTTTTTCCGTAAATGCTTCTTAATTTTTCCACATTAATGTAAGAATATCTTGTGCCGGTTAACAGTGCATACTATATCCCGTATTTAATCACAACATTATGCGTTCAATCAATGTTTGGACAGCGCTTTAACATAATCATTTTATGACTCAAAAGTAATATTTTTTTTTTCAATTGGAAAATGGAGGTGAGAGGATATCGTTAATAATTATTAAAAATTTCAAATTTTAAAGATAATTTTTTTTTTTTTTTTTTATAACTGGAGGTGTAATCCTCTAATAAGTGTAAAAGTTTATTATGCTTTTAATAAAATGCGTTTTCCAAAAATTAAATTCGTATTTTCACCTTAACCAAAACTGACTTTTTATAACATTAGATGACAGTGACTTACAAATAGGAAGAGATTGTGGTGGACAAAAGCAAGAATCCAAGAGCTTATAGTAAACGCAGCAGCAAATGAGAGAAAGCCAAATAGCAAGTATGTTTTGTTTGACAAAGACCTTACTACTGCTAGTGCTACACATGAACATAGGCATAGCCACTAGCTTAGCATATATATATATATAGACATAGAGCAGTCTCAAATTCAATAGCATATATAGCATTTGAATTTTTATTTTTTGGTAAAATTTTTTTTTTAAAAAAAAGATAGAATTATAGAAAGAAAGAAAGAAAGGAAGGAAAAGAGAAGTTTTGACTGCATCGATGAATGGAGGTATATGCAGAATGCTGTTGAAAGACAAACCAAGGCGTGTGGGCTTAAATGAGAGAGAGACGAGACAAAGTGAAGAGCGTGGGTGGCGCTGACACTCAGCCTGACATTTTTTTGCGGGAGAGAGCCGCAGCTGATAAAGACAAAGAAAACAACACAACATTTGATATTAGTATAAGTAATAGCACGAGCGGCATTTCTAGTTTTATATATTATTGCCAAACGAAAATTGAAAAGAGAAAGAGAAAGAGAAAGAGATGATTGTTGTTTCTTTGGATTTCTAGAGAATGGTAGAGAGAGTATATACGAAAATGGAACAGTGATGTGTGAATGTGAGCCATCGCAATCAGCCCACGCCCTGAATCCCATGAGTCCATTTGATGCGCTATGTCTGCTCACTGCATTCAATGCATTCTCCTTCTCCACTTGTCTACCATTCTTCTATATTTCACTCGCACCCCTCGATCATATGTATATAATTAAATACAAATATTTACTTATTTCTCTCAATTAAATATCTATAAATTATAAATTAAGAGCTTAAAATTTTTTTATAAAAGGATATTCCTTATTTCCTATTACTCAATCAAGCCTTGGCCTTAATGTTTATCATCTAAGATTAGGTTCAACTATGTATGATTAAAAAAAAAAACATACACTAAGCATAGCATTTTGGAAAAGAAAAAAGGTTGGTGATTAGATGAATTAGAGATTGTAATTAGAGAGAGATAGAGAGGGGGGTCATTATTAGTAACCAACACAGCTCTCTGAGGCCACAACAAAACAAAGAAAAGTATCGTTGCAGTGATTATCATATAACAAAATAATTAACCAGTCTCCGAGAATAATCTACGAAATAGGAAAAAACATGAAAATTGCGTTATAGTATATATATATATACAACCAAACCATCGTTTTCTTAAGCAGTCAACGGTCGCCCCCACCACTTAGCCTAGGTACTGAAATCCATGTCCTCTTCTTCCATATATATATATTGTTTTACTATTTATTACCAAAACTTTTCACAATTCACACTTTTCCTTTTCACTTTCATTAATTTTGCACTTTTGATCAAACTTCAATTTGTAGCTTAGTTATCACAATTGCCAAAATTGGGAAATAAATGTTTACCCAGAAACCTTTTTTTCCATTTTTTTTTTCTTTTTCATGGTATAAATTTTTTTTCTTTAATTGGTAATAATTGAATAAAGTATGACATGCAGTGCAGAATCATGCATGATAAATTAATTGCATTTGCATAGAATCGGGTGAAATTTTCTATCATTAATTCACTGTTAATGATTTTCAATTATTGCCCTAAAATGAGCATAATTTTGGCTTTTGCATGTGATATTCATTTCAATTTTGGAATGTCAAAATTTATATTACCAATAATTTAGTATTTGTTTTATAAAAATCAAATTATTTGACAGAGTTTGTGTTGAATTTTACAAACTTTTCCATGCACACACACAACGTGAACATATTTTTATGAGTACGTAAGTAAAATGACATTAATAATTAAAATAATTTAATACCATGTTCTGAAAAATTCTACCTTAATTAACCAAAGTTCCAACACAAAGTCTGAGTTCACGGGAAATTGAAGAAAATTATTTATTTATTTAATTAAAAAAAAAGGCATAATATGTTGAATTTTGCGAACATGGAGAAGTTAAGTCTTCAAGAAAGATATAGACTTCCCTTTCGAAGGAAGAAAAATCAGTTTCTAGCCATCTAGCTAGCTACTTATTTGGTGCTATACATGCAACTCTCTCTCTCTCTCTCTCTCCTTTTATTAAACAAATCAAACATCCATTACACTGTCTAAGTTTAAAAATTAATTAATCAAGTAATTAAACTAATAATACAAGCGATTATGGACCACACATCAAATAAAAACAGAAGAGAATTAAAAATTAAAAATTAAAAAGGAGAAACATTAGCATCACTTCACTTCTTAACACGTGAAGGGCACCCATAGGTACCCATTAATCTATTAGAATCTTATTACTACATGGTAACACTAATAAAAAGTATTATTGACTAAATAATATTTTAACTTGTTAATTTTCGGTTAACTTTAATTAGTCCAACAGGCCGAAAAAATATCGTGGACTACATAGTAGGAGAGGCATTCCATCCCTTTGAATAACATACACCAAATTGATAATAACATTTGTGATTGAAGAAGACTCGAACTCGAGATCTTTCACTTTCTAAATTTTTTATTAGAGATAGGAAGACCAATCAAAAACGCATAATTCACAATTTAATTATTTTTATTTGATTTCTATTTCAAAATGGTTTGAGATTATTGCGCTCATTTTTGGAGGTCCAATTATAAGTGTGTTTAATTAATTAATCAAAAAAAATTAAAAGAGCATTTGCAATATTTTAAACACTAAACAGCCGACCAAACTATGAGGTTCCCATGTGATTGATAGCTATCGATTTGGAATCATTTTTTGTCAGCCCTTTACCTGCTTATTTATATTTATTTATTTATTTTTATATGACCTGATCCCTCTTTCTCTAATTCAAAAAATTAAACATTGGTGCAATTGCTAATGGGTTCCTTAATGTCAACGATTTCTTTTTCACTTTTATTTTTAATTTATATATACATATACGTAGCAATCGATTCCGTTTATTTTAGTGAACCCTGACCTAATTTTTCTTCCACATCCTTTTTGCGTAATTTTGAATCATTCTGATGACATTACTTATCTACTTTTTAAAATTGGCATACGAATTAAGAAGGTGTTTTGATTTGATTTTGCATAAGTGCGATGTAATTGTGTTTTCTTCTGCTTTATCCAAAAATAAAAAAAACCACTTAAGGCTCGATTAATTTCTCATATTGGTTGGAAACTCATAGTTTTGTTTTTCCCCTTATATCCCTTTTTTAACCAACAATTTAATAAGGAATAGATTATCCACCAAATAAATTAATTAAGCCAAATAGATGAGATTCGTTAAAAAAGAGGGTACGTATGGAATTAATAATTAGTTCCAACATTTTTGGGAGTGCTTGATAATAGTTAATTAATAATAAAAAATTATTGATTGGACTGTAATTAAACAACACTTAGATCAAACTCAGAGGAAGTAACTATATATATTGACAGTTTAATATAAAATGTGCAAAACCTAATCATGACTTTGGCACATTTATTTATAGTTTCTTTAACACTCTAAAAGTTGTCATTAAGAAAAAAACTAGGATTTTTCCCTTTTTGAAATCTATTGAAAGGAAAGGATGATAAAATGATGGAAGTTGAGAAAGAATTACAATATTCTAATTATGGTAGCTACCAAAGAAAACAAAATGACTGTTTCACACGCGTCCATTACTACCAAAGAGAAGAAGATGTTCTTTAATTCTTTTGTTTTGGGCCAAATCCATTTGATAGACCGCTTTGGGCTTGAGAAGGCCCAATGTTGCAATTTGCATTGCCGTACGATGCAATTTGCAATGAGCAGCGAGCCGTTTCGTCTTTTAATCGGTTCCAGGGCCCTACTTAATTCACATTTTTTTTTTTTTTTAATATGCAACTGATTTCGTCTTGGGGGGTTTTTTTTGCTCTACCTTTCCATAAATATTTTTCCACATATGGAACCCTATCCTTGGAGAGGGATTACTATTACTTGAAGGAAACCTTTCTTTTGATAGGCAGAGCACAAGGAAACGTTTCTTGTCGTCTGTGAATAGAAAGGAAACTTTCCCTTTATGTCAGTAAACTACAAAATTGTTTGTATTAATGACCTGCTCTTTATAGTGTAATAAGGACAAATTGAGAGATTATGGAAAATACAATTTAAGGGCTTAATTAAAAGAAAAAACTACTGGACTAGCTTCTTCTTCTTCTTCTTCTTTTTATTTTCTTTTTATGCAGATATGAATTTACAAGTTTTACTTCTTTTGAAGTAACTGCAACTTGTCTACCTAGAAAAGCAAGTGACTGGAAGCAAAGATAACAGAGATTTGGTTTAGTAGCTTTCATATTTACAAGAAATTGTACATATAATTTAAACAAACATAATTACATTGAGACCTGAGTGAATTTGGTAATTTTGTTGAATTGAACCTCTAATTATCTTTTAGCTCCCAATTAGCAGTCATCATTGATCGGAATTCTTCAAAATCGACAAAGCCGTCACCATCCTTATCAACACCTTTTATCATAATCCTACACTCTTTGAGGCTACATTTCTCAAATCCTAGCCTGCTTAAAACTTTCTGCAACTCTTTAGCAGAAATTAGTCCATTTTTATCAGCATCAAATATCATAAACGCGTCCATAAGATAATCTTCCTCGTCATAATTATTCAAAATATAAAAAAACTCATCGAAATCCACAAATCCATCTCCATTACGATCCAATTCTTTCACCATACCTTCAGCTTCGGCTTTCGCTTTAGATTTGTCACAGCCAAGGCAGAGTAGCAATTCAATCAGATCATAAGAAGATATTTTGCCATCTCCATTTGCGTCGATGAGATTGAAAACTTGTTTGAACTGGTTAGGAATTTCCATGGAGGCAAAAGATGGAGTATCTGAAAAATCGAAAGTAGAAGAAGAGAGATTTCTCTTGTGTTTAGTAAGTTTGGCGATGACTCTCCTCCGCAGAGAGCTAAGGCAGGTAGTGAAAGAATGAAGCATAGCTTTTTGTGAGAAAGTGGAGAAAAGAGAAGAGTGAAAGAAACAGTAGATGTGAATGAATATTGAAATGGTCTAGTATTGACACTTTTCGTCAGCTTGCAATAATGCAATTAGCCCGCGTAAAAGACAATCCCTCGGGTTTGGATGAACCAGCCCACCGATCCAAAATATTTTATAGCAATTTTTAACTTTATCAAGTGTCTTAGAAGGGAATTTTCGTCAATTTAAACATCAAATGACCGTTAAAATGTGAAGTATAGACCCAATGTCGTGTTAACATAAATACATGTTGTAATTAATCATAATCATTTTTTTTAAAAGAAGGAAAAAAATTGAAAATTATATTATATTTTAAGATAAATAACAATTCAAATAAAATTTAAGATTCATGAGATTATTAGCTCAGGTCCTTTTGGGTCCTTTTTCAAATTAAATTTATACGATTATAATTATTAAAATAATGATGATATATTTTAACCGATGCTATGAAAATTATACTATTATTATCTACAAGTCAAAATAAAATTATTTAAACATGTATATAAAATTAATTATAATTTTCTTAATTTTGACAATTTCTATTATTTGAATAACAACCTACGATAAAAAAAATAATAGTACTACAAGATATCTAATATATTATATCAAAATAAATTGTGTTGTAACTAGTAATTTCATACATAAGCTAATCCCAATTACTCATCAACTATCAGAGCTAAACGCCTAAACCAATCTTTTTTCAACAATTCCTGACCAGTGGCTGCAATCATGCAAGCCGAATTGAAAAGTGAAAAATTAAAAAAACCGCAGGCAGTTCTCGGTGGTAATTTGGTGCAGCGGCCATGAAGTAGTCAATGTGGATTAGTACAGAGAGAAGAAATCAGGAAACACATTGCAACTTGCCCTTTCCACATGCGATACGGATAAAATTTCTATAATCTGCACAATCAGTTGCACTCTGCTTTTCACAAAACTGGTACTGGTTCAATGATAGTTGCAATTTGTCAAATATTCAATAGCCAACGTGGAATTCAACCAAGCTTATCCAAAATTCCTAATCAATCAAAAACCAACCTCAGTGAAGTAATGTAATGATGACCGAATGAGGCGTCTCTGACTCTGACTAGTACGAGAATTAAACAAAGGAAAATAATGCCTAACAAGAAAAGAGACGAGCCTCTACCGGTTCATTTTCAATAAACACATTTTTACAGGAAATTATTGTTCTGAAACTTGTCTACTGGAAAGAGCGAGGGAAAAGAAAACATTTGACTAGCATACAACAAAACTCCTAATGATAACTATCAACTCTGAACAAAGGAGCTTCTGAGTAATCTAAATCAAGTTCAGAAGCACTTCACAATCCAAAACCATTGCTAACTCTTCATACGCTACGGACTTCTATTTCCAATAACAATTGTAATTTCTTTTTGAAAAAAAAAAATTTGAAACTAAGAATTGGATCAGGTATGACACGTCAGAAAATGCAGTGTGATCTCACCAAGGTCAACATGACCGAAGCAAAACAGGTCCCACTGAAGAGCTGAGCATATCACTGAGAGCGACTTGGACTTCATTTGACCCATGTTCACAGCTTATCAAGCCGGAAAGAAGGGGGAAGAAATGACTCAAGTTCTTTTCAAATGAAGTCTCTCCCAAACTACAGATGGCCTGGAGAGTTGCAACTATAACGGGTGCCCGTGCAGCCAATTCCCTACGTTTTCCAGAGCCAACAGGAATCAGCCACTGGGTTTGTAAGCTGGGAGATGCCTGTGATGCCAGTCCAGTGCGGGAAGTTTCAATGTAAAATTGTAACACCTCCAGGCAAAGGTTGACGAGATGAGATTCCACTTCAGCCTCGTTGAAATCTGTGGGCTGATCCGATATAAGATTTTGCAAGAATGTGAGGCAAATTTGATACGACTCATTTTCCAAGCGTAATAATGGAGGGTCTTGCATTTGGGTCATAGAGCCAAACTCTTGTAGCCTTGCACGCAACGTGGAATTAGTATTGATCTTGTGAGCATGAGATGCCACATCATGCAAAGCATCAAAGAGGACTAAGGTATTTTTTGCTGAAAGGTCAGCTCGATACATGTTATATATTTCCATCACTGCCTGCCAAGTTCATGAAAAGTAGATATAATCACAAAATGCAATTTCACTAATTAAGAAATTAGTAGGATAGAAGAGAGTCAAGCCCATAGATCAATTAAAGGCATTCATGTTGTTCCAGTGTAAAGCTTCACTTTTAAAAAGGAAACAAACTTGCATGGTTTTAGAATTTTTTATCTAAATATTTTTCATGATTGCAAATAATATCAACATTCAGTAGATATGTGTGATAGAATTGAAGAGTTTCACAACCATGCAATAAAATAAAAATACCTGAATTAATAAGAGTTGAACAGCAGCTCTACATTTTGCATCAGATATTGAAGCATAAAGACGGCGCGTCATCTGTCTCTCAGGATCATCATCAGGCATGCCAGATACAGTAGACTCTCCATTAGTCTGTCCAGTTGAAGCTTGATGGCTTCTTCCTGTGGAATCTCCATTAACAATGTAAGAGAAATCAGGAAGTGTTGCATTGGCTGCCTCTTTTAGTGACAAAACCACTTCTAGCCACTTCTCCTCTGAAAATAGATCACCAGCATTGCTCATCAAACGAACAAATGCTGCAATACCAATACCAGCAAGACTTTGGTGTGGGCGTCTAATAAAGCTAACCAGAAGCATCAGCACCTTCCTCAGAAGAGGATTGACAGTGTTATAGAATCTGACAAAAAGATCTACAACCAATTGGAGTGCCAATGTGCATGTCTCATAAAGCCATGCGTCCTGTTCAAGCTCACCTGCATCACTATCAATCCCTTGCCCAGGAGAATCACCCCCAGTCGGATCAATAGCATGCCGTACATAGTCAAATATTGGAAACAGAACTGACTCAAAGACTCGTTCCCACAGAGGTAAAGAGAAAAGGTGGCCATGATTGCGCAAAGTATCAAACAGAACCTGCAGTGCACTCTTCCTGATTTCAGGTCTAGGATCAAAGCTAAGTTCTGATAAGCCTGCATAAATAAATAATTATAATTGTTAAAACAAACACTTCCTATTAAAGAGCACATAGAAGCAAATTGCACTGCTAAAGGCACATAACAAATGTTTTGCTACATGACAAACTAAAACTTGTGACTTATCCAGTTTCCTTACCTGCCAACAAAGGGAACCAGAAATAAAGATGATCTTCCTTGTCTGTAATCTCTCCATTTTCATGTTTTCCATTCTTTCCAGCTTTTGGTGAAGATGGGGAAAATTTTCCAGATGCTTCCTTATCCTTATTCCTTGTAGCTGATCCCAAATCTCCTTCTGCAAGTTTTGTAGCACAGAATCGAAGAAAAGCTATTGCATTAAGGCTAATGTCTTTGTTGAATCGACTGTTAGTGAATGCAATGAGGCAATTTACACAATCTGTAAAGGTGGTGGTTTCAGTCTCAGTGATGTACGGGAAGTATTCTCGAATAATCTTCTCCATTATTTCAAAGGCCAAGAGTACAATATTTTTGTGGTCATCATAAGCTGCAGTTGTGAAGACCTGAAAGAACATCGTAACAGAAGCCAGTGTAACTTTAGTCAATAATCAATATTAAGGTCTAAAATTTTGGATATCATTGCATTACAATTTCAAATTAAAGTTAGAAATTAGCAGATGTTAATACCATGAACATGCTCTTCCACCCTGATTTAACATTGTTGACACGAGATAGAACCATTTGAGAGACACATCTGATAATCAGTTCTCTGATCTCAACAGCACTGCTCTTACGCATAACAATGACGAAAGGCTTCATAAATTCATTCTGAAAATTGTAGTTAGCCAACTCCTCTCGCTCTAGGAATTTCATTGATAATTGGCGTAAGGAGTCCATTGCAAAAATTGCAATTGAAAGATTTTCAGAACAACCTATGTTTACAAAGAAATCAGAAAGCACGTGCCAGATGCTTGACCATACAAGTCTGATGCGATTCATGTTATAGTGCCTGTCATAAGAAGTTCAAGCAGATTTAATACATGATTGATACAATAGCAGCAGATAAATACTTATCATAAGTGGGGGGAAGGAACAGGTAAATGATTCATACGCAATCTCAACAATCTTTGTCAGGCTAAAAACTCGTGGATCAGATGCAGAGCGCAATTCCTCCATAGAGACCTTGCAAAGAGCCTTGACAAAGTCAATTATCGCCTCACTGTTCAGTTTTTGGCTCCGTGTGAATATGCGGTTCATTTCAGAGCTTCCCACTTGTTCTAGCATGTTTAAATTAGAGACTAAATTGTTCATCTGTTCAGAAGTGACAGCCCCAGAAGCACTGCCACCAATGCCAGCACTATCATATGAACCTCTCATCACAGCAGAAGCTGCATACTGCATTCTCCCAGGTCCCTTCTTTTTCAAAACAGGGAGGATAGTTGACTTAGCTTGTTTTGACTTGTCTGATTCATTCTGAGGAAAAGCAAAAAAGGTGGCATCTGGAGGAGCACCCTCACCCAACAGATGCAGGTGTTCAAAGCGTGAGACACAAGTCAAAATATGCTCCCAAGCTTCTTGCAAATAATTTCCATCCTCATCTGCAATTGTAACTATTGCCTATTAACAATGAAAAACCAAATCCAGTATTAGATCCACGAGTAAATGGCAACTGTTATAAAATTCAGGAAACTATTACTCCACCCATTGGAAATTAAAATTCAAAGGTCACAGACAAATAGAATACACTTGTAATGATGCTTACACACTTCATGGTAAACAGTTCACAGAAACCGAGTCTGCAAAATTGTGTGCCCTTAATAGGCTATTATCTAACCTTCAATTACTAGCTTTGCTGGGATCTAACCAATCTTAGTAATTAAATCATTGTCCGTCCTTTTTGAGATGTAATTAAGCAAGCACGTGTAGTTCCATAGTATAAGGCATTTTTCTGCCTTCCATACATTTGCCCTTCAACTATGAAAGGAGTTCCAACCATGCACTTTTATCCATGATACCAAATATATTTCTTACTATCACTAAATTATTCAACTTGAACGCATCAAACAATTTGCTTCACTTAGAGATATTTACCTTTGCTGAAATACAAATGCATGAATAGCAACCATTCACTCTGAAGATGTCCAGAAACAGTCTCAACAATTTTCAGTTATCACATTTAAGAACATAATAAATTTATGCCCACCTACTTCACTTCATTGGGTGCAATAAAATAAAAGGTCAACTAAATGACAGATCCAGTTGGTGGAAATAACAGTTAAAATTGTAAAAGCATACCTGAGTAGCAAATGTTGTTATGTGTATTTCCAAAGAATAAAGAAGTATAAAAGACATTTGATAAGGATGACCATGTACTCCTCTATAACATAAGAATATTTTTATGCTAATAGGACCTCTCAAATCTACTGAGGAGAATCACAAGATAATACAATTATCTATTGTATCATTACCTATTATAGTACCAAAAAGATGAAAACTAACCTTGATAGCGTCAATGTTTTTCTGCTTGATATCAGCAGGGGAGTGAAGAGAGGTAAACTTTGCTAATGATGTAACAAAAGCATCTCTGTGAGTCTTCATGGACATTACAGCAGTCACATGGATGGCATATCGGAAACCTTCAAGACATAAATCTATCACCACGTCATCATCACTTTGGTCAAGAGGCACACTAAAGGCAGCCAACATTGGAGCCCAGCATACCTCAATCATAAACCGAAGTATCACCACATCAGTTGCTGCATAATAAACTGACCTACAAATGACGACGTCGGAAAGATCAATGAGAACTACATTATAGTTGCTTCAGATCAGAAAGAGTAAGATATAAAGCATATGTCTAATCATAATGACACATTTCAGGAAAAAAAAAAAGTCATATCTATCAGAAAGTCTTATTTATTGTTCATGATGTTCTAATCAGATTCAATTATGTCAACCATTTAGTCAGCATTAACACAAAACATGGAAGAGGCACTAACTATTTCAGATGACATTCCACACACTGCTAAACAAAAAGAATCCAATACAAAGACGGTGGAGTTCTAAAAGCACAGTATAGCCAATTCTTCTTACTCAGATTTGCGAGCTTTTTCCTTAAATTGTTCTTGCATGTGCCTGATAAGATCATCACTGGTTTCCATCTTATCTTCACCCCGCTTGCGGATCACAATGTTCAGGATACTGTCCAAGCCTAAAATTTTGTTTGAGTTCATATATTGTTTTTGTTGAAGAGCTAAATCATCTTCTTTCATTTTGATCTCATTTCTGGATATGCGTTCAAATAATGATCTCAAGTACTCCTCAGCTAGATCTTTTCCATCATCAATACCACGATTGTTTCTTATAAAATCATCAGCTGACATCTGCATTTTTTTTCAGACAAGGGAAATATATCAACTATGCCATTTGAAATTTCCAGATAATACAAAAGAAACTTCAAATGTACCTTGTTCTTCACCATGGGGTTGTGAGCATCAGTATTGAGCATGATCACTGAGTAAGCAAGGACGTACGCTGTGTCAGCACTAGTAAAAACCTTTGGATTACATTTGCAATAACGCTCCGCAAACTTTTCCATAATGCGATCAATCTTCTGTGCCTCACCAGGTAACCTGAAGCCCTGTAGGAAGACTCTTATAGCCTCATCAAACTCCATTCCTTGGAAGTCAAATGAATCCACATAGGCATGCATTACTTTCAATGGTAACTCCTCTCTTTCTCCCAGATAATCACCGATCAGTGTCTTGTTCAAACCAGACGCATTTTTAAGGAATGCTGCTATTTCCTCTGGTGAATTGCCCACTTTATTTGCATTGATGAGAAATTCAATACCCTTCTTAGGTTTCCGATTAAAAAGAGATATACCTTCCTGCCACAAATCTTAGGTTAGATTCTGGGACTGCAGAAAAATAAACAACAACAAGAACTAAGCCTCAATCCCAAACTAGTTGGAGTCTGCCATATGAATCTTTTGTTTCCATATCCACTCTGTTCAATTAGTAGCAATTAAAAGCACGGTATAGAAGTGGAAAAAAATTGAAAACTGCAGAACATTAACCAAAGAAATAAATCTGCTTTTGCATTACCTGAAGTTCCAGCTTGTAAGCCCGGCGTTGCTCAATAGTCGAAACATCAGAAGCTTCAGTGGAAGCTTCGGAATGAGAATCTGATCCTTCAACAGGGTCATCCCCATTCCCATTCGCCAAGGAAAGACTGCCAGGTTCAGGACTGCTCTCAGCTGCATCAAATTTCTTGGAAGAATGCAGATCTGGAATGCGTAACTGTTTGTTCATCCAGTCACCCATTGATCTCAAAATGGCCACTAAGCACTTCATAGCTTCAAGTTTCATAGTCACCTCCTGTGGTGGCAAAAGTGTAGTGGCAGTACCAGGAGGGGCACCTTGAGCGGTTTTAAGAAGTCCATTGACCATTCTGACAGAGTTTGATGAGAAAATTGAAATTATTATTACCAATGATGTCTTTGATCATTCTATCGTCAATTGAAACTCTACGTAAATAAGAGAAACATACCTCTCAAATATGTTTGATGAATTGACATCACAATCATAGTTAATGAAAATGTCCACCAGGATTTGTGAATCAACACATAGCTTATCTAAAAACCGAAGCACTATCATTTTCTGTTGAAAATTAGGTTGAGCAACATTTTCCAAAACTCTTAGAACAATCATAGGAAAAAAAACTCCAATCTCTGCTTTTAATCCAGCTCTAAACCTTGAGACCAGACTAATAAAAATGGAGCAAGAAAGTTGGAAAACAATCATAAGACTTGAAGCACTGTTCTTCAACAGCGAAAGACACAAGTATTGTTTAATAGCACCTAAAAACCTGTTTCAAAGCAAAGATATACACATATTAGGCAATTATTTTTGAAAAAAAAAATTGAATTCCATGATCAAATGGGGATGCATAAACCATAAAAGTAATAATGACAATATAAATTTGATGGATGAACTAAATCCAATACATACTCCCCACCTCAAGGATAGTGCAAATACATTAGAAAAGTAAATTTAATTGGAGGAGTTTAATTCATCAAATTACATTTAAATTGACTACCGATAAATAAAATATTATGAAAAGCACAGGAAACAAATACACGAATGCCAAGAATATTATAAAAAAAAAAAAAAAAAAAAAAAAAAAAAAAAAATTCATCAAAATTAAATTTAAAATTGACTCGATAAATAAATATTAGAATAGCACAGGAAAACAAATGTACACGAATGCAAGAAAAAAAAAAAAAAAAAAAAAAAAAAAAAAAAAAACAAGCGGGAAAAATACAGATACCTGTCACTAGTTCTAAAGACTGCCCCAGCATTCTCCAATAGGATCTTCAATAACTCCAAGGCCACTATTTTCCCTCTCATCAACTGAGGATCAGCCATGGCCTCTTTAGGTGGTGTTTTCATTGACAGCTTGCAAAGAGCTCTAAACACCAAAAATGCATCTCTCCGCAGCTTATTCCCAATCTGAATCTCCAAATCCTCATCTCTCTCCCCTTCCCCGTCAGCCAATTCCCCTTTCCTCCCCTCCAAGGCCGTCTTGTACATGCTAATCTCCCAATACTTGGCATCTAACATGTCCTTATCTGTCGAATCTAGTAAATCCGCAGGATTAGTGGTCTCAACTGTGGTAGTCTCAAAAGCTCCGTCGTGAGTTCCCGATGAAGCCTTACTTGGCGCAGCTGAATTCAAAACTACATCAATATCTTGCATAATTTTAGTTATAAAACCCTGCACAAACATCGTCATTGACCCGTCCGCATCCGATTTCTCAACAGGTTCCATTAATTCCGCTACAACAATCGGTTGAATCGGTACTGTTGATGAATCTGCCTCCATTCTCCGAAACACAATCACCAACATTTGGATCAACGACGCTTTTGCTGTCGTCTGATTTACTACATTTTTGCTCCCCAGATAAATATCATAACAAGTTCTCACTATTTGCAACAGACAATCACCATGTATCCTCAACGAAATCGATGTAACCGCCGATAGAAGAGTCTTAAGAACCAAAAGCTCAATCGCATCGTCGCCAATATCGTAACATTTACAAACGGATTCAATTAATTTTGACAATAATTGAGCCTCGGTGCCTCCACTCGGGTCAGCTTCGCCACGCAAGTAGCCATGGGCGATTAATTTTTGAATGCAATCAACGGCTGGATCAACAATCTTCAGGAAGCCGGTTCCACAGGCGTTGATCAGAGGACTGAGGATGGATTCAGATTCCGCAAGGGAGTACTCGGTGGGCCCTCCATCGTGGAGTGGACCAGGGATCGAGGCTTCAGGCTCGGAATCGGCGGCCGGTGGCTGCTTCTGTGGCGAAGTGAGTCTCTCGAGAACGGATTTGCATTCATGACCAAGTTTAGAGTGTTTCCGCCAGGACGCGTTCTTTATGATCTTATCTAGGGCAGGGGCTACGACGTGGCTTAGGCGGGAATCGGCTTCCGAAGAAGCCATTCCCGAGACAGTTCGAGCTCGTGGTTCAGCAGTTGACTCAGATCTGAAAATGGAGTGGAAATGTTAGAGCCTGTTCGGTTGCTTCGAAAACGATCGCATAAAAAATCGCTGAGAAGGAAGTGAAATGAGAAGGAGAAGAAGGAAGGAGGTCCAGAGTGAGCTTTTGAGCAGAGAGAAGTGGTGGACGATTTGAGATTCGGATCGCGTTTTGATTTTGTCATGAAAGTCCAAGTTTGAATGCTACGTGACAGAAATGCCCTTAATTTCTTACGGTACTCAACTGTAGTAAAATGGGGTTGAGATTCGTATAAATGCTCTCGATTCGTATAAATGCCGAGAGCAATGTAAATATGAGATATTTTATAGGGGGTAGGTAGTATAGGAATTTTAAGTTTGCTTTTTATAGTTTTATACTTTTATATGCAGTGCAGTAGTAGAAACAGCCGCCCGTCGTTAGGATCAGCCGTGTGGCCGTTTACTTGGCTTGTAGGCTCCAGCCACGCCACTGACAGGCTTAGAAATGTTAGCAGCAAACTAGTACTACAGATATAATATAATTTTCTGAAAATTAAATTAGATAACGGCATCGCATTTATACTTTGGTTTCTATTCTAACTTAGGAATAGGAAATTGGGGTCCATGATCTTGCAGACTGAGTGTGGATAATGATATCATAAAAATAGTTTCCAACTATTTAGTTTTTTTTAAGGAATATTAAAAATGCATTACATCAAAGCATAAAAAAAATAATTCCGTTGCCGGGAATCGAACCCGGGTCTTTCGGGTGAGAGCCGAATATCCTAACCGACTAGACTACAACGGAATGATGAGAAATTAATTCTACTACAGTTTGTTAACCTAAGTTGCTTTCATCATCTTCTCCGCTTGTTCTTCCTCAAAGTAATCGGTAGGGAATACCAGGTATAATTGTCTCTCGGGTTATCGATAATTCAAAGTTTATTACACTTTTGCTCAATCTGTAGATTGCCGTTTGATAGTCTATCTGTTTTTCTCTCTCTTTTTTTTTTTTAAAATTAAATGGCATATGTTTATTTTTCTCTAATCCAACAGCAGATAACTTCGTCGCTCAATCTCCACTTCGCGTTGTATATTTCCCAATCCCATTAAATCTGTTTTGTGCATTTTGTTTTCACCTTTGCCATGGAAATTTGCGTGAGTAACATTCTCCCGTTGTCATTCCCAAATTGTTCACCAACCAGTGGAACTATAAAACCCACTTATAGTAATTACCTGGGGAATTTCTTGTTGAAAAAATCTGTCAATTTCGGTATTTGTATACCTGTATTAGCTGCAGTCAGTACAGAAGAGATAGGAAGGGTAGAAGTAAAAGAAGAGAAGTCTTCGTTTAAGTGGGTTAAGATTGACCCTAATATCACAGAACCACAAAAACAAGCTGTATCTGAGCTACCACCGAAGATGACCAATCGATGTAAGGCAATTATGAAGCAGATAATTTGTTATTCTCACCAAGCTCAGAATGCCAGTTTATCGGATTTGTTGGGTGCTTGGGTCAGGCTTATGAAGCCTAGGAGAACTGACTGGCTTTCTGTTCTTAGACAATTGAAGAAGATGGAACATCCTCTTTACTTTGAGGTACTCTATTTCCTCCAATACCTTTGCTATTTTGTAATTTTGAAATTTTGATTGTAGATTCCTTAAGCTTGCTTGTTTATTATTAACTCCTTGGGTTGTGATTTGAATAAGAAAGCTCTCTTTTTTCTCGATTTGAAAGCCATATAGGGAGAACTTGGTATATTATATGTCAAACTTTGATATCCTAATTATTGTCTTGTAGATTAAATTAGGTAGTTAGGTTAGGGATATTCATCTTTGAAACAGTTTCAAAGATAATCCTTTTATTTTCAGGAAATTGAAATAAAGGTTTGGTTTAGTGATGCTCAAAAGGATTGCAAGAATTTTGTAAATTTTAATTTCTCTGGCTCTCTAAGCACACATTTTCTTTCAATGATGTGTTTGAATAAAGAGATCATGTAAGCATTCTCATGCTTAAAACAGTTGGAGGATAGTTTTGAAAGGTATTTCTCGTTCAATGTGCAGGTCAACTCAACATGTCACCTAAATTCATGATTTCTTGCATGTTTGTTAGGTGGCCGAACTTGCTCTGCTTGAAGAATCTTTTGAGGCCAATGTTCGTGACTACACAAAAGTAATTCATTGTTATGGGAAGGAAAACCAGATTCAAAATGCTGAAAATATCCTCTTAGCCATGAGGAAAAGAGGCTTTGTGATTGATCAGGTCACACTGACTGCCATGATTTCCATGTACGGCAAGGCTGGCAATCTTAAACAGGCTGAGGAAACTTTTGAAGAGCTCAAGCTGCTTGGGTACCCATTGGATAAAAGATCATATGGTGCAATGATCATGACCCACATAAGAGCTGGAATGCCTGAGAAAGGGGAGGTCTTACTTAGAGAAATGGATGCCCAAGAAATTTGTGCAGGAAGTGAAGTTTACAAAGCATTATTACGAGCATACTCCATGGTTGGCAATGCTGATGGAGCTCAGAGGGTATTTGATGCAATTCAGTTCGCAGGTATTCCTCCAGATGTTAAATTGTGCGGACTCCTCATAAATGCTTACCAAATGGCAGGTGAAAGTCGAAAGGCACAAATCGCATTTGAAAATATGAGGAGGGCTGGTCTTGAACCTAGTGATAAATGCATAGCACTTTTGTTGGCTGCATATGAAAAGGAGAACAACCTGAATGAGGCCTTGAACTTTCTGATGAGATTGGAGAGGGAAGGAATTATGGTTGGCAAAGAAGCTTCAGAAATACTAGCTTGTTGGTTTAGAAGATTAGGAGTGTTGAAGGAAGTGGAGCTTGTCTTGAGAGAATATGTTGCATAGGAATTCAATTGTGAAATCCTTGCACATTAAATTATGCCCAAATCCTTGTTTCACCCCCTGAGAGGTATCACTGTATCAGGTCTCCTGAATATGTTTGCTTCTGATGGTCACCGATGATGAGTTATGACACAAAAACCTGGGTAGGATATGAAATGTTCACACCATATCATTGGCTTAACTTCTGATACATTTGACAATTTTGCGTAATGAGTTTTTGGCTAAGATTGCTCTTCCTAATCAGTGCATAAGGCTGACAATATTTTGCATCAGTAATTTGCTAAATTGTACCTTGTAAAGATTCCAATTTTCAGACTTTGCTTGAAGAAATATTTCCTCTAGAACCACTTAAATCATAATCCTAAATTTCATTATCCATCTCTCTGTATTTTATTTTGTCACTTAGATTGTTTTATCATCAGCATCATTATCAGTGGCATAGTTATAGGCTTAGATTTTGCAATTTAACTTGTTTCTTGTTGGAGTGAGGTAAGAAATTGGGTTTGATTTGTAGCCCTGTACTTTTGGGAGCCAATGCCACTTGATTTGCCAAGTCTTATATGTTAAAACCCGTGTATCTTTCGACTCCACGAATTGGCTGGACTAGAATGTAATGTTTACAGTTAATGCTTTACAGAAATTAGTTATGGATGGAATATGTATTCTGTTTATGAACTTCAGACTATTTATAGAATCATGTAAAAATAAGGTAGATAATGGTTGGAAACAAATGAAACTGGGAATTACAGGAAAGAAATTAGTTTAATATACTAATTAAGCCCCACTAATTTTCTCTAATACTGAAATTATTATCGATGGGCCCGCTAACAACAGACATAAAGGAGGATAAGAAAAGGATTGGGGAAATATATAATGTTTGGTGCTAAGGAGAATACGAGGGAATTTTTTCCATTTTATCCATTAAGCCCCACTATTTTTTTTCTAGTTCTCGAACTCTTCCAGTTGGATCTAAGAACAATGGGGGAAAAGTTTCCCTTGCTAATGCTAGGTACCGTTGCTGTCTCTGGGCTTTGATTACATTTATTAGATGCGAAAAATTTGCGAGCTGGAGCTGTCCCAATTCGGCCTGACCCAACCCAAAGGTTGAATTAAAATGGTATGGACTGTTTTATTTTCATTGTTTGGGCCAGACATCTGCTAGGCCCGCATTCAGTCAAATGAGCCTACCACCTTGTTTTTTGGCCTTTGTATTTTTCTCTGTATTTCCCTATTTCACATACATATATCATAATTTCTTCTACATAAAATGGAAGCCAAAAACTATACTGTATTATTCTCGCCAAAGAAGACTGAATTGATCACTTACATACATCTAAATGGATTCCATGCACTGGCTGAAGCTTGGTACTCCCACTCCCACACACAAACACATTATTGTTTGATAAGATGTAATCATTTCTTGAGAACTAACAGTTCATACTCGGTTTGGTGTATAAGCCAATTAATTATAGCTCTGCACACACATTATATCTCAAACAGGATATATGTACTCCTTCCAAAACTTCTGTAAACCAATATTGAATTTCACTAGAACCTCAAGAAAATGAAGAAGCAAAGGATCTGAGGAGAGAAACAAAAAAAAAATTATGACCAATAATTATCAAACTACTTTAGTACAACTTCGGCGGCAAGAACTTGTCAATAATTAAGGGTCAGTCTCATTTAGAGATAGATGGTGACGATAAAGAACCACTACATGGCATTGAACCTCGTTGCGGGGATCCATGTCTAAGCAGGAGCTCACGTGCCAAGGATTGAAGATCTCCACCACCACTAATTGCTGGTGATGAACTAGTGCTGCTGCCTCCAAATTGACGTGGATCCATTTGCCGCTGCTGCATGGTCCATGACGGCTGTGTGATTGGATCAAAAAGCGAAGATAGGTCGTAGGTGGCAGGCATAGAAGAGGCTGACGGCAGGTCAGATATTGAGAGAGGAAGCGGAGTCACTAGCGCTGGTGGTGGAGGAGGTGGAGGCGGCGGTGATGGAACCTCTAATGTTGCTAGATGTGCTTGCAAATACGTCAGCTCTGCTTGTAAATTCACCACCTGAAGCATTCTCCCGCCATATAAAACAAAATAATAATAAACGGAAAATTAATTGCGTAAAAGAAAAGAAAAAAGATAGAACCTGATATAGATATGGTTAAATGGCATAATGTCTAAAAATTGAATAGATATGATTTCTGACTATTTTGTATAATAATAATAATAATAATAATAATAATAAATGAGTCTATCACGTGCGATTTGATTAGATTTCTTACTATTATAAAAAATGGGAGGTCTCGAGTATTATTTCGGCACGTTGAATCGATAATAACAAACTTCTTCGAACTAGATAATGAAGTCAAACTATGTAAATCAAGTAATAATGCAGTGTATGTGTATATAATATGAGGAACCAATAATGACAATCGATAATAAAGGATTGAATATTTGGGACAACTTGAAGGATTCTGTCCTTAATTTATACTAAAAGGACGCTTGAACTATGTGCGTTAGAACGTGAAGTTGCGAGCAAAGAAAGATTACTTTTGATAAAGGAATGATAACATACAATAATTAATAAAACGCAGTTCTTGATCTTTGAAACGCGAGAACTGAACTCTTTGCTGAAACTTATTGCATATACTTATAAATTATTCTTTTTTAAAAAAAAAAAAAAAAAAAAAAAGCACTTGAATCGATTTAATATAAAAATTCTTCGACTAGATAATGAAGTCAAACTTACTGTAAAATCAAGTAATTATATGAGCAGTGATTACTGTGTAGAAGTAATAGAGGAACCAATATGAACAATCTATTTAATAAAGGATTGCAAATATTTAGGGGACAAGTATCTTGAAGGATTTCTTGGTCCTAGATTATTTATATCTAAAAATGGAACGCTTGAACTATGTGCGGTAAGACCACGTGAAGTTGCCGAGCAAAGAAAAATTACTTTTGATAAGAGAGAAATGATAACATACAATAATTAATAAAAATCGCAAGTTCTTGATCTTTTGAACGCGAGAAAACTGAACTACTTTGCTGAAACTTATTGCCATATACTTAATAAAATTTATTCTTTTTTTAAAAAAAAAAAAAAAAAAAAAAACTAATTAGTAAATATAATTTTTGAAAATATCACCAATACCAGCTTAGGTTTAGAATGAAATTGAATGCAATTGATAATTTAAGAAAGTTACGCAGCGTAACTGGATTTCTTTAAGTCAACTATGCTACTAATTCAATAGATTGTTATATGGCACTGCATAAATTTTACCCTCGAAACTAATTATCCGCGATTAAAAATTAAGTAAAAAAAAAAAAAAAAAAAAAACATAATTAGTAAATATATTTTTTGAAAATAATCCACCCATCCATGGTTTCGAATGATTGATGCAATGTTTAAGGAGTACGTAACTGGATTTCTTTAATCACTTGCTCTATATAATTGTATACATGCATAAATTTTAACTTTCTAATACGCATTAAGAAATGCATATAATTGGCTGATTCTATATATATATATATACGTGATCAGATATTAAATCCTCTCACCAAGAAATTTCAAAAAATGCATCCTTAATTTTAATTCCATGTATATAGAAAAATTAGTTAAAATATATATTTACAATATTCTCTACAAAATCAAACCTTAATTAATAAAAATAGAAAAATTTTCATCCTTGCCAATTAAATTCACCATAAAATAAAATTAGAGGTTCAAGAAAAATTAAAATTAGAAAATAAACACTAACAAGAAATTAGAACTCAGTTACATATTCATATAGTATAACGCATTTGTTTTTTTATTTGAGAAACAAATTCTTCCACATATCATGCGAAATAATTAGTTGATTATAGAAAAAGATCAACTATAAATTTGTTAAAACATAAGTAAAAAACAAAATAATTTAATTTTTCTTCTCTATACTATATTCATATAAGTCTTGTATAATGCAGAAACAAATAGACGTTTTTGTTTTTTTGAGGGAAAAACAAACAAACAAACAAACCTTGTAGCTATTAGGAGAATATTACATCATAAATAATTAATCCTTTAATGTAAGATAGCACATAGGCTAAGCATGTTAAAAATGGAGAAAATAATAGAAGCATAGGAGGAAAAAAAAAAAAAAAAAACAAGAAAAAAAAAAAAAGCTTACTCGCTAACAGTCTGCATCCAAATTTTAAGGTTAGGCTCGACAAGAAAATCCCCGGGTAAAAACAGAAAAGGAATGTATGTTTGACATTGAGCCCGAGACCTTACCGGGCACGAAACTAAATATACATCCAGTGTTGCTTTCGGTCTCTATTTATGGGAAAGCGAAACGCTCATCATTTATTTTAGTACTGTTCGGTAGCATAGGAGGAAAAAAAAAAAAAAAAAAGCTCTGCTAAGTCTGCATCCAAATTTTAAGGTAGGCTGACAAGATCCCGGTAAACAGAAGGATGTGTTGAGCATTGCCAGACTAGGGCCGAAACTAAAAACCCATGTGTTTCATCATTTTATGGAAGCAAACATTATTTTAGTACTTCGATTACTTTCAAGTACAGTATGATTTGACAATACTGTCCTAACAAAATCCCTTTTACTCTGACTTAAATTACCAATTAAGGAACGTAATTAATATGAAATAAAGGGATAATGATTAACTATTGCCCCTGAACTTGACCAGAACTCTTTCTTCTAAGAACAAGAAAAACCGACCATCTCCGTAATAACTGCAAAGATCCCACCATTTACACAAACTGTAGGCCGTAGCATTCTTGTAACCGCCGAGTTATAGTACTATCATTTGTTAATTCTAATCAAGAAAACGTTCTTGATTTCAGTAAAAATTATAAACCTAAGCTTCAAGAATCACAGCACAGAAAACAAAATAAACAAATTGCTTCCTCATTGGTAAAGCAGAGTACTTTAGCTCTCTAATCTTATATCTAATGCGAAAGGTAACTATAAATCAATTTGACACTTTGACAAGGATATTCAAAGAAAGAAAACCCAGTTCAAAGATTGATCTGTAACAGAAATTTGCCAGTTAAAAAGGGAAACTTTCTTTCTTTCGTTCTTTTTTTATGTTTTTGTTTGAGAAGGAAAAGAGAGCAACTTCAAAAGGCAAACGAATTAATTAAGTGAGAAGATGACAATAATTTGTACTTAATAAAATAAAGCAAATTACCTGTTGCTGTAGAGCAAAGATGTGAGCAACACAGCCATAGACCGGATCTCTTAGACGAGCTTGAGCCTCATAGCAAATAGTAACCACCGCATCAAGCCTTTTATGGACTGGAATATGTAAAAGAAGTTTTGAAACATTACTTGCACCAAAAACCTTATGCACCGCTGCAAAATGGGCTGCACCTTGCTCTGAGTCAAAGTAAGGCGCAAATATACAACCTGGAACACATTTCCTCCTCAAAAATTTGCACGCGCCACATGGCCCACTTCCACCACTGCTACTGCTTCCACCACCGCCACCGCCACTGCCACCGCTACTGCTAGGATTAGCTGTTGCACTCATTTCTTCTCCCTTTCTTTCTGTTCTTGAAAAAAAAAAAAAAAAAGAAAAGGAAAACCACTGTGTTACATAATTAGGGTTTGTATATATGCAGGATGGAAAGAAGGAGAAGGAGAAGAAGAAGAGGGATGGTCTAGGGTTTGGTTGGTGGGTGTTGGTTTCTGGTATTTGGGGTTTTTGTAATTATTGTTATTATTTAATGGAGGATTTGAAACGCTAGAAGAAGTCTTTAAAGCCACGCGATAGAGCAAAGCCCTCCCCCATTTAGCTGCTTGCGTGAAGCAAACATGCGATAAGCCTATCTAATATTCTCAACTGCCCTTTGTTTTTTTTCATTTATCTTTCCTTCTTCTCGTGATTTTTTGTAACAAAACTCCCTTTTTATTTCTCTCTCTGTAGTTATATAAATGCGTGATGCATATATCTTCGTTTACGACTTTGCTTTTTATGCCATATATGAATCTGGCTTATAAATAAAAAAGAAACAATGGTTTTTTACAAGTCGAAACGTGGCAATAGGTCTTGTCTTATATATGCCACTGCGTGGTTTAAGCAGCGTAGAGGGCAAAAGACGCCATCTCTCTCTCTCTCTCTCTCTCCCTCTCTACAATGTTGAAAATGACTCAGCTTTTTCCATTTCCCTTTCCTTTTCTAAATTATAATAAGCCAAAATAAACCCACTGGGTTTTTGAGAATGACATGATTGCCCACAGGTTTAGTTCTAATTGTATTGTATTAATTTGCATATTTAGTATTATTTGAAGTTAATTATTAATGCAAAAGGGATAATATGATGTCTGGGTTAGAGTTATAGATGGAGAAAGAGAGAGAGAGAAAATTAATCTATCTTGACGTTAAAAGTTAGGTTTGGTTCCTTCTTTCTGATCTGATCTTAATTATAATTTTCTGTCAATTAGTGAAGTGGCTAATCTCTAATGCGTTAGGTCATTCTCGAAATAGAAAGGCTAAATCACATCAACTACCCATAACTCAAAATTAGCAAAAATCCGTTGTAAAGCAAGCAAACGGCGGCCTAAATGCATAAATTCACCCTAAACTTTACAATTTTAATCTCATGGCACTATCATCAAACTTGTAAATTTTGATAATATAAATATCAATAATTTTTAAAATTTATACTTTTTATTTATAAAACATCAAATTGATATATAGTTAACATGATTTTTAAAACAATAATTTTTTTAATAAAGCAAAACAATAGCTTTGGAGTTATTACAATAGTTGGTGTGATGTGCTTATGCATTATAGTGCATATATATAACTCAAATGGTTGTATTTGTTGAAGAATTTGATGATCGTGGTCTTGATAGCGACAACAATGACAATGATAACTCTTGTAAATTAATTATTTTTCTTTTTATATATATTCCCCTATGGAAAATTCTATTAGAAATACACGACTTGTTATATTAAACAATTCCAAAAAATTCAAATTCCTTTTATTATTTTCTTTTCCCCATATATGGTATAATAATATTATAGAGGATGGACAATGAATATATTTGAATATCATAGGCTTCAAGCTTCATTTACCACTATGAAAATGATATATTATTTTGCTTAATTATATTTTCTTTATTATGGTATGGTAAAATATTAAATATTATGGAATAAAGTAGCCCAAGTAATTAAATTAAATATTACCAACTATCACACGTTGCATAGATCATTAGCCATCTATTGATAGTGTTGATGACAATACAAGGAAAAAAATTAAGGATGATCGATCATTAAGATGAATAATTATTAACAAAAAGATGGAGTTTAAAGAGAAAAACCAAACAGACGATTTGGTAATTACATAGACGGATGGCCAATCAAAAAGGTCAAAAACAGAGTTCGGCGTTCAAAGCAGCACAAGCCATTCGAATGTGAGAGCGCCACGTGTAAGTCGGTGACTACGAACGTAACGGCCGGGTAAAAGATGACCTCACACTAAAAGCGGGACCCATACGCCGTTCACTTTGAAAAGAAAGTAACGTCTCTGCTCCCTCACTGTCTCCATCTCTAAAACAATAATAGCTGTCCTTTTTAATAAACTAAACTAACAATTTGTTTGTTTTGTTTATTTTTTTTAAAAGCTAAATTTTCTGTTATTTCTTATTATTAAAAAATAATTATATTTTTATATTTTGTTTTATTTCTCTACTTTTTCATGTTATTTTATTTTATATTTGAAAATAAATAATAAAATTTCCTCATTTTTTTAAGAGTATGTCATAATAAGAGAAAATTGAATGATAAGATAAGTAAATTACTTATTTTAGTACATATCAAACAAATTAAAATTAGAAAGTTATTGATTTAGATACTTGTTGGACAAAAATAAAAAATTTATAAGATTTTATATATTAATTTAATAATTACTATTCCATAAAAATTAAAAGTGAAAATTGTAAAATCAAAATAGTTCATAACGGCGCGTCAACCGCGCCGTCCGATCCTTTGTCCAATCCGTGTGTTGAGAAGAGGAGGCAATGAAAGAAAGTCTCCAGTTCAATCTATTTGACCGACACGTGTCCTCGTTTAAAGCTCGCGTACGGTTTAAGTGACCGGGATGCTTACGCTGTAACAGTACCTCTTGTTTTTTCCTTTCCTTATCAAACAGTTTTGTTATCCTCCTATTCACTGTCGCTGATTTCTTTTTTCTTGTTTTGTAAGATAGAAGAAGAAACATATTTTCTCGTGACACGAAATATTTTGAAATACAATAATGTTTAATTTAAATACCTGAAATGTGCATAAAAATATTTTTTTTTTTAGTATATACTTACATTTTTATGTTCCGATTGAAATTATATACTGAACAAGAAAGTCTTATTAATTAGTGAATTAATTAATAATTATAATCAATTTTATCCTAGAAATGTAGGCAATTTGATAAACAATGTCCCTACAGAATTTGAGAAAAAGCCCACTTATCTGGAAACATGTCCAGAAGACACAAAATTTAGTTGCTAAGACTCTAATTAGTCTGTCTCTTAAATCTCAATCATCACTCGATGCCTTTCAATTAGGTTTGCCTAAACTTTTACTAACATATATATATATAAATTAATTAATTAAATTTAATATTCTAAATGTTAGGACCCCACACTCAGTTCTTCCCTCCCACTCGTGCGGTCAACACCTAGGAATCATAAAATCTGTGGAAGGTTATTGAATTATTATTAGAAGACAATAATTTGGTCTGCGAATTTCGTTTTGAAAGAAATGTGTTAAGTCTTATTATGGAATAGAATATATGAAGCAGATGTTATGTTCTCCATAAGCAACTTGAAGAAGAAAGAAATTTTAAAATTACTACAATGTTTTGTATAATATAATTAAACGAGTCAAAGGAAGATTTTGAACCAAAGAACAATAGTTGTGAAATCTAGGGACATTGCTTTTGGGATTACAAGTCATTTTAGTCAAACTATGTGGAAATTTAAGATGCTGCCTTTTGACAGTTGTGCTATTGCATGATGTTTGAGCTGTAATTTGTATCTCTCAGTCGTAAGCGTTTTAGTAACTTTCTCCGCGTAAAATGTCGTTTTCTAGTGTTTTTTTCTACATTTCCGTGTTTCTACAATTTTTTTTTTTTTTTTTTTTTTTTTTTTTTTTTTTTTTTTTTTTTGGTGTTATATAATGATTTTGAGTTTGGATAAGTTTATGATAACCTGATATTTTATTTTCTTTTTCTTTTTATGCTATTAATGTTTGAAAGTTTGAACGAATCAAAGAAAAAAAATATATATACTTAATAAAAGATTGGATATTACAATATGAGCACATAATTTTATCACTAATTAGCAATTAATAGCATCCTAAAAATGAATAAAATCGATTAGACACACACAAAAAAAAAAAAGGTTGGAGGCCTCATGTGAGATTGAGACAGGAAAATGCATATGACAGAATGAAAGAATTCCCCCAGCATAGCTTTAAAGAAACATGTAACATGCACTGTAGGAAGGGTTATTTTTCACACAAGAAGGTTTAAAGCAATGTTGTCTCCTGCTTTGAAGGAAAGAGGAATCCTTGATTATGATTAATCAAATCTTATTAAGTGATAATATGCTTTTAAATGCAAAATATAATACGAATTATAAAGTAGAAGCATATGCTAGCCAATAAGCTCGTCAAAGGAATTTTTTAAGACATGATATGTAATGTAAGTACCTTGCAAAATCAGGTCGATAGATTATAATATCACTTTCTAACATTTTCAAAAATCAAAGAGGATCCAGAAGATGCTTTAGCCAAATCATATGAATTGGCAATTCCTTGTTTTGTCTCAAAACATCGTACTTAAAGTTCATTTGAGAGTAACACACCGCATGCTCAAAGTATTCTACCTTTTTGGCACAATTAAGTCATCTATATAAAATGATAAATCCACGAGGTAAAAATTTTTTAACTGGGAAAAATCTATTGACACCTGAAATGAGTCTGCGTACATATCAAATTAATTATAAATAATGTTTTGATTAAACAATAGGGTATTTCTGATTATACATAGAAAAAAAAAATATAAAATAAAAAATATTTTTTGATTGACTTAGGGTATGGAACCAAGTGTTTACCTTACTTGACTCGTTGCGGCTATTAGATTAATATTCGACTATAGGTATAACATTTATTGATAATTGTTGAATGATCTGAGATATCTAGCTAGCATTAATTTTTTATTTATTTGTAAAATTGAATTTTCCCTTTTTTTGGTTTTTTTTTTTTTTTTTTTTTTTTTTTTTGGTTTTTTTTTTTTTTTTTTTTTTGTGTCTTTCTCTCAAAGCTTTGTAACAATTACTCACTTGTCGTCCCATTATCGGTCCCGTACTTAGCAGAAAGCCCATGATGAAAAAAATGAGCGCCTAACGTGTCTAAGGGTGAGAGCTTGAGTTAGCCCATTTATATTTTGCCTTCACACTGTAAGTAAATGATCCAGAGTTGTTTTTTTTTTTTTTTTTTTTCTCAAATTTTTATTGCTTTTTTTTTAATTATTTAAGAGGCCTTTCGTATTTAATTGTTTTGTTTCCCTCCTTTTAATAAAAGAAAATTATTTATAGATTAAATAATTCAGATTATGAGAAAAGCTTTTGAATTTAATTTAATTTCTTGTAAGGAATGAAAAATTTTACGTGTGATTAAACTTGGAAGCGGATGAATTCTGCTTGATAAAACTAAGATACCCATGTTTTACAATAAAAATAAATAAAAAAAAGGACTCAGTAGGATGGATTTAGAGAATGCCGCGTGGCATGATTTGATATAAGGTAGTAAATACATCAAAACCATGTTTTTTCGTGCCTGTCAGTATGGCACTTCATCGGCTCAGTTCGTTCGCACTTGTCATTACTCACTTGAACGCTTGAAGTTGAACCACCAAATTCTTCTTTTTCTTTTTCTCTCTGACCGAATAAAGCAGGAGGTTGTTCATTTAGACGACACCGTTTTTTTTTTTAAGTTACTGGGTTGATCTTGAAAATTTTGATTTTATGATTTCTTCCACTTATAAATTGAAATTTTATTCATACATGCACAAATTTTAATATTTTATTGCTTAAATATCCATTTAATGTGAATTACAATAATCTAATTTAAAAATATCTATTTATTTTTTGCTCAAATAATTTGCTTATACTCCAAGAGTTCATGAGCATGTGATAATTATGCATAAACTTAAATCTTTAATTTCCCCATTTAAAGCAAAGCAATTGAAAAGAATGTGTCAATGTATGAAAACTTTTTTTTTTTTCTTTTTTTCTCTTTGATAATTTTGTCATTGTCATGAAAATCAGTACTCCTATAACAATCTTTTTTCTTTTTTTACTTTCATCACTCTCTAAAGTATCGTGAAGATAAACATTTATTCAATCAGAAAATATTGATTGTAATTATAATAAATATATGTTTAGCCATTTGCTAAAAAAATAAAGATAATATAATAATGGTATTTTAAATAATGTTTTATAGATTAGCATGGTACATGGAACAAGCCATTGAAGAGGTGCACAGGAGAAGTCTTATCTAATTCAAAAATCACCACTCTATTTTCTACTTCTCTCAAGTCTCCAAGTCTTACCGTGAATGTGAAAAAAAACAAAAAAGAAAAGTAAAATCATAAATAGTGATTTTTTGTACTCTCGCCTCTCCCTCCCTCTCTCAATTTCTATGTCTCTACAGAGACACAGAAAAGATTAGATGGAAATGACAAGAGAAGCTGATTGGAAAAGATAGGATGTTTGTCCCACATGGACTTCGCACGTGGCCACAACTGCGGCGGTTGGAAGTTGATACTGTCACTCACCGCATGTATGTTTGCTTGACGCAATCTTGCTCGCACTGTTCTCTTTCTCTCTGCCGTGGCTTTAAAGTTTGAACCAAGTACACACACCACACCCTACACTCTCTAATTAAACAAGTAAAAGACCAAATTGAACCTGTCATTTCAAATGACCCACCACCAAAAGCTTCAATATTTCCTTATAATTATCAAACTTAAGTAACAAACGGACTTATCACTCTTTCTCTAATTAAATACCCATTTCATCCTCTTCTTTTTGTTTCCTCTCCTCTTTTTCTAGACCCCACAATAAAGAAGTTTAGCATACAGAGAAGTGGAGAGATGAGTAGTAATGGAGGTGGGCCTTGCGGTGCCTGCAAATTCTTGAGAAGGAAGTGTCTAAAAGGCTGTATTTTTGCACCTTACTTTGATTCAGACCAAGGAACGGCTCATTTTGCTGCAGTGCACAAGGTTTTTGGTGCTAGTAATGCCTCTAAGCTTCTTCTCCGAATACCTGCCCATAAACGTCTTGATGCGGTTGTTACTCTTTGTTATGAAGCCTTGGCTAGGGTTAGAGACCCTGTTTATGGTTGTGTTGGTCATCTCTTTGCCCTTCAACAGCAGGTAATTTATTAAGCTTCCCTTTTTGGGCCATGCATGTTAAGCTTCTCTTGGTTTGATTAATTGGTATTTATTTTGCTATAACATGATGAGATTCTAATATTTAAGTGCAAGATTCATTAGGGTTTTTTAGCATGCATATTAATTTCCTTAAATCGATCCCGCTAACTTACTAGGGTTTTGCTAATGTACATGTTGCTGGCTCAAGTAGCTAAGCTAGTAGTCAAGCTATAGTTGGTTAAGTTCATTAACCCAATTTCATCCATGGCTCTCCATGAAAAATTGGACTCAAAAATAAAAAGTCAATTTGATGGCAGTACTCTTCCCTAGATAGCTTGACTAGTTAGCACTGTAGAGGTAATCCTATAGAGGCTTGTGAAGGGTTTTCCTTTCAGTTTTTACATTAGCATTACTGTTTATTTCACAAGTTTGTCAGTTTGTAGGCCCAGAGGACAATCTTTTCTGCTAGGGTTTTCTTTTCTACGAGTCTTGGTTGTTTCCTTTTCCGATATAGTAATAAATTGAGTGAAAGAACCAATAACCTTCTCCTTCCCGCAATACCAATTCCCTTTCCAAATCTAAATGAGCTCGAACTCGAAAGCCAGTTAGAGTGAAATTAATAAAAATATAAGATAAAATAATTGAACGAAACGATTCTACTGGTCTTTTGGGTTTTCCCCAAAATTGCATAAAACTCATGTGTGTGAATGCAAATAATATAGAGAGAGAGAGGAACAGAGAGAAGCCATGTACTGGTGGGACATATGGGTTGACGACGACGGGGATTAGTTTGCTTGCCGGAGCTAGCAAGCAAAATTTAGCAGCTCGAGAAATATTGAAAAATTTGCGATTTTGACTTTGGCGGTCGACATTTCTTGTAATACGGACTACGGAGGAAGCAGGAGGAGACATGAAATAGAAAAAAATAACGTTAATGCATTAATTAATTTTATGACATAATTATGGTAAGGTTTCATCCATGGATGATTGTGGGTCCTACCCACGTGCTGGTGTTTAAAATGGTAAATCTACTTCACTCAAAAAAGTCTTTATAATCACATGGGATGGGATTGTAATGTGATTTACTTGCAAGGATCATTTTCTTCCCGACGAAACATTTTACCTTACAGAGTGCAATTATAGAAATAGTATGCACTCTGTAATTAGGTAGACAACCATTATCTTCTTTAACGCCATTAATTGTTTTCTTGGGAGAGACACAGATACAAAACTTCATTATGGTTAGAGAAAATTATCATAATTTAATTTAATTGCTTCGATTAGCATATATAACAAAGGTAGTTTATACTTTATATGCATGCATAGATAGATATAAGGAGAAAAGAAATTATCATTAAAAAAAGAAATAAAAAAAAAATGATTGTTGTGATGACTTAGCTACGTTTGTTTCACATCTTGCTTAATTATATAATTAGTACTTAGGGCATGTGTACATATATTTGTTAATTCAAATTGAGTTTTATTATTGTGATTGTGATTGTGATTGTTGTCTTCTTTTCAACACCGGCTTTTACGTTCAATGGCTGCAGCAGCTCTTTCGAGGAGCAATAGCATCCTATTATTCATGGAAAAAAAAAAATCTTCAATTATATATAATTATGTCTTATTAAAAATGATCCTCCTTAATTAATTTTTTATATGACTGAAAGAAGATACCAATATTATAAAAATGATTTAAATCCGAAACTTGAACAAAAAAATCAATCAGACCACCCTTGTAAATATTAAAATATTATTATTAAGTTTTAATAATTAGATATTGAAAGATTGAATATTTGGCGCTGTGAATATAGGTGGTGAATTTGCAGGCAGAGCTGGCCTACATTCAGGCGCGCCTTTCAACATTGCAGCACCTCCCTTTGCCGCATCAAAGCCCCTCTCAAACAACTTCAACGATGGCATCAAATTCTAACATGTCGATGAATTATGATCAGCAACAAGTTTTACAATCTCAATATCTATCAACTGAATTGGCAAGCATCTGTAATAAAAATCCACTCGATCCAGAACTCCAAGCTGATGATCTACAGTCTTTGGCTCGTGACTTTGTCTCTAAATACTTGCCAGGAGTTCGATTCAAACCTCCATCCTCTCATCAGAGTAATTTCTAGAATTCTTCAACTGTCTTTGGTACTTCTGTTAGTGCATCTTCTACTTCATCGTAAGTGCAATTAAATGGTACTCATTTTTTTCGTTTCCCTTTATCAAAGACTAATGTTAGTTTGTTTGTGCTAAATTTTGAATGCGAAATCTGAATTAACAGTCTACTAAGCTGAATGATTAAAAATTAATATTAAAAGCTAATTACTGAATGATTAAGTAGTATAATTATTGAGGACAATTTTACCTTTTTGTCCAATAAGTTAATGTAGTTTATTGAATCAATTCAATTAAATAGATCTATTTCATTACTATATAAATAAGATGAAGCCACAGTGATAGTTACAGCGTTGTTTGTTTGGAGTGATATCAATCATGGTGCTAGCAAACAATTTCATAATCCTTCCTTTTATGTGATTATGAATTATTATTGTAATGTTGGTTGTTGAGTACACTCATTGAAAAGCACATGAGGCCCATTCACAATAATTTGTAACAGGCCTGTTGGCCCATCCTCTAACCCTAAGTAGTTTAAACTATTTGGACTAAAGGTTGGACTAACCAATTCTGGGACAAGTAGATGAACCTAAACTACCAGTGCAATAATGTTAGAAACAAAATGTTGCTTCTTCATTGCTAATCGGAAAAAAAAAAAAAATCTGAGCAACAAATGAAGAAGAAGATTCCACTTCATAGGCCTCAAAGCTAGACTAGGAAATTAAAGTAAACTGGGTATTTTGCTGCTTCAATGCCAATTAATTTTCCTGGACACATGTAGAAAAAGTTCACAAAGCAGATTTTCATGATGTTTTTAGCAAGGGTCAAACTCGAACACTTGCTTGGCTGTTCACAGATCCCATATATTAGGCATTTCAAACCTCGAACACATCATTTGTTCTAGCTGCCAAAATGATGTTACTGTATCATCATTTCTTGGCTCAACACATCAAATGATAAATAGAAAAGAGGGAGGGAGAAGTTAGCAAGAAATAAAACATAAAAACAGGAGGAAAAAAACACAATTATTAGCAACAGTTATCACTGACCACAAGATCATTGCTATTACAAGTAAAACCGCAACTCCTTCCCTGGAAATTTTGAATCATAGCAAAGCAAGCGTTAAGATCGCAGGTATCCATAATGTTCTTTTTCAGATAGCTCTTACCCTAGCTTCTCTATTTATTCTTCGGGCTCACCTTTTTTCACCTTCAAACCAATGTTGCTTCATTATCCCCATGGTGCCTCCGAGTTGAATTTCTTTTGCCAGAAAAAATGGCCTTGGAAGACGGAAGAATCACTTCAATAAATTGTAACAGTTACTTACTCAACAACTAAACATGCAAAACAATTAATGGGATAAAAGAAAGGAAATAGAAGTTAAACAAATGATAGTTCCAAAAACCTCGTCCACAGCAGCCCATCAAAGACTAGAAAAAGTTCATATAGTTCACAAAAGAATCATAATTTCTTGGTCCATGGCAGGACGTCTACACATGATTAGCATTCAGCTTGAACTTCTAGTGGAATAGTGACAGTAAGTAGTTCATTGTTTCTCCCAACTCAGGCAGATTAGCAGATACATGAAAATTGCAACAAACCTCATACAATTCAACATTAATATTTTCTAGAAAGACCTAAGAACAGCACTAATAGTGATTGTGCTGCATAATCTAAACCTTAAAGTCAAACGTAAATAAGTAAAGCTATAGGCAGGATAACAAAACGTAAATAAGAAATGATGAGCAACTTGCAAATCTTCAAAAGAGAGACCGACTTGCACTGAAGCCCATATCACCTTCATTTAAGGTACAATTGCACATACATGTCCAACCAACCAGACTTCAGATTGATCAAGAAGGCTGAAACTCTATTTCAAAATTACAACTAATTTCTATTTATTCCATATATCCAAATTTGTTCGTCAGAGTAATAAAGCTAGATTATCATCTCCTGTTTCAGCAAATGTATGAATATTTGCCTCTTCTTTAGAGACCCACAAAAACAAAAGCACCTAGTATAACTAGTTCAAGACTTTTTCACCAGCAAGTAAAGTAGGAAATCATGGAAATCCAGAGCCATTGGTCACAGGCAGATACATCTTGGCAGAGCCTATAAGCATGACAAAGCTCAAGTTCAGTGCATAAGTTCCAATTGCATATAACCAAGCAAATTACTAGAACAAGAGATCCTGCTATATACTTAAAGTTCTCTTGATCCTAGGACAACACAGTTGAACTATAACTGCTAGTATGATAAGGACAGTGATCATGTAAAGCAAATAATTAAAGAGCTATCAAAAGACTGGCATTATACATATAACCCGGAAAATACACCAGTCCTATATATTTCACAGTGCAACATTAGGGCTAGAAAGCGAGATGCAATATTTACTACATACAAGAATTTTAAACTTTAAAGAACTGAATGATACGCATTATAAAAGTAACCAGCTGAAAATTATGAACATCCAGCAAATGGTTAACAAAAAGTCATAAATAAGGTATGTGCAGAGACCCAATTGGGCATACTTTACAGAACAACACACAACAAAGGTACCAAAAAGCATGTGAGAAGCTCCAATCTTCAGTATACTTAAATTTACAGCCCACTTCCTGCAGACAGAATATATGAATGGGCAAGATATGAACTCAATGACTATGTTAGAGTCAGTTAACAGCTCTACAGGGCTCTAAACAATCTCCCCATGTCTGAACCCACTGTCCCCACAATCTGCACTGGAGTCCAACCCACAAGGAGAATCATACCATTTAGGATTCTCTTGATAGAAACTATCAACCTGTATAAGACCTACATCAGTCACTATAGCTTCATCGTGTCTCATGGGCTTGGTTAGTTTAGTATCCTCACAATCAAGAATGCTCTTCTCATCAAAATCGCTGCATTTCAACCACTTTTCAGGCTTACATGGCTCAGTCATCAGATCCTTATCACTCCTACACTCTGCCCTCATATGGTCCCAAGGAACAACATCCCCAAGTGTCCGTCCGAAACTATCTTCATCATCATCAATCAGTTCTGTTTCCTTGCCATTCCCATATATCCGATCATGATGATGATCACTCCAGTGCGGCAAATCATTCTCCCCTACTAGCACATCATCTGAATTAGGCTTGTCTGAAAGCAGCCCAATTGCCTTTGAACCATCTTCCCCTATGCTTCTAACTTTATTAACAATATCAAACAATTCATGTGACACTGAAGCCAACAACTCACTAGGGATTTTCCTTAATCTTCCTTCTAATGACCCAATTTCAGTTCTCAACTCTTGCAACTGCTGGAAAACTGAAAGCTGCAATTCTCCTTCATCTTTGCCCATCAATATATAACCCTCATTGTCCATGTCCTCACGGACCCCATAGTCCATTTCTTGATCTGTCATAAAGCTGCCTTTATGCCCAACAACCCGATGCATAATCCTTGCATTCCCATCCAAGGGCCCTGGCTCATGCCCTGAATGGACTGCATATAGTTTGAAGACAGCCATTCCCTCTTCTTGATACACAAATGTCTTATCCTTCTCATTGTAATTGGTGATTGGCACTATTGCTCGAATCCTAAACCCGCAACCACACCTTTTTGAAGCATAAGGCTCCCTCTTCAACATCCTCGACTTCTTGGCCACAGGCTCACCAGCCCTATGACAAGCATAATCCTTAACCTCAGCCATAAAAGGCTTATACCTAATATATTTTTGCCTAATACAAAGCACGACCTTATGTTTTGCAGCCAATTGCTGTAACCTATTTGGCACCTCCTTAGCAGGAACATCAAATGACTCGGTGTACTCAAAACGACGGCGTTTGTTCCTGGAACCAGAACCCTCAGAGGCGGAGCACACAGGGCAAGCAGCCACACAAACCCTAATGTAACTCTCGGGGATTCCATAAAACTTAGCACCTACGGTCCAGACTTGTTTAATTCTCTCTATGGTTTCTCTAAGCCCTAGGTGCTTTAAATCAGCATCCCCATGAAAGCTCATGACAATATCTTGCCATTGATTAATATGAGAAACAAATTGTTGAGAATTGTTCTTGAAGCAAAGAAATTCATTACCGGATGCAGGGTCCACCTGAGCCGTGAGCTTCTCTTGGATACGCTTCCATCCAGTCACATAGGCAGTGTCCTCGTTGCGGTCCTTCCAGACTGCGCGCCACGATTTAAGGACGGAGCCCGGCGTGGCAGCACGGATCTCGTCGGGAGTAGCTAAGCGGTGCTCTAGAATACAGCGAATCATGAGAGAGTGAGACTCAGCGTTGAATGTATAGAATTGGGAGGATATATGGGGCTCGGGATTAATATAAGCCGGTGCGTGAGTGCCTCCGGAGACAATGCTTTTGGAACTGGAGTGAGTCGGGTGAATCAGTGAATCTTCATTGTCGGAGGAGGACGGACTCGGTGTGTCCGGAGAAGAGGAACGGAAGAGGACAATCTCTGGGAGAGAAAGGTCGTCGTGAATGGACGGCTGGGATTGAGTTGGGTGGGTGGGGATGATCTGAGGAGGTGGGCCCAGATCATGACGATGATTGTGGAAGAGATCGTGTTCCGTTTTGTGGGGATTCATGAGACAAATTGAACAAGAAAGAAGATGGGTGAATGACTGAGAAAGATAAGAAGAAGGAGAGGAGGAGGTTTCTAAGTAACTTCCTGGACTTTGTCTTTGCTCAGCTTCTATCTGACATTTTGGAACTCAAGAGGGTTTCTACTTTCTCTCTTCGTTAAACTTCCAAAGTCTACATGCCTTTACTTTTTCTTTTCTTTTAATTTTTTTATTCATTCATAAATTTTTAAAATAATTCCAATTTGAACCATCCTTTATATATACTAGTATATAATATTGCTAGGGTGACGTGAAAATATATATATATATATATATGAATTTCAGCTTCTCACATAAGAAACAAAAATAAAACAATATTTTCAATTTTTAATATTTTATTTTATCAACCAAAAAATAATTAGATTTATAAGAAAAAATAAAATACATATTTATTACTACAATTCTTTTTTATTTTCTATGATTTCAATAAAAAAACAAGTCAATATTTTGTTCCTTTCTTCTAATGGTTAAAAAAAATTGTCATTATTCTAAAAGATAAATAAATGTCGGCTATTATACTAACTAGACAATTGTTTACTCTTTTTTATGTTTTTCTTTTTGGCAGTTCCATGCATATCGAATGAAAATGTCATTAAAAGGATATGAAATATCTCTACTTCACGTGTGTGTTTTCAAAACCATAAAAATATAAATGCTCAAGAGTATAAATATTTCCATAGTATTTTATGTTTTAAAAAAAAATCAATTTTTAAGTATAAATGTCAATCAACTAAATTGCTCGTAAGCTATTTAAAATTTAGTTTGACAAATTTTGTTTTTTTTCGGTTTGAATGAACGAGTCAATCTTGAAAGGGAATAAATTAATTACTTAATAGGAATTATAAATGACTTGAGCTCGAATTTAGTTTAAATTAAGTTCAAATTCATATTTATATGTGCTTTTTTTACTTTAAAACGTATAATAAAATAATTTTATTTTCTTCTTGAAAAATAATTTAGTTTTTAATTAATAGTTATTAAAGTAATATTACAATGCTATGATTTAAACCTATATAGACCTAGAAAAAATAATAAGCATGTTATTCAGCCATAAAATATGATTTTTTTTTTTTTGCTCTCTTAATAATTATGTTTTTCCATTCCATTTAAATAATATATATCAAAAAATTAATTGTTTTTTTTTTATGTTATATTATCCATCATGGCCATTACAAGCTAATTATTTCAAAACTTATGAAGTAAATCTAGTTGAGGTCGTTGAAAAAATAAAAAACAAAAAATGGAAAATATAAATTTAATTTAAAATAAAATAAATAAATAAACAAATTAATTGGATTTAACCACAGTAATTACTAAGAGATTTTTGTTTTTTTACATGGCAAGTCTTTAATCTACTAATTGGGTATGAAATAAATTTTGTTGATATAAATATTTATAAAATTTACTAATTTTAAAATATTCATTTACTTGTTGGAATGAAAAGAAAAAATTGTGGTTTATGGCTCAATGAAGGATTAGTCCATTATAAAAAGGTGGATAAATTTTTTATAATTGTAAAAAATAATAATAAAATTAAATATCATGATAATAAAATATAAAATTTTTGATTTGGTTCTTCGATATCAAAAATCTATTTATAACTATATTTTTACATATAGTGCCATGTCAAATATACTGTCAATACTTAAAAGTAACTTGTTCTTTTCCTCTGTTTTCCTTCATAAAAAGTTAAACCTCTTTTCATAACTTGCTTCCAGACCTTTTCTTTTTTCTTTTTTCTTTTTTTTTGATTTTTTTATATATACCCAATAATTGTTTCTAATATTTGACAATTAGTAATTTATTATAGAAATACAATATACAATTATGTATTATATAATTACAGTTTTAATTTATATAATTATATTATGTGCTGCAAATAATATATATAATTAATTTATATACAGTTATTTTTAAATAAATCTCAATTAATGAAAGAGAATTTATTTTTATTTTTTATTGAATTTAGTTTAAATTTTTTATTACCAGGCTCTGATTAAAATTTAAACAGACAATTATAATATTAATGATTAATTTTCACTTATGCTTAATTCAATTTATTTGATTTTGAAGAATTTCAATTCATTCAAATAATTGAATTTGAAGCCCAAAATTCAAGACCTTCGCTACCGATAATGCATAAAAAAAAAATATATACCGGTGGTGTGCTACCAGCAAGCAAACTTACCATTATTGGCTCCAAAGTTGAAATTATTAAATATTTTCACGAAAAAAAACCTTCACATTCAAATTCAAAATATTTTTTCCATTACTATCGAAAAATATGTCTATGGTTTTAAAATGAACGGACCGGGCCGGTAGGGGCAAAGTGCAAAAGGTCCTTCAATCGGAGATATTGTACGCTCCTGTCCACTGCATGCAAGCAAGACCCCATGCTATAATAATGACGCGTCGGCGTTACGTTTGATAGATTGCTCCTTTTTCCAATGTAACGGTCCGTCCCGCTCCATCTATTTCCCTCCCACAATTCATCAAATTCAAGCGTTACTTTTTTCTCTGAGGAACCTTTTTCATTTTACGGCTTTTTCCATCAAATCCCAAACGCAATGGCCTATCTATAAACAGTATTTCGAATCTCTCACTCTATCATCCAAAAACCTTATCAAAAACCTGAGAATTACTTCTTGTAAATTCACAATGTCTAGGAACTGCAACGATAGGAGCGCTAACATAGAAACAACTTGCGGATTGTTGCTATTGGAATTGCAGGTTTTTTTTTTTTTTTTTTTGTAGATTCCTCCTTTTCAATTTAGTATATATTATTTGAATTTCTTTTTGGATGGCTTTTTCATTTTCGTTCATGGTTGTTGATGTTGAATTCAGAAAATATGGGACGAAGTGGGAGAGAATGACGCTCAAAGGGATAAAATGTTGTTTGAGATCGAAGAAGAATGCCTAGAGGTTTATAGACGAAAAGTTTTTGAGGCAAACAAGAGTAGATCTGAATTGCAAGGGGAAATTGCTTTGGCTGAAGCGGAAATTGAGAATATCTGCTCTGAATTGAGTGAGAAGCCAGTAAGAGTAAGTGAAATTAAGGATGTGGTGTTTATATTTCGTGGAATTTTGCTCCATTTCCTTTTTCTAATTTAATTTGTGGTTTTATGTCTTAGTATGAGCATAAGGCTAATAAAAATTTGAACGAAAAGATTCAAATTATTAATCCTCTGCTAGAGGAAATGCGGAAGAGAAAGGCAGAGAGGAAAAAACAATTTGCTGAAGTTCTAGATGCACTAAAGAACATTTCGAAAGATATTTTCGGTTCTGCAAAAGATAATTTATACGAGATGAGTATGGATGGGGCTGACCTGTCTCTGAAAAGACTAGAGGAATTACAGAATCAGTTACGCGATCTTCAAATTGAGAAGGTCCGTCTTCCTGTTTTGTGTTGATCTCAAATTACTTTTACTATCAAATCTAGAAATTAGCATTATTGCAAATGTTAAATATTATGTTATGATATAATTTTGATCATTTGTTATGTGCCATTACACCTGCAGAGCAACCGTTTGAGGCAATTACTTGGTCTTTTAGACACTTTAAACTCCTTGTGTGAGGTGCTTGGTATGGATTTCAAATACATATTACACGAGATCCATCCAACTCTGGATGATAGCAAAGAATCGAAAGACATAACAGATTATACAATTGAGGGGTTGACTGCTGCAATTCAAAGTTTGCGAGATGTCAAGATAGAGAGAATGCGGAGGGTTCGTATTCGAGAACAAACTTCTCTTGTATTGTTGCAAAATCGTTTTTTCTGCTTGTTACATGTGACTTTTTTTAACTCTACCAGCTTCAAGGTCTTGGAACTGTCCTCCTAGAGCTATGGAATTTGATGGATACTCCAATAGAGGAGCAGCAGGTGTTTCAGGATGTTACCAGTAGTGTTTTTGCTTTAGAACCTGCAATTACAGAGCCTAATATGCTTTCCATGGACTTAATTAACCATGTGAGTTATAACCAACAATAATTTATTTTCCTATTAAATTCACTTTTAGAATATACATCCCAACTACTTGCTGTTTTCTTTCACAGGTCGAGGATGAAGTCGTAAGGCTCAACCAGCTCAAATCAAGTAAAGTGAAAGAGCTTGTTTTAAAGAAGAGGTTGGAACTAGAAGAGATATGTCGGAATGCTCACATGGTAGCACAAGTATTTAGTGCAACAGAATATTCGAATGAAGCTGGTAAGGTGTTGACTAATATACAATGTAGAAGCATTCTGAGAATATTATCCATATTGGCATACAGGAGGCGTATGGATTTTTTTTATTAAGAAAGTCAGATTCAGTGAGAGCCTAAGAAGCGCTTTAACGCAAAAAAAATTAAATGAGATAATAGATAGCATTTTGGAGTGCGACTTTCTGTGGTGTTCACATGCAAATTATGGTTCCTGATTTGAAATTTTTTACTTTTCAAATTAACATTCATTCAAATTGATGTGTCTCCGGGAGAGAAAAAGAACCATTAGTAACCATATAATTGTCACACTGTTAACATAGGAGTGGACCCTGTGCATCTGCTTGAAGAGATGGAACTCGAAATTGTAAAGGTTAAAGAGGAAGCTTCTAGCAGGAAGGAAATACTTGACAAAGTGGAGAAATGGTTGACAGCATGCGAGGAAGAGTCATGGCTCGAGGAGTATAACAGGGTTGAGCAAATTTTCTGCTTCTGCAAATAAATTGTTGTTCTACTTTTTTTAGTCCTTGATTGAATCTCCTCGTATATATTGTGATATTCTAGGATAACAATCGTTATAATGCGGGAAGAGGTGCACATCTTACCTTGCAACGTGCCGAAAAAGCTCGTGCAGCTGTTAACAAAATCCCTGGTAAGACCCTTACAGCTGTTTGCAAAATGGTTTCTTCGTTCTGATCATCATTTGATCTCTTACGAGTTTCCTCGTTTTGGTTGGTGGTGGAGCAGCATTGATGGAGGCATTGACTTCAAAAATCAAAGCATGGGAGAAAGGACGAGGGATTCAATTCTTATATGATGGTGTCAGTATCCTCTCTTTAATGAGCAGAATAATTTAATGTGTGACAGCTAGCTGCATTTTAAGACTAATATAGTCCTTGTCCGAACTGTATATCTGCAATTTCTTTTTGTGGGCTCCATTTTTAATTAAAGTTTAATTAAATTTAATGTCTTTTGATTTATCCTTCTGTATAGGAACGGCTCCTTTCTAGGCTTGAACAGTACAGCAACCTAAGGAAAGAGAAGGAACGAGAAAGGATAAGACAAAGAGTAAGCGTTTTGTTTCTATACTATCTTCGTGAATCATTCTCCTCTTATACCCTCTTGTCCCTCTCATATATGCTAGGAATGAAATCTTCCTAATTTTTTTTTTCTATATTACATATAGGACCAGAAGAAACTTCAGGACCAGCTGATAGTAGAGCAGGAAGCACTTTTTGGGGCAAAACCCAGCCCATCAAATAGTGGAAGGAAAGTTTCTAGAACTTCAGTAGAATTTGCAAGTAATCGGAAACTCTCCCTTGGTGGAGCTATGCTTCAAAACTTAAAAGCCGAAAAAACATCAGCTTGCGTGCATGCAAATAAGAAGGTTAACTGTTTGAATCAAAACAACTATTTGAGTTACCAGCAAAATGGTGGTTCTGGTATGTTTTTATATTCAATATCCTTAAGTTTTGTTGTTTTGTTGCAGTTAAAAAACGTTATGAATGTTTTATATTATTTTCGTCAAATATTTGAAGGTAGGAGAAACTCAGAGATTGCTGGTCATTTAGTAAAGAAGGACTCTTCTGCAAAGCCACGCCAAACTGACTCACGCTTGATTAGGAAGCCCCTTTCTCCAATTCCTTTAACAATGTCTTCTCAGGCCAACATAGCAAACTTCCTGGAAGAACAGAAAGGATTGCAAGATGGAACATCTGAGACAGCAGCTCCTTGTATTAAGACACCAATACGGACACCTACGAAGCCTGTATCTGGCGTAGGTGAAGAAAACAGAACTCCCAAAACACTTCCGACTATAGTGCCAACAACTCCAACAACCACGTCAGCTCCTATGCTGATGTCAACACCATCTACCCCATACGTTTCGTCGTCTGTTAAAACAGCAAGAAGTGTTGCGGAACGAATCGAATACTCGTTTGAAGAGTTAAGAGTTGGATTGACCTGTCCTGTTTGAAAGTTTCAGCAACTATAAAAGAATTTTAATTATTTTTGTGAATTTCTTTTCAGGTCAATTTAAATCGACTCTTTTTATATATTATTAGATTTGTTGCTTTGCTGGCTGATGGAATTTGGCTCTTGTATTAAAATACTAATACATAGGATTTTTTCTTTATGCCTGAAAATATGAGTTCTCGTAAATTCTGGTATCATTTATCCTTTTATAGTATTTATCATAGATTATGGATAAGATAGGCACTGGATTTAGCTAGGTTGAGATGAGGACAAGAGGTTTTAGTTAATGTTTTTTCAATCAAAATGTCGGGTCCATTGCAATATTTTGTTTAGGCGACTAAGACTTGTGGACATGTGCAACCTCGGACATCTGTAAGACTTGGCCACCAAACCAATCCAACTCGGCTATCAGTACCGTTGACTAATTTGCAGTTGGAGGTCCTTTGGTCAAATGCCCCTCTGCTCTGCCTCTGCCAAGTGCCAACAATACAATTGCAGTTAAGTTAGATAACCAGTAACTTAGTAACTTCTTTACATTGCGAGAAGGTTTGAAGCATTATATTTAGGGAGAATTACTATTTAATTCTTGAGATTTTATTAAATTACTAGCTTATCTCTATTGTTTGATGAAATTACTGGCTTGCCACTAAAGTTTTATCACCAAAGTTTAGTGTTATGAGAGGCTAAATAGTAATATTATATTGAATATAAAATAATAAAATGACTAAATAGTAAATACTTGTAGTTGCATAAAAATAATTCAATCCTATGGATTATACAGGTATTTGACACGAAGATATCCAATAATGCATCCAACGAGACGAGACGAGACGAGACTGTCCAAGTGAATAAAGAGACAAGATGAGAGCATAAATTACGTAAATATTTACAAACGAGCAGTCAAAGATTTCGATTTTAGTAAAACACTAATTGTAACCATGGCCCTCACCTCACATGTAAAGCAAGATTCACCTTTTCCAAACCGAACCGGATTGCAGTTCGCGTCCTATCTGTATATACAGTGCGTTACTCAATTACACGGGTTTGTTGTTTCATCAGCACCAAAAATTGAAACTTGAAACAGAGGAAATTATTGCTCCACAGTACACGTGTGAATCTGGCTTCTTGTTATTTGTTGGTACTAAGAATATCAAATGATCTCATGTTCAAGGACTGATATTTATTGCAAACCCTTTTCTTTGTCTTTGATTCTAATTTTATTTTCTTTTGAAAAGATAATAACGTTTATAATTTTTTATTCAATTCATATCTAATATACATCTCTATATTATTATTACTCTTAATGAAATTAAGTAACAGTTAATATTAAAGTTTTATAATTGATAAAGAGTCACTTTAGACATTTGAGTGTGAATACAGATTAATCAAACTAATAAATTTTGAAATTATTGGAATAACCTTTCAATAATAAAACTAAAAAAAGGATTAGCTGAAAAGAAAAAGAACCATTTGCGCGTGCCATCAATAATGTCTGAAAAAAAAAAATTTTACTACATTGGACAATCCAAACGGCACTTCGTTTTACGGTACCTAAGCGTCCATTAAAGACGGATGTCGACAACCCTCGGTCACCTGCAGGTGACGCAATCACCACTCACTAAACTCCATATGCAATTAACAATATTGCCAATATAGCTTCGAAAGGAAAAAAAATTAAAGAAGAGTAAACAGTGGCATTTTTGTAAATCAGGAGCATGTGAAGAGCAAATATTAAGATGCCATCTTTTGATTGCCGAAAAAGACAAAAAGCAGGTCAGCGGCAAGAAAAAGGTGGTCCTCCAACGCCACCTTTGCAGCTTTAAATACAAAACACAAATTATTTAAAAAGAAAGTGAATTACTCTTTTACCTTATTTCACATACTCTTTTTTTATAAAATTACTATTCTAACCATTTTTAAACTCAAATTTCAAAATTCAATTTCCCTCACGGACGTGAAATTTCTCTTAAATCAATTGTACTTATCGGGTTTAGCAAATAATTGATTATTATTTAAAAAAATCTTTCATTCCCGTTTTTCTCTTTGTATTTTTATTATAATTTGTTTTTCACTTTATTTTTACGCTTTGGCTAAGTGGTTTCTGTTTCAGACAGGGAAAAAACCGGCCAGCGGTTTTTCCGACACCTGGAAAGTGAAAACCGGGTCTCTGTTTTCTCGAGAAATCATTTTCTCAGCAGGCAAACAGTTACGTTTTTTTGAAAAAAAAAAAAAAAATCTGTGAGAGAACTCTGATTTTTTTTTTTTTTTTTCCAAATCATTTTCTCAAGCAGGCAAACAGTTAAACGTTTTTTTGAAAAAAAAAAAAAAAAATTGTGAGAGAACTCTGATTTTTTTTTTTTTTTTGGCTTCTTAGCGTTGTTTTGAGTGAAAATCTAAGAGAAACTTCCTATAGTAGCGTTTCAGCTTCGGCCAATGTGTAAAGGTCTGTGACCCATAATAAGCTTTTTTTTTTTTTTTTTGGCTTCTTAGCGTTGTTTGAGTGAAAATCTAGAGAAACTTCTATAGTAGCGTTTCAGCTCGGCCAATGTGTAAAGGTCTGTGACATAATAGTTTCAGTTAAAACTTTAAAGGTGCTCATCGGAGTGGTGGAGTTGCTGTAGCAGGTCATGATCTTTCTCTTTTTCCTTTTGCATTTACCCCTTTTTATTTTTTCCATTGTTGAAATTTGAGTTTGTTTCTAGTTAATGAGTGAAAGGTTTTGGCGATGCAAGGTTTTTCTTTTAAGTGTGGAGCTGTTAGGTAGAAATTTGCTGGCTTTGTGTATTTTGGTGATCTTTCAGGGATTTTTATGTCGAAGATTGAAGCAAATGCTGAGCCTCAACTTTATATTCACTTACTTCCTTCGAATTTGTTCTTTTTCTTTCTTTTTTTAGTTCATGGATACTTGTTTTAAGAAGTTTGATCTTGAGTCTAAGGCAATTTTCATTAAAATACTTTTTTTTTTTTATTTGAGGTAAATTTGGAATATAATTTTTCTTTAATTAATTGATTTTTTTTTTTTCAATTTGAGCAGCTCGGAGCATTATTTCTGGGGTTTAAGGCTTTAAGAAAGTAGTTAGCAGTTTGATGTTTCTGATTTAGCTCGATACTGAATATCATTTCTCGTATCTTTTAATTTCTGCTTTACAGATGCTGCAATGAAGATCTAGCTTTGGGAGAAGTTGGTTGGTGGGTTTAGTGATTTTGAGTACTTGTGGGATTTTGCATGGAAACGAGAGAAGGATTAACTTCAGGGGTTACAGTGATAGGAGCTGAAGCTCCATCAACTTATCATGTGGCCCCAAGGACAGAAAATCCTAGCCAGATTGCTGGGTCACCAGCAGTGGCGATATCACCAGTTGGTATTGGATTAACTGGAACAACAGAAAAGAAGAAGAGAGGTAGGCCTAGGAAATATGGACCGGATGGGACAGTAGCTAGGGCATTGTCACCGATGCCAATTTCTTCTTCAGCTCCACCTGGTGGAGACTTCTCTGCTTCTAAGCCGAGTAAAGCTTGGCCAGGTAGTTTTGAGAAAAAGAAGTACAAGAAAATGGGAATGGAGAATTCAGGTATTTTTTTTTTTTTGCTTTTGAAACATATTTTGTTGGTTGAGGGTGCTATATTATTTGTTAAAAAGTAGAGATCCACAAGTGGTGATTTTGGTTTTATTTTAGCGAATGCTTAATGATTGATTCTGTTATTGATGGTGGAATGGGCTTCATAACTCTGCAACTGGGATTTTGGAATTACTTTCTTAATTAGCTCAAAGAATTCTAAATTGTGTTGAAAGATTCCTTCACTTCTGTATAATAGTTATTGAAAGTTTACGTGGGACCTCGGGAGATGCTCTTGTTTAAATCTGGAAGTAAAATGCTGGTTCTGAAATGAAAAGGTGGGCTTTTGTGGGCTTTGTTAAGAGTGAGAATATTCCTTGCGTGGCTAAGATTTTGGGGTCATGCCTTTAGCTGATAATGTAGCAATATGGTCCAGTGACAGAAACGGAATGAAACTTGTTAATCATGCAGGATTACTGATCAGCAATGTCCAGCTATATTGACTAGAGTGGAAAGTAGGGAAAAAATGTAGCTTCTATCCTGTCCTTAGGATGTAATGATTCATTGGAAAGATTATGCCGTTTGGAACATTTTTTTTTTTAAATAAAGCTTTATTGCATATTTGCATGGTTCATTCAGCTCTCTTCTGGTGATATTTTGTAGGTGATTGGTCTTCTAGTTCAATTGGTACAAATTTTACTCCACATGTCATCACTGTCAATCCTGGAGAGGTATGCTTGAATAAAGGGAAAAGGATGGTAACTTTTTGCTTTCTATGAAGTTTTGTACTATGATTATGCTGATGGGGAAACCATTTCTGCTTCTCATGTGAAAAAGGTTCTATTTAAATCCAGAGGAAGCTTATAGTATATACCTATAATCAATGCTGATTGTTAACATCATGCATGACATTATCTAAGGTTCTATTTCTACTGAACCTGTCCTTATGCAAGCTGCTTCTCATTATCTAAGAATGCCTTGGATAACGTAAGTTAATCTTCAGAATAGTTTTGCATAAACAATAAGTGTCAAGTCCTTCTGGTACCTACAACCACAGGTATCTACAGCCAATTTTTAAGTTATTAGTCACTTTATATAGATAGAGAGCCCCATCAACTGGGCTCCAGGGACAAGCTAGCTTTCCATCATTTAAGACAAGTTTATGGAAGTTACGAAATCATGGAAAATATTTGGAAGGTGCCAAGGCCAGGCTATAGAAGACCTCCTATGACTTGTTTATAATTTGCTGATTTCTTAAGCTACTTATATCTTTAGTTGGTTTCTTTTGTTTCAACGACAATAAGTTGTATTTATCTTAGCACTAGCACTTGTAGAACATTTACCAAAATTAGTTTTGCTTGCTAGTTGTTTGGATAGACATGAGTATATACCGTTAATTAAAAAGTTGTAGTTTTATAAGATGGACAAATTGCAACTTTTAACTGCTTCACTGAGCTGTACTCACTTTGTTTGTGATTTTCGTTGGTTCAGGATGTTACTATGAAGGTTATATCATTTTCACAACAAGGGCCTCGAGCTATCTGCATTCTATCTGCTAATGGGGTAATTTCAAATGTTACACTTCGCCAACCTGATTCTTCTGGAGGTACTTTGACCTATGAGGTATGCTTTTTTCAATAACTTTCTTTGATAAGTTCTTGTACCTTCTATTTAAAGTGAGTGATGATGTTCAATTATTATAATAAATTTCTCGAATATATGAATGCTAATGTTTGGTTGTTACAGGTTTTTGGTAAAGGTTGCTTTTGTGCCATTACAGTTGACCATTAGGTATTAACATCTGACATGAATTTGATACCACAAAAAATGAAGCTCTTGTTCAAAAACCAATGTTCATGGCCTTACAACTAACATTCTATACCTATTTGTAGAAGCTGGTGTTGGAATCTGCCGCACCACAGGATTTATTTGATAGTGTGAGAATATGTTTATAGTTTCCTTTGAGCTTGCATGAATGCAAACTTTTCAGTTAGCATATATATAATACTTGTGCCGCTGCTCCAACTCTAGTTGTAGATAATCAGCTGGCATAATGTATTCTTCAATTGAAAATTGATTGTGGATGGGTGATTCATACACTACAAGTAATTCCATTATATTGGTAAAAGGAACTCTAATGTTGCAAGTATTTTTTTTTTCTGAAAAAAAAAAAGGGTTTTTGTCGAAGGTGGAAATGTTAACAGGAGAAAAATCCAGTATAGATCTTGCTTCTTTGCTCTCTTCCCTCCCTCCCTATAGTTTACATCTACTACCCTCCTTTTCTTAAATGCCAGTGTGCATTTTTTATCTACTGCTTTGATGGCTTCTTGTTCACTTCTTGTGTTGGTGTTTCTTGTAATAGTCAACATAAATGCCCTTGCATATTTCAGCTAGGGTGTTGATTTGATAGTTAATGATCTTGCTTAAATGGCAGGCCTGGTTCCTGGATTAAGAATGATTTATTGCTGGCCATAAAATTTAAGAGTCCTGCCTCAATGTAAAAAACGGATTAAGCATAAAAACATTTTAAATTAGTGTGTTGATGCTATTGAATAAATATCTACTGGTTCTTTGTTTGTATAAGGTAAGTTATTGCATCTTTTTTTTCTCTTTGGTCGATATCAGCGTAAAGTTTCTGAACTCATCTCTATTACATAGGGCCGGTTTGAAATACTCTCTTTGTCTGGATCATTCATGCCTACTGAGAGTCAGGGGACAAGGAGCAGGTCAGGTGGGATGAGTGTTTCTTTAGCAAGCCCTGATGGTCGTGTTGTAGGGGGAGGTGTCGCCGGACTTCTAGTAGCTGCTAGTCCTGTGCAGGTAATTAAACTCCTCTTCTTTATTTTTTTACTTGTTTATTTCATTGGATGTTGCATTAGAAAAATTGAAGTGAGACAATGCTTGGCTGATCTTAGGGATTTTATGGCAGGTTGTGGTAGGTAGTTTCCTACCTGGTGGCAGCCAGCAAGACCAGAAACCAAAGAAGATAAAAATGGATTCAGTACAAACTACCATTACACCGGCCTCAACCATAGCCGTTCCAGTTCCTGTGCCTGCCTCTAATTCAGAAAGAGAGGATGGTATGGGTGGACATGGACAGCAAAATTCCTCGACTTTCCGAAGAGAAAACTGGACTTCCATGCAACCCATGCAAGATGTTAGAAAATCAGGAACTGACATCAACATTTCATTGCCAGAAGGTTAACATCATCCTTGAATGCCTCGATCGGCTGAGTATGATTCTCAAGGTCTCTAACTGACAAAATTGATTGATCCTGATCTGATATTCGACGCAGAGTTTATGTGGCTCCTCTTATCAAATTAAAAATTATATGTAAGATTAATGAATCAGATTGCTTTAGCATAAATTGAGTAGGTATTAGACAGGACATACTGTTTTTTGCTGGACAGAATATATCTGATTATTACGCTAATTAAAGTAGGGTTTTCTTTAGTTTGTCATGTGTTGAATATTAATTTGGATGTGAACAATGCAATGCTGGTTTGCCTGCATTTGTTTCTCAATTTTCTCTGTAGCCCTTTGCCTAAGTACCTATGGATAGCAACTGTTTAACGTTCAGCTTTTATTCAATTTTTTATTTTTCGATTTTGAGAAAAAATTAAAATAAAAATTATGACAATTATTTTAATGCGTAACCCATTTTCGTCTTAGTAGGCTTAATCAATTCTTTTTTTTTTTTTTTGGCACGTATATGTACAAAAGTTATAGTAAAAAGTAATAAAAATATCTTATTATTGTTTATGAATTGTGGTTCAATTGATAATTTAAAATGGGCACCCGAAAAAAAACCAGTTGACAATTTAGAATGGGGACGTGAAAAAAAACCAAGACTCAACGAACTTAATTTTTTTTAAAAAATAATAATCGCAAGAAATTTCCAGGTACATAACTGTCAAGAGTTCCGCTGATTAGAAAATAAATAATAATACAAATATCATCGTCTACAGGATGACATCAACACGATTGTTAAGATCATCATCTCTGTGTGTGTATATATATGTAACTAACTTTTCCTTGGGCTCTGACTACAGTTCCAACCTAAAACAATACCAGTGAGCAGAATCACGTTACATATATAACTTAAACTCCACCAAAAGGTTACTTCTCTACTGAAGAGAGAAAGTGGAAACTCTAGTGCCAACCCGCTTGGAAATGAAGACAGGAAAAGGGCAACCGCTTTTATTATATCTCTCCTCTTCTTCTTCTTCTTTTTCTTTACGTATTCTCCCTCTTCTCCTATTGATTCTCTTCCTCCCTTTATTACCACTCTCCACTACCTACGATCTCAACTCAAGCCATGTCTCTTTGTTTTTCATGCTCAACTTTATCATTATCACCATCTCTCTTGGAAGCTCTAAGCCAGCTTCTACACCAGATTTTGATGGGTTCTTTTATTCCTTTTCTTTGGTTAACGAGGTTGGAATGAATGACAAAATTAAGAACGAAGAACAACAAGACATTTTCTATGATAGCGTTTTTTTTTTTTTTTTTTTTTTTTTTTTTTTGTATACATTATGTTGACGAGATATATCATATATGAGTGCCTTTTTATTAAAAAAAAAATAAAATAATAAGAAAAAATATTTTTTTCCTGAGCATATATTCATTTCTTATACACTCCATATGTAAGCAAATGGACATAAAATTATAAATTTTGCAAATTGCTTAATCACTTTCTTAATTCTAATTAAAAGCATTGATTCATACTAATTTTAATATTTTTAAAGACGTCAAAAGTTTTTTTCCTTCATATAATATGTGACATAAACATCTATTGCAAAAATAACTCTCCATTGAGATTTGACACGAAATCAACTCAACATAATCATGACATCACTCTCCCTTAATTGGGGGTTCCAAACCCAGATTATTTTACTTAATTAATTAATTAATTATGTTTAGAAAAAGACCCGTTTATTACTGTTATTAATCAATCTTCATTAACATTTAACAACCTTTTGCTGTCGGAGGAAATTGCTTAATCAATCTAATTAGCAGCTAACCCATCAATTACTGATTACAGTATCAATTGAAAATTTGGAAGAGACCTGGTCAATTTGGTTAGGTCGGATTATAAATCAATGAGAAACCGAATAGTTGAGATTAATTTCTAAGGGTATAAATTTAAATATATGATGTATACATGTTTACGTACCATTGACATCTCAATCTTTATTTTTTGACATTTGGGTACATGTTGATTAATTAATTCGATTATCTTAGAGAATATCAGATTAATTAATCAGCTTATTACCAGTTAGGTTAACTGGCTCTTACAGGTTTCTCTTTTCAGGCTCTGTTTGTTAACAAATAATCTATTTTCTCTTATTTGGTTGCTATGTTAAAAATCAATTTTTAAAAAATTAAAATATTTAATTTATAAAAGTATAAAATATTTACTAGATATATAAATTTAATACCGTTAAGAATCCCACATTGACTACATATTAAAACCATAAAGGACATATAATATAAAGGTGATAAGTTAATTAATTAATTGATTAGTGTTAATATTTTAACATTGATTGTCACATCGCATATAATTTTCAAGCATGAAAAATATTTTACTTAGATCGATTTTTTAGCACCCCAAATATAAAAATCTAATTAATTCAAACAAACAAAGCCTTAATTTTTCCGTCTGGATTAAAATGACCAAAAGATCAATTAACCTAACAGGTTTTGGCTCAGCAATTTGTTTGATATGCTGTGCACCGTAGTGCAAAAAAGATGCCCATCTAGATAAACATAAATTTATAGTTTTTTAGTTTTTTTTTTTTTTTTACACTCGACTATCCACAAACATATCGTTTTCTCTCTTTTTCTGAAAATGCTTAATTAATAATTAGTGCCTTTTTGACTTCCTAATGGTATATATCCGTTTCCACAAATTGAATTTTTAAATTCTACTAATAACTTTCCAGATTGGATAATAAAATTGGTAATTAAGGATAAGTACTAAAAATATTACTATTATTAATAGGAATATGCATCTAAGTATCCTCTGTGACTGTGAACAACGCTGCTTAAACAAGAGCGAGGTTAAATAATTAAATTGAAGTGAATCGGAATATATTGAAACGACAAGTAGTTTCTCTAGTGATTTTGGGAACCATTAATAGTTTCGGGGAATGCAAGGCACTAAAAAATAATTATCGAATCACTCGAGTTGCAGCTGGCTGTTCTGGTTCTTGCATTGCATGGTTGGTAAACGACAGCACGTTCAAATGCCGTAGAAACGGTAATTCGAGGCAGGTGAATTTGGGCTATGCAAAACTAAACACTTGGACAATAAATACTGCCCAATTCTCCAGACGGGCCTTTTTCTTGGGCTTGATTTGTTAAAATCGACATAAATTAAGCTTGTCCGACAGGCGGTTTTGTAAACTCTATACACAAGCTTTAAAACGGTGCCGTATTACATTAAGTTTTGTTTGGTTTCTTGATGGCAAAGACAGGCGAGATCCAGTGAAATATAAACGAGGAGGTACACCTTGAAGCTTCAATTGGATTCTGCAATTTATTTGCCCTAAATTTCATCCCTGCAATTTGATCTCCATTTTCGTTGATACACCATGACTAAGCAACACGCTAACTGGTCTCCGTACGATAACAATGGAGGGTTCGTATTCCGTTCTTCCTCAAATATTCATCGTCAGTTTCTCTATCTACGCGATTTCTTATATTGATTTGATATTTTACTTGTTGCAGATCTTGTGTCGCAATTGCTGGCGCCAATTACTGCGTCATTGCTGCCGACACTCGAATGTCCACTGGCTACAGTATTCTCACCCGCGAGTACTCCAAAATCTGTAAACTGTAAGTTTTTTCTTTCTCAATTTCTGCCTTTTAGTCGTGGATTGTCCAAGCTGAGTATGACTACTTGTTTATTGTCTCTGGGTTTTAGTGGTGTGTTGTGAGAATATGGAAGCCTTAGTTTCAGGTTTTGATTAGGGTCGCTAATAGGTCTTCTGTTGGTTTCTGTGCTTTCAATTCTTGGAACAGACAAATGCATGGAATTGGCTATAAAATGTTTGTGGAGCAGGCTATTTTAGTGTTATTTGTTCCTTTTAAACAGTATCAAACCAATGTGCGGAACTGGATGAAGTTGAAAATAGTTCAATCTTCGCATGCATCTTGGGATTTTCAAATTAGTTCATTTGATTCAGAAATGTAAATATTTATATTGGAAGTCAGAATAAAATTGCTTGGACTCATCATTAATGACACCAATCCATCATAATAATCATAAGGTGTAGTTCCTGTTGAAGTTTAGTAACAGTAATTTGACGTGATTTTGCTTCTCTTTTATGATACTTAATTGGGGTTTTTATGATTTTTCTGTCCATTTGGACGCCCATAATGTCCATACCTCTGGACTCTGATAGTAAGCAGTTTACTACATATTTTATAGTTGTTAAATGAACGTTGATAATGATCTGGAAGTGTGGGAAATCCATCATCCAGCTCTTGAATAAACTTTTTGTGTTTTTATTATGTGTTTTCTCTTTCTTTGTTTAAAATTCTGACTGGATGTGTTCTTATTGTGATCAGAGCGGAAAAATCTATAATGGCATCTTCTGGCTTTCAAGCTGATGTAAAAGCCCTACAAAAGCATTTGGCAGCTAGGCACTTGGTCAGTCTGCAAAAACTATAAATTGATTACTCGTTTTGTTGTGTTGTGTTTCGTCCTAATGTAATTAGCTCCATTTCTTTTGATCACATTACTTTCTGGATTAAACATGTTGGTTAACAAAGTTGAAGGCTTTCCATAAAACATACAAATGGAGGTGTGTTTGCAAATCTAGTTGGGAGGTTTTCATATGAGAAACAGGAGGCCTTAAACAATTGATACATAAAGAAAACTTGTAGTCACATGGAGTCATTTCCATTTTATAGCCAATGGATCAAGGACCAAGGAATTGGTGATAGTTCAGCCTCATTTTGTATATAGTGGATTGACGGACAAGCACTAAACCATTTTTTGTTCTTCATTTTTCTTGTTTGTTTCTAGATTTCCTTAGCGATGTATTTATTGTAACTGCTCAATTTTTCAGTTGCAAAGTGCATCAGAGGTCATGGTATTTGGCAAGTAATGTTAGAAAATGCTTTTGTTCTTGTATATATGCATTCGGTGCACCAGCACTAGGTGAATTTACTGGGCTTTTTATTTTTTAAGAGGCTGAATGTTTTCTCATGCCAAGTCCTTTGGTAGACTTGTGGGATATATAAGTATGTCTTGTTTTGGACTTTCAACTGCATTTAGCTATGTTAGATAATTGGACACCTGTTTTTCTTCTGATGCCATCACTTTTTCATGTTCCTTTTTTTAATTCAGATTTATCAACATCAACACAACAAGCAAATGAGCTGCCCTGCCATGGCTCAACTACTCTCCAACACATTATACTACAAACGCTTTTTCCCTTATTATGCTTTTAATGTTCTGGGCGGTCTTGACAGTGAAGGTAAACTGATAGAAGCTGTTGGTGCTGCTTTAAGCTGTTTCCTTGTATAACAATGTGCTTTTCTTATTCCAAACTGTAGGAAAGGGCTGTGTTTACACTTATGACGCTGTTGGTTCATACGAGAGGGTTGGATATAGTGCCCAGGGTAGCGGTTCTACTCTTATCATGCCTTTTCTGGATAACCAACTGAAGTCACCCAGCCCGCTTTTATTACCTGCCCAAGTATGTGCTATTGGTTTATCTCATTTATAGATGTGTATTTTTCAGATCCTTTTGTCTTTAACATTTCTGTCTTGAATATCTATGGGCTATGCAGGATGCTGTAACTCCACTTTCAGAAGTGGAAGCTGTTGATTTGGTCAAAACTGTTTTTGCATCTGCAACTGAGAGGGATATATACACTGTAAGTTCTTGTTTCTTTACAGATTTTGCTTTAGGTGAACGTAGTTGTATCAGGAGTAGAATACTTTTATGAAAGAGAGATAGAGAGACAAGCTCTTATGTTTATATGTAATTCATGTATGCCTTTTTCATTAACCTCTTATATTCTGCTATACAGGGAGACAAGCTTGAAATTGTTATTCTAAATGCTGATGGTATTCGTCGCGAGTATTTGGAACTCAGGAAAGATTAATCTGTCCAAAAAAGACTCCTTGATGGTCTTGTTATCATGAGTTGGAGGAGGTACATGGATTATGGCGCTCGTTGTGGTTGATGTTTCTGCAATCCTGTTTGATCAATGTAACTTTTAAAGCAGTCCAACTAGAACAAGTGCATTTCGTAGTATAGATTTTCAATGATAATATGACGCAATTCAGGTGTTTGAACTTACTTAAATTGGCTGCTCTGAAATATTTGTTGTGGGTATGGATTTACAAAATCATGCAGTTTTTATTTTTGCTCCATATGGTGTAGAAAATTAGCTGTTTGCAAATGGATGTTAGAACCTTTTTCATTGCACACAACAGGGTAAGTGAGCATATCACCACCCACGTCTTATTTTTTGCCATTTGATTTTTAGGTTCATTGTTTTTGTGACTTGGTTATTTAAGCTTTCAAATCATATTCCTGAGCATCCAAAATCCAATCATGCACAATGAAATCCAATCATGATAGATTCAAATTCATTACAATTTGCAAGATGATATTTCAGTTCTGATTCAGAAGCTACTTGAGTTTTATAAAAGAATGAATGCATCAATTTATTCCTTATCCTTAAAATTCTAATTGCTCAACGCTATGAGACTTCCAGTATCAGAAGGGCCCCCTTCTCTCTTCAGAAGCTTTCTGCAGAAGTCCATCCTTTTTTCTCCAATTCTAGTCGCAATGTCTGTAATGAATTCCACATTCAGAAATCAAATGGACATATAATTGAAAGAGAGAGGCCCTAATTGTCAGCAAAATGTCACCTTAATTCTCTTTCTATTGTAATCAAAGTCAAAGTTTCCCAATCGCGATGCAGATCGATACTCCACGATGGAGTTATTGCCAGGTGGAAACCAGAACTCAACATCATCTACTAACTTTTGGAAACCATATCAGTAATAATTACGATCCCTGAGAGACAATTTTGTATAAACGATGATCTGAGAGAGTTAAAACTTACCCCCAAAATAGGGCTTTGGTACTCAACATGCACATAGTCATCAGTCTTTTCTGCAATTCGCGGGGTAAACCTATCTGGTTTTGTTGATTCTATCTACAAGAAGTACAACGCCATTTGTTAATTGGGATCATCTGCTGTGTAATAATTCCCAAATTGTTAAAAAATCTGAATACAGGACATTTACCACTTGAAGAAGCTCCTCGATCGCCACTTCTTTGCTAACAGGCTTTTCTCTACTTCCATTATAGTTCCTACAAAAAACATATACCGACATATTAATCACGTTGTTATTGAGACATTTGACTGATGGATGTGGGTCCCAGCTGCCGACCACAAGCAACTGTGGGATCAGCTTTTCCACATGGTAGAAGCATGGTATACTTTATTCGACTCTGTAATGAATCTTACCAAGGAGGAGCATAATGGATTAGATCGCTGACATCTTCCGAAGTGGACACACAGTTCTTTGTGGCTGGACACAGAGATAGTGCTGCTTGGTTCTTCTGCACTCCCAAGTATTCAGGTCTTTTGCCACTGTAAATCAACCAGAAAATTAAAAAATTTGGAAATTAATTCCAACTTCGTTATCGGTGCTCATTGGGAACCGGAAATTGGAAATGCGAGGTTAGATGTAAAAGGAAATACCTTAGATTGAAAATGGCCCCAACTACTGCTAATTCACTACTCCTTAGTATGATTTCCCTTCAATTTTGTTATAATTTTTGTTAGGAATGGTTTCGCTTAACAGAGAGGGAAAGAGGGAGAGAGGGGAGTACCTTCGAGGAATTTGGTCGGTGGTTTCGTCGTGGCTGTTCTTGTCGTTTTGCTGATGAGAAAAGAGGATTCGGGGACGGCCAAAACTATTGCGGTTTTTGCTGTGATTCTTTTTATGACAGTAGCCCGAATAGGTGCTTGTTGGCGCTGTCATCGAAGCCATTTCCAACCTTGAGTTCAATTTTCTCTCCGTCTCTCGCCACACCAAAGTCTGGACGTTCGTCGACCTTTTTATCTCTACGAGTAACAGCTCTCCCATCTGGTACTTGTAATGAAGATGCCGTGTGGATCATTCACTTGTCTAAAAACGACTACGTTTTGTTCACTTTTGATCCGTTGCAAAAATTTCTGCTATTATTTAATTCTTTCGCTATTCTACATTTTTCCTTTTGGTTAAGTGCTTTCCTAATCGCGAAATATGATACCATCTATACAATACAATCGGATATAAAAGTAAAACTTAACTGAGTTTTGCTATTTGGCTCTCTACCTATTTATGAAAGGTGAACAACTTACACAATTTCCGTATTTGGATTTATCTGTATACCAAATTAATAAAAATTAATTTTTTTAATTTAAATAAATATATTTTTGCCCTTTCTGTCGTTACCGTTCCCGTTTTGTATTTTTCGAGAGAGGAAAAAAATTAATGAGGAGGCTTGCGCTGAATAATACTAGGACTTTTATGTAATTTGGCTGCTGACTTGGTAACTCGAGGCGGGAAGAAGAGAGTGCAGTGGAAGCACCAGCTGCCCATTTTAAACTAAAATTCCCCTCTCCTCCATTACAGCTTCTACAAGACTCCACAAGCTTTGCTCTCGGTGTCTGCAATGGCTCGAAACAGGGTACAACATTATCACTTTCTTATTTGATCACCAATTATTTGTTTTCATATACACACATATGAAAAGAAAAAAAAAAGTTGAAATCATTCCAACGTTTGACTTTATTTTTTCATTTTGTTCACGTATTGTTCTGTTTAGGGTTTAGGGTTCACTGCGAATTGCTTGAATTAAAAACTTTATCTGGTAACAAGTGAACCAGAGTCCTAAACAATGTCCTTAAGATTCTCATTAAAACAAATGTTTTCTTTAGGGTTTAGTGTCTTCGTATGAAGACAAAGATAAAAGCTCACATGTTTATTTGTGGATCAAACCCCTGGCGGTAATGGTGTTGGTTTTGATTCTTGGACTCTACCGGTGTTTGGTTCTGTTTACTTGTAAAAGAATAATGAGAATAAATTCTAGTGTTCGTGTTATTTTTCATTCTTTTATAAAGAGCTATTATTAAAAGCTGAAAAAGAAATCATCACATTGTTTTTTCACTTGCAAATTCGAGATATGTTTACTATTTGAAACAGGAAGGATTGGTATTGTTACTTGATGTTGGTCCATCAATGCACAGTGTTCTTCCTGAGGTTGAAAGAATCTGTTCTATGCTTATACAGAAAAAGGTATCCCCTCGCTTATTCAACTAGTTTCATTTCTTTGAATTCTTTTATAAGTCTCTAGATTTAGCCAGGATGCTAATAAAGCTAGTGTACTGTACGTATACCTACCTTGGTGGCTTTCAATTATATTGACACAACCTATTATTAAAGTTATGCATTTTCTTCGGTCTTCATTTATTCAATTTGAATATGGAAACTGTCCTATGTGTGAATGCAACTTTTCAAGAAAGAGTTTCCATCACTAATTGTGAATTTGCGATTCTCATGGACTATTAGTTTAAGAATGTAATAGTTATTGATTCCTTTGTTACATGCAGCTAATTTACAGCAAATCTGATGAAGTTGGAGTTGTCGTATTTGGAACTGAAGGTATTTTTTTGACTTTGCATGTTGCTGAAGGCAGAGAGGTTCATGCTTTAGTTGAAGTGATAATTTTCAGCATCCGTGGCTGATTTTTGTTCTTTCCATTAACTATGTTTGTTTAATCTTTGCAATATATAGAATATATGTGTTTGTGTGTGCACGTCTTTGTTCATTTCAGGTTTGATTTACTCTAAAAGGAAGTCTTGGTTAATTATTTCTTTTAAAATCCACAGACACTGACAATGAGCTGACAACAGAAGTGGGTGGCTATGAGAATGTTGTGGTTTTACGGAAGATCAAGGTTGTTGATGGAGACCTTGTTGAAGCATTACAACAGCTCCCACAAGGAACTGTTCCTGGTGATTGTATCCAACTCATTGCCAATACTTTTTCTCAGATTTTATTTTCTATATAAGTGCATTGCATTGCATCCCATCGATATTGCTGCAGTTCCCTTTTTGGTATGCTTCTTCTGGTTCTCAATATTATCAGTTATGGGTTCGTTGTGCAATATCTTTTCTTTATTATCACAGCTCTGCTAATGTTCGCTTCATATTATAGAGAATAAATTTCAGTCATACATCTTCAATGGCTAAATTATTGGCAAAGTATGCTTTTCTAACCCGGCATTCCTTTGTTGTATGAAATTCTTTGTCTGTATGTGCCTGTGTTGATTTTGATGGATGATTGTTCTGTCAAGTAAGTCAAAAAATATACAGAGCCATTTCCAGAATAAAAGTTTGTCTCTGATTTTATTGCTGAGGTTTGAATATTGTTTTAATATCATATAATCTTACATTCTTCCCTGTGATCATTTTGCAAATTTTCCACTATTTGTTTCCTTGACTTTGATAGATCTTGATGCTATTGTTGTTGGTATGGACATGCTGATAAAAAAGTACCAATTGACAAACAAAGGAAAAAAGCGTCTGTGTCTTATAACAGATGCACGAAATCCTACCAAAGATCCATGTGAAGGAACCAAAGCAGATCAAGTGCGTGTGATTGCTGAACAAATGGCTGCACATGGAGTGAAAATGGAAACTATTGTTGTAAGGGAAAGATTGAATGAGTATACAGATCAGAGAATAGTGGAAGAAAATGATCATCTGCTGCATCTATTTTCAGAGAAAACACGTGCAAAGACTGTGCATGTTGAGAGTCCAACCTCATTTTTGGGTGCACTTAAAACTCGAAAAATAACTCCAGTTACAATTTTCAGGGGTGATCTTGAAATTAGTTCCGAATTGAAGATTAAGGTGAGATTCTTAGTTCATAAGAGTTTTCCAAGTGTATGGTATTGATGTTACACATAATAAAATAGTTTTTTGCTCTTATAATATTTATTCGTATGTTTTCCCCTTCTAGTATTGGATACACCAAATCAACCTGGCATAGAGGTTTCTATATTCACAGGTTTTAGTATTTGTTTGTGGAGTCTAATTTTGCGGTAGGTCTCTATGCTACCACCCTCTCCGTTTTAGCTTTGGGATGTTAGTTGAACCTTATCATTTGTCCTCTTGTCATTATCGTGTAGTGATGGCTGCTGCATAAAAACAGTATCATATTTTATGTATGGACTTCCTGATTTGTTTAACTATGGAAAGTTTGTGTATGTTAGTATTGCAATTCATGTTTCTAAAACATAGTTTTAAGACTTTGAGGTTTATCCTTTTTGTGCATTATTTATGCCCAGGTGTGGGTCTACAAAAAAACCTCAGAGGAGAAGTTTCCCACCCTTGAGAAATATTCTGATAAAGCACCTCCAACTGATAAATATGCCACACATGAAGTGAAAGTGGATTATGAGTACAAAAGTATTGATGATCCTAGTAAGGTTGTACCGCCTGAGCAGAGAATTAAAGGTTATCGCTATGGCCCACAAGTGATTCCTATATCATCTGCTGAGTGGGATGCTTTCAAGTTCAAACCTGAAAAGGGTGTGAAGCTTTTAGGTTTTACTGATGCTTCAAACATATTGCGGTAAAGCACATTTGGTTTGATCACTGCATACTTTTGATTTAGTCAACATGGATTAAAATGATTACTTTGGTCTTACATTTTTATTTTATCCTAACCTGCATGTTAATCATCAAGACACTATTATATGAAAGATGTCAACATCTTTATTGCTGAACCTGGCAATTTGAGGGCAACAATTGCCGTTTCTGCCTTAGCACGGGCAATGAAGGAAATGGATAAGGTTGCAATTGTGCGATGTGTTTGGAGACAAGGACAGGGAACTGTTGTTGTGGGGGTTTTGACACCCAACCTATCTGACAAAGAAAATACTGTAGGTTTTAATCTAAAATAATATGGTTCCCTTATATCAAATTGTTTCCATACATTCTGCTTTCATATCTTGTTCTCGGATTCATTATCCTTGTCAAGATTGCTTTTTGGTCTTGTTGGCAGCCTGATTCTTTTTACTTCAACGTGCTTCCTTTTGCTGAGGATGTCCGGGAATTTCAGTTTGCTTCTTTCAGCAATTTTCCTGCCTCATGGCAGCCAAGTAAACAACAGCAAGAGGCAGCAGATAACCTTGTAATGATGCTTGACCTTGCGCAACCTGGAAGAGAGGAAGCTCTTCTGCCAGACTTCACACCAAATCCTATTCTTGAGGTATTTTGCAATTGTTATGTGCTTTAATTTCAGATCATTCCCAGGAGACATGATGACCTTCTTTGATGAGGAGACACTTATAGGTCCAGGCAAACATGTGGTTCTTTCTGAAATAAAACTTTTGGAGTTTTATCTAATGTCATTTGAGTGTTTCTTGGTATTGGTACTACCATATATAACTACTAAGATATTTATTTTGATTTTTTTTTTTTTAAAATTTCTGCCTGAAACATTTTGGTGCATGGATGATATCTCAGAAGTCAGAACTGTTTTCATAGGGATGGTAGAACATGTAGGTCATTGTTTCATAGAATTGTGGACGATATCTGGGAGATTGTTAACTCTATTTTGTTGGATAAGGTGCCAAAAGCACGGATGCTGAGTTAGTTTTGGATGCAGTCATTAGTTGTAATATATGCGGTTTGTTTTAAAATTTTTTTACGGAATTGCTGGAAAGAGTCTTCAAAAGATGATTAAGGAAAGTATTTTCCTGTATCACTGCCCCCAGTGGGAATATTCTTGGTTTTCTGACTGCAACTTATAGCCACTTTATGTTTTTCAGAGGTTTTATCATCATCTTGAGTTAAAATCAAAGAACCCAGATGCAGCTGTACCTCCTCTAGACAGAACTCTCAAGAAGATAACTGAACCTGATCCACAACTTCTTTCTGAAAACAAGTCTTTTATTGACGCCTTCTGCAAAAGCTTTGAGGTCAAGGAGAATCCAAAGGTCATTTTCGCCAAGTTCTTTGATACTAAAGAAAATTGTATCATACTGCCAAGTTCATCATAATTCGTCAGTATTGATTAATGTGATCTGTTGCAGCTAAAGAAATCAACTAGGCGATTTTTGCGAGAGAAGCCATCTGGTTCTGATGATGAAAGGGATTATGTAAATGCATCCGATGCTCTAGCTGTCAAATCTGCTGAAAGCCAGGTAGAAAAAATTGGGGATTCAACCCCAGTCCAAGATTTCGAAGCCATGATGTCTCGCAGAGATAGCCCAGATTGGGTTGTTAAAGCAATTGAGGGCATTAAAAATAAGATATACAGCCTGGTGCAGAACCACTGTGGAGTGGATAATTATCCTAAAGCACTGGAATGTCTGGCTGCCCTCCGCAAAGGTTGCATCATTGAGCAAGTATGTCTCTTTTCTTCTTTAAGAGTTAATGTTTATAAATTTAGAGAATTTCAGGTTTGTCTTCTATTACCAAGCCGTATATGGTTGCAAACTTGAACACAAGTGTATATAGTGACAATCCCCCATTGTTTCCAATGGTATACATTTTTATCCTTGGCAGTGTTTTCTATATTATCTGGTTCCCATATTGACCTTTAAGTGGATTTGCATTATGGTCTACTCTTTGATGAATAGACTTTTCTCATTAACATAGGAACATTACTTTGGCTCGTGCTTTTGTGCAACCATATCCATCCCCTAACTGAAACTTCCTACCTCTCCCGGATTGATATGTAATCCATCTTTACATGAGAGAAAGAAAAGAGCTCTGTTGCAATCATTTTAGCTCTGTTTCCTCATTTTTAACACCTTGTCCTATTGAGTATTGACTACTTGGTTATCTTGCCAGTTCTGGAAGGAGAAACTATGAATATTCTTTCCATGAATGCATAATAATGTGTTATTGGTATTTGATATCTACCTAGCTCTTCTCAAACTGTTCACTGTCACCTCGATGCATTAGCAGTGTACTACTCCTAGGTTAAGCTACTTGTTTCGACTATTTTAGAAGAGCTAGGCTGATGATAGCTGGTTGATGTTTGAAGCTTCTTCCTATGCAGGAACCAAAACAATTCAATGATTTCCTTCGCCATCTTATCAGATTCTGCCAGGAGAAAAAGCTGGGCAGTTTCTGTGAATTTCTCATGTCGAACGAGCTCACTTTGATTTCCAAGTCAGAAGCAGAAGACAGGTTTTTCTTCTTAATTTGTTGATTGTCCTAGTTGCCCTTAATAAGCATTTTGCAACATCAGCCATTAATCTTTGCACTACTCTATTTTGTTTGTTTTATCAGTGATGTTACAGATGGTGAAGCTAGAAGCTTTCTGGTTAAAAAGGAGCCAAACGAGTGAGAACAAGAGTTCCTGGTGTGAGGCCTGAAATCTTGGGTCATTTAGCAGATGTAATGTAAGATCTATGACAAGAATTGTGTGTACATATATAAACACATTTAAATTTTGTATATATGCTTTTGTTTACATTTCGCCTGTGTAATTATGGGATTAACGCTATGGAAAAATGGGGCGGCCTTAGTCTCATGTGGACGCAATTTGGTATCAGCACTATGGTGTTCTCCCAAGTCAATTTTTGCTTTTAACGTATATCATTTTTTAATAATATGGATTAATTATTGATGTTAAAAAAATAATTTTTGCAATAACGAAGTAAAATAATAATAGAATGATAGGTATTTTGATTTTTTTAATTAAAAATTAACAGCAAAAAAGTAGATTTTGGGCGGAAAGGTTTTATAATTCATCAGACAAAAACTTTTAGAATATATTAATATATTTTTGAAAAGATACGGATTAAATAATTCATTTCATGAAACTAAAAGGATTAAACAGTAATTTACACTAAAAAAAAGAGACTGTAAAAATTCTGGTGTCTTTCAACCGAAAATGGGAGTCTGCGAACCGAAACTGAAGTAGAAAAATGGTAATCCAAATAAAATAAATTAGCAGAACAATCCAAATCGATTTGGTTCATTAGTTCTGGGAGTTCTAACTTCTAATTATTCTATAGAAAAAGAAATTTGGTAAGTCACTACATAAATCTGAACCGGAATCAAAAACTTTTTGATTACTCCTATTAAAAATTCGAACCAAAATCGAACTCTTAAAAGACCAAACCGGTCACTTCAGACCGATTTTTCTGTTAGGTCCGACTGCTCACCGCCAACAGAGAAAAGAAAAAGAAATACCGCCAAAAATTTAAAGTGGAGTGGTAAAATACTTTCTGCCAGTGCCAGTTCCAAGTTTGGTAGGTACTAAGTATTTTTCCTTGATTTCTAGTTTCGGACAGAAAGTTCCAAAATTTGACATGTACTTTTGTCTTTGGTGGGTCCCCGTTACTGAGACTTTATCACAAGAAGAAGGTTTTTGCTTCAGTCATTCAGATTCTCACTCTAGGTGCCATGGAAAACCTCAGCCAGGTGACTTGTTTTTGTCATCCCTCTTAATTTAGGGTTTCAATTTTCTATAAGCAGAGCATGCTCTTAAGAATTTGAGATTTTGCCTTTGATTTTTTACTTTTTGCACGATTCATCTGCAGAAAGACCCTGGAAATTCATCGCCAAAGCTTACCCTGTATTCTTACTGGCAGAGCTCTTGTGCATGGCGTGTCCGCTTTGCTCTAAACCTCAAAGGTATTACTAATACTTAATTATCGTTTAGTTTATATTTTACGACGGCGACTCTTCACTCTCTCCAATTTAATCTGCATTTCAAGAATTCTTTCACAAATGAAACCGTTGTCTGTTTGTAACTTCTCTTTTAAGTGAATCTTGGTGTAGATGCGCTTTTATCTAAACATATGACTTGTATGGACTGAACTTTATTTGATTGTCTCTCCGAATGAATGTTTAGGACTTTCCTATGAGTACAAAGCAGTGAACCTTGAAAAAGGAGAACAATTTTCTCCAGGTGAGCCTCAAAATGATTTTTATGTGCTTCTCTTACCTTGGAATACAGAAATTTTAAGAAAGGTTTTTAATTAGCATTTTTATATACTTCATTTAAAGAAATAGAATCTGCCATTGGGTAGTTGGAATCTCCAAATGATGAATGCTGTGCTTGAATAACAGAGTTTGAACGATTAAATCCTCTTCATTATGTACCGGTGTTGGTTGATGGTGATGTGGTGGTCTCAGACTCTTTTGCAATATTGCTGGTCAGTGTTCCTCACTTGAAAAGTTAATTCATAAAAGGACTAGTGCATGTTAATTAAGGGACTGCATTAAGAAAAGATTTGGAATATACATGATAGGCGACAACAGTCATACCGAATAAATGCTTATTGTTGATCCCCTTTCTAGTCATGGCTGCATGCTGTTTTGTCTTTCACTTTGAAGTAAACAAATCCTTGCACGTGCTTAGATTATCTTTGCTGTTCTTTTTGTTACGATATGGTTGTCGTATTATGATGGTTTTGCATGTGTATTTCTTCTAATATTTGAACAAAATCTATTGTTGTGATTTTTGGCTAGTATTTGGAAGAAAAGTATCCTCAAAAGGCATTGTTGCCAGATGATATTCAGCAAAGAGCTCTGAATCTGCAGGTAAGATACTGTTTGCACTCTTTAAATGTGGAATCTGCAATTATGAAGTCTAAATCTGATGATGTCATGATAACATTTGGATTCTCAAATTTGATGCATTGGTATAAGGTTCATGAAATGAACAATTTAAGCTCCATTTTAAGCAAATGATTTGAAATACATTGCACAAATCCACATGCCTTGGCCATGTAAATAGTTGTAATTTTGACAATCCCATGGCTTTCCACTTCATGAATTGCAAGGGCCATTGAAATGGAACCAGCAAAACCATTTAATTTGAATTTTTGCACCTCCTAGATGGCTTTCCTTCAATTCAGACCACAATAATTGAATCACTTGATATTGGCTCATACCATTTGTTTCTAAATTTATAATTGCAAGCTTCAAAGGTTTGCTTTATCAACTCATCCTTTATATGCAACCATGATAACCTTTAGTTCTTGTGACAGGCTGCCAGTATCATCACCTCTAGCATGCAACCTCTTCATATGGTGTCATTGCAGGTGTACTCTATTTTTTTTTGCTCAAGTTGTTTGCATTTGCCCTGTTTTCTTGAATGGATGGACTTATCATGATCTCTCTTCATTTTCATAGAAATATATGGAAGAAAAAATCGGTCCTGGAGAGCCATTATTGTGGAGTCAATCTATTATCGAGAAGGGTCTGCTTGGTAAGCATTTCCGTTACAGGTGCAGCCTGCTTCTCTGCGTGTGTTTATGCATCATGAGTTAATGTGCTCTATCCATGTTGCGAAGGTTCTAAAAGATACATGGGCGGAGCTAAAATTAGAATTTGAGGGGATAAATATAATTTCTCCAGTTTTTTTTTCTGTGAATATTTCATTTTTGCCAGATTAGATAACTCGAATCTCAATAACTATAAAAAGAACTTTCTATTCTAGTTCACTCAAGCGGGGTCGAAATGGATAATTTCCCAAATTTCAATCATGTTATTTATTTTTACTATGTTTAATATAATTCTGCCTATCCCAGTCAAAAATAGAAAATATTACTCAATGGAAGTCAAAACGACTAAAGTCACATGGTATAAATGTAAGAATGTGTGTGGAAGTTGAATTTGTTATGAAACCATTTGACAGAATATGCAGTACATAAATAGTGCATCAATTAAAATTGTGTTAAAAAAAAACCTCAAAAAAACAAGTCTAATAGCAGCCGCTTTTTGTTCTATTTTCTTTGTCTTCAGTTGTCTTTGTTATTTTCAAAATCTAGAAAATCTTGTTTATGCCTTCTTACTTAACGTCAAATATTTTATGCTTTTTTCTAGCTCTTGAGAGGTTGCTCAAAGATTTTGCAAGCAGATATGCCACTGGAGAATCCGTGTTCATGGTCTCTCTTTTTATTGTTTCGTTCATCTTTTATTTGTTGAACTAATTTCAATAAGACCTTGATGCTCCTGCTTACTTTTGACGTTGTCCTTCAAAATCATAAGCACCTTATATACGAAGCTGATCACCATAGTCTTCTTTTTCTTGGCAGGCTGATGTTTTTCTTGCTCCACAAATAGCTGTGGCCTCAATGAGATTCAAAATTGATATGGTAAAACCTTTTTCCTTAATTTTTGTTCCTTCCTTGGGAATTCTTTTCGATCTCAAAGTAAATAGCATTTTGTGTTTCACTATTTATGCTTCGTTGCTGTTATGCGTCCTTTTTTAGAGTGCTTAATTCATCTTTGTTTGTTACAATAAGGTTCATTCAACATTGGAAGCACATCCATTATTGCACAATGGCATTAAAGCACATTCTTAATTGCACATGGGCATTAAATTTGACAAGTTAACCTTTCGTCTATGTCCACAGAAAGCATATAAATACAGAAATGGCAAGAATCATTTAAGTACGGGAGAGAATCATTGTTGTTAGGCTGCAAGACTATTGGTTTTGCAAAATAGGTAGTGATTGAGAGATGCAAGAAGGTTGAAGGTTTTTGCTAAAATGCCATAATCTTGAAACATTTTAGGTTAAGTTTTAATGTTTAGAGGGATAATCCAAAATAATATTAATAGGGCTGAGGTGTATAGGATTGGTTAAATAATGTCTATGAATTGGTGGAAAGAGCTGGGTAGATGAGGGTTGAAACTTGTCATCCAAGATTTGAAGAAGAAAGGATTTGTGCCTACTGCCGCCTAGCATTAGGGCAGCCCTTATGCCAAACAGAATTTTGTTCATCAGGTTTCTTCAGAATCCTTGGACATATGATAAAGTTTTTGATGGTCCAGAATGATAAAGGAATTTCTGCTATTCTTTTTTTTTTTTTTTTTTTTTTTGGATGTCCAAGATGATAAAGGAATTCTGCTATTCTTTTTTTTTTTTTTTGCTTTCATGATTTGGTTTTTGGGTTTTTCTTTTTTTCTTTTCCCACAAAATTAAAATTTTTTTTTTTTTTTTTTGCTTCATGATTGGTTTTTGGGTTTTTCTTTTTCTTTTTCCACAAAATAAAATTCTTCGTTCAATTTATGCACAGTTTTTCAATTTATTCTTATGTTATGGCATCAATCATAAGAAAAGAATGATTGGAGCTAGGATAATTATGCAGCCCAGAATTTCAAAAGACAAACCCTACTGGTTGTGATAGTAAAATACATGATTTTGAAGCTATACTGAGAGTGTTATTAATATAGTTCTTATGTACATTTGTGGTGTAATGTAAAGGAAAATCCTTTTTAATTTGGTTTTGTTGTGTATATATGCAGTCCAAGTTCCCAACCTTGGCTAGGATATATGAATCATACAAGATCTTACCGGAGTTTGCAGCTTCACTCCCGATATCACAACCTGATGCAGTGCATTAGCTTTGGTTTTCATCTTGAACAGAATTAAGGCAAGCCAACAACATTTGAAGCACACCAACTTAATTGGTCCCAACACCTGCTATCTTGTGGCGAGTATGCATCCAGCGTATTGCACTATTTATGCGTTACTTTTGCAAGTTGTTGTACTCAAAATAATATTTGCACTATAAATTGCACATGCCATGATTGAAAAGTTATGTAAATGAATTTTCAGCGGTTGGATGAGGGTTTTCATTTTGATCTTAGCTGAAAAATCATGTCCGCCATAGACGTAATCATGTAATCTTATTAGTTAGTATTTCTTTACTGTTTAAAACACTTTTAATGTGAGAATCATAGAAGATAGTACATTCTATAATTTCATAGTATTGTCGATATCAACACTAATTTGTTGAATTTTTCAAAACAATAATTGAATTGAGAACTCAGCTCCATAAATCATATGACAAGACACCACCGGCTTTCCCTATGAAGTGTTTTAGCCTTTAAATGCTATGATTATGTCCTTACTCCTTTAACTCGTGTAAGAGGCCCTCAGCTCTTCTTCTCCATCTATTCTCTCTCTCTCTCAATCTCTCTCACTAGAGCTAATAATGCTTCCCTACCAAAGTCTGCAAGAAGCAGAGGCAGCTCTAGGAAGAAAGCTAAACCTAGCTGAAAAACTATGGTTCAATTACTCAGGTAATAAACCTGATTATATTCTTCATTATCATAACATTCTCTTCTTGATCATCTTTTACTCTATCATTCCTCTACCATACGTGTTCATGGAGCTCTGCCAATTCAAGAAAATGGACAAGTACAAGTTACAACCCAAAATTAAGAGATCATTGAGGGATATGTTCAAATGCTACATAGATGTTATCAAGATTTTTCTTCTTGTTGTCGGCCCTCTGCAAGTCTTTTCTTATCCTACCATTAAGGTATTTTTTTCCTGTTCATGCAGATTAATACGAGTTCATCGATTCAAGTTTAAAATTCTTAGAGATGATACACCTTTTTTTATAAATCGAAATTTTGTTTGCTACAGTGGATTGGCATTCGAACTGATTTGGCATTGCCTAAAGGGTGGGAGATGTTTTGGCAATTGTTGGTTTATAGTCTGATAGAAGACTACTTTAATTATTGGATTCACAGGTTGCTCCATTCTAAATGGGGCTATGAGAAAATTCACCATGTCCACCATCAATACACTGCTCCTATAGGATTGGCAGCACCATATGCACACTGGGCTGAGATTTTGATTCTTGGATTTCCTGCATTTCTTGGTCCTGCATTAGTTCCTGGCCACATAATCACTTACTGGCTCTGGTTCATCTTGAGGCAAATTGAAGCCATTGAGACTCACAGCGGGTACATATCTCAATTTTTATTTTCTTCCCCCTTACCATTTGTGTATCAAAGTGTAAAAGGGAAAGAAATTAGAATCTTGTTTTTTTTATAAATAAATAAATTATAACTAACATTGATGCAGATATGATATTGCGCGAAGCTTTACGAAATATATTCCATTCTATGGAGGTGCAGAGTACCATGACTACCATCACTGTGTGGGTGCCCAAAGCCAAAGCAACTTTGCGTCAATTTTCACTTATTGTGATTATATTTATGGAACTGATAAAGTAAGTAAAACCAGAAATGAAATTGAAGTTACAGTGCAGTGGTAGGAATGCATCACCTACATTTTCTTTCTTTCCACTGCAGGGGTACAGATACCACCACTCCCATGTCCATGTCCATCCCAAAAAAGGTACTATTTTCATTAATTTTTGTATATTAGTGTATTGATTCTCTAAAGCTAATTCTAACAGTTTATTGATGTTATTTTATTTCGTGGAGGGAAATGGATCTGAGAAGCGAAAATGACAGAACGGCCCCACCCTACCCCTAGCACCTGACGTACTACGTAGGCTGTTGGATGCTCGTGCGTAGCTCTTACTAAATTCTGAATAGACATGTCGATGAATCAGATTAAGAAGCACGATTTTTCGATTGGTTTATTCCAAATAAATTATAGGGAAGTGTTTTAATCAGCTGAGCCCGTCTAGCTCAGTCGGTAGAGCGCAAGGCTCTTAACCTTGTGGTCGTGGGTTCGAGCGCCACGGTGGGCGATTTTTTTATATTTACATTTTTTTTTTTTTTTTTATTTTATAATATCATATCAATCGAGCTTTATATTTACAGTTTTGGTTTGGGCTTACATTACATTGAGCTATTCTATAATCACCCTAACCACGTAAATTTAAAATTTTTGGCAACAGAGGTAAATTCTTTCTATTTCCAACGATAGTATCAATATTCTTTCTTTTTTTTTTTTTTTTATTTTATAATATCATATCAATCGAGCTTTATATTTACAGTTTTGGTTTGGGCTTACATTACATTGAGCTATTCTATAATCACCCTAACCACGTAAATTTAAAATTTTTGGCAACAGAGGTAAATTCTTTCTATTTCCAACGATAGTATCAATATTCTTTCTATTTTGAACAATACTATGAAATGGAAAACAGAGCTACGGTACAATCACCTTAACCATAACCATGTAAATCGTACATCAGAAGACAAACATTACCTTTTTCTGAATTTTTTCAACAACAAAAATTTCTAGTCAGACATATGTTTTGCTTATTAATTTCAAACTCAAAATTGTGCCCTGAATCCTACATCGTGCCATTTTTTCTCTATTGTAACTTTCTTTAATCTAAGAGGAATTATGAGGCTCAAAACTCATGAAGCTATCGCTGATCACCAACAACTCGAATCAGAAGCTCCTCCCGTGTGCTTGAAATTAGTTCATCAAAACATTTCTGTTAAGCCGAATGGAGAGACGGTGCTGCCCATAATTTCACTTTCTTGTCAACACTAGCCGTTGCCAATACCAAGCCCTGTCCATTACCTGTGAAACCACAACATTGGATATCAACCACTGGTTAATTAAAATCAGGAATATCTCTTCAGGCCTGTTTGGAATGAAATTGATGAGCAGCATATTTTGCATAGCATAAACTGAATTGAGGCATCAAGCGTTCAAAGTCAAACATGCATATACAATCAGCAAAAATTTAATTGAAAAGTTGAAGTAAGGTGAATTACCTGTTGGAATGGCCTTAGGCGCCCATGCCATCCATGTGATTTCACCTGCAGCATATATTGATGTTAACACAGGTTTCTTAAAAAGATATTACAATGATTTGATTTTAGTATGCCAACTATGATGCAATCGATGTATAAGTAGTAGTTGGAAGAAGAAAGAAACAGTAGTAAATGAAAATGCACCATAAAAAGCTTGAGCTGGAACCACTTGCATCCATGTTACAAGGTATATGTCTTATTCCATGCTCAATATACTTATCCTGAAATAACTTCATTGGTTGAAAGCATACCAGAATAAGGTAGGTAAATAGACACCAACATACCGTCATGGGCTTTTTCAGCTGTGTCTAGAACATTTCCGGTTTCCACGCATAACCACTGCAATGTTGAGCCGTGGGTTGCTGCCAGTATCTTCCCATTGGGGGATAAACTGAGTCGATCATAATGCAAAGTTGCTCCGTTTGAATCATGAAGTGGAATTGGAAACACCTTAAGAGTCTTCGGATCCTCATCGAGATGATATCGGACTTGAAGATTATAATGATCATAATTAGATAGTTAAGAACACAAGAAACAGGATTTCAAACTTATAAATCTATTTATAGCCTAAACGTAAAATATGTACTACTGCCAGATAAATCTTTTTCAAGAAGCAAAACATTGGTGGAGGTGGGTGGGGGGCAGTGAGCAGAAGGTAACTATAGAGGAGAGTCCACGAATTCAAATAAAAAAAAAAATCTACAAAGCAAATAGCATATTTTTTTTCTTCAGCCAAATCATTTTATCGAGAATACTATCAAAATTTGACAACCTTAAGAAGAAATAATTTACAACTACAGAATATACTAAAATACATCATATATACCAAGTGAAAATTGAATTAAGTTCCATATATTGCAAACTCTGAATAAGCATAATAGTTCAAGTTATATGGGCGGGCTTCTCTTGCTAGATGCTTCACCGTGAAAACAAGCCAGCAATCGTCATTTTAGTAACTATAGCACCAGCTTTACTGTATGACAATTAATAATGGAAATGTTGTACGTATCTGAACTTACCATTGATGTTCCAAGTCCTTATCGAACCATCTTTGGAGGCTGTTATAATTTGCTCTGAGTTTGGAGTGAAGCATAGCCATGTCACTGCACTCTGAACATTGACAAAAACTTGAGAAATGAAAGCACCAGGACTATCTAACTGGCTTAATAGCTTATGTGAATATAAGCAAGAACCAATAATGATTGTGATTGGAAGAAAATTACAGTAAAATAAAGAAAAATTAAAACAAGAATTTGAATCTAAAACTGTCATGTGAACTAAATAAATTTTTAAGCTGCATTATATTAGGTAGTAACCTTGTGTCCTTTAAGCTGCATAACTTTTGGAACCTCCTTGACAGATCCATCCTTTGAATACACAATCTCCCAGACCTGCAAAACAAAATAAGAAACACCAAAGTGGCAAGTTTCAACAGCTTAGCACTATCTTAAAGGTTCCCAAAATTCTTTTTGTATTTTGCAGTTGCTAGCAATGGCTTATAACTTATCTGAAGGCATACATAATATGTTTAGATGATCTGGTACAATCATGCTGTGATTGGTTAGGCAAAAATCTAAAAGTTCTAAACATCTGTTAATGGTTGCCAAACTCAACAACAATCAGATAAAATTCACCTTCACATCTGCAGTGAATGCCGCAGCAGCAATAAAACGCCCATTTGGTGATACAGTAGCCATGGTGTTTTTCAATTGATTTGTATCAACATTCCCCAAAATCTTCCCGGTTCTTCCATACCAAAGTTTGATATCAGTAGCTGCAAGGTAGCATCAAAGGGTCCACAAAATCAGCATTGCTCTTAGGAACTCTAAGAGTATCAATAATAAAAACAAGGCTAAAGTATCAAATTGACACTTCAACTTTCAATTTTGGGCTAATTGAGTCCAAATTTGTCCTACAACTTGCATATTCACTATCCATTGTTTTCTTCAATGGAAAAAAAAAAAAAAAAAAAACAAGATTGATAGTAAATACCCACATATTAAAAACTCTAAGAGCTCCAAATTCAAATTTAGATCCATCAATTAGGGTTAGATGAGATGTTTTATTACCCATTTACAATTTTTGCATTCAAATTAAGTGTATCTACTGCAAATAATACAGAGAACAGAATTCTAACAGTTCCAATTATACAAAGAACATTAGTCTCATAGTTGATTAAATGGTTATATATTTAATTCATGGGATATAATATCTGGTGCTGAGAGAATTATTTGCAAACCTACCCTCTGAACAAGAGGCAACAATTGCACTTCCATCAGCGGTTCCATAAGTTGCAGCAGTTCCAACTAAGGTCAGAACAGCATTTTTATCATGAATTTTGTGATGCTCCCATTTGACTTCTGGAAGGGGAAGCTTGGATTGCTGCTTAGATTCATTAGGTTTGACCTTTTCTTCTCCAAACATATATAAAGATGCACCAGATAGAGTTTGAGAAGCCACTACTACAGAAGATGCATCATCAGCAAAGGCCACTGCCACTGGGTGACCTCCAGCAGGTACACTAATTCTCAGAAACCTGCAGAAAATAAAATATACAATCAACAAAATGCCATGTATGACAACTAGCACGAATTAATAAAAAAAAAACACCACATTGATAATGTATCAGGTTCATACTTGAAACTTTTACTTGAAGCATCATCCAACTTAAATACCCTGACCACTCCATCACCACAAGCTGTTTGCATAACAGGAAAGCAACCAAAAGAAAGTAGATTCAAATGTTAGCATGTTAACAAGTCGAGAGCATCACTGAAATAAATAAACAGAAAATTGACTTGCAGAAAAGATATTGGGAAGGCTGTACCTGTTGCCAAACTCCTTCCATCATTAGAAAAACAAAGCCCATTAACTGAATCTCCATGACCTTTCAGAGTGTTCAAATCCAATGGATGATGCCTCTTAATTTGATCCTACAAAAGCACAATCAAAACAATTCACATAGCAATGTAACTGGTTCACTCGGTCACAAGGAAAATGCACAAACATGTAAGTTAAAAAGAAAAAAGAAAAAAGACGAAGATCAATCACTTCCAAAGAACAAACACCAACTCATAAGTTCCGAATCCCGATCCTTCCTATAAAAACTTTTAAATATATGAATCGTAAAATTCATACTCACGAACGCCTTTCATTTTCCCTTATTCCCTGGACAAAATTAAAACCGATAAGAATAGTTGCTATCTAATTTACTTAGACCGATTAATTTTACACAAAAGCCTAAACTGATAAAATAGGCCACCATAAGACGGAATTTTCACGGCAACCAAAAGGCAAGTCAGAGATGGAAAAACGGGGCATACCTTATCAGAAGCATGAGAGTGATGAGAGTGAGGCTTGGGGTGAGATTTCTTAGTTACAGGCTGAGCAGGCTTTGTAGGCTTTTTAGGAGCCGAATCAAGCTCCGGCTTGGTGATGGATTTGATTTCGGATTCCCTCTTGTGTGAGTAGCTTTTGAAGAAGAGGAAAGCGATCAGAGCTCCGAGAAGGACCGAAAGAACAGCAATCGGAAGAACCGGATCCATTTTCGCAACTAGAGAGAAATGAGAGTTTAGGGTGTCGGAATTGTAGATAACGAGAGTGATGGCGTAATGCGTGAGGATGCGTCGAAGCCTCTGCCTCTGGGAATTGGAAATGGCGGGGGTCGGGGAGAATTCTATACGTATCAACCGGTGAAAATTTAATCAGTAGAAGCAAAAAGGTTAATGTTCTTGGTGTATTGTATTATAAATTATTATTTTATAGTATAATACATATGTTTTCGTATATGGAAGAAGTAGTCGTTCGACGACGGAGTTAAAAAATGCTTTATGATTTGCCCATTCCAATGGCCTGTCGTTCGATAACTGGTTGAAAAATACTATGCTGCGGTACGTTAGCCTTTCTCGTCTATTCAACGGCAAGCCGTTTGTAATAATTAAGCAGCCTAAATTATAGTTTATTAACTTGCAGCTTTGAAAATAAATACATCTTAGGTTTATAAAAGCAGGATTTTCTTTTCCTTTTTTTTTTTTTTTTTTAAAAAAAAAACCTAAATTATAGTTTATTAACTTGCAGCTTTGAAAATAAATACATCTTATGGTTTATTAAAAGCAGGGATTTTCTTTTCCTTTTTTTTTTTATTTTTTTGAAAAAAAAAATTTTTTTTTTTTTTTTTGAAAAAAAAAAGTGAAAGAACATAATAATTGTAATAAGGAGAATAATTATTGGACAGTTTCAAAAAAAATTGGACAAACAATAAATTAATGATATCAGATGTAATAATAGTTACAATTCGCTCGTTTGAAGCATTACTGAACCCAAAAGAACAACATGGCCCGTGTTTTTGTACAGCATAAATAGACAGAGCAAATTACTACAATAGTTACAATCTGGATTACAGAAATGGGATGATTTAATTCCCATGGGGTATCCTAAAGCCCCCCTAAGAAAAATTGGGATTTTTTTTTTTTTTTTTTTAAATTCCAGGAATTTAAATTCCAGGGAAGGCTAAAGACAAGTGAAAGCATTGGCTGATTTGCAAAATGGCCCAGTCTCCAGCTGTTGGGATTTTTTTTTTTTTTTTTTAAATTCCAGGAAGGCTAAAGACAAGTGAAGCATTGCTGGATGCAAAATGGCCAGTCTCCAGCTGTACTCACAGGCTATAATCTTCCCTTCATTATGTACAGAGCTTGAAAGTTTTATGATTGCAGTGGGAGAGTGCATGAGTTAGAAGAACACTGGACGATCATTCACTGGGGGTCTCTCTTCTGTTAGCATCTTCAATTTCTGTTTACATGCAGAAAATTAAAGAGCAGCCAGAACCATGCTTATAACTGAGTATGACTTGGATCAAAATAGTCTAAGAAAAGGAGAAAATGAAAGGAAAACAAGCACTCAATACCGTCATATATTGGGGAGGATCATCCAAACTTGTACAACCTAGAACAACTTCTCTCCTGAGTTTAGTTGTCAGCTTGTGGCAAACACGTAGCTGACAATAGCATTTCAGTGAAAACTTCAATAAAGATCAACATAGCAGAGCAGAAACTAGCAGTTCTGGAGAAATTTTACCTCAGATCGAGTTGCACCACCAATCATAAATATAAAAATACGCTTTCCCATTTTTTTCAAATCTAATGTTACATTCTTCAAGACTGAATCACTGCAAACAGAAGCGGAAGACTAATAAGAAATATATTCTGCGGAAGACTAAATTAGAATGACAGAGTTTTGAAATGTAATCTACAGATAATGGCAAAAACATCTAAGCTGCTATCAGCAGTCATAAGATGCAGAGATATCCAAAGAAAAACATATAAGAGCTGTCAAAATACCTTGAACATCCATCATCAGAGCGATGACCCTGTGCCCAAGTTGCAGTTCGTCTTGATCTCATTGAATGAGGAGTAGATTTTTTTTCTGGAATAACAGGGGCATTACTTGCTCGTGCTGCCCCTTTCTTTGGTGCTTCTGGGACCGGGGCCTCAACCTGAGCACGTGGACTTGGTTCATTCATACACAAATATTCAGACTTCGACAATTCACCTTTGTTAAGATTTTCAATAAGCTCCTGCAACAGAAATTATATCGTGCAATATCATTCATACATAAATCATTAAACACAATAATTTTTCCTTTTTCAGTCAATGTTTATGACACATGTTTTATAAATTTGAAACTAAATTTTTTCTACGCATCAAACTACCACCAGGCAAAATGACTTCTTTTTATGCATCACGTTCACTCTAAGCAAATGGTAAAAGTAAACAAAGAAAGATAACAGGAGAAGTGCTGCCAACCATTCATTATTTCCAAGAAGCCTAATTTAGCAATACCTCATTTGTTAATTATTTTATGGTTTACCATCACAATCTTTACAATAAGATATGTTGTACGGCCATGCTTTTGTGTATTGATTCATACCTCTAACACAGGGTAAAATCGAAATAATTGCCATGTTTCTTCCTCACCAGTTCTATCTTTTCTGGCTGCTTGCTTTGTCTGAGAAGCAAAGCAAAGTTTGTTGATTGTTAGACATTATCAATAACCTTAATTCCAAAATGACAGCATCCTTTACCACTCTAATGCGCATCTCCACTCTATGCTCATACCTTCTTGTTATCAAACTTGAGAGAGAAACTGCCAGTTGTTGTCTTTTTGGCAGCAGATGATCCCGCCAGCAGTCGCATATTATTCACAACTGTCATATCTTTTTCTGATAACCTGGCCAACTGATTGATAAAAAATATTTTAAAAAAATCACATAATAAGTTTTAACTTCAGAACCCTACATACAGTCATGTCCTAAAACAACACTTCTCATTGATCAATAGGAATTCTGCAGCTACCTGCATTAGTTTTGTAGCTTTGTCACCCTCAAATTTGTCTGGATACACAATTGCGTAAATCAGCAACAAACGAAGCTTATTTTCAGGAGATGCGTCCTGAAAAAGAAAAGTGTCCTTCAATTAGAAATTTATGTTACCATGTGTGGGATATTAAGAACATCAACAAATCAGAACACAATTCCATGCTTCATCACCTGGTTCGTCCTTATAAAGTTGATAACTTCCTTAGCTCCTGCATCTCCAAATACAAGATCCTGCTCTAGTTGCCCAAGGTCTCGAAGCCTTATTTCTCTGATAATTTTGTTAATTTTTCCAGCCATCTGCATGAAAATAATCAAATAAAAAAAAAAAGGAGGCATCATTAATCATAAAAACTACTCCTTTGAACCCTTAGTGGCCCTTTTCAGCTTCAAACTTGTTTTTCCTATGAAAATCCAAGTAGAGGAAGAGGCAAACCTCAACATGAAGAGAGAGCTTCTCAACTACTTGATTGTATTGCGGTAAAGATTGAACAATTTTCTGCATATCTCGTGTTGAAATTTCACCACCATCTCTGCATAAAGCAAAACTTCAGCATCACAAGTGTAAGGCAAACAGAAGTGTTTGAATGATCCAGCTTTATGATTCAATATAGAATAAAACAACATAATAAAGAGAGCAGAAGCATAAAATCAAGCATACTTTTTTATATTTTATCAAAAAAAGGCCATAATATCAAGGAAGCAAATGAATTGTCACATTTACAAAGTGAAAAGTTTATTGACTCACGACATGGTTATTATATAACCCATGATTATCTTCAACTATAAACTTTTATTATGATTTATCGTCCGCCCATATTGCATTTTCGCCATTGCTAACAATGTAAATGATGTGAAGTTTAATGGTCAACAAACACAGGCAGTGTGAATGAAAGTCAGCCACAAACCAGTTGAGATTAGAGCCATTTATCCATGTTCCACTGAATACAGTTCTGTTAAAAAACATAAGGCTTTTAAGTGTTGCACTTTATGAACCTAGATCTTTTGCTGGCTACACAGCTTATCAAAGTCCAGGGACAATTTTTGCTAACCATTATTGAACTGTGCCCTGAACAATTTCTAGCAATAGAATCCAGAGTTTCAATTCATCCAGTAGTTACTATAAAACTTCCATAATTTTTCATTATATTACCTGCACTTTAACCTCTTATCATAGCTCCATGATCAAACACCTGCATTGCTATTTAGTAGAAGTTTTGGCACGTGAATTTGGTATTCCAATCACAGGTTAATTTTTCTAAAGTCAGTTCATGCGAAAATAGTATCATTAATGTATCCAGATCAGATTAGTTATTCAGCTGGAAAACCTTCTAAAGTTACAAAATTGAGCATTAAAGTTTCAAACACTTTAGAAGTGATACCGGTACCTTGCTGTTTGTTGCATTTGTGCAGCTTTATTCTTTTGAACAAAGTTGGTCATCTTGTCATGCAAACGTTCACTAGCCTGATATGTGACATAAAAATATAAATAACAGTTACCAGACTGAGGTCTCCAACTCATCACTAATGCCAGTTAACAAATAAGAGATTTCAGACTAAAACTAACATAAGTGAGATAGAAAAATGAATGCACAACATACATCTGCTATATGTGCATGGCGAAGCTCAAGCCAGACCGGATCATTGTCTTCTAGAAGGACTTCCTTTTTCTCAGGGTCACCACCACTTTTACTAGGTACCTAAAATGGACGTGATTGATCGACATCCAAGGATTCATAAATGCTCGAAAAGAGATCCTTAAACCCTCTAGAAAACAAAGTTGAAGAGTAAAACTTACCTCGAATACATACTTATTTCCATCCATATCTAGTAAATCATGGCACATGGCATCATAAGTCCATTCATGTATGACCGGAGCAATCTAAAGCATGAAATTCAATGAGATCCAGCATTATTTTTAAAATGACAGACTGAGAAGGAGAAGTTATCACTTGAAAGTTGTTGGTAAACCTGATCAACAGATCTATCCAGGATGAGCAGCTCACATGTCTCGTTTTGTGGAAAGTTAGGAATGGACTTATACTTGAGAATATTGTTCCACACAGCAGCCGCAAGCTTTGAGGGAACTGTATCGCGAAATGTTGTTTCTGTAGATCCATCTGTTTTGGGAGCTCGAAAACGCACATAGGGCAGCTCCTGAGAAAGCAACTTTTCAACAAATGAAAAAAGGAAACTGACAAAAAAAAAAAAATATAAAACCATTCATTTCCAAGGGAATTTTTATTTCAAGATAAAAGAAAAAAAAAAAAAAAAAAACATAGGGCAGCTCCTTGAGAAAGCAACTTTTCAAACAATGAAAAAGGAAAACTGACAAAAAAAAAAAAAAATATTTAAAACCATTCATTTCCAAGGGAATTTTCTATTTCAAGATAAAAGAAAAAAAAAAAAAAAAAAGAGAGAAGAGAGAATAGGCTTACGAAAAAAAAAAAAAAAAAAAAAAAGAGAGAGAGAGAATAGCTTACGACCAAATATTACAGAATCCCAAATGCCAAATATTATCAGTTTCACAATTATCCACAATTACTGCATTTTCTCACTTAAAATTTTTACCTTTAATGAAGCGAAAACTGTTGCAATTCGAGTCGCCATCACATTCAAGTAAGCATCAAATCTGCGAGAGTTCTCAGACCTTTCACTATATAGTTCTTCTAATGCTCCTTCATGGTCGGTGGTAAAAGCCTGCATTAAAAGCAATTTCAGCGGACAAAACTAACACACTTCCTTAATAGCAGAAGTAATGACTAAGAATGCAATTGTTGTCGGAGATGGTTTTCATCATATGCAAGTCTAGTCAAATTGTACACCCAAAATGCAAAGTCTCAAAACAGTTCTTGGGATGGAAGTCCCTGTTTGAGTCAAAAGTTCATGAGTAGGTGCGATTGAAGCGCACATATTTCTTTGGCATATTTGTAGAACCGCATACTAATTCAGTAAAACCAGGTAAGATCAGATCAAGAAAGAAACCTACTTAACGTAAAACACAGATATGCACATCCGTTTATATGCATCTTCTTTGTTATGAAGAAGCTAGCAGAATATAGGAAAAATAAATTGTGCTCCATACATGCATTTTCCGAGAACGAAGCTTTAAAAAAAAAAAAAAATTTTAGTATTCCAAAATAAATGGGTAAGACCCCACTAGAAGAAAAGGTATAGTCAAAGAACGCCAGATATAATGGCATACCCACCTGATTATCTATAGGGAAGTATTCCAGATTCATCTGCAAAGCATCAAGTAAAGATGAATATTAAAAAGAAAATGAAAGCCATGCTATATTCTCATTTCTCAGTTATTAACAAGGAAAGAAAATTCAAATTTTTGACCTCTCCAAGTGCACCTATACGGGGTAGTACACTTGTATCACATTTGATGTGATTAACCAGTTCCTTCGGGATTGGTGAACTGAAAAAAACAAATGCTCTGGCAAACAAGGCAGACGTTCCAAAACATATGATCAGAGTTTTTACTAAAATGAAATAAACATATATATTCAACAAAATAAAGCTTCAATTTGGAAAGTCTCTAAACTTATACATACTTCTTATATAAAGGCTCCCTTCCAGACATGTCAGACAAGAACATGACAATACTGCAGGCCAGCAAAAGACGAGTCAAATAGGTCCCTACACCTTATCTCAGAGAGCATGTTAACGTTAAGGAGAAAATTCCCAGAAATTGTTAGTGGTGGATGCGCTTATGCAAAATGCCACAGAGAGAGACAACATGCAAGAAATAGAATGGAGAAGAAGAAAGAATCGAAATTAAAATTTTCAAACTCTAAACTATAACTTATAAATACTAACTGTGGTGCATTCAATATGAAAATAAGTAATGACCAAATTCTAAGAAATGGGGAATTGCGGCAGGAGCATGTTTAACGGTCAGCGCTTTATTAAAGAAGTGAAAAAACTGAATAAAGTAAGGTCAATAACAAAGGAATCACAAATTTTATGTTCATTTTCCCTGAATAAAAGTAAAGACATAACATTGGTAAACAAAACAGAAGCAATTACTTCTCTTTTATTGGCTGGATAAAATATATAACATCCATGGAGGGTAAGGGTTCCCTCCTCTTGAAAAGTTCTTCCACCACTGCAACAAAAGAAGAATCTCCATCAGGTTCTATATGTATTGGCAATTACCAGCGGGTGAGAACTATAAAAGAAATGAATTAGTGATGTCTGGGAACAATCACAGGGACAAGGTTACTGGACATAGCGATAGAGATGGCATGCTCCACTTATAGAGACAAAATTAATATGAAAAAAGAAAAATTGATCGCTACTATGGAACTTCATGCATATATAAATCAGAAACCATATGCAATTTCTTCCATTTTGCCACTTTGTCTGTAATGGCAAATATGAGAAACTTCGATTCTTACATGAAATCCCTTGGTCTGTGATATCCGACATTTTACAAATATGAGACATGACTTTGACTGTTACTTTATCCATGATGAGTACCTGTACAAAATCAGTTGAGGGTGATTAAAACAAAACGCAAATAACATTAACAAATTTAACTGGCCATTGGACACAACGGAAACAAGGATGTCTATCTACAATGCTTACATTATCGGGAATGAAATCCAATTCTTGGGATAGGATTTTTTTTTTTTTTTTTAAGGTTCACAAGAAATCACAAGTTAAAAAAAAAACAACATATATATATATCAAGAATGAAATCTCATTCTTGAGATTTATATATTTGAATGAGATTGACTTGCCTAGACTAAATCCATAGCCTCACTATAGATTGAATCAATGAAAATAAGAAGTTTTGTTGAAACATTGTATTTGAATAGCATGAATTTAGCTCAAAATAATATCTAATCTGAACTATAATTCTTAACATAACCATTAATTTATTTTTTAATTGCTTAAAAATAACCATCTAATTCCATTCCTATTCCGTTCCCAAGGTAATTCCATTCCAATGTAAATTATCACGCCAAACGTACCCTCCATGCTGATCTTGAATCTCCTGTTCTTGTTGATCCCAGCATTTCATTCAGAAGACCTGTATGTACCAGGGTAAAAAAAATGCATTAACTATAAAAAATTGACCACTACACTACACAATCCAATTTCTTGAGATAAGCCACAGTTAAATACTAGAAAACCAAAGGGATGCAATTATGAATAATATTTAAAAATAAAAATAAAAACAAGTAAACTACATGAAATATAATTTAGCTAGGTTGCAAAAAAAAAAAAAAAAAAAAAAAAAAAAAAAAAAAAAAATAAAAACAAGTTAAACTACATGAAATATAATTTTAGCTAGTTTGCAAAAAAAAAAAAAAAAAAAAAAAAAAAAAAAAAAAAAAAAAAAAAAGAGAAAAGCCAGTCGATCTGGGTCCCACCAATAAAGTTAAAATATTTTTCTGCGCGACATTCTCCCTTCCAAAAACTGGATAAAAAAAAAAAAAAAAAAAAAAAAAAAAAAAAAAAAAAAGAGAAAGCCAGTCGATCGGGTCCCACCAATAAAGTTAAAATATTTCTGCGGCGACATTCTCCCTCCAAAAACTGGATATACATGTATGACACACCAATGTGGGTGGCAACTTACGTTCACGACTGATTTGACGAAAGAATTTGTGCCCTCCGGCATGGGAAGACGAATCAGCATCGGATAGTGACATGATAAATAACGCCGCCGATCAGTAATCAAGCTCGAGAACACAATGATTCAGAGACCGAGAGATCGATCAAAATTGAAAAGGAGAGAAAGAGAGGGAGAGAGAGAGTCTCCTGGAGCAACAGAATTGTGTAGCGATGAAGAGAGGAGCGAGAGAAGGGTGGAGAACGGAAGGCCGTTACGCTTGTGTGGGAAAATGTTCATTGGAGCGGATATTTCGCTCAATTGAATGGACAAACAAAGCCGAACTAAGTGCAATTACACGACATCGTATCTGTGCATTCGAGCGTGTAAGGAGAGATTGAGAATTGCTTGAAGTTTACTGGTCTAACAAAATTTTTAAATATGAAAAATTAAAAATTTCTCAAATTTATCATATTTTTCATTTTCATAGTTTATCTTTACTTTTGTTTTTTTGTTAAATAAGTGATCTACCAAGTTTTTAATCTAAATTTCTTAATCAGCTAATAAAAATTTATTTAGCCACAAATTAAAATTAAAATTTCCCTTTTCAAATTATCCTTTTCCCCAGTACCCCTATAGTAATCTCTCTCTATCTATCCTATTGTAAATTTGTAATTGACATGCAATTTACAAAATCTTGAAAAAAAAATTAAAAATTCAGATTCATAAATAATAGAATTGGGTAATTGAGGAAGAAAGCTTCATTGCTAATGGTTATTGTCCCTCAATCCTCATACAGTTTCTTAATTTAAAACCATAATCTATAAATTCAAAGATAATTCTTGATGTAATACAACTAGAGATAGCCCTTCTGCTTGCAGCATTGAATTGCTCCATCAAACATTTCATCAAGCCCATAATTAAATTTGAAACCAGAATCTGTCAGCTTCGTAGACGACAGAACAGGGCCTTTGAATCCTTCAAAACCCTTCAGTGATCTGTCAAGAAAGAAAAGTTTGCATTTTGATTATAATTTCTTGAGTAAACGAAGCTAATGGAGGAGAATAAAAAATTACTTACTCTGTTGTTGGTATTTTGAACTCTGGGAACTTCGCTGAAAGAAACTTGGACATCTCTTCAATAGTTAAAGTATCAGAAGAACAAATATACCTTCCTTCTGCATTAGGATATTCAAGAAGGAAGATATGTGCTCTTGCCAGATCATCAACGTGCACCATAGATGTATTGAGAAGCAGATTATATAAATCTGGCTTGTCTAAAACCATAGCCAATGCTGCTTCCACCGAGGCGGGCAGATTTGGACAAATAAAGGGACCAACAACAAAAGAAGGAATTATTGTCACAAGCTCCAATCCATTTTCCACTGCAAATTCGAGAGCTTTTTTCTCTGTCAACGCCTTTGAAATCCAATAAGGACTTGCAAAAGAGTTCAAGTCTTTTATGAAATTGACATCACTCCAAAAGCTTTCATCCATTACGCTCACAGTCTTACTCTCATCGTTAAGATCAACTGCTGCTGTGCTAGAAGTGTAGACCACGCGCTTGACTGTCTTTGAATTCAAACAAACATTCAAGATTGCTAGTGTTCCATCGATTGCTTTCTTGATTACTACTTCCTCAGGTTCATTAGTTTCAAAATGAGTAGGGGTAGGGGTGGCCACATGAAACACACCAACACATCCTCTAATAGCAACTTCAAAACTTTCAGGATTACTCAGATCTGCATGGAAGATTTGAAGCTTCTCTGACGCTCCTGGTAGACCTGTTAGGAAGCTGACATCTCTCTTCTTCTCTAGTCATATATAAAACATAAATAAATAAAAATTGGATATTTTCTTTATTCAATAGAAGTAACTGAGTTAAAAATCTTACCTGGGTCAGGTCTAATGGTGGTGTGAACAGAGTAACCATGTTCAAGAAGCCTCATGATCAACCATGATCCCACATAGCCAGTAGCACCTGTGACACACACTGTACCTTTGTCTCCTTCCATTGACGATCTATGGTAGCAAGTGTGCGAAGGTGCTGGAAAATGATGACTTTAAGGTCATGATAAGAAACGGGTCACACTTTTCTTTGTTCTTTTTTTTTTTTAATCCTGGTCTTTCTCTGATGCTGACATGGAACTACACTTCGTCCATTGATCACTACCAATCATTCTCACTTTAGACGTTTCTTGGACATCACAAGATTTTTTATTGACTTCTAATTTTTTTGGTTCAATTTCAAATTTGCCAGCCTTTTTACTCTTAACAGTTTTACGATTTGACAATATGCGGCTGCAAACACTTTGTAGGTTTTATTCATTGGTTGTTTATGAAAATATAATATGCCTCAAAATCAATCCTCTGTTAAAGCTATATTTTCAAGTTGAATAGTCACTGACTTTATATTCAATGAACAGGAAGAGAGCATTAAGTATTAATATACAATAATGCAGAGACTTGTTTCTAATATATAAACTAAAGATAGCCCTTTTCTTTGCAGCATTGAATTGCATCATCAAACATCTCATCTAGCCCATACTTGAATTCAAAACCAGAGTTCAATAGCTTCTTTGGTGACATTCCAGGTGCTTTATAGCCTCTAATGTCCTTCAAAGATCTGTCAAGTTTGCAAATTAGCATATCATTATAATTTACAATTTCAGCATTCAAGAAATAATCTGGAAATACATGTAGAGTTACTCACTCCACAGTTGGTATTGGAAACTCAGGAAACTTGGCAGACAGAAATTTAGACATCTCTTCAATGGTGATGGTGTGTGAAGAGCAAATAAACCTCCCTTTTGCATCGGGATATTCAAAGATAAAGATGTGTGCTCTAGCCACATCATCTGTGTGCACCATTGATCCACTGATAAGAGCACCATATTCCTCTTTCTCACCTGGAATAATACATTTCATGATTTATTTATCATGCACAAATCATAAACATAATTAATATTCTAATTTCTATCAGTTACCAAGTATCATAGCCAGTGATGTGTGGACTGAGCCAGGGAACTTAGGACAAATGAAGGGACCATGAACAAGAGAAGGAATTACGGTTACAAGGTCTAATCCATTTTCTTCTGCAAATTCAAGAGCTTTCTTCTCTGTTATGGTCTTGGAAATCATATAATTAGCAAAATAACCAAGAGAGGACTTGATAGATTTAATGTAATCCACATCACTCCAAAAGCTTTCATCCATTGTGTCCACGACATTGTTGCTAAAAGCAACAGCCGATGCACTTGAAGTGTACACGACTCTCTTCACAGTTTTAGAGTTAAGGCATGCCTTTAAGATGCCAAGTGTTCCATCAACTGCTCTTTTTGTAACCACTTCCTCTGGTTCTTTATCTTCAAAATCTATAGGACTAGCCACATGAAATACACCGGTGCATCCTTCAATGGCCGCTTCAAAGCTTTCCGGATCACTGAGATCAGCTTGGAAGATTTGGAGTTTTTCAGATGCTCCTGGTAGACTTGTCAAGAAGCTAACATCTCTCTTGTGTTCTGATCAAAAGAGATGTTAAAGAAGAAAACTAAATAGTAAGTTTAACCTAATCACATGTTCTTGAAATTAATCATTAATTGTTACCTGGACAAGTAGTTATAGGGTTAACCTAATTTTGAAAATTGCACATGGAAGCAAAAAAGGATCTGAAAACAAAGAATAATCATGCAAATTTAAAAAAAAAAAAGAAAAAAAAAGAAAAAGAAAAAAAGAATATAACCTGGATCAGGTCTAATGGTGGTGCGGACAGAATATCCATGTTCAAGAAGCCTCATGATCAACCAAGAAGCTATAAATCCAGTACCTCCTGTTACACATAATTTGCCTTTATCTCCTTCCATGTCTGTCTCACACCAAGGAAAATGAAGTTCATAAAATGCTCTCTCTACGAGTCTATCCTTTTAGCTTGCTCGTACATTGTTTGTCGTTTTTGAAGTTGTAAACTACAGATATGTTTTTTTCCTGGCTGTGATCATTGTTATCGTTCGCTTTTCTGATGCGGTACGTCAAGTTGTTTCACTTTTACTCTAAAAGCAACTAGTTGAAAAATATCTTACAAAATTCCTAAAGAATTGGTGAAAACTTTTTTTTTTTTTTTTTAAAGTCCTTCCAAACTCAAAATCATTTCTTGATTGCTTGATATAAAATCATTTTAACACTTTTTTTTTTAAATTCATTATTAAAAGCTTTAACCTTTTTTGTTTTGAGGAAAAAGCAATATTTCATTTTAATTCAATAATTAGTTGAAATAATACAGCATATAAATATCAAGTTAAACATAATTCTCCAAAAGTTAGAATATTTGTGCAATTCAGATTGAATTTTCTATCACTATGAATTATGATTTTTTTAATAAGAATTAATAAAACTATATCTATGGGAGAAAAAAAAAAAAAAAAAAAGTTGAAATAAATACAGCATATAAATATCAAGTTTAAAACATAATTCTCCAAAAGTTAGAATATCTTGTGCAATCAGATTGAATTTTCTATCACTTATGAATTATGATTTTTTTTAATAAGAATTAATAAAACTATATCTATTGCGGAGAAAAAAAAAAAAAAAAACATTGATACAGCTTTGCCTGCAATTCACCGTTTTTCAGCTCTGTGTTTTGAATTTTAGTTCTTGATTATTGTTTTTAAAAATGCGCCGAAATTAGCGATAAAAAAAAAAAAAAAATAAGGAGAAAAAAAAAAAAAAAAAAAGAGTATTTTTGTTATAAAAAATTCATCTATCACCTTTCACTATTGTAATAGGACAAGAGAGTTATTAATACTTAATAGAGAAAAAAATATAAAATTCATGATAATATTGTTTTGTTTAATAATAATGTGAAAAATAAATTAATTTTAATATCTAATTTAAAATTAATCTGAAAAATAAAATGGAACCACCCAAATTAATATTAACAAAACCAAAATATAATATTCTATAAAAAAAAACATAAATGAGTTTATTGGTTTAATATCAATGTGGAAGGTAAATTTTAATAGAACATTGTACTATTGATATATGTCATTACTTTACGATTTTAAGACTTTATTACTGAATTTAGCAATTTATTCATAGTTTTCAAAAATAAATTAAATATTTTTATTATTAGTTCTTTAATTTTCTCTTAAAAATCTCAATTGAATAAGTATTCCTAATTAAATTATTTTTTGTCGTTTTTTAAATGCTTTATGTTTTTTAAAAGAAAATATTTTATTTTTTAAACTTTAAATCTTAAATAAAAATATAGCAAATCAAATAATTATTTATTTATTTTTTAATCAATAAAAAGTTTAAATATATTTTTGTCAGATTTAATTGGATTATTTTCAGCCGTGCCCATTACCGTCCCAATATCTACTTATTTATATATATATAAAATATATTATTGCAAAAAAAAAAAAAAAAAAAAAAAAAAAAAAAAAAAAAAAAAAGAGGAATCCAGTCCCTCCATCTCTCTCTCCTCTTTTTCCTCTCTGTGTCTGCTCTCTCTCTGTCTCTAAAAAAAAAAAAAAAAAAAAAGAGAATCAGTCCCTCCATCTCTCTCTCTCTTTTTCCTCTCTGTGTCTGTCTCTCTCTGTCTCTCTTCATAGACCTCATTTCCTAACATGGATTCCACGCCCCACCTGGAATCCCAAGTCTGATAAACCCTAGATTCACAGATCACATATAACTAAACAATTACGAAAGAAAAAAAGCTTTTTGCTTTATTGTTTTTCTGAATTCCTTATCTGGCTATAGTGTCTGATTTCTCACCTAATTTTTCAGCTTGAGTACAAATAGTTTGGGAGTTATCGTTTCTTCTTTTGTTATATTGAGCATGCATAGATCTGGAGCTGCTATGGCCTGGAATGTTTTCAAGTTCTGTACGGCCCTCCGGGGCCTTGGCTCGATCATGATCCTGTTGGTGCTTGGGGTTGTGGGTGTCACCTACTACGCCGTCGTTTTGACCAATTATGGCCCCGCTTTGTATGATGGAGGGCTTGATTCTGTTACAGCTCTTGCTGTCTTGATCCCATTTCATTGTTTGGTAAGATAATCTTTTGTTTTTGTTTTTCTAGAATTTTTAGTGCGTGTCTTATTATTAAGGGAATTACTCTAGCACATTGATCTTTGGTTAGATTGCATTGGTTGTGGCTCTCTATTTCTTTGTTTTTTTTTCGCAATTTCTTAAAAGATGGGATCTTTCTATTTTTCTTGGTTAAATTTTGTTTAGAAGTGATGGAAAATATGGTAGCCTGGAACCATTTCCAACTTTATAATTTTCTAGCGTTGTTAGTTAATTCGAAAAGTGTGGTTAGCTGCAGATCTTGGAACCTTTTAGCTTCAAGTAGTGGAAATGGAACTGAAAGTGGAGAACTTTCTTGTCTTGTCTTTTTTTTCTTCTTTTTTTTTTTTTTTCAATTTGCAGTTGGTCATGCTGTTATGGAGTTATTTTTCTGTTGTTTTAACTGACCCGGGTAGTGTGCCTCCTAATTGGAGACCCGCTGTTGATGAGGAAAGAAGTGAGGCTGACCCATTGAATGGCTCAGATTTCAGTGGTTTGGCAACGGATTCATCCAACCAAAGAATCCGTTATTGCAGGAAGTGCAACCAATTGAAACCACCTCGTTGCCACCATTGCTCTGTTTGTGAGTTTCCCTCTAAACGTTCTTTTTCTCTGTTATCTTGTTCAACATAAAAGTTAAATTTCTACTTTATTTCTTTCAGGTGGTAGGTGTGTGCTAAAGATGGATCATCATTGTGTTTGGGTTGTAAATTGTGTTGGGGCATTGAATTATAAATATTTTCTTCTATTTTTGGTAAGTTATGCCTCTCTGCCTAAGCCCATATATTTAATTTTTTTTATCATTTGATAATGATGAATCTCCTTGACTATAATAGAACTAAACTGTGGATTGGTTTTAGGCTTTTAGCTAATAAGTTCTGCTAATAGTAGAAACATTAGGTGGAGATGGTGATTATTCATGTGGTTGTTATATTTTATCATGGGTTGATGACTTGGTGGAAGGATTATTCTTTTGGGGTTATGTTGTGGGAGACTGATAGTATTTTAAATTATTTATATTTCCTATCTCTGAAAAATGTTTAACCTGCCTGGATCAGTTATCAGATGAACAGTCTTCTTCCATTTTATTTGTGCATTTGATACTACTATTATGACAACCAGATTTATAAAGTGTGAACTATGTTTTCTCATTGTAAGGTTCAATATGTTGGTGGGGTATTTCTTGAAATTAACTGAACTTTGATCTTAAATGTTAATGCAGTTTTACACGTTTCTCGAGACAAGTCTTGTAACTTTGTCATTGCTGCCACACTTTATAGCATTCTTTAGTGATGGGGAAATTCCTGGAACACCTGGGACCCTTGCAACGACATTCCTTGCCTTTGGTAAGGTCTTCTAACCTCATTTTTTGACCTGCTTAATCAGGAATCTCTATCGTTATGTGACTAATATTTCACTTCGACAGTTTTGAACCTGGCATTTGCATTGAGTGTGATGGGATTTCTGATCATGCATACATCGCTGGTTTCTGCTAATACCACTACTATTGAGGTATTTTCTTATTCTTAGCTTGGTTTTCAGCTGTCAGGTGTTGTGCATTTGTTGGATTATGCTTTCTATTATGCAACATTAAGCAAGTCAGTGGCACCTAGTTTCTGGACATCTAAAAGAATCAAGTAGATTGATGAAGCTTTAATGAAATAATAGAAATTGGTTACTTGTCATATAATCATAGTGCATTCTTTAACTCAATACACTGATGGAACATTTTCTGAAACGGATTTCGTACTGATACTAATGCTCAATCAGGTCATCTTTGAGCTTATCTGGCTTTAGTTGTAGATTTTCAATCTTCATTTTTTTATGGATCTCTCTGTGCTCAATGTTAAATAGAATATATTAAATTATTTCTGGCCGGATATCTGTCAGGATGTTCTACTGATATGTCTGCTGTTTGTCGTGTGATCAGGCATATGAGAAGAAAACCACACCAAAATGGCGCTATGACCTTGGTCGAAGGAAAAATTTTGAGCAGGTGGTCTTCTTTTTTCAATTTATTGTTATTCCTTCTTTGTTTCTGTTCATGAAAGTCCTGTACAAAATCTGAGTAATGGTAAATTCCTTGTGAAATGATTTGTTCAAAATGGGCCAAACTCACAATTATGTTGCAGTTCTATCTTTATTAAAGTAATTGTGTACTGAGTATTACCTTTTCACAGTGTTCTGAAAAAACTACTTATTTAACAACCAACATATATGAGAAATCTCCACAAAGGTGCATACGAGTTCTCTTGTGGTTCATATACTCACCTCCATCTCATCCATCTTTTCAGGATTGAGACGCCAGCACTAATTGCATTAGAAATGGCAAATATCAGTGTTTAACTCTAAAATAGGAACTAGTGAGGAAGTAGTACTAGCAGTTCATACAAATTATGTAAGCACTGCTACATTATAAAACATTGTTTCAAATGATTGGTATCTTCATGCATGAACTCCAAATTATATAAGCAATGCTACATTATATCACCATCTCAACTGATTATTGCATAAGTCTTGTTTTTTTTTTTTTTAATATTTTGATGCTTAAGTGTCTGGTACTGTAAACAAGAATGTTTTTTGACTTTGTTTTGGCAATTGTGAAAAGGATTCATTAACTGTTTTGACATTGAATAGCACTTTAAAAAATATATTAGACATGGATGAGTGCAGAATGGCTAATGGTTTTTCGTGCTTACCTGTAATGGTGTGTACGTACTGACAATTTAGCCTGAAGGCTGAAGTCATGTAGGGAGGTACATTGTCAGAATAAATATGTTACAAGAAGGTTAGAATTATGTTGGAAACTTGTTGGCACGATCTGTCCCGAGATCTTTCTCATATTGAATTGTGAATCACATGGCAATTGTTGTTTATTCGTATTCTCTCTCTTATCGAAGCTTTGTTGAAGTGCTACCATTTGATTTGAATTATAAAATTTATTAGTTAAGTTGCCAAAACTTAATCTTTTTCAGTTCAAGTTGTAAGGTTAACTGCTTGTTGGAATCTTTTCATTCTCTAATAATTCTCAATGAATCTCCATTCTGTATTATTTCTCAAATAATGTTTTGGGGTTCATATATCAGGTGTTTGGGGCTGATAAGCGGTACTGGTTTGTGCCTGCATATTCGGATGAAGATTTGCGACGGATGCCTGCACTTCAGGGTCTTGAATATCCATCAAAGCCTGATTTGGACTGTCAAGAATTCTAGAAACCAGTTGTGCCGCTGGTTGTGGAACTGGAGAAGTTTTCTTTTGTAACAATAGATATGGAGCCCTGCCGAAACGTGACATTACATCCTAAACTTGATAAACAAGTTGCAGCTAATATGGGCTCCTAACCATTCATTCCCGCGGCAACTTTCTGAAATAACTGGAGAGAGAGAGAGAGAGAGAGTTGTATGAAGGTGATCAGGCAGCTCAAAATCTAGATTGCAGAATACTGAAGGCATGATGGCTGATGTTTACTTATTCTAATTGAGGAGCTCCAAGAAATGTAACGTTATTGATGTGGCGGTATACTGATGTTCCTGTAGGTTTTTTGTTGTACATTTAATCGAAATATAGAAATCAGTCTCACGGCTTAGTAGAGGTGATATCCTTACTCGTTACTGGCAAAATTTTTTATTTTTATGTTTCCCCTCTGCTTTGGATGCCTGCCTAAATTGAGGATCATTCATGATTTAAAAAAAAAAAATCCTAAAAGAAAAAAAAGAACTGTATGTTATGGATGCAATTGTTTTTCTCTAGTATTTTTTTTCTTTTAAATAAGGATGTTTACTACTACAAAATAAAAATTAAATTTCGAAGAAATAGTAATAAAAAGTATTTTAAACTCGTTTGAAAATATAAATTAATATTTTTTTAATTTTCTTATTTTAATATATTTTCTTAATTTTAATGAAAAATATTGCTTACTGAGAGCATTTAATTATATGAAAAATTTTTGCGACATCACTGCCTATCCTATCTAAAAATTTCTAGAAAAATATTTCAATTTACAGTGACTTTTAATACGAAATAAATATAGTCATTTGGGAAAAAGATAATAAATCAAAGGAATTAAGTTAAAAAAGAATAAAAGAAAATAAAAGGGACCAGAACATTCCAGCATGACATGCGCGTTACATTTTCAGTTTTTTCTTGTATAAAAACCAACCGTAATACCGAAGCAACGGACATTCTGGTTCCTGGTTTCTCGCTCTTAGAATCTCTGTTCGGGAAATTTCTCGTCTCCTCTCCTGCCGTCAGGTAATTCACTCAATTTTCTTTTTTTTTTTTTTTTTCCCTCATGAGCTTTTCCAGCATGACAGCGCGTTAACATTTTCAAGTTTTTTTCGCGTATAAAAACCAAAACTCAAACCTAAGGCAAACGGGACCATTTCTGGTTTCCTGGTTTCCGCCTTAGGAAATCTCTGTTCGGCGAAATTCCGCCCCTTCCTGCCGTCAGTAATTACACTCAAATTTTTTCTTTTTTTTTTTATTTCCCTCATGAGCTTATATCATCATCAAAAAAACATATAATATCAGAATATCTTAATTGATATATTATTAAAAATATCTGTTTCCTAATTTTTCAATTTTTAACTCATATCTCCCCAATAGTGCAGGTTGTGTTTCATTTGATGTGTCTGCTGTGTGGCGATGTTGGTTTGTAAAAAATGAAAGTGTTTCGCTTTCTGTTTGCGCTTTTTGTTTGCGTTTGAGAGTTGTGTTTCTCTGGCCAAGAGCGCAAGAAAGTGGGGAAGAGTGGGTGTTTTTAGTATGGAAATCGAGTTTAGTGGATCTCTTCTGCGGTGTTGGGG